ATCATATATTATAAAGACACTTAGTGAATATCTGGATGTGTTTGTGGTGGTCTATCTTGATGATATGATTATGTACTCAGCTTGTGAGAAAGATCATAAGAAGCATGTGAAATTGATACTTAAGGCACTCAAGAATACAGGCCTTTATTGCAAGCTGGTAAAGTACAAGTTCAATACTCACAAGATTGACTATCTTGAGTATATCATAACATCAGAGAGTGTTCTTATAGAGAAGAGCTGTATGAACACTATTCTTGACTGGCCAGAGCCAACCAGTAAGAAAGAGATTCAGATCTTCTTAGAATTTATGAACTTTTACAGGTGCTTCATCCCAAGATTCTCTAAGATAGTCTACAGCCTGACTAGAGTGGTATCCGGTTCCGGGATTTCCCGTCCCGGTCCCAGATTCCCGTCCTGCCTGACTGCTCTTCTAAAGAGAGAAGAAGCAAAGCTAAGCAGGCATGTGTGAAGAGAGATGAGGAGAGAGACCAACACTTTTATAACTAAAAAAGATTGCAAAGCCTTCATAGATCTAAAAAAAGCATTTGTGGAAGCTGTTATGCTTCATTATTTTGATATGAGATGGAAGACCAGACTGAAAACAGATGCATCTGGCTTTGTAGTGTGTGGTATTTTATTACAGCTGGCAAAGAATGGCATTTAGATTCCAGTTGAGTTTTATTTGCAGAAGATGTAATCTGTAGAGATGAACTATAGCATTCATAATCAAGAACTGCTTGCAATTGTGAAGTCATTTAGATATTAGTGCTGCTGGTTAAAAGGCTTGTGAACATCAGTTCAAGTTCTTACAGATTATAATAGCTTGCACTATTTCTAGACTGCTCAAGATCTCTTGTGAAGACAGATCTGCTGGACACAAAGACTAACAGCCTTTTGATTTATGGTTGACCATGTGAAAGAAATCAAGAATCTGGCAGATGAACTCTTGCAAAGACCTGATTATACTAAGAAGACTGGTCTAGATGACATGAAGAGTTGTGAGACTGCAAACCAACTGAGAGTAATGCTCATGAAGAAGCAAGAAACTACAGAAAAGTTAGAACTGACAGCTCAAGTTTCTCTCAACCAGAAAGAGAAGAAAGAAGATGAAAACATGCAACTCATCTCTGTAAAGCTTTGAGTTATAATCAAGAAACTACTCATAAAGATTGTCTTGAAAAACACATACAAAGTAAAGAAGATTACAATGCAGGTTCAGAAGGTTAAAGATCTGATTTGCAAGAAGAATTCTTATAAGAAGACCAGCTTTAACCTGTTGGCATTATTGCCAAACCTACTGTAAAGTGATGACTATGCAGCTGAGATCTGTGAAGGCATTAAGACAGGCATGAAGAAATTCATAATGTGGAAAGAGAAGAAGAGCATTCTCTATAGAGATGATCACATATACATTTCTCAGAATGAGGTCTTGCAAATAGAGCTGATCAGATATCATCATGATTTATCTCTTGTGGAGCATTTTGCTATAGCAAGAACATACAAGCTTATAGCTTACAAATACTTTTAGCCAAGAATGAGAGAACTGGTGAAGGAGTGTTGCAAAGTCTGTAAAATCTGCCAGAGCTCAAGAAGAGTTTGTGGAAAATCTCAAGAAGAACTATCACTCTTACCAATTTCAAATTGCTCTTGAAAATCTATTAGCATAGATGTTATTACAGATCTCCCTGCAAGCCTGAATTTTGAGAAGATGCAGTTTGACTGTATTCTGGTTGTAGTGAACTGGCTCACAAAGATGACTCACTTTATCTCTATAATAAAGAAGCTGATATCAGAGGAATTAGCTTATCTTTTTATTCACAAGATAGTGAGATTACATGAATTATCTGCAAGTATAGTAACAGATCAAGAATCTCTGTTTGTAAGTGAATTTTAAGGTAATTTGACTCACATCTTGAAGATCACAAGAGTAATAAGTACAGCATTTCATCTGCAAACTGACAGTTAAACTGAGAGACTGAATAGTGTGCTAGAGCAGTATCTGCAAAGCTATATCAGTTATGATCAAAATAACTGGATGATGTGGTTACTAATAGCAGAGTTCACATACAATAACTTACAGCAGATCTCCACACAGAAATCATCTTTTCAGCTAATATATGAGTTGAATCTGTAAACAGATCTGTTGAACTCTGAAAAGTATGACTATATGTGCAAGAATTTAAAGAATCAGACAGAGACAATGAGATTGCTTTATAAGAAGATCAAGAAATTGCTTGTAAAGACACAAGTCTACCAGAAGAAGTACTATAATCAGAAGTACACTGCAAAGACTTTTCAGATGAAAGACAAGATGTGACTTGACCTTCATAATATCAAGACCATACAGCCTAACAAAAAATTGGATTTGTTGAGACATGAATCTTGTAGAATTGTGGAGAAGATAGGCTTGTGAGCTTACAGACTGAAGCTGCCTTCAGATCTGTAAACTCATAATATTTTTTATATATTCCTGCTCTGTAAGCACAAGACCTGCAAAGAAATTGATAGCTCATCTTATCATGAAGTTTGCAAGGCAGATGAGAATGAAAAGAAGTATCAAATCCACAAGATAATTAACTCAAAGAGAAAGAATTGCAAGCTGTAGTACAGAGTGCATTAGAAAAATTATAATAATGAGAAGAATAAAACATGAGTGCCTGCAAGTAATATCTATTTACTGAGAAAGCTACTTCAACAATTCTATAGTAGAAATCTGAACAAGCCTGGTTCACAAAAGAAATGAATAGAGATAGTAGAGCTAGAAAATGAGTTAGAGAGAGAAAAGATATAGTCTGAACTGAATCAAATTGATTTCAAAACAAGAAAAAGAACTAAGCTAAGAACTATATAAGAGTCTTCAGCTTTCTCCTGCAAAGATCTGTAACAACTATCTATAATTTTACTGCTGGAAAGAGCAAGCAAGGTGCCTATAGTATAGATAATTGTTACACTTTTAACTCAAGTCTGTAGAAATGCACTCTGCAAAGACTATATTATTATAGTCTTGCTAAGCTCTCTTACAGATGAAGTACTTCTGTTCTGGTGATAGCTGAACTCCAGCTCAAGTCACAAGAATACTCTTGCAGAGCTGGGCATGGACAGTTAACTGATTTAAATTATTTAAATCAGTAATAAGCATGAGTTTTTGAATAGGCTCACAACATCATGTTCTTTCACAGGCAGACAAAGCTTGTGCTCCAATATAAGATGAAAGGCCTGAAAGAATCACTGGATTGATCTGTAAAGCACCAGCAAAAGTAGTGACTAGCAGTATTTGAATGAAGATGATCTGGAACTACTATTGTCAGTCTCATGAGAAGAGTGCTGAATGATTCCAGACACTCTACAGAATTACAGCATTCATAAACTCTGCTGGAGCAGAGGGAACAGCAACAACAATTTAGAGAGAATTAGCTACAAACTGAAATGTAATAGAGAATACTCACATTTCCAGCTGAAATCAGTACAATAACTGCAGAGAGAGAAGGCAGAGCAGCAGAACTCTAACTTCATCAGCACATAAATCAAATATTAGCTTGTGAGAAGCACTTACAGCTTAAGCTGATAGAAAAAGAGCAGCAACAACTGATGAAGAAGAAAGAAAGAAAGAAGCAATAATACTCTAGAACTATTAGTTGCAAACACTTTCCAAATTCTCAAGACTACTTATTAAAGACCTAACTTCTTCTATAAAGAGAGAGGTGAAGATTCTTCTGAGAGAGAAGAGCAGCAATAACTTGTGAGAGAGAGAAGAGAGAGACTATAAATCTGCAGAAACTTCTAGCAAGCATCAGTTTCTCTATAAATTAAACCTCATATAAAGATAAAACTTTATAACCATGTGAAGTAAAGATATAATCAAGAGTGAACTCACTAACTTGTAACTGTAAGATCAAGCATACAGAACATCTGAATAAAGTCATTTTTAATTCTTTTAATCATTAGAGATCTTCTGTAAGTCTGTCTCCCACATAAAGCAGTGCTTGAAGAGTTCACTTATCTTGATAATAATAATATAAACTAGAGAAGAAAGAGAAGAAAAGAAGAGAAAGAGAAAGTAAGAGAAAGCTCTTTCTTAAACTAGTGCTTATTATCTAATAGTAATATAGAGCTAGTGAGAACAATAGAGACTCTCTATATATTGTTGTGTTATTGAGCTCTGTTGTGTTGTTATATTGTGTTGTATTATTAGAGTTGTGTTAATATTATATCTCTAGTAAGGTTGTACTCTTTTTCTTATAAGGAAATTTTTATTTTTCCCAAGAGATTTTGTTTTTCTACTCATGAAGATTTTTAATGAGACAGCTGCCTTAAGAGATCAAGACTTACAAGAGAGGGAAATCTGTAAGAATTTGCCCACAAACCTCTTATACAGATGAACAACATCTGCAAGAGTTCAGGGCCTGGGCTTGTGAGCTGTTGGAAGTACATGTGTTCTCACAAGATACTAAGTCATGTGCTTGTGAGCACACATAAAAGGCTGCCACTGTGTGAACCCCTTGTTGAGAGCCAGTGGCAATCTTGTAAGAAGTTGTACATAGCTGCCAATACCAGACCTTTTACCTTGTGTACTCTTTTCTACATACAATTCCTCCTATAGATTCATTGTTATGCTGATCCACATGTACAATCCTCACAAAGCTTCAATATCTAATTGAGCTGTAAATCAATCTTATACACTTGCTCTTCAGTGCAAAGAGCTATAACCTGATGAAGGACTTGTATGCTTGTCATCTGCTAAGCTACCTAAAGAGGAATCTCAGCTAATCTATGTGGGTCACGTGAGCGAGGTGCTAGTTGGATTACCTAACAGACCTAAGAGCACAAAAAAGGTTTCCAATGTGATCACATGACTACTCACATGATGACTAAATAGTTTGTCATCAAGCATCCCGCGTTACCCCCTTTTATGGAATTGGGGCTATCTCAGGAAATTTGGGGAAGAAATGCATCCCTGGTTGGGTTTACACGCTTGTACAGAGTAAAGTGCACGTTAATAACTACACATGTTGTGAAGTTCGTCCCCATTCAATATCCGCAGCCGGGCCATATAAAACATATGTCACAATCCCAGCCTATACCTTGCTACAGAAGAGGCCCAAGATGACGGGTAATAACTCTCCCCTCCCGAGATTCCCACCAAAGACATCAACACAAACACAAATACGATGAACACAACCGCTGTCACAAGCAGCTGAATTATGAACAGAGGAGAAGATGGTCTAATCGGCTGTCCATGTCCACGGTTGGACTCAAACTCTGGATGGTGAAATGTCTGATAATGAGCCTGTTCGTGACCCCATGGCAGACCGGATGGGTCGAGGCCGGTGGGCGGATCGGGGGGCGGGTCCGGGGGCGGGTGCTGGTTTAGGAACTGAGTTAGTCCGTAGAAGCAAGGAATCTGATTGAAGAAAAAAAGCAAAAAGGAAAAAAAAAAAAAAAAAAAAAAAAAGAACAAAAGAAAAGAGGGAGGACAAGGGCTCGCGAGAAGTATCGTAATTCAATCTGGATCCATGCACTCTGCGAATGCTGGTTGCTGGTGTACTTACTTGCACGCCATCCGTCATCGTGCCCTAGAAACTGCTTTGATCACACCGTCTCAACCTTCGGCGGTCTGAGCTTCCTCTTCTTCAAATTCCTTCGTCGCGGCTCCGTAGTACAGAGAACGGATCACGAAGTAGCGCCTACTTATACCTAGTCTCATGCACGAAGATGTTTTGAGTAAACGGGTCCTAGGCACGAACAGGCTAGTGTACACTCGGGAATGTTTAGATCCCGTCCGGTTTCACTTCCTGGCTATCAACGAGCGGGAAATCGTGAATACTATTCGGTGATTGAACCTATGGGACCCCCGTTAAGTGACATGATGGCGAATTCCGAGCGAGCCCCAGGAATCCTGGTTCTTCTCTGAGCTGAGAGTCACCTGGTCCCCATCCCTGCAGCAACAACAACCTCATCTAGCTAACTACGGGGAGTCAGCCGAGTTCAAAAAGGAAAGGACGCCGTTCAGAACCTAGACGGATCCGGCGAAATTTCAACAGCTGAAGATTGGTATCTAGGCATAGGGATAGCGTCTGCAACTACGGGGGTGCCCCGTACTATTATACACAAATCACATCACACATAGCAAATAGGCCGGTTGTCCGGAGTAGATGCAGAGGTTCTCCCTATCGGTGTCTTCCATATCCAAAACCGTACGTCGACACCTCGCCAAAACCCAAAAGTGAAAGGGGGGTATAGACACTCAAGAAAACACTCGCTACAAGTGGCCTGCATGCTCGCCTGCTAATTCATTAAGTTGTCGTGGGGCATACCAAGGATAGTACCGAATAGAATCAAGGGAACCCAGCTCCAACATCAACGGCTTTCATTTCTTACGTCTTGCATTTCTAGGTCATGAATATCATAGGGCATCGAAGAAGACACGGTTCCTGCATTGCTGGTCGCGTCGACAGTTGTAACTGTGGAACGGGCCGCAGAAAAGCTGTGAAGCCCCAATGTAGAAGTGGGACTTACTGAGCCAGAGCGATGGCGCGACTCGGCATATTCGTCCTCCGGCGGCGAAAATGACCAAACCTATATATCGCTGTCAGAGTAAGGAAATAACAACTTCAATCAGCCAAGCCTCACCTCCATGACGGTCCGCCCACCACGAGTTGCCATGATAACGGCCTTTTCTTCTTCAAATGCAACCCGCCAAACCGCTTCGGCAGGTTGACTAAGCTCGCGCACCAACTGACCCGTCGTGAGATCCCAGATCTTCACGCGACCGTCGCTTCCGCCACTGACAATCCGGTTATCATCAAATTGCAGACTTGTGATGCTGTTATCGTGCGCAGCTAGCCGGTGGATAGGTGCCATGCGCTGTAACGACCAAACCCGGATAGATCCATCGGACCCTCCGGTAACCAGTGTGTCCCCACGCATCTGTAGCTGACCGACAAGGGACGTGTGGCCTTGCAGTATAGCATGGCATTGTCCAGTATGAGGATCCCAGATCCTCACGCTCGTATCTAGGCTGCCAGTGGCGACCCGTCGCCCATCAAAGGCTACGGCGTAAATCTGACTGAAATGCCCAGCGAGAGATCTTAAACACCGCCCCTCCGATATGCTCCAAACCTTTGCCGTTGTATCATAGCTACCAGACACCACGAGATCTCCATGAATTTCTAGACATCTCACACTGGCTTGATGACCAACTAGAACATTTTTACATACCCCAGCTGCCAAATCCCATATCCGTAACGTGGTATCTCGAGAGCCAGATATAGCGGTGTTTCGGTCAGACATCTTCAAGCACCTGACTGTAGAAGTATGGCCACGAAGCTTATGTATGCTCGCCCTAAATCCCTGATGTATTAGCCGAAATACTAAAAAAATTGGAGTTATCAGGCAGCTTACCCGGTAGCCATATCCCAAACGCGAACATCTCTATCGCAACCACCACTGACCAGCAGATCATCCCACGGTACCATAGCCCACACTCCCATAACGTGGCCATTCAACGTCTTTTGATGTTCACCCTGGGTGTCAAAAACATGTATCTTTGCATTATCCAGCGCAACAACGATATACTTCGGTGTCAAATGAAGACTTGTAACAACACCATGATCTGGAGATATGTATTTCGTCTTAAGTTGACCGCCTTTTCTCCACGCTGCCTCCACCATATATCGTTGCTTGAAGTGGGATCGGTATGAAGTGGTTTTGGTGCGCTGCTTCCGGAATCGCGGCCTATCGTAGATACCGATGGACGATCCTACAACCGAAGTACTGCAACTCAGTGGATCTTGAACTGAGCCATATGGACTCTGCAACAGCTGCAAGTCTCGATTAAAATTAGAATTAAATCCGTAGATCGAGGAAGACGGCGAATATGTTTCGGGTTCTTCCTCATAATCCTCCGACATCCGTCTATAGGAATGTTTATCGCAAAGGATTTTCCATGTTAAATCATCATTTAACAGGTCGTGCCATCGCCTCGAGACTTGCGATGCTCTCGCGAGCGTCTTCGGGTCGTCGATGAAAGCGAGAATCTGAACAAAATCTTAATCAGCCATACACCATCAAGCTCATATATTACTGACAGCTACTTACCCTCAGACACAGCTCATTGGGGAGCATCTCAAACGGATCTTTCCTCAGCTTTGGGCTCACAACTTGGTGGACGAAACCAAGCAGCTGGTTGTCACATAGATTTAGCAGCTCCGTTAGGAATCTCTGCCGACCCACCCTTCCCAACAAGCTGAAATGCGATTTCGCATCACGCAGGATCTCCTCATCATCCAACGCGGTGTGCCAGCTCGGGGCCCGCTGCTGCGGTGTCGGGCTCGGTGCCGGGGTAGGTGGAGACGTCGGGGCTGATGGAAGGAGGTTGTGGAGGACTGGGATAGATTTGTTCGGGGTGGAGAGGTGCTTTGAGCGACAGGCATTGGAAGAAGGGCGCACGTTGCCGGAGCGGCTCTGGAGGAATGTGGGCGGGATCGGGGAGGGACTGCGCCCGTTTTCAGCGGCTGCCATGGCGGAGTTCGTACGTCGATGACCCGAACTCGTCGGGCCCGACCTGGGCACCATGTGATTAAAAGTTATGCGTAGTTCGAGAGTGAAAATTTGCTAAAGAAGAATATCTAATATTCCGCCTCTTGTCCGAGAAATCGAAGGGATTTATAGAAAATTATCTTCAGCTCGAGTGGAGTTGAGAAAAGGACGGTGGGCACAGGAGCAGCGATGGCGATTGGGGGTGTTCTTTCGCCTCTCGGTTCAATCAGCATCGGATTTTCCGTCAAGGATGGTTCTATGGAACTTCGAACAACCAATACTGCCAAAAACCGCGATATGCAGGCCGATATTGGATGAAGCTGAATGCAAGAAGGATGAGTTTCTTGTGGGAAAGGTTTTATTTCCCACTCGCAGAAGAGCCACCTGATGGGTGCAAGGACCCAGCTGCAATTGCGATGCCACCTGCAGCAAAACCACCACTCGAGGGGCGAGTTTAGCAGTAAAACATAAAACAGCCAGCCAGAAAGGCTCTCCACTATGAACTAAATGCTGATCTGGGGTTGTTCTTCCTGTCAGCATCATTTAAATAGATTCTGATTTGTGATCTGCAAAGAAATGTCATTTGACCACTTGATTCTCGATACATCCATCTCATCCATCTCATGATGCCAGAGAGACTGCATCGGTACTTGAAATGTGTGTAACAATACCTGGTCTCAGTTGCTACATGGAAATATGGGCAACACAGGAAGATTATTTGATATTCCTTCTATCCACAGGCTGTGTTAAGATAAGGGGAAAAATGTCAATCTTATGCTTATACACAACTAAGAGCCTAGTGACAACGAAGCTAGAACTGGCCAAGATGTAATGAAGAAGATCCAACACATCTTAACACCTTAAAGACTTCTAAAACTAAGAGGAACAACCAATACCAAGACCTACCATTGTCTCTAAACAGAACTGGTCCCTTTTCCTAACCATACCCATATGGTACTGTACAAGAATCGAACAGATTTTAAGACTCCTGGGCCAGCATATTTTGCACTGCAAAGTCTGCTAGATATATTGTATTGTAACCTTAAGCATGACCAATCTGCAGGAACAATGGGAGGATCATGCCAACGATAGAAGCGATTAGATCTCTCATGGATTTCTTGGGGGACGAAGACTCTCTTCCCTCACTATACCCGTTGACTGCGGTATCCCGTCGTGTGGTTTCCATTATGTTTTCCTGCATGGTATGCATGGCAACATATCTAGATAACACCCCACTGTTAGCATTGCTTGTCTGCAATCTCCCGGGTTAAAACTTTACTCACAAGAATGTGCCTGCAGAAAATAAAAGCAGCATCCCAGTCCTCCACTGTGTGGCTTGCTCGTCACTCGCATGGCCGGCTAGCACGGTATGGGCAACAAGCCAAGTTAAAATAGCTCCAACTGGTGCAGCTAAGCTGAACACTAAAAGATGGCCTCTAGCAGCTCGAATGGATAATCCTTGCTTCAGCAACACAGAAGTCAAGCCAAAAGATGCCGGCGCCTTGTGGACCATGATCGCGATGAAAATGATAAGACTGAGGCTAGTGTTCGAGGATGATGCGCCAAGGGCAATTCCATCCGTTGCCGCATGTATTACCAGTCCCGTAGTGGTTGCGAAGCTCTGAGAATGTCTCGCTCCGGTACCAAAATCGAAGAATCCCCCTCCCGTTCGAGACGGAGAGACCCCTCGACCAAGGCCGGAGCCAAGATTATCCAACGATATGTGATACGGGCGGTTTTGCTGTTTTGAAGACGTCGCCGCGTACTGGGGGAGCTGATCTATCAGGTACATCAGGATAAAGCCACTTATCAACCCTATGCCTATCCAAGCATGAGGGGAGCTTTCCTCTTTTTGTTCTTTTGGCGCCTGCTCCCCGGTGTTCTGGTGCTCATTGTTGTTATTATCAGAATCCTTTCCTGACTCTGCTTTATCTTTGGGTGTGTTATTATCAGGGGCGGTAGAAGGTTCTTTCACGATGGGAGGCGGTTCGGGCACCGCATGACCATCATCCAGCTTGTCACGAGGTAGTACGACTGGCACTGGTGAGTGATTCCATAGAACATTTAGTCCATGCGCTGCGACATCTCTCCGGTGAACATGGCTATGCGAAGACCCTGTTGAACCGTATAATGTCTCTACCCCCTCAGGCACAATGACTATGAGAGAAGTTCCAACCAGCACGCCCATTCCAAGGGCCGATATAAGTCGGAGTTGCGATGAAGAGAGCGTGAACGAGAGCGGTAGCGAGCCGACCACGAATGACCTGCAATATCCCACTGGTTAGCTGAATTGAAGTGGAGTTCGATCTTATAGGCTAGAGAGACTAACGCAACCGCCATTAAGGTGCTCAAGACGAGCAATGTTAGGAGACCGCCCATGGTGCGAGGTGTTGCTTCAAATCCGTGTCAATCAAACAGGACAGCGGTCATGCCATCGCGAATTCCATTCAGCACCTCGCAAGCCCCATCAGTCCTTATTAGCAACTAGGCATAAACGAGGGAAGAACCATAAAAATTATCCTCTCTGTCGAATAAAAACTTTCAAAATCGAGGAAATAGGTTGTTGAATTCTGTTAACTTTTGGTTGCTCGGGATCTCCTGGTCTAAACCTCTCGGCCAGTTCTGCCACCGTTTCCTACCAGCAACTTACTTGCCAGCTCCCTCCACAGCCGGCACTGTCCAATCGCCACGCACCAAGCAAACCTCGAAGGTCCAGCCGTTCCTTTCGTTTAACAGGGGAATGCACCCGCGTGGCGCCAGGTTTCTGCAAGAAGAAGAATTAGGATAATGCCGCAGAGTGGATTTTACTCAGCCCCCTAGGGTCATGAGCCTCGCGCGTCCACCAAAGTTCTTCTAGGGACAGAGCACATATCATAAAGGCACCAGGAAGAGCATTGGCATCAGCGGACGATATAATATATTCAATTTCTCATTGCTCTGGATACAGGCATAGTCCCACGCGTATTTGCTTGCGCAGGCGATCCTTCAAAAGATCCTTCAAAAATTGAGCCACACTGAACTACATACAAAAAAGGCTCAAAGGAACTAAGATTGAAGAGGAGGACCTTGATGGCGTCAACACCTTAGTCCAATCACCCAATTTTCATGGGATCCACATTGATAACTTCGTTTTTGAACTGAGTTCCATTGTCACACGCTTCGCGATATTCACGCATAAGCACATCTGGAGCCGGAGCACTGGCAACAAAGTCTTGAATAGGCCGCACTGGGAAGATGAAGTGCAGGCCGCAGTAGACAGCAGCACTGATGCCAAATCCAGCCAAGAAACAAATTTGGTAAAAATGAACAAGGCCTGATGGAACAGTGACATTTTCATTGACTCCGGCAACAAAGCCTGGAAGGGAGGGCACGGTACCGCAAAGCCACTACAAAAAATGTCAGAACTACTATCCAGGTTTGTCAGGGGTAGAGGTGAACAGACCGCAATCAGTGCACGCCAGTCAACTCCCATGGTGCACCAATAAATGCTGCTCTTGTGTCCAATGTATAGATCTTCTATTTTGATCTTGCGTTGGTTGACCACAAACCATGAGGAGATCATTAAGCCAGTCATGGGACCCAAAAAGACGGCGTAGCTACTTAGAACACTAAGGAAAACCGTTGCTGTCGACACTAGTTTCCAAGGATTACATGCAACGGATAAGAGAAGTGTCAGATATGCTCCGCGACGGATGTTAATATATTTCGGGAATGTTGCAGCCAAGTCAAATCCTACACGACAGCAGATAACATGTCAGCATCAGTCCATAATGATCACAATGGGGGCGGGTTAATTAACCTCCTGAAAGTGCGTTTCCAGGTACATTCACACCCATCTGGGAGATTATAAGGGCAAAACCGGCAAAAAATGCGGCAGCCCTAGAACGCGAGCCGCCGGACTCAATAATTGCCAGGAACAGTTCTGGGAGATTCCAATAAGGCTCGCCAAAACGGTTCTGCGTCGCAGCTGTAACCAGGACTCCAATAATGGAGCATACAATGGCGCAGAGTGGGAAGCTAAACAGCTGTCCAATAATAGCATGCCTTGGTCGGCGTGCGAATCTAGCATAATCGTTCTGGTTGAGAATACCAGCGGAAATACCGCCAATAGTGCTGATGATTCCGAAAGCAATTGTCCAGCCCATCTCTCCCTTGGGGACAGAGGATTCCGCAGTGATGGTGCTTCCAAATCCAGCTGGTCCCATAGTGGCCAGTGCCCATATCAGAAGGACGAATTCGAACACGAGAATAACGGAGGAGGACACATGGAAAAACGTCCGTAGCTTATGTGGTCGGATCCAAACCACAGGCACCGAGAGCACCATGAAGATAAAGTACGAGAGAAACTGAGCGCTGGTAATGCCAGTAGACTCAGCCATATGGTTGGGGATACGCTGCTCGAGCGAAGGCCAGATCGCAGTGAGGCAGACATGCACGCATTGGCCTCCAACATAGGCCTGAAAGCCAAACCTAACGACAGCAATAACAAACATCAGGGTCGGTAATCTGAACTAGCACGGGCTGAAGACTTACCACACTAGATAGGATCATAGACTGTCAGCAAGAGCAGGCACAGACAAGGGAATAGGGGTAAACACAACGAACAAACACTCACCGATAGAGAGAAGAATTCTATTCCAAATGACGAACTGACTTCCATACAACCCCCAGACATAGCGATTCACGACGGGGAAACCAATGTTATAATAGGCACCGGGCAGGGAGTTCAAAACAACAAAGGCAGTAGCCAAAAGGTTCCCGATGACAATCGCAATGATTGCCTGCCACCATGAAAGACCGAGGGCAATGAGAGAGCTTCCGGTCATGTAAGTGGAAATATTGGAGTTGACCAAGATCCAATAGTTTGTAAAGGTCCAGGACGACCAAGTTCGTCTCTGCGACTCAATCGGCTTGATGTCGTTGTTGATCCATCGGTCTGGCAATGTTCCCCCTTCGTGCTCAACTTCGAGCTTCTTAAGAAAAGCCGCTGCCATCGTGCCACGGAAGAGAGTCACACCTCCTTGTGAGAAAAATTATTGCTATAGGGAGGAGACAGGAACATAACGGGTCCCATCGAGGGCAAGGGCAATATAAGTAGGAGCCGTTCAGCTCCCAGCTTCTGCGCTTAACCAGGTCTATTACGGGGGTGCATTTCCGATCGCGTTCCCGGCAGCCCCAATCGACTAAATTTGTAGACTAACCAACGGGAATGGTAAAGCGTCTCGGCGCGGTCAGATATTTCGAACTGGGCTGGATCCCGGCTGGCCCTTGGGGAGCCTGGCGAGCCGGCGTCTTGTCACCGTTTTTCATTTCACCTAAAGCAATACCATGGGAAAGCTCGTGACGATGGCTTCAGATTCCTGCACCTGACGGCTGTTCGTTTCTCAAACGGAGGTGGCTAGTTTAACCTTAAGCTTATCTGGTACCTTGGGTTGGGTGACTAAAACTTCTGCGATGGGGAAAAGTTAACGCTGCGCTGTTTCGCCGCTCACAGGCGAACGTCCGCCGCTTTCCTTTGCTTTGTGGGGTAAGGGATCCATGTCCGAGGGTTGGATGCCGGGCCTGTTCGGGGTTTCGAGGCTCCCATTGGCACAAAGCCCCAGACATCGACTTCCACGCGAGAACGCGCAGTCTTGGGCCAAAATTGCTGCAGAGTGGTCAGTGAGTCCTCTCTCGGCTGACGGCATGGGACTGGCGACCTCGGAGAGCTCGACTCGGCCGTCGAGGAGTCCGAATGGGCCAAGGAGTCCCACGAGATGGAGCACGAAGAGATGGGGGTTCCATCAGACAAATTTGCCAGCTCCTCTCTCGGCGATATAAAGTGATACCCTACACCACGCCCTCGCCCAAGGACCATGGTTTGCTCTCCGGTAGTTATCGTTGCAGAGCGACCGAAAAGGTTCCTTGAATGTGAGTCAACGTCCTCGAGTTGAAAATGCGCCGCGCAGGCACCTCATAATTAGGTGAATGCAAGCTGACGATTGTAGAGTTCTTTTTGAGCTGGAACTGTTTAATCGGCCTTGAGGGGCTTGAGTTTGCATAATATCATAACTTCGTACTCCGTACATTTATTTGAAATGTATCGAGTTGGCGTTGATGTCGGCGGTACTAATACCGATGCAGCCATCCTAGATATCAGGGCATCCGAAACACCCTCTCGTGGTGTTTTGGCATCAAGCAAATCTCCTACCACGCCGGATGTCACCAGCGGTATTAAAACTGTGATAGAGAACGTTCTCCAGCAATCTGCGGTTAACACCAAGGATATTCTTAGCGTTGCTATCGGTACTACCCATTTCGTCAATGCTGTGGTTGAGGCCGACGCACGAAGACTCAGCAAGGTTGCTGTAGTCAGACTGTGCGGACCATTTACTCGTCAGGTTTGTTCGAATATTCAGCAACGGTTCTCACGAAGACCTTTTGTGCTGATTCCGATGCCAGATACCTCCATTCACCGATTTCCCTCCGGCCCTGACTAGGATTATGCGCGGGCCTATTTTCTATTTGGATGGCGGTAAGACTATGGATTGTAGCCTCTATCGGCAGACTATAGACTAACCGGGCTCCCCTTTCCCGCACAGGCCTAGAAGTCGATGGCCGCCAAATTAAACCCCTTGACCCCGAGCAGATCAAAGCGACGGTGGCCAGCATCCGCGAAGCTGGTATTAGCATGGTGGCGATTATCGGGGTGTTCTCTCCACTAGATCATGACGGCATTAATGAAGAGACATGCCGGAAGATGATGCTTGAGCTTGATCCTTCACTTTCTATTGTCTGCTCACATTCCATTGGTGGTGTCGGTTTCCTCGAAAGAGAGAATGCCACCATACTCAATGCTTCCATTCTTAAGCTGGCTAGAAGGACAGTCCGTGCTTTCTGTAAGGCTATGTCTGATCTTCACCTCTCGTGTCAGTTGTATCTTACACAAAATGATGGTACTTTAACGGACGCCGCGGCTGCGTCTGAATTCCCTATCAAGACGTTTGCAAGTGGTCCTACAAATAGTATGACCGGTGCTGCCTTTTTGGCTGGACTGGACAGGCAGGGCGCTAAGTCTTCTTCCGAACGTCAAATTCTCGTTATTGATGTCGGAGGCACCACCTCTGACGTTTGTGCATTGCTCCCTTCCGGCTTCCCTCGTCAAGCGTCAAATTTTGTCGACGTGGGAGGCGTAAGAACCGCGTTTTCCATGCCAGAAGTGCTGTCCGTGGGTCTCGGTGGAGGTAGCATCGTCCGCCGTCATGAGGCCACGGGCCGTGTTAGCGTTGGGCCGGATTCAGTGGGACACTATCTCACCGAGAAGGCGTTGGTCTTCGGAGGCGATGTCATGACAGCAACCGATGTCGTGGTGGCAACGGGATCACAGAGCCTCGGCGACGCCTCCAAGGTAGCGTCAATCCCACTGGACGTTGTCAGTGAGGCTCGTAAGTGCATCCGAAAGATCCTGGAACGCGCAGTTGAAGGCATGAAGGTCTCTGCACTTCCGGTCACCGCTCTCCTTGTCGGCGGCGGCTCAATCGTTTACATGGACTCCCTTGAAGGAGTTGAGGAGTGCATCATACCCCCTCACCATGACTCTGCAAACGCAGTTGGTGCCGCCATTGCCAAGGTTGCGGGTACCATTGATGTGATTGAAATTCTTGCTGAGCGAAGTGAAAAGGAAGTGCTTAAGAAGGCCGAGGAGAGTGCGGTAGAAGTGGCTATTGCTCGTGGCGCTGATCGAAAAGATGTTAGAATTGCTGAAGTTGAAAAACTGCCCCTTCAGTATGTCTCAAACAAGGCCACCAGAATCTTAGTCAAGGCCGTTGGAAAGCTCAGAGTGCCTGAAGAAGGAGAAGTGTCCAATGTCGAGCTGAACGTGTTTGCAAATGAAGAACACGGGGTTGATGATGAAGCACCTAAGGCTGCAGCCGCTGAAGATGCTGCTGTCTCTGCCGTCAAGCACTCCATTCATATCGACATCCCATCCTACACACCTGATGTGCGGAATGGTATTTGGTATCCCAGTCCCGTTGACCTTGAGTTTATCGCATCGGGAACAGGAGTTCTGGGTACTGGTGGCGGCGGCCCTTCTTATCTGCAGTACCTCGTTTCTCTTGAAATGCTGAAGGATAACCCGCCAGGAAAAATGCGTATTGCCTCTCTCGATAGCATAAAAAATTCTGACGTCTGCGTTTTCGGGTCTTGGTACGGAGCTCCAAGCGTGTCTGGAGAACGCATTCCCGCAGGGTACGAGCTGTACAAAGCCGTTGAAGTGTCGGTAAAGGTGTCAGGCCACACTCATTTTGAGGCTATCATCGCTGACGAGATTGGCGGTGGTAACGGTATGACAACCTTCCCGACTGGTGTGCACTATGACATCCCAGTTCTTGATGGTGATCTAATGGGACGCGCATATCCGACGATGGAACATGGTATGTTGGGATAAACACCCTATAGGCCTTTCACCGCTTACCCCTGTAATCTTTAGGAACTCCTTATGTGTATGGGAACCCAATCTCTCCATGCATATTGGCCGACGCACAAAACAATGTCTCCGTTGTTATGGTAAGGAGCTCCCAGCTAGTGTCATACTTGACCAATCCACTACAGCAATCCAGCTCTCCTTCAGCACTACTAACAAATCCCTTTCATAGAGTGCCACAAACAACGCTAAGGTTGAAACTATGCTGCGAGCTATCTGTATTGATCTGGGACTTAACACTGCTGTCTCTGCCACTCCACTGACTGGAGACGTGGTGAAGAAATACGCAGTTCCCAACACTGTCTCCCAAGCCTGGTATTTGGGTAGAGCAATTCACATGGCTCGCCGCTGCAAAACTGATGTGATTAAGGCGATTGTAAGTCAGAGATTTGTAACAACCGTACTACAATGTTATTGGCTGACCCTCTGAGTTCTCAGTTTGACACAACACCCGGCAAACTCCTTTATACCGGAAAGATTATTGATGTCCAGCGAGGCATCAGCCGTGGCTACACGATGGGCCATTGCGTCCTAGCACCACTTTCAAAAGACGAAATGGAGCAGGATGTCTCGGATTCATCGTCGTCCACCACTGAACGCCAGCTCATCCTGCCCTTCCAAAACGAATTCCTTTACGCCGCATATGTGAACGACGAAGAGAACCCGGAAGACCCGACTAACCAAGATGTCATCTGCACAGTTCCCGATTTGATTTCTATTTTAGGTCAAGATGGAGAAGCGATTGGTTCGCAAGATTTGCGCTATGGGCTCAAGGTTCGTGTGATTGCTATGCCAGCACATCCGTTATGGACTAGCGATGAGCGTGGTCTACGTGTTGGGGGTCCAAAAGGCTTTGGATTGGATATGGAATGGAAGAGTATCGGGAAGTATGAAGAACCACGAAGCGTGATTAATGATTACAATGTTACCGTTTAAGTATTTTATTTTAGAACTGTATATAGTTTATATAGAATGCATATGATGATTGCATTGAGGTTGGTCATGGTCAGAACTTGTCTGCAAGATATCAGGCAGTGAATCCAGTCTGTTACTCACGCTCTTGTCTTTGGGAGAACACCTAGCCATTGGTTGCGCACTGGCGACTAGTAGTTCCCAAGAACCTCGTTGGCCTGATCTTTTTCTCACTTGCTTGAGGCAGCTTTCCTTCAGAGTGAAAGCCGAACAACTGGCTGTATCCTTTGTAGCACAAGGGCTTAAAGCAGCATCATCTAGATTAGTCATCATGATTTCACCACGCATAACGCTAACTAATCCAAACACAGTTTAGTTGAAGTTGTAGAGACACGCGCTGTTTTAAATGGAAAGCTGACTTCTGGCCATGATGTCGCGTCTTGAGTGAAGCTCAAGAACATGCGGGCTGCTGGGCAGTGAGACTAATCACCAGGCATCACTTGAATCTCTGAGTGGAAAGCGACAATGGAGGACCAATCTGCATGTAAGCATGCGCCAATTGAATGCACATTGATTCTGATTTCCTAACCAAGCGGAATTAGGGACCTGCAGCTCCAATGACGCCGTTCAAGTCTCCATCGTCCAGCCAAAGGGCGATGGCAAGCTTAGCACGCTCTCAACATTCTACCCTGAGTTTACTTATTCCATTTTTGGCGACAGCGAAACGATATTTGGATATATGGGATTGATGATTCAGCTTCGCTTTGCAGCGCATGATTTGAGATCGAACGTTTGCATCTCATACGACGAGAAATTCAAAACGGTCAAGGACATCTCTGCGGTGGATTTAAACAAAATATTAAAGCCATTCTTACCAGAAGGTATATCTCTTCTTTCATAGAAAATATTGGAAGTCATTGCGATGCGATAGCTGACACGTAACCAACCAGAATCGTTCACTCCCCTCAAAAAGTTCGAGGAATCCCTGACGAAGGATAAGTCTGCAAAAGATTTTAAACCCCCCGGAGAAATTGTTCATACGTACACTAAGGGCGATCGCAATTATGAAGTATGGGCTGGTTGTCTAGCCGATCCGGATGTCCAGGAGCTCTTGGAGCGTATTCAGATATTTGCGTCTCTCTTCATCGAGGGTGGAACCCCAATTGAAATAAATGACCCTGAATGGACCTTAGAAAGATGGATGGTATACTTTGTGTTAGTTCCCTTCCCGCCAATGAAACCGTTTCTCCATTTAACTCGTCTAGATATGAGAAATTGCCCGAGCCTCCTACCCCAGATGCTTCTATCTACTCCTTCGTGGGATACGGTACAACATACAAGTGGTACTTTTACTCCCCAACGAGCGAAAAGTGCAAAGTTTCGAACGGCCCCTTTCCGTACGAAACCGTGATTAACCTGGCGGAACTACCGTCGCGCCTCCGCATCTCTCAATTCCTCATCCTTAAACCTCATCAATTATCTGGTCATGGCACTCAGCTTTATCAAACTATCCATCGTGCCTCCCTCAAAGACCCTACTGTCTACGAGCTTACTGTTGAAGATCCAAACGAGGCCTTTGACTCTCTCCGCGACACAAACGATTATCATCTCCTTCAACCCGTTTTCAGACACCACAATGTCACAATTAACGCAAACCCGTATCCCGCCACTCAATCAGGCCGTGCTCAGCACCGCCTCGTTCCTACATCCCGTCTTATCCCCGTTGAGACTCTCCGCGACATCCGTACAAAATACAAAATCGCACCGACTCAATTTGCCCACCTGGTAGAAATGTACCTGCTCAGCCTTATCCCCATGTCTCATCGTGGCTCTCACAATGTCAACCTACCCCGACTACGTATTCTCAAGTCCCGTGCTCCAGACGAGCATGATAGGCGATACTACTGGTGGCGGATGCTTGTTAAGCAGCGACTGTTCAAACGCCATCGAGACATGCTGATTCAGATTGACCAGGCTGAACGAGTGCAGAAGCTCGAAGAAACCCTACATAATGTTGAAGAAGGCTATGAGAACTTACTCAAAGCCTTTGGCATGAAGGTAACAAGGGAGCCGGCTGAAAGCGCAACGCCTGTAACGGACGAGCAACAGATCCAGGAAGAAGAGAGTGGAGCTCGCGCAGAACATGCGGTTGTCAGAGAGCGGACAAAGAGAAGATTTGTTGTCATGGAGGACGAGGATGAAGATGATGGTGATGATCAAGGTGTCAGTAGCGAAGGAGGTGGCGAGAAAGACAATACAAATCCACCCTCCAAAAAGGCCAGAGTGTAGTCCTTTTTTTTCAGTATTCTGAAATTATTCGAGGATAGGTCGGGTTTGTACTATGTGGCAGCCGCAATATTCCACGCTATATGAATTGAATATATCCCTAGCAAAGGGGCCGATAGGTATTCGGCTTAAGTCGAACGTTCACTCGTTATAGTAGTTAGCGAGGCAAAGTCTTGAATTAATCACCAGAACTCGCGGGGGCCGGGGGGGCGCTTCATTACAACAGAGCCCCCAACCGTTGAACTTCTCATACCCTTGCATATAGAAAAGTGCAGGTAGCACAAGTATTAGCCGAATTCAGGGTCTCCTAATGCAGAGTTCATTCTTAAATGTGGTTATGCACATTGGCCTGGCACGTCTACTCTCTATGGGTGCGATGAGCACTGCGACATGGGTTACAGATAAAAATATCACTGGGGCGGTGCTCTTTTGGTTGAAGCGTCCAAGCCTATGACGCTGCTTGATGTGGTCAGACCCTGTCAGGCATATGTAGATTTGGCCCAATCTTCAGCCCCTGCAGGGCCCTGCAGGCTGCAACGCCTCGGCTGCGCTGGACCCTGCACCGACCAAGCCAAGGGGCGATTTCTCTCTTCTTTCGACGAAGCCCGAACCGGACGTTTGGTTATTATCCCTAACTCCCAGTTCTAGACGAGCAGGAAAAGTCGAATTCTCAATTTGCTCTAAGACCTAAATAAGTGATGTTTCATAATCTTTTGGCTTCTAAAGGATGGGTATATAAGTATAGTGTACTCCGTATCCTGTAAGCTAACTTGTAACTCCCAAGAGGCAGAGATGTAGAGGGCCCTTTTTCTGGCCGTCACGTTTCGTATATATCGTCAGATTTCGGTTGATTGCTTCGATTTTCGTTCCCATAATGACGTATATTAGGCAAAATTAGTTCCAGGCTCTTTATACTCCGTACATCTTTGATGTTCTATTAGGCGGCTCGGTGTCACCGGGGCTTCAATCCGGATCCTGAAGCCTCCATCTCCGCGGCCGGCGTCAATTGGCTGCCGGGGAGTTCCTGAAGCGGGTTACGTAGGTACGGTTTCGATCCATAGGCGTGGGAACTCTCTGCGTATTGACTAGGATCTATTGCCATCGGAATTGTATCTTTCCTTTGTCGGCGGCGCCCAATCCAAAAACCTAGTGCGCCGACGAGGACGCATCCGACAACGGGCCCGATCACAGTCCCGGCAACCCAAGCCTTACCCCCATCTGATTCTTGAGAAGAGTTGTCGGGCGACGTGGAAGTAGAGGTTGCAGTAGGAGCAGACGATGTACGACCAACAGAAGCGAGAGTCGTAGATAATAGAGCAGGAGGGGTATTTTGGGCCGGAGGCGTAGCTAGATTGCAAGAGATTCGGTCAGCTTTTAGATTTTCCAAGGCTTGAAAAGGTAGAGTGTGTGTGATCACCTGTTGCTGTGGTTGCAGCAGTAGAAGGGGTTTTTTCAAAGATGGTAAATGCGCTCCATCCATCCCAGCAAAACAGATCCCTCACAAATGCTGCATTTGGAGAGAATGTTTCATATATGGTCATAGTCACACAAGTCTGACCGGAAGCACTGACATTCCAACAACTGTCAGTCTATTCGTTTTGAAAAGTAGGCTTGTTTGTGGAGGTTGAGAGCTTGCCATTTCTGTGTCCTATCGGCAAAGGACATTATATTGCTCGAACAGCGTGTGACGAAGGCACAGTTAGAATTGACATCAGTGCAGCATCTGACAAAGCCATCTGAGACTGTGAATGTATGTCCTGGATCACAGGTTATTGGTTTCCCTACATGAAAAAGTCAGTCTCACAAAACTAGATTTAGCAAATGCTGGATATTTCCTACATGAATCACCCTTTGATTCCCATCCCATGAGCTGGTGTGAAGCAAAGCTCGTTATTGCAGGGTCGGCATGAGCTGCTTGCAGGAGGATAACGGCACTTATGAGCAGAAGAGCTGTCAAAGCAGCTAACATTAGCAATTTCATACATGGCTAGCACTTTCATACATGGCTAGCACATCCAGGTATGGGAAAATCACATATAAATCCACCCACATTTTGATCTCCGCATGGCCGTATCTAGTACCAGCGCTATGACCAGCGAATTAACTGTGAAAATATCCAGCTTGCAAAGAGCTTTGAATTGATCCCGGGAGGAACAACGATTAGAAGAAGGAAAAAGGAGCCTGAGGTAAGGGTCTCCGGAAGACCGTTGTTATTCAAGTAAAGATCTTCCGACCATTGTGCTCCTCTTCTCCATGGGAGAACCGAGAAAAGTCCAGTGAGAAAAAAAAAAGGCAAGGGCCATGCTTGTCAGATTATGATATTTAGCTTGGTGTTCCCCGGCCAATGCCATTTCATTGGGCGAGGTCCTTGCTCAGCACCAGGCAGTGTAACCATCAAGATTACCCGCAGTTCATTCCCCTCGTTAATGGCTCTCGAGACGCAGTGGAATCGGCCAGCGCAAGTTCTTGGCCACGAGGAAATGGTGGGGGCAGGAAGGATAGCCCCCAATTCACTCTCATTAGTTACTGGAGGAACTCGTGAAGAATACGTTGAAGCTGACTCTCAAGGTCTAACAGATTCCGACGTCGAGATTTGAAACGTTGCGAGCGTTTCTCTGCTATTAGTTGAACCTGACCTGACTGTGGTTTGGAGATCCCTCCTCCTTCATGGCACCCGGCATGGATCACGATTCGCTGGGACTGGCTAATCATTCCCTTAGTCTTGTCAAGGATTGGCTTCGGTTGCATCTTTTGGGCCCGGGTGTTCCCTGAAGAACGAAAATAACGCAGCTCTCGTCCGATTCCAGACGCGTTCCATTCATGTACCTCCACTTCTCGGCATGGGCAGAATGGCTCCGCCCGTAAAATATCGGCTTGATTCTCTTATGAAGGCGGAAATTTATCTCAAAACACTCTGTGGTGACCCTCGAACCTCCATTCTCATACGAGTGCTTGCCCTGTACCAAGGACCAAGTAGTCCGTAAACACCTCCTTTTCCCTCCTCTCGATGCTGACATTGTCTTTTATTTCTCATGCAGGGACCCTTTACAGGACTGTCTTTCGGGAGTGCGTCTCTCCCAATGCAGTGTATCTTTTCCAAGAATGTAAACACATTCCGACTGATCTAAGAGGCATCGTGAGATCGGGCTGATTTGATTCATATATTTCTCCAGCGTATCAATAGTTGTGTTTTTATACAGTCTCTTGAGTGGTCGATCCACATATTCACTTAAAAGGACATCTATGTGTTCTCATGACTGGGATCGCGGCTGTCGCCATGGTTCTGTTGTTCGCTGTTACACAGAGGGGATCACTTGCGAGCCCTTTTGCTTTTTCCTCCTCCGCTTTCCCATTCATGAAAAGTGCATAACCATGAAGATCTCTTGATATGTTCCCTCCTTTGAAAATTGGCTCAGGTAACTACTTGAGTCAGTTTACCTTAACCAATGGCCCTCTCAGCCTGTCACCTAGGGTGCTTGAGTTCGCCCTAGCCATCTAACTAGTTGTGAACACACGTTGCCCAACTACAACCATACCAATACAAAAAACAATTAGCTCCGATATATGGCAAGAGAGAAAGCGAACAACAGCCCTATTTGCGGACCTTTCCTCTTTGCGATATTAATCCGTTAAAGTGTGAAAAGTTCGGGTAAGGAATATCGACTGCTCGGCTCCAGGAATCGCACGAAGAGAGTCCATCGGGAATGACATAAGGAAGGGCATTACCCAGGGTATTTTGAGGGCACTCATCGTACGCAGAAGACGGTATTACGATCGGATGAGAATCATTTGGGGCATTGATACTACCTGGAGCATCAACTACACCTTGTTCTCTGTTGATGGAATGGCCTTCGCTGGGCCGCGCAGCGGATAGTGGAATGTAGACCGTAAACGCAACAAAAGTCCTCTGTTTAATATGGAAAATCGTAACCCGGCTGCTGGTGGATGATGGAAACAACGCGCTTGTGAGCGAAATGAGAGCTTAGTGATGTGAACGGAGATTTGTTATATACCGGTACGATAGAAAAGACGGCTTTATATCCGTCATCAAGTAAAGCCAAGGTCAAGTAATTATTACATATCAGAGGAATATATCGTCGAAAATAGTTCTGCGTACTCCCAATCACCTCAAGCACTTAACATAGTTGCAGTCTCCAGATCAATGCTCTCGATCGTGCCAGAATCATCGGTCTCGTCATAACTGAGAACAGTACTCGTCCGCGGGGAGCCTACAGTTGTCAACGGAGCAACAGAGGATATTACTGTGGGGGTTCCTGCCGATCCTCTGATAATACCTATTTCTGCTAAATCCCCGGAAGCTTGATGATTATGGAGGGCAGGATCCTGGGACCCATTTATGTGAACGAGCTGCCCCACGTATTCCAGGGCTCGACGGAACCCTAAGATCTCATTCCGCATGGTATTTTCGCCCGGCTGAGGAGGCTGCCGCGGATCTCTGAAAACGTTACTATCGGCCTCCGGTAGGTTAAAACGAGCACGGCTTTGTGGTGGCTGTGGATTGGGAATTCCATGTAAAGAATTCCATAACCCGGTCCACCATAATCTGAATCTGTATCGACATGCAGCTGCTCGATATGCATGACGAGTACGCCTCTCTTCGCGTCTCGCGGCAAAATCAACACGACGCCGGCGACAGGAAAGAGAATTGCCACACCTCTTGAAAGTTAATGCTACGATAACGACGAGAAGGAGCACCGCAGCCATATCGCCAATCACGTTTCCCATGGGCCGTGGCTTTAGTGGACTAATAACCGGAGCTTGAGGCAACCGGGGTGTGGTGCTATCTGGCTTAGTTTCGACAGTCACTTGGCTATCGTTCGAAGAACCAGTCGGTGATTTTATGGGTGACGTCGAGTTTTGATATCCCCGTCCGCCATCGACAGGACGGCAAGGGGTGCCAGATAAAGTAGAAGGAAGTGTGCCAAAGCGATATTTCATAAGACGAAAAATATCTGGCACAAACTTGATCGAGGTTTCAACAAAACATTTCAAAGTTTCGCAATTTTTGAGCCTCGATTTGAGGCACAAACAATCGTGGACAAGATGCATCCTAATCTGTTGGTCCTTTTCTTTGATAAGATCGTCTAGCTTCTGTGCCTCTTGTTTTAATATGTGCAATTGCTGCAGCTCTTCCTCTAGATCATCGATTCGGGAGGGTTTATCAGTGTTATTATCCTGGACATGGAACTGGTCGGAGTCGGAAGAGTCTAGCCAAGACTCAAAAGAGTTACCTTCCTCGGAAATGGATACCGGGGACGTTAACAATCTAAAGACCTCTGGATTCCCTACGGAATTAAACGAAAGGGCGAATCCAGAAGTTTCATTGTCTTCACCAACCCGACCAGCGGGGTAGAACGTGACGGCAAGAATTTGGGCAGCATACGCCTCGACGGAGTCTTCAGGGCTGGCAACACAGACAGCTCGATAGTTCATAGAAAGGGTCGTATCCCCTTTTCCCTGGGAGAGTTTCCCGGTAAGGTTGGTTTCACCGGCTGCTGTGGTTCCATCCCAGGTCAAGTTCAACTCTCGGCCATTGAGACGGACGCGGCTTTCCCCACAGACGGAACTTGTACTCAATAGGTCCAAGTTGAATACCTATTGCCCTTGTTAAGGAAAAAGATGATTTTAAATATCACCGTCGTTGATAGCGTGGGACGTACGACTTCAGCGTCTTCACCGTCAAAACACCCGCTGCACGCGGCCTCGAAGGTTATGGGTAGATAACTGCCATCTGGAGGAAGTCAGCCCGTTGGTGGCCCCATTATTATGGACAGAAGATGATCCCACCTCGCCGAGATACTATAGAGGTGCCGATCGCGGCAATCGAGTGAGATGGAAGTGCGGCGGAGGAGACGAGAGCGGAGCCGGCGAGGAGGAAAAGCGTGGAGGTCTTGGCGGACCAAACCATACTGAGGTTCAGCGTGCCTCAGCCAAACATGGTGATAGGTACCAGTAAAGGGAAAAAAGAGTGTTATTTCAAAAAAGAGAGATTGGTTTTAAAGAGAGTGTCCTTCACCCCATCATCAAGTCGGAAACACGCATCTGGGAGCAAACAGGGCTGAGTCCAGTCACTCCTCGTATTCGTAAACGCCCAGGCCTGCGCTAACCCGTTTCTGGAACGGAATAACCCTCTCCGTAGACATCGCGGATTATCTATTGATCCAGCTATGCTTCAGCGCAATTCATCGTCAACCGGCGATCAAGGTCAAGTTAAGAGATAAGTGCGGAGTACTCCGTACGCTGCCCGGATATTCTAAAAATCAAGAAACGCCAGGATACGTTCAAGCGAACTGATAGAAACAGAGTTCTTCCGAGCTACAGAGCCTGATTTCCCGAGTCACGTCTTCCAGCTTTATAAACCATACCATTTTGGAGGGCATCATGGTGTGTCTTCCGCGCGTTTGCGGTCCCCCACAAGTGACACATTCTTACAATTCAAAGCTTCCTCTAGGTCTTCTCAATGCGTCGCAAGGCCATCCGATGCTCGTCGAGCTAAAGAACGGAGAAACCCTCAATGGTCACCTGGTCAACTGCGACAGTTGGATGAATCTTACCCTCAAAGAAGTCGTTCAGACCAGTCCCGAAGGAGACAGATTCTTCAGACTACCTGAAGTTTATGTTAGAGGAAATAATGTTCGTTAGAAGTGTTTTGTTCTCCCCGGGAAAGCTAGCCTTTTTAGTGGCGCTAACATTCCGGATTTTGTTCAGATCAAATTTCTCAGAGTTCCAGAAGAAGTTGTCGAGATAGCTAGAGATCAGCAGCAGCAAAACCAACCGTCAACTCGTGGGCGTGGCGGTGCACAACAATCCCGTGGTGATATGGGACGAGGAGAACGCGGCAGAGGCGGAGGTCGTGGTGGAAGAGGCCGAGGAAGAGGGAGAGGAGGATGATATTTGACGATTGTTGCTCAGTCCTGAAAGAAAGCACATTGGTATTCTCTCTGTTATGAAATAATGACTTTTTGTGAACATGAGAACTGGGCCTGAAACAACACAACCGTACGGTTCTCCCGAACGACTCAATCCTCGTACTCCTTCATGCGTACGCAGGAGTCCTGCTCCAAGTAGCGAGAATGCTCGATATGCGGGGGAATCTGTATCGCTTGTAGATGGAGAGCCTATCTACGGTACAGAATGGACGTATGCTAAATGGGACTTGAACAAATCATTCCCAGGGCTAAAGATTTAGATATCTAAAAATGTTATATACATCTGTCTCCCGGTTACATCCAGGAATATTGCCTATACGTCCGGCCTACGCATGGACCTCTTACTGTGTCCGATGCGACTAAGTCTAGTGTCTATGTAGCGTTTCTCTTTGAGCTTATATTTCGTGTCGCTGCTCCGGCACCTATATTTTCTCTCGGTTTCTGGATTTCGCTTGTATTAGTAGCAGAATTTCCTGGAGCGTTCACCAAGCTAACCCCAGCCGTTGCAGAGCTCCGTCGACGAAGGCCAAGTCTCCTAGCAGCTACCGAGAGTGGGCTCCGTTTTAGAAGTAATGAATCGCTAGGGAAACTAGAGGTCCGTAATTGCTTGGTTCGTGCTCGATCTACTGTTTGATTTTCTTTGTTGTTGGTATCTTGAGGGGCAGAGTTCTCATCAGATTCTGATGAAGCTTGTTCCCCAGATTCCAGATTATCTTCTTCAACCACGTCCGCCCCGCGCCAGTCTGCCGCATGTCCTTCATGGACTTCCTCCCCGGGTGCTGGCTCTGAGACAACTTGGCCAGCAAGGGGTGGACCGCCAGGAATAATTGCGCCTTCTTCGCCGGGAGAAGGCGCTGTGTATTTCCATACTACCTTCAGTCTGTCGAATGCTCTAGTGCCCTTGCTTGAGGTTCCTTTAATTCCATCGAGGTTTCCCCATTCCTCCTCGAACACTCCAGAGTCATGCTCATGCCCACCCTCGAAGAAGGCATTAAACCAGACGTGAGCCACGGAAGTAACCATTGTCCACCCGGAATAGGCGGCTGTAGCACGTCTTTCAAAGTCGATATTGATATCTGAAGTGGGGATAATGAGTGGTTTATGTGGGCGGAGAAGCACAGACGAGAAAGCCGCACGCGGAGGGGGCGTTTTGGAAAAAAAGGAGATATTCTCAACAGTCCTAGTAAGAGGCTCTGGCTCTGTGATGGCCTGGAACGGAGAAGTTGTTTCCACTGGGGTCGGAGCTGTCGTTGCTTGAGGATTCGAGATAGTTTCTTCTTTATTAGGTTTCGCTAGCAAAGCATTTCCATTCGGCAGGTTCTTTCCCTGCGTCTCCTTGTCTCCATCCATAGTGGTTCGTTCGCTGCGATGGAATCGGTGAAAGCATTTTATTTTTCGGCCTTCGTCCACAAAGCCTTCTACCTGCACTTTCAAACCATGTCGTAGGCCCCAGATGTGTATTTCCAAGATCTCCACTGGACGCTCGACGTACTTTTTATTGTATTTGTTTGCCCAACGATCAACATACCCAACGTATCGAACCTGACTAGGGATGCTAACACCAGGACCGAAACCGACCCTCATTCGACGTTCGGTAAACTGCTTCAGTGCATCTGCTGCCTTCCATCCTTGTTCGCTAATCAAGTAGCTGCAAGTAGCGGTGCCACTTCTCCCCTTTCCAGCTTTGCAATGCACAACGATGACGCGTTTCCCCTTGGATTTACTGGTGAGCCAATTGCGCATACTCGCCATCATCGGAGGGATGAGAGAAAACGGAGGCGGATGGTGATCCGGCCACGGAAAATGGTGGATTCGTCCGTAAACCTCTTTATCAGGATAACCGGTGCCTTCGGCCCGGAATTCCCATATTGCCCAGTTTTCGCCATGCTTTAGATCCAGAAAACGGACGAGGGCATCCGTTGGATTTCGGTAAGCACGCTGAGGGTACGTTGAGGAGGGACCCGAAGTTGCTATGACTATTTGGAAAAAAGTATATCAGTGCAAGGTAAAAAAGCAACGGAGAAGACCATACTCTCGTCTGTCACATAGCATAAATCAAGGCGCGCTTCGGGGTGCCTGAGTCGCGGCCCAGCCACGATTTGCCTAAGTATTGACGCCTGAGGGCCCTGAATTAGCTTTTCGGTCAGACCCAACAGGTACCGCATATTACGGGCTTCATTATAGCCCAAGAGAGGATTGGGATTTCTTGGACTTCAACTGGCCCACAGGTAACGAACCATTTAAAGAGATTTGATTTCATGATCGACCCCTTTAAAACCCACGGTAGGACAACATGAGCAAGCGATCACGAAAGCTATGCTGGTCAACCTCAAATCAAATTCTGTATGTTAATGTACTGAGCATTCAGGAATAATCCACAGCAAAAGTTCTGCCCATTCTGGAATCACATCCAAGATCATGTGAAATTCGATTGTCATAATATTCCTGAACTTTGGGATACATATCTCAGACACCCTGAGATTGGACGACAATAAGAACTAAGTGCTGTGACGTCATTCCAACCCCTGAATGTTAATCTTGGATTTATCCAAGCAAAAGACAAGCATAAGACAATCGCAAGGAAATTATTAGTGGATAATAGAGCAAACTTCACCCCGCACGGATTATGATTATGGTTGAATTAAAGACACAGTACGGAGTACGAGAAGCTATGCTAGAGTGCTGACACATACTGCAATATCCCATTCTTATCCCATCCATCTACAGCTCAAGCTCCAAAAAAGTTCGTATCCTCTTATATCGCTTGGTTTTGTCATGGACAAGGCTTATAGTTACCAGCCGATGAAGTATCGACGGAGAGCATATTGAGATACAGTTGTGCTCGAAATTGGCTTCCATGTCCAAGTTGGTTTCCAGACCCTAATTATGTAAATTGTCTAACCAGATATACAAGTTTCAGTGCCATCTTTTCTTGCTTAAAAGCGTGGGTCCTGAGAATGTTCAGTGATTTTCATCAGTAAGACCATGTGGACAATGAACCAGAGCCACACATCAACTTCAGACAATTATGAGGCACAAAACTTAATGAAATTACATTGCTTCTACCCTACAGGAGAACATGCCAACCAAAGCCAACAAAAACAGGGGGGAGGGAGCGGGGTATTAACTGCTGGAAAATTGCATGCGTTTGTAAGATTAATAATACCATCATTTGGCTGCACTCCTCAGTATTTAAACAGGAATAAGTGTGACCTGAAAAGAGCAGTCACCTCAACAACCTCATCAACAGCTGACCAAAACGTTATGCTGTCTTTCCTCTCCACGGAAGACCCTGAGCCGGGTTTGGCGGGCAAAGAATCCATTTCAGAACCTTCTGAGCAGTGGTCTTGTCATAGCAAGACATGCTAAGATTATAAAAAGCTCTCAGTGCGAATGTAAGGGAGGTGGATGCGTTTGACGGATCGCAAGTCGCCTGAACCACCCGTACTTTGCCGGGAATAAAGGTCACAACCGTGGCCAAGAGGAATGTCAGCGTTGCATCCATCTAAAAAGGAGGAGAAATGGGCGATGAACATACGATTAAAGGACCACCCGAGTATATTAATTCTTCCGGCTCCGTATATTTGGATTTTGAGGGATCCCAACGTACTTCATTCATCTGGCGATATATGATCGAAGTGATTCCCATTATTTCACTTCGAAGAAGATAATCCTTACAGCTCTTGTGCTGGTTCAATGGTGAGTGATCTCGGATCATAATGCCCCAGTGATCCGGCCGGTGTCGAAAGAGACGATGCGCAAGAACGCGGCGGTGGCCGTCAGCGGCCAAGCCTTGACCGAGGATGGAAAACAATGGACCATCACACCTGTAGGAAAGAGGGACAGTAAGTCACAAAGCAAGAGACGAAAACTATTTATTCTCTTACTTTGCTTCAGTTTTGATTGTAACTTCTTTTTTCAAGTCATCGATAGCTAATCCCATCCAACCAGTCCAACTATAGTCGGCGGGCGGGCAGAGGAAATCCAGGGAATTTGGGGAGTTGATCCTCGCACATTTCTGGATAGCTCGTTCAAGACTCGGCGGGGTTGAAATCCCAACCTCTTCCTTTGTCGTGTCCTTGCAAACCACTTTCAAATCCAATGTTTTCTGCAGCCAGTCAAAGGAGATCAGATCTGGTGTTTCTGACCTATACATGTGAAAAAGCGCACGCATCAGTTCACTGAACTCATGTGGGCCTGAGAAGGGCTTGAAGTTGACGCATTCCATGATAGTCGACGCTTGATGTTTTGGTCCAACCTGCTGGACAAAGAGCCCGTTTAACACTGGCTGTGGATGTTAATATATCAAATTCATCCTGAAGAACGACGACCATCTCATCAACATATAGGCCAGGTTTTTCGGTGAGGTGATCGCAAAGGGCGTCAAGCATTGGAGGCGTAATGCTTCTGGGCCGGCCGGCATGTATTAGAGGGGGACTGGCACTGCCAAATAACCAGAGGTTTTTGCGGATATGCGTGATGGTACGCTCGCTACACCCAGCAGCCTTGGCCATTTGCGATGTAGTTAATGATTTACTAAGAATCATGTGGCAAATAAATTCACGCTTCCATGGTTGGAGATTCCGTGCCATCTTTCCACGAGTTGGTCTGTCTACAATGTTTTTACAATGTCTGTTCGTGGTGTATTCTGATTACTTTGATGCAAAAAAGGATGTGGCATGTACTATGCTTCCAGTAACTATAGTGAGGTCAGTAATGTTTGGGTTCCATACTGGAACATTCAAATTTGAAGATAACCTAACCAATCTTGAATAAGCTCCACACTAATAATCTTGGCACTTAGGACTGGAGAAGCAACTCGTTCATCCAGAATATGGAAAGCTCATTTCGAGCTCCACTGTACCGACCTTCAAGATGCTAATTTGCAACTTCTTTGCCGTAAAACAATGAAAATCAAAACTTTAGCAGTTTTTTCCCAAGAAGGATTAGAAAGTAACGTGTCCAAGCTTCTTGTTTGCTTACTCCACCACGCTCTTCGTAGCAGCTGCTAGGAGGTTCCCCTAGCTCGGTGCTGCTTTCACACTGTCACTAGTATCATCTCTCGCAGCTTCGCTAGTAGCCGCGGGGGATGTGTCCTTCTCAACCCTTGAACCCTTCATTGGTAGCCTAAGTTTCACTTTCCTAAAACCTCTTGATATCGGCTTTCTCACTGCAGCATCGTATTGTAGGCGCTTCGCAGAATCGTCATTCGACTTGGCGCACTTCGCTCTGATTCGCTCTTTCACGGTTTCCGTCAATGAAAACCCAGACTGTGTCATCTCAAGCAGATATTTACGGCCTTCTTCGAAATATCCCAACTCCACACACAAAACAACCAAAATCTCATACGTGGATCGGTTTGGTAATACCTTGAGCAGCTGCATTTCTTGGAGAAAGAAGCTGGTCAGGTCGACCCTGTTGGCCTTGTGACACATACTGAAAAGGTGATTGAAGGTTAACGTGTTTGGGCCAGAGGAGCAAACATTATGCAATTCACGGTATATGCTCATCCCTTCGTCGACATCGCCTTTGTGAGCGGCGAGTTCAACCGCCAGGTTCGCTGCAGCAAGAGGAATACTCATGTTTTCCTCTTCTTTGAACCTCTTGAGCGTCTGCCAGACGTCTTTGACTCCCGTATCCGATGGAAGCAAGGAGGATAGAAGAGAGCGAGTTGAGTGTTCGCGAACATCAACGTTCGTTTTCTCCATTGTACATAGAACGCGAAGGGAGGATTCAACATCTCCAGCCGTCACGTACGTGTCAAGGAGCGATTCATACTCGTTTAAAGTAAAGGTAGCGTTGCGCTGGCCTAGGACATCGAACACCGAAATTGCCAATTCGACATCGCCCGTGCGAGCGCAGATTGCGAGCACGTTACTACACACACCATAGGAAGGGATCAAGTACCCCCGCAGCACTTGTTGTTTCCATATGTAGCTCGTTAAACCCTGATGCAATGCAGCACTCGCCTTGTCAAGCATATGGAACCAAAGATTCGTCGAAAACTGCTGCCCTTCTGCGACACGCGTTTCCATCAGGTTCAATACCTCGTCGAATTCTTCGGCATCCGCCAAGTTGTAAACGACAAGTGCATACAGCCACGGCTTGACTTGGATGCCCTGAACTTCCATTCGCTCAAGCTTATCCAATGCCAATTCGTAGTTCCTGTCGCGAAGCAAACCGGTTACAAGATTGTGCCAGCCAGCGGGACTGAGCGATAACCACCGATCACGAAGGGTGTGCAGGACCTGTTGACGAAGCAAATAATCTGGATGAATAGCAAGGGCCTAGAACACACAACAAGGATGTCAACGAGGGATCCGTCCCAGGTGTTATAGCGTTAATAAATAGAGGGCCTACCCTTAACGCAGCATGCAGGGTCGCCGAATCGGTCGGAATTCCAACCTCCTCCATCTCCTCTAAAATTCTCTTCACATGTACCGCTGACCCAGACATTGCATCAGCGTTTGCCAGCATCAATGCCCGATAGTGCTGTATTTGCGGTTTTATATGTCGGCGCTCGATCAATTCATTGAGAACTCGCAGAGCAGCTGTGTGGTTCGGCCTGTTCCCAACTACCTTGTTTAACATGTTTTCAAGGACGTCCGTAGATTTGGTTTGTAGCTCGACATTTGAACCAACATTCCGTCGTCGCATTCGTATTCTTGCCTCATATACTTCTTGGGGTTCGGAGCCTAGCCTTCGAGCAGGCCTTTTGGGACGAGTCACCCCGCGGTGTGAGAAGTCGCCTTGTGAGGTAGCGGGATTGGCATTGGAATGTATATCCCCATGTGGCACGCTTGCATGCTCTTCTTGAGTAAATGCTAAATTCTCTGGCAAGTCTTGATCGTGTTGCGAGGCATCATGTTGAGGTTTCGTTGCGATTGAGACCGGCCTGCTTAAAGAACGGCTCCAGTGAAATTTGCAGGCCTTCTTCGACAACGGAAACGCGGCAGGAACTCGAACAAAGCTGCTAAACGATGGGCGAAGGCAAAGCCATAGCCCGTCCACAAAAAAAATCTGCGTCGACATATTCAAGAGCCCGCAAGCCACTGAGGATATGGTGGTCTATTCTCTCACAAAAGCGACATTTTGTCCGGAGGCGCTCTCTCACGATCACGTGATTCGCACCCTGCGCCTGCTCAGTGGGCCTCTACGAAAGTGAACTGCTTCTCTCCCAATTCGATTGACTGAACAGAGGGATGACCGGATAGCTCGCAAACTATGTTCAGTGTAAAACTAAATGTATTGAATTACCACGAATCTTGCTATGCACGATGCTACGAGAATTGACTGAGACCTTGCAGATCTTCTTCCCTCTGCCTGTCTAACCGCGCCTTCTTCTTCCGCTCATATATCCCTCTGACTACTCGCTTCACTTGGTCCTCGCCCTCGGCGAAATTCGATTTTGCTAGAGCAACCACAGCATCGATTTGCTCCGGAGTATATACAAAATTCCAAGTGCTCATAAAGTCGTCTTTAGCCGGATCTAGCGGAACGGTGTCGCCAGACTTCCCAGTATCGGAGTCGGTGTTGGTCGATCCGGCCCTCTTTGAGTCTTTGCCACCGGATTCGGAGTTTTTGGGTTTGGAAACAAGAGGAGGAGCCATAGGATTCGGGAGTAACGGGAAATAAGCGACTGCAATCCCAGCGTCGGGCCTCATAAGATGGAAGTCAGAATCCTGACCCTCCCCTGAATCTGGGAATAACAATCTCTTAGATGGAGGTGGTTCCTTCGCCGATGTCCTTTCCTCCATAGTGCCAATCCAAATATTACAATAAGTAAGGTCGGCAGCCATGCCAGGTTCAAATCTGGCTGGGAACTTTGGCACTCGATCAGAGGTCCCTGCACCTACTTGCTGAAGGCGCTCGGTGTTCTCTTGGCTCTTCTCTGCAACTTCAAGGACGGATGCCGTTTCTTCGGGCGGAACTTCACTCTTTGGCCATCCCGCTCCCATTGGCCAGCCCTTTATGCCGCGCTGGCGGGCATAGCCGTCGACCACAGAGAGCCAGTTGTCCTCCCTGATATCTGCCGAAACGTCAAATGCAATGATGAGATCGACGTCTCGCCCCGCACGTAGCAATGGATAAATAGGTAGGTTATTGCTCATTCCTGCATCCATCAGGCGCAGGTGAGAGTCTTTAAAAATGGACTCTGGGCAAGACTCGGGTAATTTACCCTCCAATCCCAACACAAAATTGGGCACGGTTGCTGGATCAATCGGATGCACCCGGGATAGATCCTCATTTCTCTCCTCTATAAGAGAACCAATTCCGCTGAACCCCGATATTCCCGCCAGTGCTGGACGTATTTCTTTGTAATAATGGGCTAAAGTCGCACAGAACGCGCTTCCCCAGACTCCCATTAAAGCGGGAATCCTCAACTCAGGACTTGAATACCCATGCGGTGGTGGAATGTCTTTGCCACCTTGAAACTGCCGTCCCAGCGCCCAGATCGGGATGCCCGCTCCCAGCTCTTCGCAAAACAATTCATGTGGTGTAAATTCAACCCATTGGAACCAACTTTCCCGTTTAGCCTGTTTGCGCGCCTCGTCCAACTCATCTTCGTCTTTTAAACCAGAAACTTCAGGTATCTCATGGCGAACAGCAGTGTATATAGGCAAAGGCTGCGCCCCAGGATCAACGTGCAATCGCTGGTTGGATAACTTGAGGTCTCGGTCTAGAGGGCTAATGTCTCCATCGGAAGGCACGAGCAGTCTCGAAGCCAATAAAAGCCCATAGATATCAACTAGGCCAAAATCTGCATCTTTATCGCCCTTTAACTTTTCCACCAAGCTCCTGAGTAGATACTTATTCGTTGGCGGAGTCGTTAGTAAATTCAAGGCATTAGGTGGGAAGGCGATATGAACTCCAAGTCTGCTTTTGAGGTGTTTTATCATTGTGTCGAAGTCTTGCCTCCCAAGTGAAGAGTGATAGATCGCTTGTAACCAGCAAGACCCACTGACACCAGCAGTGTACATAGTGCAATCCCAGAGTCCGGCTTCCTTAGCAGCAAGGTATGAGCCAGTGCCTGCAACAAGCGCACGCAAGCCACCACCAGACGCACACATTGCAATGACTGGTACATCGTCTGGGTGGACCTCTTCTTTAAGGCCAAGATATGTCGCCAACCTCTTCGCGACCGCTCGACGGCGTCGCCATTGGAAGTACTGCTCCTGACGGCATAGTCCCTCACTAATTCGAACTCTGGCTTCCCTGGTTATTTCCGGATTTACGCTTGCGTCTTGGGCTTCCCTCCATATTTCATCTGCCAGGGATCCTGGAGCCATAGACAGCTCCCGTTGGAGATTTTGTAGTTTCTCTGGAAGTAGCGACGTCCATGTCGGTATAATGTAGCTTTTCAAATGTTCCGTCCACTCCGCAGGACTGAAGGGGTCCTTCGTAACCCCGAGTTTCTGCGTTAATTTTTCCCATGCTGAAAGCTGATCCGCTGAAAGATGCTCTGCTGGAGCGCGATCCTCGTGAGTGTCTTTTTTTGGCGAGACATCCGATTCACGCTTCGAGGGGGATGGAGGTATGCGGTCCCGGCTTGTCCAAGTCCCAATGTTGCGCCCTGAATCACAGTTTACTGGAGGTCCCTTGGTAAACAAGGACACGGAACACCCACTGCTCAGAAGTAGGCCAGCTCCCAATGACCATTTCCACTTTGCTGATAATATCCTGGCAGCGCCCATTGCGGCAAGGACACTGCCAGACTGGATTGTGTTACAATGTCCATCAATGCGGGGGAGGGAAGAATGGGTTGAGAGGGTTGTTGGGACGGCTAGACCCAGCGTGCCTCGCGATGACCTCATTTGCCACGCTGAAGGAATTTTTAGTCAGCTGCGTCGGAGATAAGATTTCCCGTCCTCCCTGTACCAAAAATGGCGCTATCCCGGATCCGGATGCCAAGCAGACGCGACACCTGCGGTCGTGATCTCATTTCCCCGTGAAAACGTGTTTGCGCGGCAGCGAGCTCGCACGGTAGACGGCCAATGTTTCTGTGGACGATGACCGACACATCCCGGGACATTAAGTGAGTACTTACTCGACTACAACTAGCTCTAGCATTCTCTCCTCTGTCCATACCCCAGACAAACGTGCGTCGGAGAGATCCAGCACTGACCCGTCTCTTTCCCTTAGGTACCATGGTCGCCCCACGAAATGCCGTGCATGCGGAAGAAAGCGCGGAGGTGGAAGTTCTCTATGCGGACCTCGACAAACTCAACGGCCTCACAAAAAGAATTCAGGGATCGTTATTGCGTCTAGAGGCCAGCGGAAATGTCGTCAAAGATGCCATTGGGCCTATTTACAATAATACCCAGAGCTTACAGGTCACCAGTACCAACATTGATAAAATAAATGAGGCAATTGAAAGACTTCGCCGACCCCTAGATGTCAAGGGCAGGGAAGAATCTATCATTCGTGCTGGGTATGATGCTTTCCTTCTATCAATTGGTGTGCTCGTGAGGCCTTCTAACAGTAGCCCAGTCCTGAGGATGCCGGATTAACCCAATACCTTGGAGCCTTGAATCGGATCAATATTGCCCTTACAGACCTCCACGCTACGAAGCTTCGATCAAATCAAAAGGCCATCTCTGACTTTACCGCCCTTTTGAGCACGGGCAGCCAGCAAATTCAGAGTCTGTATCGCTCAATTCTCCAAGAAAATGTTGGTACCTTGGAGCCACTCCATTACCTTACTAAACGTGAGTCTATGTGAGCATTCCGATTGGGGGAAAGCTCTTTGCTAATACCACAACTAGAGCTTGCTTTTCCGTCAATTCCCAGTGACAAGGCCGAAGATTTAGCTCCCCTTTGTACAGCAATCTCCAATGCCTCAAAAAACGTTAATCCCGGGTCGCAAAATGAGAACCCCGCGATAACAATATATGCCGAAACCCGCGGTCCTTATCTCACGTCCAGCCTACAAAATCTTGCAACGGCATCCATTAGCACCGCAAAACGGCGGCCGACAGATGGCCCTTATAAACAGGGAACCAACGGTATTGGCGTCTATGCCACCGGTATCGAGGGGATGTTCGCTGCCGAATATGAGAGTGTAGTCAGTATATTTCCACCAGATCAACAGGGAAAAGCATTACAGTCCACATGTCGGTCAGCCCTTGCAGAGTTTTCCAAAACTCTTCGGGAGCTGAACATGTACATCAAATCCAACCTAATGACCGATTGCTTCCTTGCGTTTGAGATCATTGAAATCGTTACCTCCTTGTCGTATCGCCTAGACTCGAAAACAGGAGAGTTAAAGAATTTATTTTTCGAGGCCCTTCGGCCCATTCGGGAGACTGCGAAATCATCGCTGTCTGAGCTGTTGGAAGAAACCCGCCGAAAGGCGTCCAGCATCTCCGTACTTCCCAACGATGGCGCTCCAGTGCCACTAGTTAACGAGGTCATGAGCTCTTTATCCACTTTAACGGCATACTCAGCGCCTCTCGCTTCCATTCTTACCTCTCTTGGCGACGGAAACTGGAAACCGTCAAGCTCGACTAACAACACCCCCCTCGATGTCAACCCCGACAGCTCGACCATCCTTTCCCACTTCATCCTCGACATGATAGATGCCCTGCTTTCAGCGCTTGATCTTCGAGCAAGAAGCTTCCTTAGAACAAAGTCCACTGTTGGAGTCTTCCTTTCCAACTGCGTATGCGTCGTTGATCGGTCAATCCGCAGCAGCAGCGAACTCTCTAAGTATCTTTCAACCCCAGAAAATGAATCTCGTCTTGAGGTATGGCGCAAAAAAGCTGTGTCGATATACATCGACGCATGGCGAGAACCATCCTCCCAGCTCCTTGATGTGCAGTATACAAGTCGAGGTGCCCGACCGACTTCTGGTGGTCCCGTCGATTCCACCGCCATTGTCAAGTCGCTATCGTCAAAAGATAGAGACGTCATCAAAGACAAGTTTAAGGCGTTTAACTCCTCCTTTGAAGACTTGATCGCGCGTCATCAATCGTATTATATAGAACGTCAAGTGCGGACTGCTCTGGCCAAAGAGGTTCAGAGTTTGATTGAGCCTCTTTATGCAAGGTTCTGGGACCGATATCACGAGATCGATAAGGGCAGAGGAAAATATGTCAAATATGATAAGGGAGGATTGGCTGCTCAATTGGCGGCACTGAGTTAAGGTGTTGCGGATATTGACTTGGTTGATATGCCGACTCGTAGTAAGTTATATACCCTTGCTGTGCCCGTTTCTACATTCGATATTGAAACCCATTTTTGTCAACATGGTTCAATTTGAAAAGATGAAATTTGTAGCTTCATCTTATGATTCTTGTTCACATATGCATGCTACGGACTTTGGCTGTCCGCAAGATACATCTTGCATTCAACTTGTTTCCATTGAACATAAGTTTCTGTTTCGTTTTGTCTTTCGGCTCCATAAACACCAAGGGGCCCTGTGAGAACCAACTACATGTTTGCTCTAGCTATGACTTGACTTGCTGTGACATTTGATAATCACAATCCAGTTGGTTGATCAATTCTGATTGTCTGCATACAAAGCCATCGCCCAAAGGTCGCTCCATTAAACTCCTAACGCTACCTTCTTCGGCTTGCTTGAATTTGTCACTCCACCAGCTCTTTTGATCCTCGTAATTATTGAGGAAAGTACACGAGCAAAAAAGATCACAGATACCTTGAAACCTTTCAGTTTCTAGGTTTTAACGCAGGATGAAATTTCTCACCACGATGTTACATTTGAGGACGCCACAATTTGAAACAACATGGACAACGCGAACCGCATCGTCACCAATATGTTGCCATGTCTCTTTGGGCGTACATTGAGAGACCTTGGCATGGATAAATCCCTCAATAAGCATTCCAGGGCAGCTAAAACAACCACAAAACTCCGCTGACAGTTCTTTCGGTGAGCAAAAACAAAAGCTGTTTGCTCCTTCGGCATCGGCAATGAAGCGTATAGCCGCACCTTAGACAATAGCGGCAACATGATATGGTTCCTGCCCCGCCCGATATTCCATGTTCGACCGAAATCGAACGTAAACTTCTCGTTGGACATTGTTTCATTCAGGGTCAAGATCCTCAGGGATAAAAACCTCACCGCCCTCCCCAGCTATGGAATTCAGCCACTTGTTTTCTCCGCCTAAGGGGGATCGTTCATACCCTTCCTCGACATTCGACTCCCAAGGAGGTATGGAATGAGTTACCCGAAGATCTGGGTGAATGGACGATCGTAAAGTCTCGAAACCATTGGTTTCGTGCCAAATTCGGAAGCCAATCACTGCGGACACGGCTATGGCCTCAAAGATCCGGATGATTTCGGCTTTAACAACATGCGGGCCTGTAAACCAGGTGCATTCTCGAGGCCCGGCGTTGGTGGTTTTCCAACAGTATAGCATCTATATCTTATCAATTGTCTTTGAATATTAACAGATAACACCCTAATATCAGATACTCAGAATAGGATTATCGCTGTCCATGGCGGTTGGTGCTTGATTAGTGGAAGCTGTGGTCATGGTCAATGTAAAATGCAAGATTCAAGCTATCAAGTACTTTATTAAGCCGTTTGTTCCCTGTGCGCAAGCAATTGATAGCTTACCAGCCAAGACTGAAATGTTCACTTGAGTGATGGCCTTTCTTTCACTACTACTAGGAACTGGGATTTTGGGGAAAGCAGAAGTGTTGGTGTATTGAGAGCCTGTATGTCAGTTATGGTTGCCCCAGGCATTCATCCAAGTCAAGCAAAGGACAAGGTTGTTTTCCTGGCCATTCAACAGAGAGGCCCCACGAGTGAAGGAACAGTAAGGTAAGGACACATATAACAGATATAAAAAAGAACCTTCGAACGGCGGCGACCAAATCAGCGTGATGGACGGGTGGGCGGTGACGCAGAGGCAGTGGTTAGGGATATGAAACCGGAACTCAAAGGACGGGGGGAAAGACAAGACGGCAGGGGCAGAGGAGAGAAGGAAAGGAAATGGATGAAAGGGGGGAAAGGGAAATAAGGATGGCAGAAGTGCGAGGGAGGCAGTCAAGACAGCTTTATATAGTCGTGACGGATGACGTTGGTGAGTCGAGGTGGCTGGCGGGTTGGCACCATGCCCGAACGGGGCCAGCGCCAGACCACATCAGGACCCATCGGGCCCCGCCCGGGCTAGGCCGGACACGGACGGCGCTACACCGGATCGGGCAGAGGCCGCTGTTTCCGGCCGCGTGCTTGCTGTCGCCCCTATTTGATGAGCTCCTTGAGTGTTGTTAGCTGACTGTGCACTCTTTTCTCTCTCTCTTGCTCTTCTGCCTGCCTTTGTTCCACTTCTGCATGAAGGGAGAGAGCCTGCAGCAAGATCAAAGCTGGAAGTGCTGTACAGATATGATCAACAGAATGGACCGGCATCATGTCTCTTTGGTTGTTGAATGTGATATTCCTGACCTCCTGGACCATATTTCATCTGTGACAAAGAGAGGCATTTCTGACAGCCTAGTGGTTTACTTCGTGCACTGGAGACGTCAATGGCTGCGATCGGAGAATGTTGGTGAAGATGGATATAGGTCGCTGAGGCAATTCTGCCATTAACCTTCAAATGTTGGGATCAGATTTGTCGGAAATTTCGTGATGTTTTGTGGCATGAAATGTATCTGTTCTCTCAGTAACGAAGCTTAATGAATACATGCAATGTCTTACTCCTGTAGTAGCTCCCAACAAACATGTCTGCGTTTTATTGGAAGCCCAAGTTGTCGGGGGTTCCGCAAAGAGAGAGCCTTAGAGATTCCGCATCTGACTAAATCTTCACACAATTTCCTCCGCGATGTGAAGTCGTCCGCAGATATGGGTGCCGAACACTTAACTCCTTCAATCTTGCCTCTGGAAGCCTCACTGCTCATGCCGTATAGCTTTTCTGTATCTGCCGCCAATTCTGCCACTGTCCCGTACCAGCACCTCATGATTATGGAGTCGATCATTGGCTCCCGGTTCAACTCTGGAAATACCATCTTTTGTAGCATCCAAGAGAGAACGACCCCCTTTCCAGAGCCCAGGAGATCATCCCGTCAGAAAAAGCTGCGGCAGTGCTAACGCATAAGTAGCTAGCCTCCCTCTCTGTTTGGAAGAATCCAGCTTTTTATGTCCTCTTATTCCGGCCCCTGGCTCCCTTGATAGAATAGTAATCACCAGAAAGAGGGATTATAGTTTTAAATTTCAACTATGGTGACATTTAGAAATTCAAAGCCCTTAAAAATCGACTGTAAACAAATGACTGATATCTTTCCACACTGGAAGAGCCAACGGGAGGAGTGGCTGTAAAATGGATGCTAATAACTGCTCGCCTTGGAAGGTAAATCTTTCGTCACATGACCAAAGAAAGAAATTACATAAGCAAAAAGAGGGCTCCCACTAACTAGGTTCACGGTACCGTGAGTATTACGTAATACGTAGGGATTATGTAATCCCTAACCATCCCCTGAACGCCAATGAGAATTGCAGCCAACGCCTGCAAACAGCAGGTTGAATTCAAATTCAAATACACCGTACTCAAGAAGCAGTTATATTGAATTATAATACATCTGAATGCTGTAGAGGGCATACCCTTGAGGTCCTTTTATGACCAGTTACACCACAATTTGTACATTTATTTGGACAATGGGCTTGTGCTGCTTGAGCTTCAATGACTTTGAATTGACTTGGTTCCTGTTTTGTACTTGAGCTCGGGAGGGAGCTTTGAGCTATAATTGGCTCAATATGCTGGCTGCAGTTACTCATTGATGGCGTCCAGGGGATGGTTAGGGATTACATAATCTCTATGTATTACGTAATACTCACGGTACCGTGAACCTAGTGGGAGCCCCAAAAAGAGGTGTGCTCCCACCAATGCCATTACATAAAACGCTTCCCATGCACCTCATGATAGTCATTGTTTTCGCTGCTCCGATCAACCTGCATCTAATTCCGCTTGACACGCTTCACAATTGGCGCGCTGACAGGAAGACCCGTACCCGCAAGCAACCACCATGAGCCGTCCAAACGATTGAAAGGCAAGGCAAGAAAACAGGCGCGTGAGAATAAATCTTCCTCTGTTGCCCCAACTTCGGCAACCCCCAAACTTCCCACGCACACAATTGCAGCCAAAGAATTTGTCAGTTTGGCAAACTATATTGCCGCCACCACCAATCCTCCCGTCAATATTCCGGCGAGCATCATGACAGTCCTAGACCGGGCTATTGCCATTCGACGTGATCATGGGACACAAGTCACTTCTCATCTTCCCAGGGACGCCAAATCCAAAGCAGCCGATGACCGACACAGTCATTTCATTGAGATACTGGAACATGTCCGGGATGTCCTGCATTCTCAAATGGGGAGTGACCAAGTGAAGGGTCCTTTAAGTAAACCGGTTGGGGAAGAGCCACCCACAATCTTGAAGAATGTGACAAACAAGTTTGACCACCTTGAGGTTCAGGAGCCATCTGAAGGGATTCACCATGCTCCAAATCTTACTCCTACATCCAGCACCAAAGCGAAGCAGGAGGTTACCTTTGAAGCAGAACATCTCCAGGATTTTGAAGAGGCTTACCTTGGCTTTAATCTCCTACTTCATGACTACCACAATCTCCGAACAGTCATTCTGCGTACATGGGAAGGATATCAATCTGGAGTAGTCGACCTGGTGTGCGCTTCTCTCATGACCAACGCAGCAATTGACATTGCCAGGCGAATGCAAGGAGATGTCGAGCAGCTCTATGACAAATACGGCGGATCCGGGGAGATGTTAGGCGCCTCCTACGCAGCCACTTTAGCAAACTTCTTTTCCACCCAGGATCAGCCTACCACGTGACACAACAGCAGGGCACAGCACACGATGACTCCGGGCCGTCCCGTTAGCAAATGCATCTTCTGCAGCCCAGGGATGAACACGACTCTTCCTTCTGGCAAGGCCATTTGGTTGGCTGCCTTCCGGAGCGTCAACCGACAGAATTCTTCTTTCTTTGCCGATCCTTGTCGATTCGTTGTTGCCTTACCAGACGCTTGTTCGAAAATTACACTGGATTATCGTCGGGCCGAATACTCACATGGCTTGTATTGCTCTTGGTAAAGAACGAGCACCCATAAACGGTTAACATGGCCCGAATCAACTCAGTCTCAGGCTTGGGCGTTTCGAAACCTATGGCGGAACTATCGCAAGGTGAAATTGCTATCATTACAAAATAGCCCTTAAGTGACTCCCTTGACCGTGTACGGGACTTGCTCCGAGCGGAGCAGCCACGAATATCGCCCTATGATGGTGCCGTCGACGGCGGGGACCACACTTATAAAAGGGCAGTGGACTCCTCTCTATACTGCAAGCAGAGGAGGCGGCAGACAATCTTCATTCGAGAGCGTTCAGTCAAAATGTGGCTTCTGATCTAGCAGATTTGTTCAAGAGTCTTCAACAAGGCCGCTTCAATTACGATGATTATCGCCCACTAGTACTCCTGGTAATTCAACTTGCCCCTGACATTGAGATCTGGAAAGCCGTCCTCAGCCTCATTGCCGGCTTCTCTAGAACAACTCCCCCGGCGAGCATCCCTCCGACATTTGATGGCACGCCATTCAGATCGACATCGTCCAAGCCGTATCCTCGCATGCGCAGCCTTAGGGCTGTTGGGTCTGATGCATTTATGCTATTGGAAGGTGACAATTATCCCGTGACTGGAGGCCCGAGGGCCAAATCAGGCGGCCAAGTGCTGCTGCATATTCTGTTATGGCTTCTCATAGGACTATCCCAAGGCAACAGTTGCCTAAATTTTGCAGGCAAATTTTTCAGTGCGGGGTAGATGAGAAATATCGATTTGGACTGCCCTGAGTTTGTGATTAAAAGGCTGGCCATTCCACCACAATCCCTTCATACTAGTTTTCTTATTAACTGCAGTTGCAATCATAGTTACATTATTACCCTTTACGATCCGATCCGTTACCAATCTGATACAATCAACCAACTACCCTTGCCTTGAAGTCTCTAAAGATGTCAACAGAGCGAACCTGAAGCCGGGATATCGTTGCTGAACTAGAGGCAAAGAAAACCGAACTCGAACAACTTGAAACGCGCCAAGGCCAATTGGACGCCTTCATAGGTGATCTCCAAACACGGCGGGAAGATTTGGAACAGCTCTCAACGAGCGCTCGCAAAGCTCGCGACGGTCGGTCAGGCGGAACAACTCTCTCAATTGACCAGGAGATAGCCCAGTAGCAGCAAGAGCTCGCAAACACCAGGCAGAGAATTGCTGCTATTGAATCCTCCATCGAACTCCTCTCGCAATCATAAACACCCTAAAGTACGCCGACGCCGAAATAGAAATACGCCGGCCGCTTGGAAGCAGAATCACTTTCTCTTCCGTGTCATGAAGAGATAGCAAGCTGCAATAAGTGTGCTCCCGATTAATGCCCAGCGTGTATGGCTCGTGGTTTGCCCCTGGAGCGATATTTGCAGAGCAAGGCTTTTGAGGCTAGTTCTCAAACAGGACAATGATGCGCGAGCGTGAGAATTGACGTTGGGAGACTTGAGAGCTTCTTTTGAAGGACCGTTTGTTTGTTCGATGTTCTGTTGTTCTCTTTGGATTCCGAGCTTATCACATTCCTGTTCGAATAGCTCAAGTTCTTGAAGTTTCCGCTGCACGGCTTCTAGTTCTGCTTTATGTATCTCCAGGCTGTAGAAGTCTTCCATCCTCTTCCTGTAATGTATCCTTTCATTCCCATAATAGTCATATTCCAGCACCGACCAGTATATATTGCCAAAATAAAGTGGCTGCAACAATCCAAGTGCAATGAAAACGGCAGGAGATTCAAGTGTTTCTCTCCAAATCTTTGCAAGTGGCAGGTCATCAAGGGATAAGCACTCAGGATGATATTTTCTTTCCCGCCGTCGTGTCTCCATGCGTAAGGTGAAGAGCAAGCTTTCGTAGAGTAGTCGACCTGGCATCTTCGCAGTTCCAACCAGTTCAAGTCCATCAAGCCAGGATGGAGGAACAAACATTTGGACAGGGATGGTGTGGCTCCACTCCCAATCTAGGACAGACAAGATATTCAGGTCATCATCAACAAGTATATTAGCAGACCGGAGATCACCATGATTCAATATGAATGGCCCATGATTATGCTCAGGCTTCACCCACTCCATCAGAAATTGGCGGGATCTGTGCAAGCTGTAGAGATAGGAGCGGGCATCTTCTTCATTGATAATGCTGTCCCTTCCTTGGTAGAAGTCATCGAGTAAGGCCTGGTGAATTGCATAAACATAGTCTATGGTTGACTGAAATGTCTGGTTAGGCCCTATGAAGTGAGGCTTAATTCCCGCAAGGGTCTGATCATTCATCAATACTGAAAGTGGTCGATTATGATCGAAAACCCAATTTTCGTCCTTTGCATCCAAAGTAAGAGCACCGATTCGGTCAAACTTATGCTGGAACAGCTGGATGTAAATGTCACCCAGTTTCGCAAAAAGCTCACGCTTCTGTGGTCGCGGAAGCTTGCGGACTTCCACGGTAAACAAGGGCTTGCCATCAATAAACTCAAGCAGCATAAATGGGAGACCAAGCTGATTTTTTGAATTTATTGAATATCCATGTAGGCGTGGAATAGGTATTGTTGTCTTCTCCGCAATGAACCTAAAGTAGTTTAATCTCGTTAATAAGAAATATTCAAGAGTAACCTGCAACAAGGGACAGAAAGCTCACTTCATTGTCGCGATTTCGCCTCGAAGCTTTTCCTTGGGAAAAGCTAAGCGTGGTAGGATCGGAATGCGTATCATCCATCGCTCAGGGGTGCTGTCGTCAGCCGCATCCCCCGTAAATTGAACAGGGAAGCAGACATTAAAGCCACCTTTCTTCACATCACCGAATATGCGACACTGCTTCTTCGCCGGGTGAAAGGAGGATGCCAGGTCACAAACAGCAGATGGGTCAATGGAGGCAATGAAGTTTTCTGCTTCCTGGGTAACTCTGTGCTGCGTGATTGAATCCATTTTCTGTATGTAGGCTGTTATGAGGAGTGGTTGACAAGAAGGCTTGGGAACAGTGGGTGGTGGTGGTTTGAATGGCTGCGGAAGATAATGGGTCCATTCCAATGGTCCGATGCACGAGGCAAGATCGGCACCGGGTTCATGGCACCCAGGGCCGCTTTGCTACCCGTTCTGCTGATCGACGAGCTTCATCCACACACACCGGAGCAAGGTGCAGCTGTCATAGTTTCTCAATTGTGAAGGTCGTTGTCAATCTATGATGTTCAACCAGTGAAGACCGTGAACCCATTGTCCTGGGCTGCTTTCGACTCTGACTTCGGTTGCACCGGTTATGTTTCCGACAGGAGCCATGCTGGCAAATGCCTCTGGATTTGGGGGTGCCTTTTCACTCCTTATATGCTTATTGCGCCATCACCTCAATCTCGACTATTGTGCTCACACCCAATTGCCTTCATTGCGAATCATCAACCCATGAGCAAGGCCCGGGCTAGAGTTGGTGTTAAGATTGAAGACGGGCATTGATTCTGGCTTGTAGCAGTATGGTGATCCTCCATGGGTTTCGCGTATTGAGTTTAACAGTCAAGGTCGAGCTCTGCACACAGTCAGTCTGGTTTGATGCCAAAAATAGCGGGGAGATCAAGCAGCTAGAGCCAGCCTTAGCGGGACAGTGGGTTGCGGGAATAGTCCTGATTACCAAGGCTTGTGGGACCAGGAAAACTGTTCGACGTTGAATTAGAGACACAGTGGGTTGACGAACAACGGAAACGGCTGCCCAGTGCTTTTAGCTAATCCGTTGCTCTAATTGATATCTTAGTTCTCGAATGGAGACTTCTAATACATCTCTCGTATATGCCTCCCGCCAGAGGTCTCGCAGAACCCGCATGTAAAGCCAGAAAAGGTACACACTCCCCAGGCGGGCCTATGGCTTCCAAGACTTCATCTCAAACCCTATGCCTTGCCCAGATCCCACTTTTACCCCTCCCCAGCCATATCTATCCTCAGCCCAAAACCCTTTTGGCCTCAGCCTCCTTATCATTTATAAGTTTCTCTGATCCAAAAAGCAAAGCCCGTATATAAGGAATAGGTATTATCCGAGCGACGGAGGCTGCAGCTACGAGCTTGTCCTTGCCAGATACAGTTTGCACAGGCTCCATCCTCAATCGGCCCATTTCGTGTAAGTACTGAAACACAGGACATGAAGCTTGCTGTGTTGTTTGAAGGATCGCACGCGGTGCAGGAGGGCCAATTCGAGAAACCGTGTTGCTGCATAAGAATTGCCAGACGGTGTTCCTTCAGATTGATAGTTCCAGTATCACCCGTTTATCCTCGCCGATACCCCTCAGCTCGACTCCGGATAACTGAAGACCATCTCCAAACCCAGGTGGCGAGAATTGTAATAGCACCAAATGCGACCGCGAGCTTGGTGATATATTGCCTTGATACATTCTTTCCAGGCTCGCAACAATCGTATCTCCCATTTCCCGGAGTAGACTGATCGTCCAGGTTGATGGAATCCAATGCATCTGACAAGCGATCCGCATTCTGAAATGCACCTTTGGTCCAACATTTCTCAATGATCGCTCCAGGCCAAATGTTTTGTGTGCTAGGTAGAGATGTCCGCGGGGGCCAAGTAGCTCGGCAAGCTTCCAGTGGCAGATCCTTGAAGAGGTCAAATTGACAACGCTCTCCCGTCACAACCTCATAGATTACAGCCCCTAACAGACCAATAACCGTTTGAACTGAGTATCCATTGTCGTCAACTGTCTCCATGTCGGTACCCAGAGGCATAATGGATGACTCGGTAAAGTCGCAAAAACAGATAGATAGGTCCGAAGCAAGGAGAAATTGCGACTGGCAATGTCTGCCACGATAACACAACAGTCATGTATACGTGCGAGGGTACGTGAAATTTCACGCAACCACAAAAGTTGAAGGGACTTAGGGGGCCGATTTCGCGCTAAATATGTACGTAGGTCGCCATTTTCCATAAATGCAAGTTGAAGAGTCGTCTTGGAGGACTGATGCACGGGACAACACCGTCGCAATATCGTAGACGTTGATAAACATCTTGCTCGCGCTGGATGACTTCGATATTAATGTTCACATCGTCATCCGTTGTACTCTTATATCTCAATGGCATTTTGACGGCCATGGCCATGCTCCATCACCGCCTATGCGCCAACACTCACGCCACTTGCCGGCTGGCTAGTAGTTGGGTGGGTGACCACCAGCGAATCCCAGCTGTTGTATGTATTTTTTTTTTTTTTTTAGTCTTTTTCTACCTTCTATGGAACAGCCTGCGAGAGAGTTATCACGACACTCCACAGAGTACAGAGCGCTTCCAACCTGAACCCACATAAAAAGCCTAGGCCATCTGAGCTGCAGATCCGCCATACTACCTTATTCAAGACTCACGAACATCATGCAATAACAGATCAGATGCATTCCAGCAGGAAGATTATTCCACCATACATCATACCCAACTTGCCTCCCGATCGTTCTAGTCTGTCTTGAAATCAGAAGCATTCCCATCCTACTCATATCGCAACTGTTTGTAACCGCTTCTACCACAGTTCTTCTCCTACAACTGGGCGTTGGACCTGTGGATACTTGGCCAAGCTCAGCAGCTCACAATGGATATGAACAATGATAATGACATTATCATGACTGGTGGACGTGAGGTTGAAGCGGAGCCGATGGAGATGGACGACAGCAGTTTTGCTCGTGAGTCTTACTGGCGCTTTGCATTTCGGCGCATTTTGTCCCTATATCAGCACTCTAGAGGATAACTACATCCTTATTCTTTAGAGATATTTTATCACCCCCCTCCTTGGCCTTAGGCCTATCGTTAATCCTGCACACTACTATGGCTATAACCTATATCAGCTGTCAAGCTTGATATCATTCTTTACTTCAAGAAGCCATGTTGCTGAATTATGCTAACTTGGGGACCCCAATCCAGCTGGCCGTTCACGCAGATGGCACGGACATATGCCGCCTAACAACTTGCCCATCTACGGTCACCCCGAAGACATACGCGAGTCCTCAGAGACACGCGAGCGGAGACATGCAGCGATAAGCATTCTAAATGACCCAGAGCTCTTGATGTTTCATGCTCTTTCTAGCAATGAAGTATGCACCCACATATCCACCCTGCTCTCTCTATCTCTCCCTCTTTTTTGTTCCTCCGAGAAACAAGGAAACGAGGATCTAAAGAGCCGGACGGGAGTGGTCTTACGGAAGGCTGCCTCGTTTTGGGTGGCACGCAGAAAAAAGAAGAAGAAAAAGAAGAGAGCTAAACCCATATCTCTCCAGTCTATCCCCCAAACCCGCCGCCGCTTCCTCCACCACCTAATCGGCATCACACCGCCAACTACTCGCCCTTTCGCGATCCGCGACCTGTCGCGATACCGTTCGGAAGACTCGCACCATGTATATGTCCGCCGGCAACCGCAATCAAGCAGCCACGATCATCACGGTTCCGGCAGCAACAGATCTGGCTATACAGCCTATGAACAGGCACCCACGATGATCGATATTATTGAAATCAACGGCGGCTGGGAAACGGATGCTGAAGGCGAGGGAGCCGCGAATAAGTCGAGGAATGGTTCGTCGACGTGTGGAAGTGCTAGAAGCGGAGGGGGGGCTAGCCCGGGGCCTTCTGGTAGAGTGAAAGGGAAGGGAAGAGGCTAAGCTAAGGCTTGATGGTCATGTCGTTAAGAGGTCACAAGGTCCCCAGGGAGTATGGGAGTATTATGGCGTTGAGATATTCGTAAGAAACAAGGATTAGGTTCTGGGTATTCTAAATTTCTTCCAACATTTGCCGCTCCAGATGTGAGCTAGTTAAGAGTACCTCTCTACAGCTATAACCCCAGGAACAAATGAAATCTATTTCCATTCATGAACATGTTGATCACTCAGATATGTATCTATAAGCTGTTTGTTTGGTCCTAGATATATACAAGTGGTAAGCGAATTATATCACTCACCCTTCTCCCCACATCCAGCTCAAAACCAAACTGACCAATATACAGGGATCCGTGAAGATCGAATAAAACTGTAAAGTGACATCATTATCCCATTTCTTCGGTGAAATGTCATCTGTAAATTTCCCTTTTTCCCCCCTCATTCCCACTCTTTCAACGTTCACCTTCCGCTTTAAGTGTCGGCCGGGTAAATAATCCTAGAGTGTAGTCAAGGCAAAAGAGTATATACAAGCGAGAAAAGTATGGTGTGGGGCCGGGGATGTTTGGAAATTGAAAGGATATCGGTCGTGTGCTCCGCGCAGTAGGGAGATAGGGATTTATAAAGGTTCTCGGTAAGTTTTCAAGGAGGTAAAAGCGCGGTAAATAAAAGAAGGCGTCATGGAGGATATTGCTCGTAAATGTGCTCTTTTTTCGTCGTTGATATGCTTGTCGTCGCAGGGTTCCCTTTTTTTTTTTTTTTTTTTTTTTTTTTTTTTTTTTTTAAGATTCACCCTTGGCTGCTCGATTGGAAGTTCCTTAAAAGAGGGAAGCGTTGCGGATACTGGTCAGGTCTTGACTCCATAGAGTAATCCGCGCATGAACCGTAGGAACGGCCGAAGTCTCCTAATGCGCAGGAAAACGCTTATCCTTTACACAGAGGAACATATTGTGAGCAATCAAATTCTGCAGCCGGCCGGAAGGGAAACGTTAATCGAGGGGCGAGAGCCCACAATTTATGGGTTCTCACCAACTTCTCTCCTGATAGACGAGGCTCTCCGCATCCCCTACTTGTTTCCTTTCAGACACCTCTCTGTTTTCAACCATTGAACGAATTACCGCCACATTCATGGGCGTCAATGCTTGGGATGATGATGGAAGCGAAGGGAATAAATGGCGAGCCGAGCGAACGAGTGTGCGGCCATCCTTCATGACTGGTAATTGTCATTGAAGGGGCTCTGAGCTCGAAGAAAGGCGGTTAAGGTGAAGGTAGACATCTGTGCCATATCTAAAAATTCATGTTAGCCAGAGTCCGTAAGAAAGATGATAGGCCAGGGAGAGTGATGTTTACCCCTCCATGCTAATCAACTTTAAGTCACCGCCGAAATACCGTGCATAGAGCCGACTGATCGGAAGCCCATAGCCAAAACCAGCCATTGGAGCCTTAAAATCGCTCTTATTAAAATCCGGGTCCAAATTTGGAGTCTGATCCACTGTGGTGTACATATACGTCCAAACTAGGGGAATTGACGATCTTGGGATACCCCCTCCTTCGTCGGAAATTTTAATTGTTATATCCTCGCGGCCTTCCGCGACAATAACCTTGATCTCAGGGAACGAATCATTCTCCGGGCCATGTGTTTCTACAACAGCACGCAACGAATTCTTCAGAGTTTCGAAAAGCATGTGCGACAGATGCCCCGGGACGTACATAAAATTCAAATCATCTTTGCAGACGAGGCGAACCTTGGGTGCGTCAAATAATCCATAATGATCTTCACAGACGAACCGCGCGTTCTCAATCGCTTCCTGCGCAAGTTCACGGACATTCGTCTTGGTACAGATGATTCCGACATAGTTCGGGTGGTATTCATGCGTCTGCTGTGTAAGGGCAATATGTTGCCCTATCAGCATTCGTATACCGATACGAGACATGTAAAAACGATCAAGGAACGATTGTATATTAGAGTCAATCTGCAGCCGCTGCCTTTTCCGTTTCCATTCCAGAATTCCTTGCGCAACTGTCGTGACCACGCTATCATGCCGCCTTTTGATGTGATGTAGCGTCGAAGCGAACCGGTTGTTATAATCCCTGAGTTCGGGTGGCCAGTCGCCTCCGTCGTCTGCGGCAACAAAGTACCTTCGGTTCCCGCTGACTCTGTGCTTTGTAGTCCCATTTACACCTCCATTGCCGCCGTTGCCGTTAATGCACAGGTCTTTTGTCTGCTGGAGGATGGATGTCGTGGAGGAGCGGTATTGGCCGTTTTTCACACTCGGATTTTGTGTTGCCTCATCGAGGAGTTTCGGCTCGCGGCCATGCTGGCGACTCGGCCGTAGAAGGCGAGCTCTGACTTCCTGCGAAAGGGTTGGCCGTGGCAAACTTATAATTTCCTAATTTGGAAGAATGAGTCAGATGGGGACGAAAAGGGCCCAAAAAAAAAAAAAAAAAAAAAAAAAAAGGCCGGGAGGCATACCTCGAATGACTGTGCATACCAATCCTGCACCTTTCTTATCGAAGGCATGTCGTTTAATCCATCCGGCAGGTCGCCCAGCTCCTTGACTCTGTGTGCTAGGCGGATTGGGAGTTCTTCCGACAGGAATTGGGATGCGCGAAAGAGAGTTCCTGTCTCGTGCGGTGGGAATAAGTTAAAACGGATTCTGCGGGATCCAAAAGGGACTAATTGTAACACACCTGTATCCAACATACCTGTTGATGGTCTATGTCCAAACTGAACCATCTGCCTTAGGGAAACTCCTGTCGCTGGAAACGAGGCATAGTGGCTGATGGTGTCCATCAGCCGTTCTGATGCCTTCCACATGGCTGTGAGTTGGACTCAGGCCCCCGCGGCCTGAGGATATTAACGCTGATATCTCCTTCTCAACCCCCAATTCCAACCGGACTGAACCGCAGGGGGAAAAAAAAAAGAAGAAAAAGAAAAAAAAAAAAAATTATATATATATATATATGTTGTAAAGCGGTTGACGGCTGCGAGACGGTGAATCATACGTGACCACTGTTCTGACTCTTCATATGATCATATAAATTATCAGCTAACCAAAGTTCGGACAGAAACGGGAGAGTGGAAGGTCTCCACCGGACGATGACACGGGGAATGGAGGATGCCGAGGTCGAGTGCGTTCCAACGATCTTGAGTGGGCGAGACACTTACCCAGAGTCGGATGGGCGGCGAATTTTAGCTTATATCCGATCGATGGTTCGAAGCAGCTATAATTACAGCGACAAGCCCCTCCAAACCGCAGGCAGGGCGACAAAATGTCGCAGAGAAATCAAGAATTGTGTGTGAGGGGTGGAGAGGATAGGTCCGGCCCTCTCTTCAACGGAGAATAAAGCCACGCTGCGCCCGTGTCAGGGACTTGGAAGCTGAGGAATGCGAGCGCAAAAAAGCACTCACGTGAAGAAGAGTCTCAGACGACCTGAAACCGCTGTGTACTTCTTGCGTCTTGGGGAGAACATCAAGGAATCTCGTTTGCCCATAGGAAGGGCTTGCGACGCAGGTATCTTCCAGTAGCTCTCTCGCCTGTGCAGGTAACTCTCGAGTCTCCAGGTACACCGAGCAGCGAGACAAGCCGGCGGTTGAGTTTCTTTTTTTTTTTTTTGTCCTGCAGAGACTGCGGTTAGCTAAGCAGGCTTGGTTCGGTGGCGGACAATGAGTCTCCGTCAAAGCAGCCACCCTTGCCATCGAGCTTGGAAATATGCCCTCGCCCGCCCTTGTTTGCTCCCTGGCATGGGAAATCGACCGTGATCCTCACCTTTTTAAATCAGTTGACAGCTATGACGAAGGTGGACGGCCGTTGATGGTCGGCTACCGTCGCTTAGACTTGGAGGCGTGGCCCCGTTCAGAAGAAGAAAAAACAGATCGAATGAGGACTCCTGCATTACAACCAGGATATTCGGCCCTAGACAGGAGTTCTACTTTCGAAGTATCTTCCATATCTCGACATATACCTGAAGAGAGCTGCCTCGTTCCTTTTTTTTTTTTTTTCTTTTTTCCAAGTTAAACCAGCCACGCTAGTTATTCTGGCAACTGGCGCTGGCTGTGTATCTCATCCGCGTCTCGGAGAAGGTAGGGAGTAATAGTTTCCACTCGAGCAGCTCGGAAGGACCCCGAGAAGCTGCGGCGATCGCTTCCAGTTGCATGCGGTGATGGGCGTGTTCGGCGAATGACAGGGAACTTGACGGCCAGCCCCGCGGATCTCACCCGCGGGGGAAGCAAAAGCAATTACCAACATGTGGCTTTGCCCAAAAGCTTGCCTTTCTCCGCACCGTAAGAAAGGGGCACAAATCAGAACAATAATATGATGTCACTGGCATGAGAATGTATTAGTTATATCTGCTCCCTACACAGCAAAATTACACACCCGGCTGTTTGGATAATCCTTCTCGAAGCAAATGCCCGGTTGTTCCGCAGTTGGTTGCACGGACAGTAAAGCCCAGCAGCACTGTTCGGAAGATCCAGGGGCATAGCCCATTTTAAAAATTCCCCCTCGTAAGGCCAAATTTTGCCGATAGTTTCCATGAATCGTTCCCCCTCACGACAACTATGGATAATGTGATCAAGCCACATTCAGCTTGACGAGCATGAAGGAAATCTTCTCCAGGCCTTGAGCCTCGTGGATCCCAGATTATTTGAGATAACCTCGATTGATCGCCAGAATGCGGAGAAAAAGCGAAACCGAAAAGTGTCTCAACATCAAGCATGGAATATTGCTACACAGAAGACTACACAAATATTGCATCGCGGACAAATCCATTTATCTAACACTCTGCTCACAGCTGAACTATAGAAAGAAACAATTTATACTACCCGGATTGTTTCAGCAGGTATAGGAGAGTTTTGCACCCCTGCGGAAGCATAACTCCACAAGATATTTGTGATAATTCGCATATGCGAGAGCACTACAGCATGATTAGCAAAATTTTTTTTTCATGATCATAGTTTGTGCGTTTCCACAAACTATTGCATGAATACAAGTGAGATAATGCACTCTCCTTTGACTGTACAACGATATAGCCCGAAACTGAAATAACCGGATAAATGGCAAAGAGAGAGACTAGGTTTCGAAGCAGGCACTGTATATTGGAGACACCGTATCCAGTATCAGATTCGCAGAAGACAAGCCGCACAGGGTAGAATTCATTAGTCATGCGAACCTGGATTCTCCACATGGAGACGGAGTTGATTTTGAACTTTTTACACGCCACTGCTCATCTACGGAGCGCGGTACATCAGCCAGCACATACCTTTTGAAATGTAGGTATGTCCACAAGAAAGCCCGATGACATCGCCGAGCGTTCCAGGCATGGTTACGTTTAACATCTCCGGTCCAATGTCCCATGGCGGGATATGGGGTTTGAACCCTTTTCTTTTTTCTTTTTTCTTTTTTCTTTTTTTTTTTTTTTTTTTTTTTTTTTTTTGGAGCGAACTCCGGCACGGGTTTATGTCCAGTTTAACAGCAGTGACTTTGACGCCCATGCTTCACATTCGGAGCCTATCAGGATTAAAGAGCGATGAATTTTCATGAAAAAAAGACATTTTCAGCAGCTTCACTCGTCAGTGAAGACGGAACAGCCCAGCCAGCTACCTATCCGAGATTCGCCGGGATTGGCCGGGCCGGACTGAAAGCACGTGATGATCACGCTTCGCACCGACAAGGGGGGAAAAAAAAAGGCCCCTTGACGAGACGAAAAAGGAAAAAAAGTCATTCGAAATCCCATAGGCTGAGATGGTTTACCAATGGCTCCGGAGAGGAAAACATGAACTTGGCAGGGATCGAACCTGCAATCTTCTGATTCGTAGTCAGACGCCTTGCCATTGGGCCACAAGTCCAGTTGATATATTCCCGGTTGGAAGAAGTGGAACCTCTTAAGACGCGGGTAACGGGTGGATTCGGCGGACCCCAAGAGCCTCAAATTAACACCAGGGCCGTCAATGGCAGCATCGCGATCGAGTGAGTCTCTGGGAGAGCTCGAGTCCATTGGGAAGCCATGGGGTCCGGTCGGGCGATGGAAACGGACGAGAAGGACCACGACAAAAATAACTACCGCGGGACCAAAAAAAGCGGCGATGAGACCAGGCCTTTGAATACGTTGGATCCAGCATAATCACATCCTCGGCATTGAACAAAGGCAAAGGGGTTCTTCTTCAAGAAGAATGTCATCATGTTTTTTGCAATGAAGAGCACCCAGGAGGATAATAAAGGGATGAGAACGTGACAAAAGGACGAGACCTCAAAAGATGACAGGGAAAGGTCGAAGCAAGCAAGACATGCATGACGACACCACCCTCCTCCCCCCCAAAACGGATGTCCCGCGGCGAGATGCTCTGAAATTCACCGGACTTTCGGCTCTGGTGACGCTTCGCCTTGCTCGGCGATGTGCGGGGGATGCCAGCGGTGGTCGACCTGAGCTTGGCAACGACAACCTTTTCCGTCGCCACAGCGCTATAAATAGCACCTCACATGGGCGTTTTTTTGGGCGCGTGTAACATACATAACTCCCGTAACACGGCAGCGTTTCAACGTATTTCGGAGTGGGGCCGCCGGATAAACTTAATTCCCGAGATTGCTCTTCCCGACAACTCCGGACGATGATTGGCTGATATATTTCAGTTACGCGCATTTCCGGAGAATTACCCGTCGCGGGCCAATAAGACAACGATACGTTGTGGGTCAAAACGGCGCTTGAAACAAAATGTTTGCGCAGCGAAGCGAAATGTGGCCAATCAGATAGCAGAGTCGGCCCTCGCCGACAGCCGCGATTGGACAAATTGGAATTATTCGCACGTCCGAAATTCTCCCTCCACGCTTTTCCCCTTGTCGAGGAGCATCGTCGTCGCCTGTTGCTGTCGATGTCGAGAGAGACCGCTGCGCACAGTGGTCGATAAATTGACGGAAGCAGTCTCTCTCCCGCTCTCCCGTCTTCATCTCGACTTGCGAAGAAACAAAATTTCCTCGTCTGTGCCGCCTCCCCAGGAATCGCGAGGCCAAGACAGTCCGGCTGCTGGATCCCTGCAGCCAGGCCGCCCTTGTGCCTTGCCATTGGATCACCAGCTCGTGTTCTCGTTCCACTTAGTATCAAACCGCCATCAGAAGCTAATCACAGCTGTCAGAAGAATGGGCAGAGCCTCGTTTTTTGCTGGCACGAGAAGTGCAAATCTCCTTTCCCCGTTGAGGCTGGGGCGGGTGGATGATCGGGTCTCCCTTTTTCCTCTCTCTCACACACACACACGCTCTCTCTCTCTCTCTCTTTTTTGACCGCACAGGTGGTGGAGAGTTTCATCTTTACCATCAGATCCATCAGAGCGAATCGTTCCTTCGTTCGTTCTGTCACTCACTTCTTTGACTGCTTACTGTCAGCTGCTGGGCTCCAGTAAGATCTACCAATTCTTGGCATTTGTTTGTCAAGAGGAGTCACTTTCATCGGGTCTGTCCGTCGACCGCTTGGTGTGCCATAGGCTTCCTCCCCTCCCTGCTGGCAGTCGTCGGCGGGCTGCGAGAAAGCGAGAAAAGATCAGATCTTCACGGTTTTTGTTGATTCCATCTCCCGTGCATACCTATCCACGCCATGCACCACTTTTCGTGGACCACCGCCCTTGCGGCCCTGCTCTCCCTCGGGAGCGTAGAGGGCTCAATGTCTATCATGCCGTTGCCTCAAGAAACCCCTATCGGCTTGATGGCCGCGGTTGGCATGTCTCCAAAGCCTACTGATCCGCCAGGTGTGCCACCCGGCTTTCCTCGCGAGCTGTTACCGCGGAAGGACAAAACGACATTGCCTCTTCCTCCGCCTGGGTACTACTGCGGCTTAGTCACTAGCGATCCCGGTGCGTCATCCCAATCCACCGTAACCCCCCTTTGATATCAACAATTAATTTCTTTTTTTTTCTTTCCTTTTCCCACTACGCACTTACTAATTGGTGCTGCTCTTGCGCAGATAACTTGCTGACCTGCGTCAACGCCCGAGCCAACTGCGTCCATCAGGGCACCGCCATTGGCTGCTGCATTAGCAGCGAAATCACCGACTGTACGAACATCCCATCTAGTTGCATCAACTATGGCGACGAGTGCGATGCTTCCTGCAGAAGCAACCGCAGGATCTTGAAATGCACCACCACCACCGAACCGTACTGCGGAACGTACTTCTTCGGTGGCGGATCGAAACTGTTCGGATGTCGGTCCTATGCCTCGGTTTCGTCACAAGTCCAGCAACTCACCGATTACTACGAGTCTGTCTATGGCTCCTCTTGGAGAACCCACCTGACTTCCTCGAGCTCATCCGACTTTGACCTGCCTTCCGCCCCTCCCGAGCCTACGCAAACCGAAGAGTCGACCCCGCCTGCACCAGATGAAACTTCTTCTTCCCCAGCCGGCCCATCACAATCCACTGGGCCTTCAGAGTCACAAGATGACGACGATGATGATGACGGCACTGGCAGAGGCAAACGAAAGAAGAGTCTCTCCGGCGGTGCCATCGCCGGTGTCGTCGTCGGCGCCTGCGCTGGCGTCGGAGCCATCGCCGCTTTCCTCGTCTGGTTCTTCTGCGTGAAGAAGAAGGCTGACCAGAACAATAATGGCGCCGCTGCCGCCGGCGCCGGCGTTCCTCCTCCTGGGCCACCAATGGCGCCCCACGATCAATACGGACAGCCTCAAAACGCAGCAATGGGTTATTATGCACCACCACCGGCTGTGGATAACAAGCCCCTCGACGGCTCCCAACCTCCTCCTTCATATGGCTATGACAAAGTGCCCCAAACCGATATGGCCGAAATGCCTGGTAATCTCCAACCACCGCCGCCGCAGCAGCCGATGCCGCCGCAGGGTCAAGCAAATGATTATTACAACCAGCGTGTGAGCATGGGTCCGCCAAGTCCTCTGAGCGGTAGCAGTCCCGGGAGTCCCAATGGCATGCACCCAACGCATACAGGCCCTGTGCCAGAGCAGATTTATGAAATGGGACCCGGGAGATAGGGGGAAAAAAAAGAAAAAGACGGTAATGACATACATAATCCTTGAGCAGAAATACAGCAATATGATAGCGAGGAACAAAATCCTTAGTACATATATACCATACATGCCTAAGTAGTAAATTTAGGTGAATGGGAAAAGGATACAGGAAGCACATCCATCAATAAAGGAAGAGATACCAAATTGGTGTTTTCTTTTCTTTTCTTTTTTTGGCATAAACGTCCAGTTTTTTTCGTTTTTTTAATGATATCCTGTCTTATGTTATTATTACCTCTTTACCTTTTTTTTTTTTCTTTTTCTCTGTTTTTTTTTAACATCTTGCATGCCAGCTTCATCCCACCTTTCTCTTCTGCCAGCGTTCGTTGGGCTTCTTTTTATCCTTTCCCCCTGCTTTACGGAAACACGGTTGACTGCGGAGTCCATTGGCCCTCTCTCTCCCCCTCTCGGTATGTATGTATTTAACCCGCCCCTTATACCATACTTCCTCTCAAACTCACGCCTACATGTTAGAGGTTCTCCCACTTCTCTCTTGGAGAATCGAAGATTATCTATTCTGTATTTCTAATAGCTTAATATACATATATCCTATATGTCGAAGATTACCTTATCACTTACATGTGTGTAATATTATTCCTTTGTGTTCCACTTGGAAGTGATCATGTGTCTGCGAAAGCGTAACAATGCATATTATTCGGACAAAACCAGATGCTTCCTATGAAAAACAGAGCAAGGTCCATTGAAACAAGAACAAAGAAATTGTTATCCGCAAATATTTTTTTAATTCATTGCTACTGGGGAGTGCAGGGTGCATACATTGATGTATGCAGACAACCCAAGCACCTACCAAGTGAGGCCTCTTTAAGTCTGGTTTTTATGATTATGCATGCTTGCTTGCTTTTTTTTTTTGGGGTTCTGCATATGTTTTAATTTCACCAGCCAAATGCCTGCTAAGGCGCCGCCACGCTAAATGCAATCATTGCAGGAAAGAAGAAAACAGGAACACATAGCATGAAAAATTGGAAGATGGTGATGCAGTTGAAAACAAAAATGAAAAATAGAGGCGGCAATTATACAAATTCATACATTTACAGGAAGAAATGCGTAGAATAATGAGGTGTCTAGAGAACGGTTCGAAGTAAAACAGAATGAGAAAGGTGCAGGGGGAAAAAAAATGCTTGAGATGCGGGATAGTCGCGAAAGCAAAGAGGACGCATGAGAGAGAATGCAATTAACCGCATCCATGAACGAAGTCGTTCTTTGGCCATGAGTAGTCTGTCTGCGACCTAGGAATCAAGTTAGCATATATGTTCTCCCTGCTCTTTAGGGCCACACTTACCAGGTTGTCAGGTTAGGATTGGTATAGACTTCCTTGTGCTTCTTGATATAGCGCGTTGTCTCCATCCCTGGCGGGTCACAAGTCACGCTTTTCTTATCAGGATCCTGGTACAGTCTCACGTAGTCGAATCTCATCTTTGCGGGGAGCAATGGCGCTAGACCTGTCAGGTTCAACGGTGCAAAACTGTGGGACATGCCCAAGTTCATGATAATTGCCATGGGCTCGACGGGGATCACTCGCTGTCCGATATTCCCATTGGGCCCGATGGCACGTGCATCGAGTTTCCAGGTTTTATCTTTACCGACAAACCACGTTATTTCTCCTTTCGCACCAGGCGTGTATTCGAAGGCGTATACTTGATATGCTTTGCCGTCATACCAGTCGTTGTTTAAGTTGGTGATTCCAGAAATGGCTTGCTGGAAAGGGCCACCGCGGTAGTCATTTATATGCGTGATTTTGGGATCATACAATTCCATAAATTCTACCGCGTTGTTAGGCCAAAGGAGATATGAGGTGTTTGATAGTATACTAACCATAGTTTGGCATATACCAAATATCAAAAGGTGCAATTTGTGCACTTTGCGATACATCACCGATGGTTGATGAAACTTCCTTATTTAGTGGATGGACACTGGCTTCAATAACGTCAATTTCCGGGGCGGATCGCGACTTTCCGGGTGTTGGGTGGTCCTCGCCGTCGCACGTGCAGGCTGGAAGTTTCATCCCGGGAAGAAAGCTAATCCCATCTGTGGAGCTTTGGTTTGCAGTAATACCAGCGTCGCACTTGTCGTGGTAAGTGTATGGCCACATGCCTTCGGTTGTAGCGGCATATCCAGGTCGTCCGAGATTGCCCATGGACCAGAAACCTGGCCAAAGACCAGAGGTATCGCCTCGACCAGGAAGGGATATGCTCGCCTCCAAACGCCCTCCAGTGAAGCACAGCTGATTCCACGACTGCACCATACCAGATCGATAATTTAGTCCATGATTTTGAAAAGCATCAAATCGTATCTCCAAAACGCCGTCCTTTGTCGTAACGGCATCAGGGTCATACCACTTTGCCGATCATTAGTTAATCCATACTTAGATATGGAGGACAAAGCTTAACATACTTCCAAATCCTGTGTAACGCCATACCAAATATCAACTGCTTGCAAAAATGGGTCATCTCCTTCAAAAAAGGTGCGTCCGTCCCGATTGAACTCATCAGAAAACTGCGAAGTGTGTCAACCCTAGCTTCTCTTTGAATGACTAAGATCGCTTGTTAGTTACTTACCACTAACTCCCACTTTTTGCCATCCGCCGCAGTAATTGACTTTGCTGAATCAGGGGTATCAGGGTCAATCAATGAAGTTCGAATATTTTTCAATGAAATTTTTCCGACATCAAGACACATCGGATCAGCATTGCAGCCAGTTGGATCAGAGCCACGAATCAATTTTTCGGCAAAGGTGCTATCTCGCAGTTAGCAACACTCAAGATGAGGGAGGAAATCTCCTTTATTTTTGGGACGTCATACATAACTGGGTAACCAATGAAAAGAGTCAAAAGGCCTAAACAAATGAAAAGCAAGGCGCCAACGTTCAGGAATCCTCTTTTTGTGCACACCCGACAATCCCGGTATTTATCCTCTGGGTCGGGATTATGCATCTCGTCGTCCTTTTCCACGTCGTGCGGGAAGACTATGAGATCCTTATCCGGGAAGATGGCAAATTTCTCAGCAACGGTTTGCGTGTTGATCACATCCTCGTCGCTCCCTTCTCGCGATGAAACTTTCGACTCTCCAAATGGGTAGTATTCGAAGTATTGACGACTGTTACGACTCCCTGCGTCGGAGGTCCAGCTCGATCTACACGATAAATCGTGGTGTGATTCTGCATTGTGCCGGCGAGTCTCGAGGTACGCTCTTGTCGGGGGAATGGCCAGACGCTCTGGAGAGGAATTGAGCCGACTAACTGGCGAATAAGGCGGTTCAGGAGGTGCGATCAATGGACGAGATGCGGCGGAGAACTCGCCCACACCATTTGACTGGTCTGTAAAAGGATCATGATAGCCGGAATTCAGGCGAAGTTGGGGTACTTTTTTCGCTCGGTTCACGTTGGAATTCATGGTGATTAAAAAAGTTGAATATCATAAAACGGCTTGAGCAACGAAGGAAATCGAAGTAGAAGTCGAAAACCGGGGGCGGGAAGGAGTGTGAAATCTCCACACTATCCAGAAGGGGGGAGTTCAAAATTCTGCACAAATTGAAGAAGAAAGATGTAAGATTAAAATCCGATAAGGAGACCGACAGGCGTCAAATAGGTCATCGACATTCATCAACATTTGCAACAGTGGATGGCAATAAATCGCAGCTCAAGTGAGAAGGCAAAATAGGGATATGGTGATATCGACGCCGCGAGAACGGGAGAGCGGTGGACGCAACAGGTTGAAGGATTAACGAGCGACTGGGGTTATGGCAACCGACGAGTAGCACGGCCGAAATGAGCCTCAGCAGATGGGAACGGACTCGCAACTCGATGATGGGAAGAATGGCGGTATGAAGAAGATAACAAGATCTGGTGATAGCTGAGACTTGGCAGAGACTCACAAGAGGACGTCGGCTTGAAAAGAAAGACGAGACAAGAAGATCAAAGTTAACTGTCTCTTGCTGAGAGACAACTGTTGTCTCGCAGAACCACGGCACCAGGAGCGGTTTCGTCAGTTGTGGGACGAGCTTGAGGATCCAGCAGTCGACGGAGAGGTTCTAGGTTACGGGCAGCGGAACCTCTGGAGCCGTCGAAGGTAAGCACGAAGACCGGAGACGGAGATCCCCTTGATATGGAGGCGTGAAGGGGGGGTAAAGGGAGGGAGGTCTGGGTGGTGAGGACGAGGACGAGAAATTGGATGAGAGAAGGTTAAGGAGAGGAGAGGTCCAGTTAAGCTTACTGGGAGAGCCGCGCGAGTGATGTCGCTCTGCGCAACGCGTAGTAGGTGTGGGTGGATGTGAGGGTCCCCTTCTGAAAAGCGAACTAGAAAACAAAAACAAGTGTAAAAATAGCACCTGCAGGTTCCAGACTCTGTAGCAGTGACAGAGGGAAAGGCTCACCACATGGCCGTGTAGTAGTTTGGAGGGTTAGAGATGCGAGTGGGAGCATGGAACGAGTTTGTTGTTTCTTGTTTCCCTCAGGAGCGCAAGAAAAATTAACAGGATCAGAAAAGTGAAGCTTGTAATTTTTCACTGTGACGGGATCTGTAAGCTCCCAGGTTTGGGAAGTGACACAGCTTGACATCATCCCTCAGTGTGTATGTATGTATACTTGCCAACGGCGGCAGAGTGGAAATGAAACCGTTACAAGTACTCCGTACCACACCACCAGCACCGACAAGGAGAGTCCCGCTGCGTGATTTTGGCGGCCTTTGTCTGCTTAGTTGGGGCGCAGGGCCCCGTCGAAGGAGCTGGAGAACTGGAGTTCTCTGTAGAAATTTGCCTCCTGTGCTGCATAGCTTCGGTTCGGCTGATGCAGCAGAGGACAAGCGCGCACCGCACCCCTCAAGCAAACGACGAGATGAAAATTACATCTCTCATTCCTTGGTCGCATTGCGGCACGTATGTACGTATGTATACGTACATGTACTCATCTATCTGATACATATGTATTAGCTGTACCACGGCAGTTGGTACATCGATCCATCCATCCGCTGTGGTCGTCATACTGGCAAAAAAGCAAATTTCAAGGAACAAAGAGCTGGCACCGGTTCGGAAGGGTTCGCCCTCAACCGCCCAGGGGAACACACCTCATTCGCCAGATTTACATCTTGGCATTGCCTTATTGTCCAATAATATTACTTAAAAAGAAAACACTTCGCCAGAGTGGCACGCTCACTGGCTGACCACACGATCGGAGTGCCTCGATTTTCACGTGATGTAAATCTGTTTTGGCGCTTACGTGTCTTCCAGGATGATATCAAGGCACGGCTGTCTGCCGCTGGGTTGAGGCCTCGCCCGTCCTAGAGGGCGTCCGACGGGACCTGCGCAGGTTTGGCCCTCCCTTCTCCCGGCGCGCCAGACGGGCACGGCCACGTACTCACTGGACCCTCCTTTCCTCTTGATCCTTCAGACTCGAAATCTGCTCGCGGAGGATTCGCCCAGCGCTTAGTGGTTGCATCGCTCATGGTTCTCCGGGCTAGCTTTTGCTTTGGTCCCTGTCGCCAAGCCGGGCCAACGATGCACGTCGATCTGGCCGACTACCTTAAAATGACTTTACGAGCTCGCCACTCCGATCCTCCTGGGAATCTAACGTGAAATTTTTTTTTCATGTGGCATGGCGGATGGCAAGGGGGAGAGTTGCAGATTACAGAGTATTGAGTGTTCAGGGGGGAGAATATTGAACTTATAATAACCAGAGCCAGTTAGTTCTGAGTCAGTCGTCATCCTAAAAATCATCCCCCCACGCACAGAGTTAAAACCGGTCCCGATGAAAATGGCTCAGATCTCCGGGGTACGTAGGACTCGAAATCGATAGAGCGACTCCCCCGATCGCACATATCGAACCGTGAGCTCATACAGACCCCCATAGCCCAAGGTGTGGATTTGGATCCCATTCCTATTTCCTCGCAAAGGCAAATCTCGAACACACCCCCGAATGCTTGAAGCTGCAGAACAGACGGTGTGATCGGATGTTGACAACCGGTGCAGAGAACGGCAATGGTAAGTCAGAGTTATTACGCACACCTATGACGCTCGAATCTCATGGTTATCATGATGCCGGAGGCTGTATATATTAAATAAACGTGAGCGGCAAAGGTTGGAGCGTGGCTTAGACATCTATGAGGATATCTGTCCTGAGACACTTGACGACATATGATTGATCACCCATTTTGTGGCTTCCAGGTTTGAAGCTCATAGAGTATACAAGTCCCTTCCAGGGTGGATCGGTGTACTCAGATCGATGAAAGACTTTCCCTAGGTCGGCATCTACTGCGTACTTTGACGGGAAATGATACATGGTACGGAGTGCGGGAAGCATATCAGAAAACATGGCTGGAGATTCCTAATCGCTGCAATCCGTCCATGGTCGCCTAGTACGGAGTATGTATGTATGCACATCCGTACTGGCATTGATCGATGTGTGCTCACCTCCCCCATGGCATTGAATCGGATGCGAGGCCTGTGCAGTATTTTCACTTCATCAATATTCTTTCGACAACGGAACACAAGGTATTGCTGATACAAATTATTCTATACATTGTCCTTTTTTATAAATTATCTAAGATCAATTTTTCACATCAAGCCCAAGGAGTGCGTGAGATTAAGGTCATGGTGTAATAGATTCTCATGCCTCTAGGCGATGACTTTCACTCGGGTGCGACTTGTTCTCGCCAACCGTCCATCGGCCTAGACACTAATCCCCTCTACTAACCGTCGCAGGGCGACTCTCTCCGTCAACAGAATGCAAGGAAAGCCCACCAGCCGTGATAAAATGATACGATCCCAAACATGAGCACGTGTGGGGATTTGAGCTCATCCTACACGGATACCCCCATGTATTATTTCATAATGTCGGAGTAGAAGGCTGGCTCGTGCGCACACCACCTCCATCTATAAAGCCATGCATCGGGAACTTTGCGCCTTTCGATATGCAGTGGTCGAAATCTCTTAAATTGCACACATATTATCTTGGAGAGACACGGTAGCTAAAGCTATAAATTTCCGAGTTAGTTTGGTTAACTATGTCGTATGAACTCCTGTAGAGTAACCGGTACAGGACCAATCCATGAGAAGCGTGCAAATTAGGCCCTGCAGCATCAGAAGCGACCTTTTTGTTGCTCTCTAAGATTCCATCTTTCAGCCATCGTTATCAGCGGGAGTCACACTTTTGTCATGGCCTTCTCGTAAACTAGATAAGAATCTGATGAGTTCTCGCCCTCAGACAACGAGGATAAAGTTATTCCTCTGCTGGTATAAGGGGCTGTTTTGGGGAAAAACAGAGAATGATTTAAGATGCATCTCTCCTAAAAGTGGCTGATCATGGGTCCGATTCCCTGTGGTTGTGATGAACAAGAGAGCCTCTACCGCTTGGTCAGAGGACGAGGAACTAAGATAATATTGGGGAAAAAATATGAAATGAAAATGAAAGAGGGAGAAAGCGAGAGAGCAAGGGAGCAAGAAAAATAGCTGCCTGTTGGATATGCCTCTCAACATCCTCGCTTAGTTCAAGACCCTAGCAAATTCCGGGTTCTCGCGGCACACTACGTCGGAAAACCCCCGTGTTCTGACCCCAGACGACTCCAAATCGAACGAACTCCCGAGGACTTATAATGCAGGAATTCTTCCAGTTCATCATTTTAAACATATTCCAAAGTTTAGCATAGGAACATTATAAGCTCCTACTTTTTCTGTTTGAGGACTTGTTTTGACACAGCGTGCACCTCACTCAAAATAAGCTTGATTTGCATACCTCGAGGTACATACATACCAAAGTTTGTGCTTTCTCCAGGGAATACGGAGTAGCGTCAAACTGTTCATGATGTTGGAAGCGGAGAATTTTCGTCGGAACGAAGATCCTCGCGGGTGCAACTTGTAAAGCAATATGAGGTACGGAATACGAATCCCCAAAATGAGGTGGAGAACTGGAGAAAGAAGGGCTAATGCTGGGCACAAGTATCCGACAGCCACCTCAGCCATGACTGATCAGAGATCATGTTCAGAAAACACAAGGTATCCTTCTGTGGTACAGGTTTCTGCTACAAGCGACAAGCTTCTTTAGAGTTGGAGCGTTGCGACACAGCTGTGGAGAACGGCAATTTTCTCTGACAAATTTGCAACCGGTGGCCTTTGGAAGATAACCATGGAATATCATTCTTCACGTCTGTTTCTCAGCAACAAGACTGGTTCACTGGGACAGCAAAGGTATTGAGTTTCAACATAAAGAAGCCTTCATACTTCTCCCACTAGTGCACCACAATCCTTTCTGTTGTTCGGATGTCAAAATGACCCCAGCTTGTGACAACAGGCAGCACAAATAACACCTGATTTTTTTTCAACCAGACACATCTCAAATAATCGGTGTGATTTAAACTAACTATGCTGCTAGCTAACCACCTGTTGCAATACTCGAAAAAGCAGCGCCGGTTCCCTGCCCGGAATAACAGGAAAATTAAAAAAACAAAATTATGACGGAAAAAAAACATACAACAGCCGGGATTCGCTGGTGGTCACCCACCCAACTACTAGCCGGCCGGCAAGTGACTTAAGTACGGCTGAGCAGACGGGAAGCCCTGTTCTCCACTTCCTATGGTCGTATGTATCTATTCAGATCGCTAACTCGAACCAAAAGCGTCCGAGTACTCCCGGCCTTATGGCACAAGAAGCAGTGCCCTGGTTGAGGCACTGTCGATAATTAGTCGGTGGCCATGCCCTATCAAGACTTTCCGGCCAATAACTGGATAACATGGAAGGAGATGCAAGGGCGCGTTTCAGATCCGCCATTTGGCATTTCAGATGTGCTCGGCAATGAACTCTCGGTTCAGCAAGATTGAGACGTGCACCGCACTGCGCATAGCGGCGGTCTTGCGAAAAGTCTCCACAAGGTTGTGCTCGAGTCCTTTGAGGGAGCAGCCGCTGTTATTCTGAGTATGATTTCTCAACGACCGCAGTTTTATGGCTGGGTCCGCCCAGTTGAGCTGAAACTAGCGCCAAGGCGCCAAGAAGACGATTTCCTTCACGCCACTCCGCCCGGCGTCCGCTGACGACCCCTATGGCTAGGTGAATTTGGAAATATCTGCAGAGCGCGGCCACTTTGCATTCACTATAGCCAATAGATCGGTTCTGTCGAGAAAATAAAGATAGGACAAACTCCGCCGCACGGAGTTGTTAACCAATCCATTGGCTTTAAAAGAATGGTACGGCAAAAGGCTAATTTGCGATTCCCGCTCCGCCTAGATTGCTTGGCGCACCCCGTGGATTCAGGGCGTCTTGTCTTCGCTCATCCAGTAACACCGCTAGCTGAGTTCGGATCAACTGACAGAGGTGCGCTCGAAGTGGGATAGGGCTGTCCTTCACACGCTCGTCGAATCTAAATAGAGCTATTGGATGTGCCCTGCGGACAACAAATAGTAGGGCGTCATGGCTGGTACGGAGTATTCCACTATAGGCTGGCTCCTTTTCCAAGCATGGCCCCAGACGCCCCCATGTCGCTATGCGGTACCGATGGACCTCTTTTCGGTCAAGGAGACGTGTCTCGGTCCAAGATTATTCCTTTCCCATCTTCCCCGAGTCAGGAAGCCCTGGAGACCGTGATAGATTAAGTCAAGAATCGATTATTGCCGCCAAGCAGACGATCGCTGCATTGGCCGCCTTAGCACAAAGGAGAAAGTGTCCTCGGCATCTCCCTTGGTTGACCCGCGTCGTCGACAGCGGCCAAGGCACATTCAGCCGAAGTGTCGAAAGTTTTACCGCCGCCAAGCAGGCGATCAAAGTGGCTTCTCTTGTCCGTAGCATCCGCCAGACATGGAAGTTGAAGCCGTGACAACGTTTGTCTGAAGGAGAATGTGCATTGCATATCCGCTTTCAATGAATGGAGCTGACGAGGAGGTCGTTATCTTCCTCCAAACCTGAAAATAGATATTATCGTTCCCTAAGCCACTTTCTTTCGTATCCGTCAATCGTTCCTCTCTTCTCTCTTTTCCCACTCTTTTTGGCTGCTTCTCTCTGGTAGAGACACATCGACCTTTCCTTGAATTATCACACTCACACTCGGGTGCTGCAGGCAGTATCTGAGTCGCTGAACTCGCTCAGACGCCATGCCTACCCTTGATGTCAGCGAGCTCAACATTGTGCTCTCGGTCCTAGGTTTGCAGACCATTATATTAACCAGGAATGCTTTCCTGCTAATTATTGGGCAGGAGCATTCACGCTGCTCTACGGTTTCATTTCTTCAAAGATCAAGAATGTCTGGTATCTCGGAGAAGCACGTATGTAATAATCAATGCAAAGGAATCCAAACTTTTCACTTACTCTTTCAACTTTATAGTGCCTGCAGTCGTTTTTGGGATAGTTTTAGGCCCAATCGCATCAAAATTTATCGACGCGGAGAGGTGGGGCGTTGCAGCCCCCGGTCAACAAAATGCCATCACACTGGTATGTACGAGACGTTTCCCGTCTGTTTTATCTATTTCAGAAATGGATGCTTAAGGCCATCATCTTTCAGGGACTTACCCGCGTTGTCATCGGGGTTCAGTTGGTCATTGCTGGATACCAACTGCCCGCAAAGTATCTACAGACTCGCTGGAAGGAGATGTTGATCTGTCTGCTGCCCATAATGACCATCATGTGGTTATGCACCACGGGCTGCATTCTTTTGACTATCCCAAAGCTCACTCTAGTAAGCAGATAGTGTGTTGCTTGGGCCAGAGGCCATTCTTGCTCACAGCTCTGCAGCTCACCGCACTTGTCATTGGATCTTGCGTGACTTGCACGGACCCTATTCTCTCGCAAGCTATCGCGAAAGGACCTTTTGCCGACAAATTCGTTGCTCGAGATCTCCGTGAGATCATTTCTTCTGAGGCTGGAGCAAACGATGGGTTTGGGTTTCCATTTCTCATGCTGGCGACTTACCTTATTCGCCACGCCAATGTCCCTGGCGCCGGGGATGGGAATGCTCTTCATGCAAGATCCGGGGAAGTAGGCCGTCTCGGGGGAGGAGTTGGTAAAGCTATTGAAATGTGGTTTGTAGAGACCTGGCTTTACGTGGTGCTCATGAGCATCGCCTACGGTGCCGTTTGCGGATATGGGAGCTGTAAGCTCCTTAAGTTCTGCCTGAGAAGGTACATGACCGCCATAACCCGCTTGCTTCCGCATAGCTTTCCACTAACATCTGTTAGACGGTGGATTGATAACGAGAGCTATCTACTATGGCCTTCTGCATTGGGGGTAAGCCAGCTTTTCTTCCTTACATTGCTTCATCCAGCGGCCTTGGGAGAAGCTTGTTCTGATCTGCAGATAGCTCTTTATCGTGGGCACATGTGGTTCCCTCGGTACTGACGACCTCCTTGCGTGTTTCATTGCAGGCAGCGCACTCAACTGGGATGGTGGTTACCTCAAAGAATCCGAAGCAAGGCATGACGAAGTAAATTCGTGTATTGATGTTTTGCTGAATTTCGGCGGGTTCATGTATATCGGGTCCATACTTCCGTGGGACGAATTTCACCAACCAGATGTCACTGGAATCACTTATCCTCGTCTTATTGCTTTAGGGTTCCTTGTGATGGCCTTCCGCCGGCTTCCAGCTATCCTTCTAGCTTACAAATTCATCCCGAAGGTTTGCAAAAGCTGGAAGGAAGCCCTGTTTATGGGCTACTATGGGCCAATAGGTAAACCGCGTTTTGAGTGCATTTAAAGCAGACAATACTGATGTCTTTTCTTAGGAATCGGGGCAGTATTCTACTTGGAACATGCACGACATTTGTTCCCCGAGCTTGGTGAAGGCGACACTGAAGAGACGAATCTTATAAGAGCTCTTGCACCAAGTAAGTAGTTTTCTATTTCGATACGTTCCATAAAATGACGTCCAGCAATCTAAGCGAGACGCAGCTGTCTACTGGCTTGTGCTCTTCTCAATTATCTTCCACGGCCTTTCCATTCCCCTCCATAATCTCATTAACAAAGCACTCGGGGTACCACCCATCGTTGATCCTTCCGGCCCTGCCGAGTTACGGCCGTTGTCGTTGAACATGCAACTGCCCAAGAACAGCGCGGTCAGCAACAAACGCCAATCTATCATGGCATACAATCGTTTCTCGCGAACCAATTATCCAAGCAACACTGGATGGGATCTTCCGACAACTCAAGGCGTGGACTACGAAGCTGCATATGCTCGGCAAAATCGACCACAAACATTGCGCTACGACGACGATATCAAGGTGTAAAATAGAACGTAAACAGCACAGCCAACGAATGGTACTCGGGATTTGACTTTTTCGTGCCCCAATTTTGCGAGCTGTGTTGTGCCTGGTAATTCGCAACGTTTCTATCTGATTTACGAGGCGATATCCTGCCCTTTTAGATACGCAATGATGGTGCTGCATATCTGTACTTATGTACTTAAGCTTTCCATACGCAAAACCTACCCGTATCTATCTGCTATCTGAAATTTTCTTTTTCTAACGGCCTGAGAGCTAATGCGCCCAAAATTAGCACAGGCAAAGAATTAGCATGTAGTCACTATATATGTTTTAATATATAACCAAATTGTCAAGATGAATGCTCAAGACCTATATTCCTTGATTTGGGTAATGCATAGAACTTGAGAGCACATAATTCTCCAGCTTAGAGCTGCTCTTCCGTGGAGTCTGTTTCAAGTGGATAGAAGGTAATGAAACCTGCCTTGGAAACAGATTCGCAGCCTCCCCTTCAAAATAGCCATTCCAGAAAATTTTTGCTCGACACATCTGCGGATTCGGCTTCTCCGAAAGAGTTTATTTTCGGCCAGGCCTTTCAGCTCCAGCTTGCATGCCGTGCCTCAACCTAACAGATAACAACCACGGTCCAACAGGAACAAAAGAGACACAGCCCACCGCTCCACCACTAATACAATGATTTTACATTTGAAACCACAAAGATCTTCCCACATTAGACGCACCAAGCAATGCATTGGGGAAACTATTTATAGGACAGACCACTCCACCGTCGCTCCCTTCCCCCCCCGTTCTCTCTCTCTCTCTCTCTCTTTCAGCTCTCCACTGCCCGCGCCTTCATCCCCACGAGGCGGTTCTCACTCTTATCTAAGCCCACGGCCCAATACTCCACGCGGGTATCTCCGTGTTGGATCCTGTATACTCGAAGCTCAGCCTCCGGTGCTGCCGAAGCTTCCGAGCCCGAGATAGCAGTGCGAATCGCATGGAAGACTGTCTCGTACTGGTTACGTGGGTCAAATTCGGCCAGGGATAGGGTGGATGTTTCGAGATCGGAAGCGTTGGAAGGGTCAAATATAAGGGATTTGAATTCATCTATAATGTATTGTTAACTTCTATATTAGCAAAGATTCAAAACAATCTGGTGTTTTTGCGCCCCAGTGGGTGGGGGGAGGGCGTGCGTGGTTTAACTATATACCTGGACTCGGCCATTTTCCTTGTCCTGCCTTGTCCCATGCTAACACCACTGGTTGGAACGTCTCATCTGTGTCAGAAACATAGTAGTACTCTACATCCCGTAGCGCCCTTGGAACGTGCTGGTCCTTGTCTACCGTTTTTGCGGCGTGAAACGATGGGAAAGCATTCGAGCTCGACTGGATGTCGGCGAACGGGTCCGCGTTGGCACTCTCGAGAAAGGAGGCATAGGCATCGTCGGAGGACATGGTAGATCGACACTGTGCTGAAAAGGAAGAAAACGCTTGGTGGCTTGGTCGAATGAGTGTGACTTTGCCTCTTGCCGGAGCTCGGGTGTCACTGATCTGGAGTGCGTCGGAGAGAACGATACAACTGCGTTTTGGGGCTGGGGACCGTGAAGCCGGGAAGAAGTCAGATTGTTTGGCTTCGATGCTTAAATTAGATATGGGTGGAACAGTTGTTGGAGTGAGTGCACGGAATCTTTGAGTGCCGGGGGAACGTGATGCAATGCTGTAACTTGAAAATCGTGGAGCTGCAACCTGCGGGGCCAGGTTGATGACGCAATAGCGAGCTTGACGGGAGGGAGGATAGTATAGTCTAGGAGCATCTTGCAATTTAAAGAGCAGCCGCGGATATCGACACGCCATGATGTCCCGTCTTAAAACAAAATGATATACTTTTATCAAGCAGGTGGGAAATTCTTTTTTAACCCTGAAATTTACCAACAATCACTGGCACTAATAGTCTTGTTGACGCCGAACGTTTGCGCTGACCGCGAAATCAACTTGGGTCCGGATAAATCATAACAAACTGTCTACAGGTACGGGGAGTACGGTTCATAGAAGGAGGCGGATCCATTAATCATCATACATTTTGTATTAGAAGAAACCCGTAGAATTGAATTTTCTTGTCATCAAAGTAGATACAACCGCTGATGAAAAGATACCATGCTCCACATCAACCCCAGCCATTAAAAACAAAAGAAACGTCTCATGGAGCAGCAGCCAAATCCTTCTTGAGAGTACCCATGAACGCCCGCTTCTCGGCGGCGGTCTGGTAGGCACCATGGCCGAATTTGGAAGAGGTATCGATCCATTTCAATTCCACTTTCTCCAAAGCCTTGCGGCTGACTTGGGGGAAGAGGGTCTTTCTGAGAGTGAGGACTCTCTTCTTGACACCGGGGCAGGAACCCTTGAGGATGATGAAGTCGTTTTTCACCTCACCGTATCTGACGAAGCCACCCATTCTAGAGGAAAGAAAAAAAGAAAAACGGATGTTAGAAAACTGCCACGAAGAGGTAGAATGATCCGATGAGAACTTACGGAGTGATCTGCTTCTTGCTGACATCGAAGTCAGTGGAGGCGTTACCCTCATCAGAACCCTTGCCAATGCGATAGATCTTGTGGTTGACGGATGTACGGTGGTGGTAGCCGTCTTGACCGGCACGGGCAACGGTCCACTGGACGTGGGATGGATGCCAAGCACCAATACAAGCGACCTTTCGGAGACCCTTGTGTGTCTTGCGAGGAAGCTTCTTGGTACCCCATCTGCTTGTGACACCCTGGAAACCGTGGCCCTTGGTGACAGCAATAACATCGATCATCTCGTCTTGCTCGAAGACGGAGTCGATCTCAATTGGCTTCTCAAACAGACCGTGGGCGAAGTCAACCTTCTCCGGGACGGAACCACCGTTGACCTGGATTTCCATGAGGTGGGCCTTCTTTTGCTTGAGAGGGGTCTTGCGGATCTGGGTGTGTGCGAGAAGGCGGACGACAGTGCAGTATTTCTTGATGCGCTCGAGTTCGCGGGTGACGGAGGCGCCCTTGTTCTCTGAGTAGCTCTTGGCGTATTTTGTGAAGGCCTTCTTCTTGCTCTTGTACCAGTTCTTGTAGAACCGTCTCTTGACCTCGTCGCTCAAGTGCTCGGCCCAGACGGTGGTAAGCGATCGGAGACCGCGAGGAGTCTCAATGTATCCAACAATGCCGACGGCGATCATCTGTAAGGGTCCAGTTAGTCACTGCAGACGGACGCAATCTACACCCAGGAAAAGGACAATCGTACCGGAGGAGTTTCGATAATGGTGACGGCCTCAACGATCTCCTTCTTGTGCATCTTGGCACCAGGACGATCAAGATCGCGGACGGTGGTGGTCATACCGGCCTTGTAACCCATGGCGGCGGTAAGGTGGACAGGCTTCTTGGGGTCATCCTTTGGGAAGCTGTTTTGAAAAGCTCAGTACGTGACTTCCATGCAATTGTTGCCAATTCGGCTCTGACAAGGGAAAAAAAAAAAGGAAATTTCGACGAACCTCTTAACCTTGCCCCGATGTCTGGCACTGCGCTTTCGTGGCAAGAAAGCCAGAGAGCCTGAATTTCAATTGTTGTCAGCCAATCCATCGCTTCAAAGGGTATTCCCATCAACGTAAATAAATCGAAAAGAACGAACCGTGCCGAGGCGCTTCGTATTTCCGGTGACTCCTAAAAGGACGAAAGCAATCAGCTCCTGCGTTGAAAACGTATATGCCATCGAAAATACTCACATCTTGGACCTGTTTGGCGTTAGTCGACGGGTGTGGTGAGAGTCCTGTCGGTTGGAACAAAATTGAGGTCGAATCAATATTTTGTGTGGTCCTGGTCGGGTTGTGTGCGCTTAGCTAAGCGAGCACCCAGCTCGCGCTCGTTCGTTAGTTAAGCAGCGCAATTGAATGCCAAGATAATATCACGTGACCATCTATCGGCTCCGTGGCATTTCGCCGCCGTCTCCTCGAGCTGACGGGGCGCAGAGCGGGCTTGATTTCTTTCACTGCGATCTGCACGTGCGACCGCCGATCGTGCTACGAGCCCACAAATGGAGTTGACGTCGGAGCTGCTCTGCGAAAAAGATACATATGGAGGAGGATATGCGTGCAAAGGCGGTTCTTCAGAGCTAATTGTTGTTCGACTAATTGGCTTGCCGTCGACAGACAGATAAGTAAGTATGTACGGGGAGCAATTCGCATGTTGTGCTGTTGCCTGGGCTTGCGCCATGAAAGGATGAACAATACATTTCACTATGGAACGATTGGGGGCCGACATTTCGTTCCCACCTAACCACATGAAGAGCCTCAGTTCCTTGCCTACTCCATCCTGACTGTGCCTGCTTTTCGGAAGCGACGGGGCTCTCCCCAGCTTACCCTGGCCATCCCCGTGGGATGTAACATTTGATTCCAGTTGGTGACTCTCTCTTCGGTGCAGGGATAAGAAGCGTTATGAAAGTAAAGTCCCCGGTACCCGAGATTAAATCAGATATTCTGGAAGGATGGGTGAAGAAACCCTTTTTCTAAATTAAAATTACCGAATGGTTCATTTTTGAAGCGATGTTAATAACTCAGATCTTTTTTTTTGGGGGGGGGGGGAGAGGGGGGCTGTTAGCAGGGTATATTTATGGAGTGGTTCCCTATGCGACATGAGGACTCAATTTTTGTCTTTTTGTCTTTTCTCTTTTTCTTTTTTTTTCGAAGGTACTCTGTACCTATTGTTGAGAACGCATTCGGAGACAGACTGCTGAGCTGGCTCCTCGAAGCTCATTCGACACCGGGGACGCAAGAGAAATGCAGGCATGACCCTATCTCATGTTGAACACACATACACACGCACACCGGAGTGCACGGCCCACTGGGGGCACCCGAGACGCACGCACTGTACCTGATGTGTGGTTGCAATTATTATGGTGACGGTTGACATGGAGGCGGTTGCGAAGATTATTATTCCTGCCTGATTCTCCTTTTCCCATGGGGGGGTGTCAAGCAATGGGCTAAGATGAACTTTGCCGGGCCACTATTGAGGTGGGTATGTGGCCCAACTCCGCCAAACAAGATGCGACCTAGCGAATAGTCGAATAGTCAACTGCTCAATGTGGAGCGGGGCTTTACACCACATCATTTCTTTTCCCTCTCCCGATCTTCAAGCGTTGATGTATAAAAAGCTCTAAACTCTGAAATAAAATAAAATAAAACTCATCGCGAGATATTGGAGATACCAACCCATCGGCGGAACTGGGAGTTTAATAATTATAATAATAATAATAATAAATAGGAGAGGCAGAGTTTGTTTGTTGGCTTGAGTGGGTGGGCGGTGGGCATGGGTTCTCCGTCCCTCCGTAATTCGGCGCGGCCAAAAAAAAAAAATAAAAACAAATAATTCTAATTTGCGCCAGGACATCACATCACACAGGGCTCCACAGATACATATGTATCAGCTGTGCACAGGACCTCTCCTTACACTTCACCCAAAAAAAAAAAAAAAAAAAAAAAAAAAAAAAAAAGGTCTATGTAAGTGAAAGAGAAATACAGGATGGGTACGGAAAAAGGATGCGAATTGGCGCGGTGAACCTAGCGCCGGGGGGGATGTTGATGTGTCTTTTTCAGGGATCACGTCTCCAGCCACTGCCGACTTAGACGGAGAGTCGTCTCACGCTAAACGCAATACGGGGCGACACGCGAAACGGTGTGTCGAGTGATGATGTCGAGACTTTCCATGGTATGGCTGGGGTGGCTAGATGCAAGCGATTTTCAGAAACAGAGGGCCCCACCGGGTGCTGGGGCTGCCTGTGGGCGGGCGGGCGCGGTGATTGGGCCCAGAGCACAGACTGGACGCCGCCGGCCCTGGGCGAGGGACAGGCTCTGGGTGGGTTCTCCCCCTGCGGAGTGAAGGGTGGTTGAATGGCTTGTTTCATGGATCTGGCCGGACTAGCCGGATCGGGGCTAGCCGGCTGGGTTTTTTGCGCGTGTGCGTGCCAGAACCTTCAAGGTTGACCCCCGGTGGCCCGCAGCGGATTGACAGCGTGCGTCTTCAACGGGTGGATGTGAGTTATCCATGTCGGTGAATGGGAGGGTTTGACGATAAGCCTCTCCCATCGAAAAAGGTATGTTACCAGCCTACTCCTACTGTACCCGGGCTACTTTTCTCTCTCTCTCTCTCTCTCTCTCTCTCTACATATACTCCGTATATATATATATATATCTGAAGGGCGACCGGTTGAACGTCGGCCTGTGGTCCGTGAGCTCGGGCAAACACGTGAGACGAATTATCCGTGGCCCTCACGGCTCCGAAGTGGATGTGCATTTCCGTGGATGCAGGCAAAAGCCAAGTTAAAAATGGCGCCGAGCTTCCTTTGGGGACCCAGCTTGCAATGTATATGTATCTACATAGCTACGGAGGACTCCGCGCATCAGGGAAGAATTATCTGCGGGACGGAGTACTGCAGTGAGGACAGGCATGCGCTGCATACAGCTTCTCGAAAAGAGCAAGTGACCCTCCAGCTAGCCGCCCACCCACAGTGGTTTCTTGTGTGACAGGGGGGAGCAACCTCTCGATAATCATGTCACTTTGATGCAAGTCATTGGAGCTTATTATTAATAATCGCAGGGGGTTGTGTGGTTTGCTTCGTGGGGAGGTTGCTTTCAAGCGGCAAAGTCCCGTTTGGGAGGGTATGTAAGAAGGGGAAAAGAAAAGAAAAAAAAAAAAAGGAAAAAAAGGAAAAAAAAAAAGAAAAAAGGAAAAAAAAAGAATGGTGTCACGGCAATGCAATCATGCGCCAAGTGGGTCCGCTTCCGCAGATGCCCTCGCCAACCTTGCTGAGCCCTAATCCAAGGTAACCCCAAACTCGTTGCACTTGTTCTTTTCCTTTCTCGGCATTTTTGCTGATTTCTTCCATCAACTCCCTTCCCACTAGCGCCAAATCCGCCCTCACACGCATCTCCCACCCTTTCTTCTCTTCTCCCGCTCTCTTCCTCTCTTCCCGTCCTGTCTTCGGTCTCTTGTCCTCTCTTCCCACACTTTCCCCCCCCGACTTTCATCGTCATCCCGCTTTGTCTCAACCTCGTTGTTTTGTTTCTCATCTTGGGCTTTTCCTCCCGTACTTCCCACTCCTCGTCTGCTGCCTCTTTTTTTGCCTTCTCCTCATACTTCCTCTATACGTCACTTTTGCCCCTTGTTGTGGTTCAGCCCGTCTACCCGGACGGCCCTTCAACTCGGCCACCCTTTTGTTTTTTTCCCTCCAACCCCAATTTGTCTTTCACGGCCGTTATCGCGTAATAAGTAGTGTATGCGCTTCTCATTCTTGGAGTTGTCTCTCGAACCTCGAACCGCCCTGCCCTCTCGCAGCTTCTTCGCGACCTTAGCTTCGAGCTTTGTGCGTCCGTCTTTCTCAGCTCGGGAACTTCGCTGATAATCGAAGGAGTTGAATTGTTTTGTTGCGACATTCCTGAATGAGCGCTCTTTTGCCTGTAACCCGTGCGTTGCTTGGTGTTTGCTCTGTTGCTGGATTGTTTTTCCATCGCGTTTTCACCGCTTAATTTTTCCCCTTTTTTTTTTTTTTTTTTTAATTGTTATTTTCACACCCCCCCCAATTTCTCTCTCGTGGACTTTTCAAATCTGTCTTCGTCTAAAACGCCTCAAAATAAGTCCCGCTCAATCTTAATACCAGAACAGCATGTCGGCTCACCCTCAGCGGTCGCCAACAGGCGCAGTTCATCCTCACCAGACGCCCCTGCCGCCCCACCCTCAAGTTAACGGCCACCTGCCTATCCAGGCCCAAGGCCAGAGCGGTCCGCCTTTGACGACATGGCAGAAGATCCTGCAGGTAAACGAAGCGATTTGGCTTCAGCTTGGTGAGTCGTCGTCATTTTGTCCCGGCTGCTTTTGAGTCCTGTCTAACCACGGTTCCCTAGGCAACTTGTGCGAGATGATGGGAAATCTTGACGGTGCGATTGACGCATATCAACATGCATTGCGGCATAATCAGTACTCCGTCCCCGCGATGAGCGCCATCTCGTGCATCTATCGAACAAAGGAGGAGTTTCCAAAGGCCATTGAGTTTCTCCAGAATATTTTGAAGATAGATCCCCAGAGCGGAGAGTCATGGAGCAGCTTAGGTATGTATTCGGAGACTACTACGTGTCAATTCTCTTGGAAATCTCTCTCTTTTTTTTTTTTTTTTTTTTTTTTTTTTTTTTTTTTGCTGACTCACTTGGGAATAGGCCATTGTTACCTCATGATCGATAATCTTCAAGATGCGTACAGCGCATACCAGAATGCTCTGTATCATCTTCGCGATCCTAAGGTTAGTTAGCATATGGTGCTGTGAAAGACTAGGCTATTAAAAAACCTGAAGCTGATCAACATTCACAGGAACCGAAACTTTGGTATGGCATTGGTATACTTTATGATCGTTATGGCTCGTTGGATCATGCCGAAGAGGCATTCTCGCAAGTCATGCGGATGCAGCCAGATTTTGAGAAAGCAAATGAAATCTATTTCCGTCTGGGTATAATATACAAGCAGCAACAAAAGTTTCATCAAAGCCTTGAGGTGAGTTGTCTGGCATCTGGCTAGATGTTTGAACAACATGTTAACCATTGACCCTGCCGCAGTGCTTTAGGTACATTGTCAAGGACCCTCCTCGCCCGTTGACGGAAGAAGATATCTGGTTCCAGATTGGGCATGTCCATGAGCAGCAAAAAGATGTAAGTTTCGAATACGTACTTGCCACACTCGGTGTTTAGCTTGCTCATATCGGCAACAGTTCGAGGCTGCCAAAGCAGCATATAAGAAAGTGCTTGATCGCGATCCACAGCACGCCAAAGTATTGCAGCAGCTTGGTTGGTTGCATCATCAGCAGAGTAGCAGCTATGCCAGTCAAGAACAAGCTATTGAATACTTGGAAAAATCAGTTGCTGCAGGTAAGAGACCACTCCAGCATGCCTCTTCAATTTGTCCGGAGCAATTTCTGATTCAATTTTCGATATTCAGACACAAACGATGCGCAGAGTTGGTACTTGCTTGGCCGTTGTTATATGTCCCAGGCCAAATATCCCAAAGCATACGAGGCCTATCAACAGGCCGTATACCGAGATGGTCGAAACCCAACATTCTGGTGCTCAATTGGCGTGTTATACTACCAGATTAACCAATATCGTGACGCCCTGGACGCCTACTCGCGAGCTATCCGCCTCAATCCCTATATCTCGGAGGTTTGGTATGACTTGGGAACTTTGGTAGGCTCCCCTTCCCCTTCTCTTGCTTCACATTTTTTTTTTTTTTTTTTTTCTTTTCCCTCCCAATCGGAAAATATATGTGTATACTTACTTTTCCTAGTATGAATCGTGCAACAACCAAATTGCGGATGCCCTCGACGCCTATTCCCGCGCGGCGGAGCTTGATCCCAATAACGTTCATATCAAAGCTAGATTGCAGTTGCTTCAAAGCGGACAAGCTGCGAATCAAGGGAATGCCCCAGTTCCCCAGGATGTCCACCCACAAGCGTACCAAGTGGCAGGCGTTGGCCCTCCCGGCCCGCAATGGGGTGCTCAGGCTCCTTCTGGCGCTCCTCCGGCCCAACCCTCAGTTCCCTCTGCCCGGGTCACCGAATGGGCACGGGGAGTGAATGAAGTCCAAGGACAAGCTGCTACGTCCAACCAGTACGACCAACGGGAGAATTTGCGAGGCATCCAACCGCAACACCCAAGCCCCAGGTCTGATCAAGTTCGGCCGCCATTCCCAGACCAGGCTCGAAACAACGCCGGGCGTAAGGGACTTTCCCCATCTCCTAAGTTCAATCTAGCGGCTCCCAATAACTACCCTGGACCTCAAACCCTTCCACAGCTCGGGGCTCCCCCACAGGGTGCTGAACGAGGTCCCAATGGTGCGGCGTTCGGTTCCTCTGTTCGGCCTCCTCCGTTGGCTCAGAATGGAGCTAATGGCCCGGCTGGAATTAACGGTGCTGCTGCTGGTGCTCAAATGCCCCCCTATGGTAGACCTTTCACTCCTCCGACCGAGATCCGTCCTATTCGAGACGATAGACCGACGTCCCCGAGATCAACTTATCCACACCCACAATATCATCAGGCCCCTGCTCCTCAAAATGGTGGAGGTATTGCGGGCGGCGCTCCTGCCCCGGCGGCTGCTATCGCGGCCGCTGAAGCAGCGCAGCGGGAGAGGGATGAACGTCCTCCATCGTCCATGAAACGGGGCCGTGAGTGGGAATCGGATCAGGGACCATCAAAGAAGATTGCCAATGAGGAAAATCGCGCTCGATTGGATGAGCAGCCCGGCCGAATCCCATCTCCTCGTGAGCTTCGCCGTCGCAGCTCTTCGGAGGTCCGACGCGAGGAACAGCGACGAGGCCATGACAACTATCATCCTTCGGATGCCGCTCACCATCCACCAAGCCTGCCGTCCATCCAACACATGCAACCTCAGCAACCTCCCAAGATCCCTTCTGTCCCAGACACTCCTGCAAGTGTCCAGGCTGCCTCGCTTCCTAGCATGCCTTCTGCCGGTTTACCGTCGGGCCCCATAGCTCCCAGTGAGGAGCGTGATCGCAAGGATCAGGCCCACGTTCAACACGAGCCTCCTGCTAGGAAGATGGAGGTCGATGAGGACTATGACGATGATGGAGAAGATGACAAGAAGGGTGCTGCACTGTCAAAGAACGGTAGCCCCGGTGGCGCTGCCGCTAATGCTGGGGTTGCAAATGGAACCAGCCAGTCTAACCAGTCAAAGGCGGAACCATCCAGCTAGAAAGGATGCCTGTGAGCTGATTTGGACTCCCTGCTTCCCGGTCTTTTCTCTTTTATTCCGGACATTTGACTGAAAGACTCTTTTAAAGGAATTGAGATTGTGACCCTATGTGTTATGTGTTTCCTTTTGAATTTGGAGGACCAAAAAAAAAAAAAGGGAGCTTTTTGCCCTGTACCTTGATGCACACCCCCTGTACGCCTTGTATACCTACACCCTGATATTCCAGGCTGGGCTGTTTTTAATTTTGTGATATTATTTCGCCTCTTCAGTTCCCCCATTTGAAGTTGATTTGATGTGATGGAATAGGATCCTACTCTGTTGCAGCCCATTTTTCGTCTCCCTTTGCAGAATGGCTTTTTTTTTCTTTTTTTTTTTTTAAGTTTGGCGAACTTCTGCGCTCATCAGTGGGCTAGGGCTTTTGAATGATGATGATTGACCTGCCTCGAGTTTTTGATTGTGGTTGATGTGTAGACAAAGTTGCACCGTGATGTTCACGTTATTTTTATTTTTTATTTCCTCTCCCCCCCTTGGTTTTTTATGTGCCAGTAAATAGTAGTTATAGTTAATTAGCAAGTTGAATAAAAAATCGAACAAAATCAAAAAGAAAAAAAAAAAAAAGAAAAGGAAAGAAAAAAGCGCCCGCATGATCCCAGCGGCTCCCCGAATTTCCCCCGAAGACTCAAAAAGGGTGGAGCAGCAGCACAACGCCACAGTCGGACAAGCTGACAGGTACGGAGCAAGTACAGTAAGTTTACTTCCTCCGTAGGAGAGTTGTGGCGCAACAAGGTCATCCACGCGCCCGAGTCATGCTGTGTGTGGCTCGAGCTTGGGCGACATGGATGGATGTACAATGAACGGATGGAAGGGCAGGCCCGGCCGGCAACAGCTTGTCGTGGGCGAAGGTGAAACAGCAAGAGGAAGGGGGGGCTCCAGTAATCTATTACGTACTGTGTACACCTGTAGGCGATGGAGTCGGGAGGCCTTGTCTCATTCAGGCGTGGAGAGAGCCTCACGGGAGGACAGCGTGAATTGGGGGAAGGTTCAGCGACGGACTTGGGTTTGTTGTCGAGTTGCTTTTTTGCTTCTGGAAGGTAACGAGTCTGTCTGTGGGGGTTTATGGAGTAACTAGTTACCGAGAACTTCCCATTCAGGAATTGTAAAAAATTTTTATTTATTTATTTATTTTACGTTTTTATTTTTATTTTTATTTTTATTTTTCCATTGTTGTCCTGTATGGGGAGGTTTTGGACTTATGTTCGGTACGGGAGTACAGAGTACGTAAGAGGGACAAGCCGCATCCCAGAGTACCCAATTCCAAGAGAACGGAATTATGCTGGAGATTCCGGGAGGAGCAAGGCCCCGAACGCCAAAACCCCCCGCCCAAAAGCAGGATACGAGTGCAGGCATGAAGAAAGGATGGTCTTTGTCATGGGCTGGTTCCCGTTTTCTTGGGTGGGAAAGCCAAGGAAATTTCTCTTTGAGTGATTTTGGGGAGGGCGCGGTTTTGGTACGTGCGGTGCGCGGGTTTGTTTTGTGAGGCAAAAGAGGGCCGTTATGTACGGTAATGTGACCGGGGGGAGGGGGGGCGTGAAGACGATAAAAGGTACAGCCAGGCGAGCAAAGAATCGACGGCTGGGCGGAGCAGGGCAATATGATTCGCCGGAGCAAGGGCGATCTCCGCAGGTTCGCAGGTGACTGGGCTTGGCGCACGGAGATCTGCCAATTGCGGAAGCCGCAAGGGAGCCAATTAGCAGGCGCGCTGGGCCCGTCGGGACTCCAAAGAACGGACAAGCCACTTGGCGGAGCGTCACGTAACTTTACGGCGTATAGTCATAAGACAGCAGTACTTACCGCTGAGTCAGCGGGCTAGGCATTGGGAGCCAAGCAAAGAAGGAGCGAAGGTGTCTTTTCGGGCCTTTTTTTTTTTTTGGGGGAAAAAGGGAAGGCGCCCAGCTTTTCTCGCGGCTTTCTTTTCTGTCCGGCAGCGCCTGCCATCGCCTGTCGCATTGCTCCTTCCCCGCGCGGCCTACCGCGTTCGCGTCTCCGCCAGCGCCCGCCGCTTCCTTCCCGCTCGCGCGTCGACGCTGCCAGTTCCGTCCCGAAAACCCGCAGCGCATCGCAAAACGGCAGGGCGCGCGCGACGGGGCCGAGAAGAGGCAGCGGCGCAAAATGCCTTTCACCCCAAGAATTCAAGGGCGGTTTGCCAAGGGCTCGGCGTCTCGGCACCTGTACATCTTGGCAAAGTGAGGAGGACTGCCACTCCGCCCCGTTGCGCTGCTCCCATTTTTCTTCGCCCTTCTGCCAATGGACATGTGCCGAGCTTTGCTCACCCTCCCGTCTTGTGTTTATGATGCCTCTGACGCACCTTTGTTGGCATTGTGGGCTTGTCTCTTGGTTCCGCTGGGCATTCCCGCTCGGGCGCTGGGCGTTTTTCTTCTCGCCTTGACCGTTTCACTCTTAAAAAGCATGCCTCTCTCTCGCTGATGGTGGCCTTTTTCTTTTTCTTAACCTTTCTTTTCTCCCTCCATCCTGTCTTCCTTATCCGATAATAATATATTTTCCGCTCGGCATTTGGTGGGCCGTACATATATGCACATACACACCTCCCCCGGACTCGCACCCTCAACACTCACACATAGACATACACATGGATGGGATGCTTAGTCCATGATCGCTCAATGTATCGACCTGAAGCCCTGTCGTCTGGGCAGCGCTCTGCGGTTATACTCTATCTACCAACTTGAGCCGTGACTTCTCTGGCTACCGTACCCATCGCTGCTCCTCCCATTCCACCGTGTCGTGCGCGCTTCCTTCTCGTCTCTCTGCCCGGTGCTTCCGACTTGTTGTAGTGAAGCCATGTCCCCGCAGGCCATGACACACCTTCCACTCTACCATGATGATCAGAATCGGATTATCTACCCTACGCTCGACCAGAAATCCTCAAAGTCCTCCACCTTGCCCTCGAATACCGATGGATTCCTGAGGTCTTACCAATTGCACCATCACTCGAGCGGTCCGGAACGACATGCAACACCCTCTCCCTCACACGATGTACAAGATTCCGGTAGTAATCCACGCTTATCACGGCTCTCCTCCGTCGAGCCCGCTTCGTTTTCTAGTTCAACAATAGAATCCGCCCCGAATACGAAGGTGTTACATGACCGGGGCTTTCCTCCTTCCCATCCTACCTTCCCAGCAGCCGCGTTTATACTCGCATCGGATGCACCACCCGCGTCGATGTCGGATAATAGAAGGCTCAGCTGGCAGGAGCAAAGGGAATGGACGCAGGCGAAGAATAATATGGCACTGGGTGCTTTGACGATGGATCCTCCTTCGCAGCGGCCTAGGGCGCATGTTTCCATGGCGGATATGGAGGACGACGATGACTACGTCGATGATGACGAGACGGTGTCTCTATCGGACCATGAGAATGCTTTTTATATCCTTGTGAGTCACATCTCTTCTTTTTCTTTTTCTTTTTCTTTTCCTTTCCCCCCTCTTTCCGACGGATTGCCATTTGGGTCATGCGGCCTCCAACCCAATCCACGTTAAAGCGACGTGGGCTGAGTTGGGTCCAGAGCCCTTTCACTGCAGATCGGAAAGCACAACGGTGGAAAGAGTTTTCCAATTGAGCCCCTGTGCCACCACACTTCCTATCCACCGAAGTGAGACAAATTGTACTGACAGTCCGGGACTCTCTCTCAGATACGTCTCTCTTTCATCGTCCCACCATATTCCCTATTTGTCGCCCTCTACACCTTCTTCGTCATCTTATTCCTCGTCTTCGCTACTCCGTTACGATTATGCCCGCCCACAGCATTCTTCAAGCCGTCGAGTACGTTCTCCATGCAAATATGTCACATCTTACTCCCCCTTCACCGGGTCCATCAGCGTTTTATATCAACGCCCTCGCCTTCCCAGAGACGCCGAGACCGACATCCATACCACCAAGCCGAATCCCGCTCATCTTCCCATGCTCACTCCGGACATGGTTCTCCCGAAAACCCTCCCTACGATAACCTTGAAGCCAATCCATATACTACCTCGCCTTATTCCCCATCATGTAATAGTCACTACTCCATCCCCTGGCTCATCCTCATCCACCTCCTCTCACCCCTACTAATCGTACCCGTCCTCTTTGCGGCGTGGATAACGGCCTTCTTCTGGATTTTCACCATGATCATGGGAAACCCGGATGGCACGGAACGACGTGATGACGGACGGGCTGCGGTGTTAGGGGTTAGGAATTGGTGGAAGATCTGGCTGAGCAAGGCCAGAAGGAGGAAAAAGCGGGAGAGGAATGTGGCTAGGAGTCGGAATAGGAGTGTTGTTTAAAGACCTTTTGTATTATGGGAGGATTCTGGGGGTGTTATACATTGCGGGCGGCCTTTTTTTTTTTTTTTTCCCCCCTCCCCATCTGATAAACCAATATTTTCGGAGTACTATATCACGGGTGTCACTTGTGGGGGAGGCTAGGAATGAAATTATATATAATATTTTCTGAGGTCACGACATGGAACTTTTTAAATCAATAAATTGCGATAAATCAAAACATCCTATTTGCTCTTTCAACCGTGACAGGGTAGTGGACTGACGTAGGCCGTTGGAGCCCAAGCTCCTCCAAAAAGAAATAAAAATAAAAAAAAAATAAAAAAAAAAATGGATGAGTAAATAAGCATATCACTTCAATAGCCTGCCACTCGCATTGCGAGCGGCAAATTCGCTACCGCCCCTGCTTAGTATAATTTTTGTGCGCCTCATCTCCTTCCTCCGCTCTTCCTCCTAAACCCGCTCCCACTCTTTCCCACCTTAACATTCCGCCGCTTCTCGATCCTTCCCGCCCCACCACCTCCGCTCCCGCTCCTCTTCGGCATCCCAAGACCGCGCCGACCATCATTCCTCCCCGCTCCGCTCGCGGATGACATCTTCCTACCACCGCCATCCTCGCCATCAGAATCAAGATCCATCCCATCACCGCCACCAGACTTCTTCTTCCCAACCCCACTCTGACTGACTTTTAACCGGCCCTTTTGGCCCTTGCGCACGGCGTCGGGCCCACTGACTGCAGCAATGTACGCGTTGATTGCATCACCGGCGTTATTATTTTCTCCGCCGTTGTCAGCGGCGCCGCCCATAGGCGTGTCTCCGTCGTGATCGTGCACGTCGTCGCCCAGGAGTAATTTACCCTCTGCGTCCATGCGTGCAGAGCGTTTCTTCGCCCGCTTGGCGTCCAGGAAGCGCACGGACGGCTTCGTGCTGGAGATGTTCGCCAGGGCGTTGGGAGCGAGGAGATCGAGCGGGTTGGATTCGGGTGAAAGTTCGCGGATGTATTGTTTTCCCGCGTCGTCTGCGCCGGGCGCCTTGTGGGTCTTACCCTTCTGTCGGCTGGGTTTGGACTGGGGTCTCTCTTTGGAGCGGGAGCTGTGCTTGTGCATGTTGCCTGCGGCGTCAATCTCGATTTCACTTGCGTCGTCGGAGTCTGAGCCCAGGTCTGAGTCGGACAGGTCCGATCCGTAAACGGCCTTGTCGAATTCGTTGCTGAATGCGTTGTCTGCTTTGCGGGTTTGGGATTCTTCTTGGTCGGACTCTTCTTCTCCTGCTTCTTTGCTTTGCTCCTTTTTCCGCTTGCTTCTTTCGCGTTGCTTGCGGATTGCGACGACGAGCTTGCGGTCGGATTCTGGAGTGAGGCTCTCAACGGCTTGAGCGCCGAAGCGCCGGATTAATCGGTCGAGAATGCCTTTTACCTTACTTCGGAGCCTCCCTTTGTGCTCTTTGCTCCAGACCATGAGATTTGGCACTAGGGACTGCAAACGTGGCCTGAGCATCTCGTCCGGAAGAGCGACAACCGCTACTTTGACAAATCCCAGCACTGCGCGGACGATCTCGCGATTATTGCTAGTCAGGAAAAGATCAATCGTTTGGACAAGATCTGATAGCATCGCGGGAGGCAATTTGGTGTGGAACTCGAAGAGAAGACGTGATAGGGCGATAACAGATGCAGCGACCATATGTGGTGAGCTACCAGCCAAACCCGCAGAAACCATGGTGAAAAACTCTTCAATGGTTGCTGGAGCATCAGGAGCATCGTCCGCCATATGAGGAACGAGAGAATTGCGAATAACAGTACCGGCAGGGTTGAGTTCGGGATCACACACGCGGTTCGCGAGATGAATTAGGAGAGTAAACGCTGCCGTTCTAGCTTTCTCGTTGCTCTCCTTGCATCCAAGGACAACTTCTGAGAGAATGGATGGAATAAAATGAAGATCAGACGTGGGGAGGTGAGTTACCACCTCTTGGACAGCCGCAAGCCGATCTCGTCGGGCTGGAGACGGAGTTTTGTCGGCTGTCGAGATAAAAAGTGATTGTAGCTCTGAGCTACGTTCTTTGAGAGCTAAAGCGCCAGTTTCTGTTGTCGCCAGACGAGGTATAAGTTTGTACGCCTTTTTGATTAACTGTGGGTCAGAAGATTCGGTATTGAGTACAACAGCTGAAAGAGAGAATAGAGTTGTAAAGCTTGCTCGTGGAAGGTAGATAGACATTGTGACAACGAGGTCCATCAGCGTATGTGACGTTGGCGGCATCTTGTCTCCAGTGCCTTTCTGTTTTCCTTGCGCCTGGGCACTTTCTTTAAGAGAGCCCTCAAGCATCGCTGTAACTCGATTAAATGTATCAATTAGTTCCTAAAGAGCATGGGTTAGTGACGCATAGAAATCAAGAGTATTATAAAACATACCTGCTCCGGCGTAATACTTAAGTAAGCGTTAATGCACTGCAGGATGTGTCCTCGGAATTGAGGCAATGTCTGGCTATAGACATTGAATAACACAGCAAGAAGATTGCTTGAAAAGCCAGAAAGATGTGCAATGTTCTTCTTTGCTGTTTCCTTCGTAATCCGTCGTTGGAGGAGGAGATCATCTGCTTCCGTGTCCAGTGACGCAATCTCCTTGTTTGAATCGACTAGGTTCTGTAGCGCTTTGCAGACCTCCACACGGAGCTCCGCCTGCTTATATAGCACGTTTGAGAGAAGTTCCGCAAAAGACTGGTCGAAAGCTTCAGTGACATCCAACGGCAGCTCACAGAAACCGGGCAGAGTAGCCCAAGTTTGTTGAACAAGTGTCTCGAAGATTTTGACTTCAACTGTCTTTTCAACATTTCCGTATTCAAGTACTCGCTGGAATAAAGCTTCACTGAGGGGAACAAACTCAGACCGGAAGTAACCCAAGCGGGTATTAGAGACGTAATCACGTAGTATAGGTAAAAGCCAAACACGGCCCGGTTCGCCGGCCTTCTGTTGTGTTATGTTCAATGGCAGAATCTTAAGTACAGCTTCGGGGCCCATGGCGCCAACTGCAGCACCGAGGACTTTGTCCGCTTCTTTCTTGCCGTGGAAGGATTCGTTTGCTCTAATACCTCCAACTGTTCGTACAACGTCCGCCAATAAGGGATCCGACCTCCATCTCAGAGCCTCAAACATGGCTGTCAGCACGCCGAAGACTTCTGCCCATGCAGTTTGATATTTGACCGAGAGTAGGCTTGTCCCTGTTTTTGAAAGCTTCTCCAATGTTTTTTCGTCGTAAATAGAAGGTTCGACAATGACACTAGCCGGGATGCAATTAGCAAGGAATGAAATGAGACATTCGGAAGCGGATATTCTGATGTTATGCGAAGAGGAGGTAAGGAAGGAGGCCACAAGGTCAAACAGTTCTGGCAAGTTTTCGAATGTGTCTTCCGGCTGTACTTGAGCAGAAACATCGTATCCTCTTGAGAGCACCGCAATCCACGGTGGAAGAAGTTGTGAATCGTTTTGTGAAGGCTTCAGTTCCCGAATGGCTTCCAATAGACGGGGTAGTTTCGACGAAGAAAACTCATCTGCCATACTCTCGAAAATCACCTCAAACACCTCGAATGCTCCCATCGTTAAAAATTCATTAGTCGATTTTGAGACGTTCATTAGTATTTCGCATAAAGCTTCGATCTTCTTGCTTGGCCACCCTCCTGACGCTGTTGCAATAGTCTTGACTAGATGTAGCGCATGTATCACCGCAGGTTCGTGCTGATTTTGTTGTAGATGCGCCTGTTTCCCTTTCTTCTGTTTTGCAGACGCCGCTACACTCTCTCTTAGTGTCATAAGAGCAGTTTCCGCGCACATATCCGCAGCTGGATGGTCCAACGATGGACTTGGCGGAGGATGTTTTAGGACATGGATTAGCGCATCTTGCGCTCGCTTTCGAACTTTTGGTCTGTGATCAACGGCTAAAGCTAGTAATCCCGCCATCGCTCGTCGCGGGCCAATCTGAGACTGAGGGAGAGCCCAAGAAGCTGCATCCTGGGCCACGAGAAGAGATTGAAGGCATCCGATTGAAGATCTCAGCAGTGGTGCTTCGGCATCGGGTGCTGTGAGAACCAGCACGAGACTGCCCAGTATTTGCGAAAATTTGGCGCGGAGTAACGGAGTCGGAACGAAAGGAGATGTGATGTCGAGGAGATAGACGATTGAAGTAATAGGCTCTTTATCAACTGTGCCCTGGGTGGAACTCACTGACTGACCGAGCAAGCCTAGAAGAGCGGCGAAGAATGCGGTTGCGGTGAAGTCGGCATTCTGTTCGCGGAGGGTATCTTCAACTGCCGAAAGCACTATAGCTGTCTAAGTAGTCAATTAGCCTTTTATCTCAGAATAAACGAAGGAACGGAGCTGTCTAGTGTGCTGGTCTTAGCGAGTCCATACAGAGTGCTGGTTCTGCAGCTTCGGAGATTTTATCTTGTCAAGTTTCTCCTGCAAGGTCGCCATGATGCAGGTGAATTCCAGCTCCGGGAATAATCACTGCTGCGAGACTTCCTGGCGTTCAAGACTGCTGCTGAGTGATTGAATATGTGCTGGTCGGCGAGCAGTTGGATTGACGGAAGCGACAAATTTTTTGGGTCTTGCGGTTATCGATAGCGACTTGTGTGGGGCGAACGGCGGCCAACCATCCAGCTAGTTAGCTACGAGAGGAGCATCGTCGCACAACCAACGGAGAGGCCGATGTCGAGTATGGATACCCTTTCTTTGCAAATTCTGCGAAGTGGAGCGATGGTAGGGCCCCTTGACCGTTACCGGAGAAATTTTCAGGATGTCGTCCAACTACGCAGTGTCTTCTGTTCATTCCACCAGCGCAGCTGCCATGGGCCAGAAATTACGTATGGAGTTGGATGTACTGCACTGTACTTGGAATGAATGCTTTTACGTTTATACCAAAAACATCTTTGGGGTGGTTGACCTTCGAAAGAAAGAGTATAGAATTGGATGTTCAGGTCGGTTTGCTTCGCATCTCTTGTATTCAACAATAGTTGGATCTGGTCCTCCCCCTCTGCTCCGCCTAATGCACCCTGTGCTTCTCGCCAACATTTGGAATATGCTAGTCCGATCGAACCAAGCGCAGGCCCCAGTTCTGTAGATAGGATGTTTAAGCGGGGGTGGACATGACTTTTCGTGTCCATTTCCATGATTCTGGCAGTAAAGCCTTCGACATGGGTATCCCCGGTCCTACTGCCAAAGGCAATGCATAGAATTTCAATACATCAGGGCCTCTGTTCGTGGGCCCCTATAGTCAACCACATAGCATCAAACCGATCTTATAGTGGCCTGATGTGTAGCTTCTTGTAAGTATCAGAATAAGACTTCACCACTGTGTTCAGCCTCGAACCCAAGGGTTTGTAGCTTCCCGCCGCGGCGTTTGTCTGTCCTTTTTCGCTCGGAATCCTCTCGTTGCTTCATCTCAAGAACTTCCTTGTACGGCGCTTGACGGTAAGGTTCAGGTATATCGTCTTCCTTGTCGAGATCCTGCAAGAAAACGCAGGACGATTAGAATAATACATTTAAAATGCAACGCAACTTATTAGAACAGTATATCAAAGTATAAACGTACGATCTCTCCAAGGAGAAGGACATTTTCTCCTCGTACTAAATATACGCCACGCGGTTCTTCTCCGTAGAGATTTCCGGAATAAACTCGTTCGACCGTATCTTGAAGGACCAAGTTCGCTAGACTCCCAGAAACAAAAAATAGTTAGACGAGCTGCAAGAAAGGAAGAAATTGTCAAGCTTCAAGCGTACCGAATTGGTCCCAGCTTCGTAGCACTCCGATTAATTTGCGACCGTCACGAAGGATCAGAACAAGTTTCTCTATAATGTACCGAAGTAACGCACAAGAAAACAACCATCAGCACACTGCGCCTCCTCTTGATGCGCCTAGAATAAAATCCGGCCACCAATGTACAGTGTTTTCACCGTCGTTCTAGCCATTCGCGATAGGTAAATGTCACAAGGGGAACCAAGGTATATCTCACTGTCGGTTAAATCTAAAAGTTGCGCAGCAGTTGTGAACAGTTGCGGAGGTAATTGCGGCGGCCCGGACGGTAGCACTGGCGCTCCGCCCTGTTGCTGCGGTGGTGTGTTTCCTGGTGGCATTTGATGTTGCTGGGAGTGGGGGGGTCCGACTGGAGGACTGGGCTGTTGAAATCGGCCACTTTGGGGATATTGGGAAGGTGGGCCAGGCGAAGGACCACCTCCGGCTCGTCCGGCGACGTTCTTCGTGTCCTGAGGGGAGAAGTGCTCCATGGTGTGATGTGGGAGCGGGAAGTGAGGAGAGTCAGTCGAGTCGCAGATGGAGGCGGCGCGGAGAAAGGGTTCAGGATCTGGATGGGCGTCTTATTGTGCTCATGATGCACAGTATCTCGGAATAGAATGACTCAACTCCAAAGAGGAAGCCCCAGGTCGTCAAAGGGGAAGAAAATTGTCTGGCATCCGACAGTTGAACGCTGCCATTTGGGTTGGCTTTGCAATGTTTGCGCTGTTTGCTTCGAGTAACCAGCAGGATCGCGACGCCCAACCTTCTGCACGCTTTGCCTTGGTTTACGAACATACCCCATCCTAGTCTTATGGGACAGATCAGGAGAGAAATAACCTAGCCTCTGTGTATGAATCGAGCTAAATTGTACTATGCACCTGACTATGGTGGCCGAAATAGTTAAGAATCTCAAGTCCCAAGGGGCACCGCGGCTCTCAAACGCCGTTCAGTCTCACAGTTTATCGAGCTCTGGGAACAAAATAGGAAAACAACTTCTGCCAGAAGATTTCACTCCATGCGAGCCAAAAAAAGAAAAAAAAAAAAATTTCTCCAATGCCAGAACCACAAGACCAGCAATTTCTGAAACGAAAATTCGAGAGTTCCAGCGACAGCCTGCTAAAAATGGGCCGTCGACTCCCCCAAATACAAACACATTATGAAAGACGTATAATTCCAGCACATAGCCAGAGTGTGCTTTAAGCTTGCGATGCCTGGTGTCATCTGAGCAGCGGATTTCAAGCATCAAGCTTAACACAGCAGTGCTTAAACCCTCTGCTGAGAAAAAAAATAGTTCAAAGAGGACCGAGAGCTCACCTCAAGAGGCAAGCTGCGCGTTTTCCTTGTTTTCACCTTCAGATCCTTCTGCCTCTCATTCGACGCTCGCGTCGGCTGCTGGCGCTGACGTAGTAGGGCTCAGCGGTCGGGCTGACACCTCCTCGGCCTGCTGGGCCATATGACTCTGAATCCCGATCTCCGTGCTGCAAGAGTTTCAATTGTTCTTGCGATACAATGCCTTGGCAGTACAAATGGTGCATGAGCTCATAACCAGGAGATGTTCCCACCAACGTCTGCCCTTGCTGGACATGCTGAAGAGCAATGTGATCAAGCATTTTGAACCATGCCTCGTCATCTTCAGCACCGTGGAACCTCTGCTTGCAAACTTGACAAGCTACACTCTGTGGCACCGGCTTTAAGTTGAAGTGGCTCGTGACGTGAGTTTTCCATTCCCCCACGTTGTTGAAGAACTTTTCGCAGCCCAGAATTCGGAATAGGCAGTGGCAGATAAAAGGATATTGAACATCTGGAGCAACAAAGTTGTCGTCATCGTCTGTGGGAAGTATGTGATGCATATCAACTTCGCTGGCCAGCGCCGTGTTTATAGTGCCCGAAAACCCGGTCGAAGTTGACATCTCTGCCAAGGAAGGAAGCGTGCGAGGAATGGACATATTGCAAGCAGATTCATTGCTAGCCGCACCGTCTCCCCGTTGGACCTTCAATGAATCTTTTCTCGAATTGTTCGGATAAGTGTATTTCCCCTCCGGTAAGTCGAGGGAGTCAGAGAGGCATGTAAGGGGCAAAAGACGGTCTAGAAAATCGCCAGGTCTATTCTTCTCCCAGGTATTCAATGAATAGAGGGGTTCTTGCGACACTTGGATATGAGGAGGTTAGTGTCTATTATGAACCAGCACCTAGCCGCTTTTTGGTTGCACATACTGGTAATTGCGACTAATAAATTGTTCTAGAAAGTGATTTTATATTCAAGAAATGGATATCAAAGTCTCCTCTTATCGACAAGCTTTGGTGACCGGCGCTGCCGCTAACAAAAGCATAAACAAGTCAAAAGTTTCTGTCATTCAACTTTACCCTGGATATATTTTACACCCTTAAGTAGAAGTGGTGCATAGTAAGAAAATTATCAAGATGTGACCAGCACCAATCGTCAGAACAATCCATATCCTTTTGAAGAACAATTGAGGCTCTTCCACAGATGATATACCTACAAAAAACAATGAACAATCAGACTATAGGAAATGTATGTATGTGCCATGGTTCAAGCAGCGGGGCCAAGTCGCGGGGTGACACGTTTTCGAATGCGTGCATCACATCCGACTGAAGGTTCACGAGGATTTGACAACCATCAGCCCCAGCGAAATTTACATATGCAACCCCGCTTGCCCTATGAATATGTCTTGCGGACTCATTCGCAAAAGAAATCATGTCAGTTGCGGCTCTATGATGTGTTAATAGGATGAATGATATTCATTGTCCAGGCAAACAGTCTCCACGCTCCCTTCGCTGCTCCAAATGCTTCAGGTTACAGGATTCCACATTCAGCAACCCTAGCCCTTCACTACTATGATGTAGCAGCTGCTCATAGGCCAATTCTCATCCTTTGGTTTTGATTTCATCAAGATCGAATAACCATTCGCCAGGATGAGCGGGAACTAGTTAATAACAGAACTAACCACGAAGGACTCTGTAGCAGTGTTGGATTTTCATCCCACTTTTGAATGAGGAGTATTGTCAAGTTTCAACCATGACGATATCTTTTTCTTTACGCAGCAAGAGACATGGTATCTCGATGTTTGCTTGGCAACTTTGTTCAATTATCTGTTGCACTGCATGGAAAATATGATGACTGAGTGAGTTGTCATTCCGAAAGAAGGCCCGGCAAGATTCACCAGAGTGGTGCATATACACAGTTATGGATGGACACATGTAACCCGACGCTGCCCGTGTCCAAAGATCAATGGGAATATCACGAGAATCATCGTCACTTTTGAATGGGGACTTTGTGGGCGCATGAACATTTCGGTTAAAACCGGGTAATTTGGTCATACTGCTGGCGGCTGAAGACACCTTTTCCCCAAAGCAGCATATCGCCATCGTCATAAATCTGTTTTAAAGAATACTGATGCTGCGGGTAGTCCTCGGCAATGCTGGAGTATTCATGCGGCGACTCTCGGCACCCGAGGACTATACTTGAATGTAGAAGTTGTCCCGGCTGATGTCCTAGCAAGGAATTAACGACAGTCCGGAGCTCCAAGCGACACGCAGCATTGGCATGCATATATATATATATATTCCGCACCAGAAACCAACACTCTGGGCGCGGGCCGAAACGTTTTGGTCATCTTGTGTGGCCTGTATCCACCCAATAATCAAGCTAACTTCTCGTTCATACCGCTTCAACCAGAAGGCTTCTTCAGATTTCTCCTCCACATCCTGCATAATATTTAGAACCCAACCAACAATTAATACCTCAACGTAGACTAGCCAACGTGCACGGACATCAATTTCCCCAGAACATCTCAGTCACATTCAGCAACCTTGTTGCTTGCCTCTGATTGGAGTTTCCTTGTTTTCAAGATGGCCACGGCAGCTTCTGCGGCGGTGGTTTCGGCATCGACTCTGCTGACTCTACAATCAACTCGTACAACCTCCTCGTCTCCAACACGAGCAGCGCATTCCCAACGCTGTGGCTCAACACCCTGGGTACGTTTTGTTTCATACTTGACCGAGAGAGTGCCAGCCAGGAGACCCAAGCGCTCTTTTGGATGCATCAAGTCTAAGTCCTCCGATAAAACCCGTTTTAAGTATGGTATCAAGCCAATGCGCTCAAGGAAGATCCTGCATGCGGGCATTGAGCCTTGAGAGTCGATGAATATTGCGCCCAGGATACTTTCAACGATATCCGAGAAGAACTTGGCAGCGTCAAGCCGACACAGTAATGTCCACGGATATGTTTTTGATGATCTCAGTTTCTCATCGATTTCTTCATGCAACTTCTCATACTGTTTTGCGGCCCTCTGTTGAGCGTTAACGATATCCCAGGAAGCCGAGTGCTTCATGAATCCCCAAAGGTAAGCCCTCCGCTTTGTCATTGCAACTGTGACCCTCCTCTTAGAGTTCTCAACTGCTTCGCCTCGGTCTTCCTCTCTATATGCATTCATGCACAGAAAGGCTAGGAAATCTGCATTGACCAGTGCTGTGCGCATAAGGTGCATGTCAAAATGATGGAAACACCTCGGCGATTCAAAAAGTTCCTGGACAACAATAATATCCAAGATAGAATCACCCACAAATTCTAATCTTTGATAAGAATGGCCTGAGCCTTTACTGCTTGGGTGCGTCACAGCAGCCAGGAGTAGAGGCTTCTTTTTGAAAGTATATCCCACAAGTCCCTCAATTTCGGATAACATGTTGTTGTTTTCATCGCTGAAACTATCCTCTTGGTGATGAAGAATGTTGACGCATTCATTGAGCGGAGACCACTTGATATCAGGGATAAATATTTTCAAGCAATTCAAAATCTTGTTCTCGCCCCCATCAATATTTGCTGCACCAATCAGAGCTTCAACAACATCTGCTAAAACCTTTGTAGACATTTCTCTTGTTGGTTCTGTCATGTCTCCGGTGTTAATATGATCTGTGTTGTATGAAGGTCGCCACTTGGCGCCTGTGAAAGGCTTTGTGAGGATAAATTTGTCCAATCCCGTTTGTAGGGCAGCATTTGCTAGGTAGCCGTTTGACACAATGTTACCTTTGCGCATAGTCAAACGTCCCTCAGGCCAAAGTGGATGGTCTGCGGCTAGCTGTATTGAGGTATGTAACTTGAGAAGGCTGTCCCCTAAAAATTCTAGGCGTTGGTAGTTAGAAGCTTCTCTTGCAGCGGATGAACTGATGGCTGTCAAAACAAGAGAGAGGTTGCTGAACCCAACTGGATGCAAAATTGTTTGAGCCAGCTCATTAGCAATGAAATAATTCTCAATACTGTGTATTAAGCAAGGGATAAATAATGCAAACTGGGAATATTCAACTGGTAGCCTGTCAACAGAGCAATTGTTTGCTGGATAGAAACACTTTGCAGTGTGATGCGCTTTGGATGTATTAGATGGTTCGAGTCGATGCAAAAAGTCGGTTCGCTTAGGCCACACTCTGCCTTCAATATGAGGAACCTCGCGGTCGTATGTAACCTGCTCGCTGAGACTGGCACCATCTGATGTTTCCGCGGGGACGTATTTCCGCCATACCAATTTCTCAAATGTGCAGGGTCGTGCTGTATTGTCCATTGGTCTTACAAGCCCGGGATTCTCAAATCCTGCCATATCGCAGTCCCTAATATCGTGTAAAGAAATCGTCCCTGTAACGGAGTCACACCACTCCCGGATAGCAGACGGAATCGACTCCATTTGAGGCAGAAATAACCAAGAAAAGTCTAGACTACCAGGGACCATCTTCTGCGAAAACAAAGATGAGAGAAGGATTGAGGTTGTATCCGCAGCAAGCCGAATAAGGTCAGCCGCAAAGTCTTGTCCACCACGCTTGACAGAAACCAGGAGAGTGGAGTGTTCGTTCCAAAAAAGCCTGAATGAGATATCACAGGGTAGTTCCACTGGAAGGACCATAACCATGGGAGGAAAGGCTTGCGCGCCAGCTGATATCTCAATGAGGTTCTGATAGAAATGTTTCGCTTCTCGCCATTTCTTTGCAATAGCTGCCCACGGATTTAGGCTCCCCAACGCTTTCGCAAAACTCGGCCGTTTTTCAACCTGCTCAAGACCGTCCTCATCATCTATGTGATGGTGGGCGGGCATCAAGTAATCATTAACAAGTCCTGCCTCATATAATGCCACATAAGCTTGGAATGAGGCGTCTCTCTTTGCCATTTTTTCGGTCTTCCATAGTAAGATGCCTCGGAACTCGCGTAACTTCGGATCAAGAAAACTGGGTAAGATAACTTTGGCGGAGAATCCGGTTGTATCATCCCCTTCCAACACAAATTCAGGATCGGTAGCGATAAACTCAGCGGACAAAGTCCCACAGAAATGCGACAGGTGATTTCGAGCGTTGGAAAGGGTAAGAAGGGCCCTAGATTTCATTAATCCTGTCTTAAACCGTTTCCTACGAGGTCTTACTCACCCTGTCGATGCAACACGGAAGCCATCATAACCCTCTTCTTCAACATTCTCCAGATATTGAATATGCTCAAGAGCTCTTTTGTTTTCGAGGTATAGTTGCTTCATAGTTTTTTCCATCAAGTGTAGTTCTGAAGACGTCGCACGATCTTCCGAATGCAGAAACAGAGCGAATTTGGACCCTTTCTTTCTCGCTCTTCCCCGGCGCTGTATAAAGGACCTAAGGTCCTTTGGAAGATCAAAACAAATGACAAGGTCACAGATAGGGACGTCAATGCCTTCTTCAAGAACGGCGGTTGCTATAATGAGGTCCTTCTTTCCAGTACGAAGGTCATCTATAGCAGTGCTCTGGTCTATAGGGTTATGCAGTTCCGTTATATCTGACTTCCGGGAAACAGAAGCAGAGCTTCCTAAGAATGCGGTAGTTTTGATATGTTTCGTGCGAGGATGTAAAGACAGCAGCTGCGCAAGCATGATGACTATCGTTCTTTCTTCTGCAAAGACTATTCCGATGGAGCCGTTGACATGCTCCAGCACTAGGAAGTCTATCAACTTGTGTACCTTTCTGGATAGCTCGTCTGGAGGATTCTGGACGCCCATTTCGGTTGAGGATACTACCTGAGACAAAACATTTAGCATGTAGGAGTTATCTTCTCTATCCCAGTCTGCCCACTGTGGGCCTGAAGCATTAGTTTGTTTACTTTTAAGCCCCATGATGCAGCGTGTGAGGAAACGTTCCGAGGCCCACGGACCAAGTTCTCGATGGATAACTCTAGACCTGCGAAGGCATCTTTTCAATTGGTCAAGGCAAGGTGTTTTCTTGTTTTCCAAGGCGTCCAAAAGCCTCTGCCTGCTCTTGAGGTCATTTCTTCGTCGCATAAATTTGACAAACGGGTCATTTTCAATGTCAAGCTCGTTGATGATTACAGAGAGCTTTTCCACTATTGAAGAAAAATTCTGAACGTCTGGCTGATATTCAATACTGCGGTATTCAGGCATATGGACGAATTGCATCATTTCCTCTCGGTGCATTTTGGGGGTCACGCAGACAGCATTTAGGTTTATTTCCAGTACCCTATTCAGGAGTTAGTAAGTGGCCTAAATACAAGAAATGAAGGTAGAAATCAGTACTCTAGGTCTGTTTGACGTGCACGCGTGGTCGGGCTTGCAGTGAGACCCAGGATATGTGGTAAACCATCAGTACCCTCTTCTTGTCTATGATAATGATAGAAATCCCGCATAATTCTATTTGCAGGAGCATCACGAACACAGTGATGGGCTATGCTGGTTAGTAAATACCTCAAGAGCTGCAAATTAAGGTTAATAGGAACTACCTTCGTCAAAAACAAGCAAAGATATGGTATGTAAATCGACAAAACCATTAGATAATGCATCCAGCAACACCTGCGGCGTTGAAATGACAATTCTAATATTCAAAAGAATATCATCCCATATCTTCTTTGTAGACCAATGGCTGACATTAGCAGCCCCAGTTAAGAGTCGAGTTTGAAATGCAGGTAGCTGCTTGGATATAGCTGAATGCTGCTGCTCGACGAGAGCAACAGTTGGTGCCATAAACCAAACAAACTGCCTCTGTTGAGTAACTGGATGATATGTGTTTAAAGATATATGAACAACTTACTTTGTGTGCAGGACATCGTTCTAGTTCCCTTTGTATCCGAAGGATTGCACTAGAGAGAGTACATTAGATCTCACAGTATCATACTATTTAAATATCCTGACAACAGGAGGCAGTCACATCTCAGTTTTGCCGCTCCCAGTATCCATCTATTGGAGTAACAAGCATTAGAAGTAAGCGTGTGATCACGGGGTGGAAAGCTTAGTTACCGCAACAATGATGTTCTGACGCAGGCTTTCGGATAGCATCTCAAGCTGATACCCTCTTGCTCTGCGGGGAGGAAGGAGGGCTTCCTGGCTCTTTGAAGTCCCATCTTCAAGAATTGAGCTGAAATGCATCTTAGAATCGTTATCCAGATGTATCCTTCGCCTTTTGGGGCTTTGTTCAGCTGTGGTATGAGCGGACATCAGAGGATAGAGTTAAAGGATTGAGGATACTCCGCAGATAAAGATGGACGTAGAGTGCAGCTTGGGATATGTACTATCAAAAGCTTTCCTTGCATACATTGAATTAGAAAGAAATATGGGATTTCTCTGCATGAGCTGTTCTTTGGCGGGGAATGCCAGTGTCGTTTGGTTGGTGGCGAATCCTCGCTAGGCGGCGTCTCGACTGAGTGGTCTGCCCCGCATTCGAGGTGGGCGTCGGGCTTCATGTTATTTAGATGCGGCCGGGCCTATGATACGTCGGTTTGAAACTGGCGTTCTTGATTTGAGATTCATTCAAGACATTAAGCAGATAATGGCCGATACTTTGAGTATTCCGTCTATTTGTCGAAGCTGAAACCGTAAGGGCACACTTTTGACTTTCGGACGACACCGATAGCTCTATGAACTATGATCGCGGTCTCATCAAAATTTGCTTCGCAATAACTGTAGCAAGTCGGCTTAATTTTCTTCGCAATAAAAACGTGAATGGTATATTCCCGCGTTTGATTTCCCCCAAACACCTAGATCTATCATTACAAGACCCTGAGGAACGAAGCTCAAATGGAAAGGTCATTAGGAACGTCTATCATAGATTGGTCAGGTAGTCTTCAATTTCCTCCTTCGTCAACTTCCGGAATCTTGGTCCCCGAGCGCCCTCTACACCTTCAAAACCAAGCAGATGATCGGCCGGCGGTCCGACAATACCTGTACACTAGTTAGCTATGGCCGGAGGTATTAGACTAACAGACTTACCGATTTCAATGGTATCACCGTTCATTTCACCTTCAATGGTCTCTTTGAGGGTGAGTAATGCGATATGAACCGCATCCTCCAGCTCCAATCCTTCCGTATACCTCTTTTCAAGAAAGGTTTTCGCCGAAGTTGCGCTCTTGCCAATTGCTGTAGCTTTCCAGGGGAAATAACTTCCGCTAGGATCTACTTGGTATAAACTGGGGCCGCCTTTCAGGATGCCGCCGGTTTTACCTGAAGCCTTCTTCTTCTCTGCATCTGTTTCGCCGCTCTGGGCTTCTGGTGTCTCTGGTTCAATACCCTCATCCCATCCTGCAATGAGAAGACTGACCCCATAAGGCCTCACACCACCGGACTGAGTGGCTTCTTGAACAACGCGTGCAACGTCTTGCACCAGTATTCTCGTCGGCGGGTATTCGTTGTAGATACGCTTATACGCGGTGTGAGACGTCTTGCGGGCCTTGTCCACGAGCACTCTATAGTCAGGTCCCATGCCTGAGTATACCATGCCAATGTCTGGAGTGATTAAAGAGATCTTAGAGAGGGACGAGGAATCGATAAGAGGTGATGAGGACTTTTTCTCCGTGGCAAGGACGACTCCATTGGTAGCTAAACGGCCAAATAGTAAGCAACCCGTATCCAGGCTAGGGAAGTGGGAATTTTGTACCCTTAATTCCCAAGGCCGTTACGCCCTGGTTCACAGCATTTAAGGCATACTCTGGCAAAAAGGTTAGCTTCTCTGGCCCAGTCAATGTTCATTGACGCTACTATACCGATCTGAACGAGCTTCCCGCTATTACAATTGTTAGCTCCCGGTCAGCTCAAAACAGGAATAAGACAAACCTTGGGGAGAATGTTGTCAAAGAAAACGAATAGCGGTCGGCCATGATAGTAATGTAGTCTGGTTCTAATCTTAAGCAACAAGGAGAAATACGACAGTGTGCTGAGCAAGGGCTGGTGGGTAAGCGGATGGAGATATATTGCCGGTGCGGTGATGTTGGTCGTGAGCTCCAGCTCAGAGTCAGGCGCCAGAGGTGTTTACGTAGGTCGGGGCGGGCAGGATTAGGCGATCGCGTAACCTTGCCTGTTTGGGTTTTGGCCAGCACACTTCTTTTTTTCGCTGGAATTCTGCTGGGGATGCTCTTCCTTTTCGCATTGCCTCCTCCAACATGCCTTCTCTCTGCTCCCTGAGCCGCATAGCTTGGGTCATGTCTTCGCTGTCTGGCGACTCGGCCACTTTCTTCCAGCTAGACTTTGGCGCTGGATGAGATTTGTTCGTACTGTTACCTCAACTTGCCCTTACCCCTCTCGCTTTTTTTTTTTGGAAGCTCAATCCATTGTTCCCGGTTCCCTCCCGGACTCATGGACCTCCGGCAGCGACATAACGCTCCTTCATGGCATTGGCCCGACCAATCTGCCAGCCCGCCGGAGGCTCCAGGCAGCTCAGAGCCACAGTCAAACGCTGGTGACCGCACTGAGCCAGACAATGGATCCACTCCTGGCACCAGTTATCCTTCGAGGATGTGCAGGATATGCTTGGAAACCGTCCATCCATCATATCGCCCGGTGTCGGAAAATCTTCCATCCTTCCTGCAATCGGGCCCTCGTGTCACGTACGAGCCGGATGACCCGTCTCTGGGACGTTTAATTCGGCCCTGCAAGTGCAAGGGCTCATCGAGATATGTACACGAGGGTTGCCTACGCAAGTGGAGGAATGCGGATCCCAACTATGGTGCCAGGAACTTTTGGCATTGTCCAACGTGTGGTTTCCGCTACAGGCTTCAGCGGGTGACTTTGGGTAGATGGATCAGCAGCTTTCCGATGCAGATTTTCCTCACCTTGTTCATTTTGTTTTTTGTCATGTTCATCCTTGGATTCGTTGCTGACCCAATCATGAATTTGTACTTTGACCCATTCGATACCATTACTTCCGGTACGTTTTGGGATGAGGAAAGTGAGAGTATCACTCTTTCGGCGCGGACAAAAGCGACCTGGTCAGAACACTTTTTTAAGGGACTCGCATCCTTGGGCCTCTTGTCGTTCATGAAAGTTTTCCTTTTTCGACCGTGGCAATGGTGGAATTTCCGCCATTCCACTGTTTTGGGAGGTCGGCGAGCCGGTCCTACCGGTAGGGACAGAGCTGCGTCTATTAGCTGGGTCGTTATTGTAATTGGCGTGGCTACTTTTCTCTATGTACGCATATATTTTCTATCTTTCCATGGATTTTTTTCTAATGTATCCTCTAGGGTGTTTACAAGGGCGTCCTCGCCTGGAGCTGTCGCGTACTAGAGACACTTGGACAGCACGTCATGGACGTTCCGTCTGATGACGACGAAGATGAAGACGCTGATATATTACCGGATCTTAGAAAGGATTCCTCGACAAACGACGATTAAAGATGCTTTATTCATAACATTTAACCACCTCTCGCTTCTTACGGCGTATATTTTTCTCCTCCTCTAAATTCAGTTTTAAACTGCAAACTATTCATTTCAACGCACCACTTTGAGTTGTCATGTCCTGCCAATGATGTGCCAATCAGTCAATGTGCGAAGAACAGTTGGACCTTCGTTAACCGTCGCCTGAAGGATTGGAGGACCGTGGTCTAGGCGTTTTGCCTTCTCGAAACTCCTTCTCTTCGCTTCTTTGGGAGTTAAGGGGACGGGAAGCGTTCAGTCGATCTCTCGATGATTATGATTTCGCTCTACCGTTCCACGGGCGCTACCCCATCGGGATTCGGCACATACTTTACATTCCGCAGGCTTTTGGACTGGAATGGGTTGATATAACAAATTGGGCCTGATACATTATTATTATTAATAGTGGAATATATTTCTTGTTTTATACTGTTTCACGTTCGCTTGCCTTTGACTGTCATACGTTGTTGAGAGGTGTCATTCTACAGTATGTGTAACCCATCTATCACATTTTCATTTCGAAGAAAAAGAATACCAAAAACTGGGTGCACCAATAGCGGACTCGTCCTTTTTTTATTGACACAAAGAATATTCTAGGACCCTTCATCCCGTCCGTGTGAGCGATCTACCGGACCTAGGCTGAGCGGTACTCAGAGCCACAATCCCCCATATCGGCGAAGACCTGGTCCCTCTTGCTCATTTTTAAGATATCCTCGATTTTGTCCCGGTCCTCATCATCCAATGACAGCCCGTATATTGCCAAGTTTTCATCAATGTGTTCGCTCACACCCATTCTAGCCCCCACCAGAACAGCGCCTACATACGGGAAATCAAGCACCCAACGGGCGGCCACCGCAGAAATGGAGACGGAGTGCTTGGCAGCGATTGTGGAGAGGGTAGTCAGGAGCGTTTGGAAGAGGGACCACCCACCCCAAATCGTGATCATTTCAAGATACTAAAACCTATATCAGAATGGCGAGAATGAATCGGTAGGAAATAGGGTCTGAAACGCACTTTTCTGAGACTTGGGGTCATTCCTTCACTGAAGGCTTCGGGAGCGGGTTTACCCAGCCATTTTTCAGACAGAAAGCCGCCACACTTGACGATGTGGGTCTTTTGTTAGCTAGAGGAATGTGCGTGTGCGTGTGGGCTAGACGGACTTGGTGGGCGTTCATACCAGGGTGCCATATGTCAAGAGTTTGATATCATGTTGGATGCATACTGCCTCCATCTCATACCGAGGCCGGGTATCGATCAGGGAGAACTGCAGGCATACGAATCAGCACATCGCTCCATTTGTTAGTATAAGGCCCTGGCTGTCTCGTCTATACTACCTGGACTTGGTTTGTCGCGAATTTGATCCCCGCATCAATGACTTCTTTCATCCTCTTGGTGTCAAAATTACACAGCCCCAAATTGCTGACTCGAGAATCAGCTTCCATAATTTGAAGGGCCGGGATATACTGTGGATCCCCATACTATCCAGGTCGCTATGTGAGCCATGTTGCCTTGTGCGCATCTTGGGGGGTGTTGAAGTAGGCGAGAAGGCACTCACGTCCTGCCAATGGTACTGCAACAAATCCACTTTGTCGGATTTGATATTTTTCAATCTGCGTGATATAGCCTCATGGACTACAGCTTCGGTTTGCGGGGTCGGCTGGAAAACACAGTACTTCGTGGAGCAAAATATGGTTTTCGGCCCTGTATAAGAGTACCTAAAACGGCCCTGAGCGAAGGTTAGCGCAAGTTAAATGAAACCGGAATTCAGCTCTCGTATCACCAAAAAACGGGATAAGGGAAGTCCATACAAAGAGAATCTCCGCATCACCATAGTGATCAGCCATATCTAGAAGAGACACCCCGCATCTTCCCGTTAGATTATTCGATTGGCCCGAATTGGATCTGTCGCGAAATGTTGAACCACTTACCATACGCCGTGAACCCCGCGTCCACATATTTCTGGAATTCCGCCATGATCTTGGATCGCGGGGCTGAACCCCATGCTGGGCTTGATAGTTGCCATAAGCCCATGAAAAGCCTGGGGACTGTATGATCGCCTATTCTGAACGTCTCCATTTGTATGTGTTGAGTAGTATCATGTGCACCGTGATCAGAATCAAGTTGTAACGATGGGAATTGAAATAGAAAGATGTATCACTTCGAGTTCAATTGAGAGCCATATGCCGGCCTTTATACTCCCGTGGGTAAGAGACAAGATGCATCAATTTATCACTCGGTGCTGTCAGCTACGGATGTCGGGATACTGCGAGCCATGGTTACTCAATGCGCTATTCCCGGGCCATCCATCCATCTAACCCAGCAGATAATATCTGAATGTGTGTCGCTGGCTTGAGCAGGGGGGTAGACCTTCGGTCGAATTCCTGGTGGATATCGCCTTTGTCACACATATTTTGCATGGAGTTACATGATTCAGGTACGGCAGGCCATGGCTCAAGGAGATTTAGTACCGCTTTGCTGGTGCTGGACTGTTTTAAAACGCCGATGCAGTGTTTAACTTACTCATCGAGCGCGCTATGCGTGGGGAGCCAAGATGTTGACGTCGATTACAATGGCCTCAGGTGCGCACAAGGCAATTTCCGGTAAAGCTTTCGGGAAAGTCACATTTTCTCGGATCCCACTGGCATTCCTTATCAATCTCGAAAAAATCAAAAAATAACACGGGAGAGCTTTTCTGGGACCCACGGCGGTGATGCCAAGCGACCTTTGCGCAGCGAATGGCTAGGGTTGCAATCGTTCGCAACAAGGGTCAAAGCAACGAGCCGGGGTTTCAGCCAGTTTTCTGGGGCTACTGGGGCCTGGATGGCACGACCCCGTTAAGAAGTCATATTATTATTCAGGCTGATGATGCTAGAAGACTTGGGGGTGGCAAGGGGCGCTGGCTGCCCGTTATCCATCGAGGCGTCCCCGGAAGATTGATATCACGATCGAGATTGAGATTGTGGCGAAGGCAGTTGACAAGTCCCTCACTCGCTAACTACACTACTAACTAACTACAGAGGAAGCCAAGTTAGCCAACCAACTAGTCTGCTAGCTGTTTCACCGCTGCAATTTTGTGATTCCAGAAGTCCTGAAATATTCTAATCCTAGTCTCCGCTGGCGCTGCTGCGAGGCACTTCAAGTATGGGATTTTGTCTGCAAGAAAAATCGTCATAGCTCCAAGGACCGAAGCATTGGTTGACAGGATCACAAACTTGGGCTCTGAGTCACAGAATTTAGAAGCTCAAATACTCAGGCGCAGCTCTCATTGTGAGTGAGACGATGTCTGTTGAAGAATATATTAATCCATGCCCATTCCTCTAAGACATTATGATTCGACTAGCAGTTGAAACGGGCTTTAACTCACGGAACTGTTGGCCCGATGAGACCACATGGCTCAACGTCTCTTCATACCAATGGTCATATGTCGTGGATAGAAGCACCCTGCATGAGCTTTTAATGTTGCGGATTAAATATTAACCATACTCGGAGCCGTCACACAAGTCAAGACTTAAAAAGCTCTTAGCCGTACCAATGTTATTCATGTAACAAGAATGGCAACAAAACGCACTCCACATTTTGTATCTTGAAGTGTTTTATACATGCATATGTTCAATACGTATGTTCACACATATCTACAAAATATGGAGTACTCTTTCTTTTGATGATTATTCTTATTAGAAGTCGGGGGACCTCCGTTCAGCCTCGAAATGACAGTCGCCGGACTCCACCCTCCGTCCTCGCCGGCAAGGAGTCAGTTGTCTAGCCGCAGGATCAATTGCCTCCCTTTCGCCCGGCTCACCGTTTCACCATCGTGAGAATCCCCTCCACCATGTCCATTCCCCTCTCGTAGACGAATTCTGTGCCCTGAGCTTCATTTTGTCTTTGACACTCCTCCAAACCCTGCTTTAGCTCCACTAGCGCTCGTATTTGCGCCTTAGCCAGATGGTCTCTCGCCCCATTCAATATGAGATGTGATTGTATAGCCGTTAGAGCTTGAACCAGGTCCGCATCGACCCCGGCTAGAGTCGATAGCAAAGTATCCTCGTCTTCTGCCGAGTCAACATGGTGCGCGAGCGGTGCTGATTGTTGAACTATCTCCCCGACAATCTTGAGACTTTCAAATGCCAGGCCGCATCCAAGGAGTGCTAGGATGCGCATCCGCATGTTGCGGAGGTTCTCGATAGTCTTGTGGAACGATATCGCGCCATTGGTGTCGAACGAAGCGGTTGGGGGTCTGATATCAATGTCTCGCCGTAGGCAGCTTTGCACGTGTTTCTGGAATGTGGTGGCCAGCTGCCCTTCCTGGTCCCCCGCAAGCATCGATCGGATAACAGCCCGCAAGGTTTCTGCATTGAGATTCGCGATCATCGTGTCTGTCATGAGATTGACATGTGACGTTTTGGCGGCGACATTGGGGGCTCCAAGGGTTCGCATTTTTCTTTCTGTTTTGGGCTTTTTGCAGTCCCGGATGCGTACGGAGTAAATCCAGTTGAAATCACTTGAGAAATGGAAAATCTCGTCCAGCAACGATATTGCTGCTCCTTTAAGCTTCCCACGCTCGTCCTTATACACCCGGCATCGGCGTTTAAACCAAATGCGCCGGCCCGGTAAATGCTATCAATCCATTCCAAAACGTGTGATCCGCATGATTGAAATCTCGCAATTGCTCCCGGCAATGTCTTCTTACTGGCTGTGGTTGGGTGAGTCGCCAATCTACGTCCTCAGGTTAGACGGTGTGACAGCCATTGGTTCAACGGGGGGGTAACTTGAGCTGAGTGGGGGTTCCAAAGCCATCCATCAAACCCTGACCTTGACATGATAAGAAAAAATAAATAAATAGGTTTCTGTTCCAATCCTTGCTTTACCGCTAAGTGGCAGCGAGATTCGACTTCAAACATTTCCGAAAGGCTGCGTTGACCAACGCTTAACATCGCTCCCACCGGCAGGGGTATGCTGTCGGATGCTCTCCATCCTCTGCATGTACGGAGTAGTTACAGATGCATTTCGAAAGTTAAAATCTCACCGGATCGGATATCACACTCTGAGTTATCATTTGCCCATTTGCGTACGGGGAAAGGAGTATATATTACACGTTTCGGGGTCTGGTCCTTTCTGGAGCTTGTGAACTCCGGACTTATGCTACAATTCCCGCTCACCCTGCCCCTGATTGTTGTTGGCTTGTGCAAAGTCGGGCGATCTTGTTTCTCTTAGCATGGATGACCCTCCAAGAGTCATTTCCTTCATCAGGCCTTCTCCGTCGGGAAGTTTAGCAGAATGGTATTCATTGGCTCAGCGTGAAACCTGGAAAGCGACTGCTTCTTGCCAGGAGGTATCTAGTTGCGGGCATTCCGTCAGGCATCTGGATCGGGCCGCTGAAGCTCGGGTGTCGTGGCCAACATACCCACCGTCTGGGCCAAGTCTTCGATCTGCTGCAACATAAGCCGAGGTCTTTTCGAAGATATGCACACAAAATAATAAAGAATAATGAAAGGACCAGAAGGGTAACGTCAGCTTTTCAGTAATAGGTGAATGGTCTCGACCTGCATGATCGTGAAAATCAGAATCGAAAGCCAGAAGTTTGAGAACATTCGCTATGGTGGGGCCAATTGACGAGTAAGAGTGTTTCTTCAACCTCGTATCTTCTTATCAGCAGAGTCTGGGGACGCTTGGGGGACTTTAAATGGCACAAAATGTACCCCGAGAATATCTGCCGGAGTGGAATGTGTCCGTGCTCTGGTGTAAGTAACTCATCGCGAGGCGGAGGATCTCAGGAGGCACTCTTTGTCGCCTGACGCGTGTTCGCGTGCTGGCTCTGGGCGAATCGTGCCTTGCGTTCTGTATCGTAGGCCAAGTTGCCGCCGACGAAGCGGGTAGGCTCTTCGTCCGCGCCTATCCTTCGCTTTGTGACACGTTCGATCCCAGCTGGTGGCGCTGGAGTGGCCATCCCGGTCTTTGACCTCACATGGAGTTTCACGGAGGCCGCTACTGCTGCATCAATCGTCATCTTTCCCATGAAGAGTTGGGCATTTTTATTGTGTGTCGGGAAGAGGATTCAAGAGACGATGATGTCTAATAAAAAGATGAGACATCGTATTATTATGGCGGCAGCGTCAGGGATTGAGCAGCCCAAGTCCCCGTTTGGGTTTAGTGCCTATGGGAGATCGTTGGCGACGAGGACAGCAAATTAAACGAGGAGGGTGGCATCGGCTGAACCCGTCAAGAATCATGACCAGCCAGTCTGCCTGACGTCTGGAGGCCGGTGGTTGACCTCTGCTCACTTGGCCGGTCCATTTGTTTGTTTCCCGCGCGCCACATTCGGAGGCTCATCGCAAGGTACGGATCAATTGTCGCTGGAACGGGACCCCCACTGCCGGAAGCTAAATAACCAAACCTAGAGCCAAACGTGACCGCGCGGCGGTCTTGACGCCGCGATTTTGACTGCGAGTAGGGAAGCCTGATCTCGGAGATACTCCCAGAGCTCTTTTGCCATCCAGAGTACGCGTTGTGTGCATTGCTCATTTCGCCTTTCATCGCTCCAACCCGCGCATCACACCTGTTCCTGCAGAATGAGCTTGGCTTATAGCCGGACTTCCAATTCGTTCGTGGTAACAAGCCAGCTGTGTCGAAAACGACAATTGATGGTTTTTCAACTCCACGACCTGGGGGTTTATAGCTCTTTGTGAAAGCTAGAGTTGCCGTCTGAGAAGTAGATCAGACGTTGAGCACATCCAATTGGTCCATGCAATGGAATCATACAAATGCGTTCCTGTACGATTTGCAATTACAATTTTGGTCGTACAGAACTGAACCTTTCCTGGGACAGATACTCATTGACGTGGAGCGATGAGTACTCCCGGCGGCGCTGCTGTCGCCGCTTGCACACCATGTCGCACGGTGAAAATGAAATGTATCCGCGAGCCGGATTCCACAATGTGCAATCGATGTAAGAGGAAATCACTAACTTGCTACTATGAGACGCATCGTCGAGGTCGCAAACCCGGTACAAAGTGAGTGTTATAATCGTTTTGCGAAACCTCTACAATAGCATTAGTGGCTGATCTTGTGTGATTGTCTTGGTCAGATTACGTCCCAAAGCAGAACGGATGAAAGCTTCCAATACTGCTTCTGCATTAACAAGTATGCATCAGGGTTCGAATCCACCAACGGCTTCGGCAGCGGAACCGACCCCAAAAATTGAACGGGAAGATACACTGAGCCAGCATAGCGGTCACCTCCTTATTGATGTGAAACACCACAACCTGTCCCCCATATCAAAGGCAAGCTCCGCAAGGGAAGCCTCAACCTTGAAAAGCATGCAAATAAACCGTTCACTTGCCTCAGATAGCCTTGCGCCATTTGCACTATTAAGAAAATCGGCGACGGTAGGGAACTTTACAATTGCCAACATTCTCAACGTGGAGGAGGAGACTCCGGCTGGAGAGGAGACTCCCGATCCTGACATTTTAGGACAAGATGACTTACCGATGAAGGATCCGGATGACCCAGTGAATCGAAACTTATTAAGCATGCCCAGTGCTCAGGGGTTGTTTGATAAGTATGTTGCGATCCATCCGCCAACCTCAACTTCTGTAATATGATCTAATGATTGGTCTTGGCTAGCTTTTTCAAATATATGAACCCATTTATATGTCAATTTGACCCTGTGATGCATACACTGCGTTACGTCAGGAGTCGATCACCGTTCCTGTTTTCAGCCCTCCTTGCAGCTGCTGCCAAAGTATTTTCTCCACAACTATACCTTAAACTTCACGACCACGTTGAGTTTCTTCTACGCAAGATTCTTGGCTCGGGTGAGAAGTCCACTGAAATTGTGCAGGGAATATGTCTTGTAACGCATTGGAAAGAGCCAAGTGACTCTCGAGCGTGGATGTTAGTTGGTTATGCTATTCGCGCTTGTATGGAGATGGGATGGCATAAAATAAGTCCAACTCATTTGGATCCCGTGTTCGAGGACGGGAACAGGGGCAGTGCAAACGAGATGGAGCTAAGGGAACGAAGAAATAAAGAGCGCACTTGGCTTATGCTGTTTGTATACGATCGGAGGTAAGAAAATTGAGCGTGCCCAAAGGCAATTTGACCATTTCCCAGGCGATATATTGACATTTCTTGTCTTGATAGCGTGAGCCTGCAATTAGGAAGGCCGTCGATGATCCATATGGATCACTTGATTCGGAACGCAGAAACCTGGCACCAACATGCTTATGCAGTTCCCGGCATTGATGAAGTTATGGTTTCGTTTGTGCAACTAAGAATCCTCGGTTTTGATCTGCTGGATGTATTTTGGCTGCACCCGGTCGCGACAACATCGCAGACAATTGATAAGGACGAATTTATTTTGAAGACCTTCAATAGCGAACTGGATAGGTGGGAAGCAAAATGGTATAGGATACTGGATGAAGGTAACGGTCCTGGACAACTCTTCCAGCCGCGTTTTCTAACATTTGTGAATGCTGTAGCCAGCAGTTCTGTCTGCCATCGATTCCTTGTTCGGTTCTACGGAAATCATTTACGTCTTCTGATTCATTCTTTTCGGTTGCAACTCTCAATCCTAAGCGGCAATGTTTCCAAAGAGTCGTTATGGATCTGCTATTCAAGTGCCCTGGAGATGTTACGCCTAGTGGTGCATCGTCTGGGGATGGTTTCACATCTTTATTACTGTCAGGACTCGGTACATGTAATGGTGGCTTATGCCGCCGTTGTTATAATCAAGGTATATTCTCGTATTGGGATGGGATAAACTCGGTCTCTATCCGTTCTTCATTTCGGTCATTGCTCACATTGAACCTAGATCTTACTATCCCTGCCCGGCGAGCTCTCAGCCGAATCCGAAGTCACCATCCTCGACCTTCTCTGCAAAGCGAGCGAGGACTTCGGCCGTCAGTGTTCCGCAAACAACACTAGCTGCTTCTATCAAAGCAGATTCCTAGCTAATGTGGTGACACAATTTCGCAAATCAAAGGCGAAAGCAAACCCCCCAACTAGCACTTTGATCAAACAACATGATGGATCGCAAATCCCAGATCCATATGTGAGACCATCATTGCAGATCCATCAAACGGGTTTGATTCAGCAGCAGCAACTCCAGAGTCAGTCGCCACTTGAACCTTCGCCGTCATCACATTATCCTCCTGGTCCGCAACAGCGGTTGCCAAGTGATATGTACCCGCTACCCCACGCGTCGACTGCTGCTTCAATTCAATTTTCAGCCTTGAACAATCCTCTTTCGCAACAGCATTCTCAGGTCTCTCCATCTGACGCAAGTCCGTTGACCGCATCGATGCTGCATGCATCAATGACGGCCGCAGCAAATCCGATACAATGTATGAGCAATCATCCTCCAAACCCGAATCCGACTGGTATGTTATGCTCCGATGCTCCTCCCCCCTCTGCAGCCATCACTAGCAGCAATGGCTTTCAGTCATTTATGCCGATGAACGAAGTGTCGAGCGGCGATGGAGGTAATAATTATGCGTTTGCGTCATTTACGGATACGGGAGCTTGGGAGAATTTGTTTGCGCATGCAGGATTTAACATCAACAGCGGCGCATTTATACCCAACCTAGAGGAAGACTAAGGAGCTGGGCGAGGTTATGTCGGGTGTCTGTATTTTCACATTATCTCTAATATATGGAGTACGGAGTACTAATTCGGGAGCTTCATTTTGGGCAGGGAGGTGTGATTTTTTTGGTTTCCTCCTTCCCTTGTTTCGATTAAAATGAAGTTGAACTTCATTGTATATATTAGCCGTTTAAGGAAGTCCAAGCCTGTAGCAAGCCATAGCTACATACGTATCGCAAATCTCAGAATTGCATATATCAAAGACTACTTTTTTTGGCTTTTGGTTGCCGGCTCTAATATTGTAATTCTCTCACTGGAGCTGAGGATTATGTATCGTGCAGAAGGAGACCATGTGTTGAGCAACTCTACTGTGTGAAGCAATGGCCGACATTTTCTCCTCTTCACCAAGCATTATATACATAAATTCTGCGTGGACTTCGCCGTACTCTTCAGCATCTTCTGCAATCTCATCCACGGTTTTGCTCGTCAACCATGGGGTTTTTCTGATCATCTGGATTGGCCGAGTGCAAACCCATTCAAGATCAATAAGACAGGTTAGATTGCAACTCCCATCAACAAAAATATTGCTTTGATCGAGGTCTGTAAATGCAAAGACGAACGGCCCCTGCGAGAATTATTGATCAAAGAATGATGACATAACCGTTCGCATTGTTGCCGGAGCGGCCACTTGATAGGAGTAGTCAACTGTATTGTTGATCGTGTTGGGCGAATGTTGAATGCGGCTCTCACGAGAGCCCAGCATGTCCATCATATAGTCGGTGATAGTTAAAATATGTACGATCTCGCAATATATATATGTGTCGGGATTTCCTGATTCTCGAAGTCCTGAACCTCAATCGAAGGTTGTCAGTTTGCGAGCTCTAAAACCCTACTATTATCAATGGTAAAGAATCCGATCTAAGCCAAACGTATCCGGGCGACACTTGAAAGAATTCGCGATAAGCCGCATTTCGCCTTTGGCCTCTTCAGCAAACTCAATAAGCATATAGGCAGAGCTGATACGCCGATTTTATCGATCATTAAGTCCCTACCTTGATGGGATGTATCGAGAAGGATTTGGACCATGGAGCCATGATAGCAGTCAAACTCGTAAGGTCTGAAGCCATCGTTTGATGCATGATCGATTTTCAAGGTAGATAAACTAGATGCTACGGTTAGCTGAAGTTGCTGTTCACTGTCGATAGATCCCATACTGTTTCCTCAGCGAACATTGCAAAGCCATAAAAATGACGAATTGGAAGACCTGAGCAATTTTTTGAAGCCACGCATAGGCGGTTGCCTCGCATCTGACTTTCTCGTCACCATTTCCAGGTCTCAACTCACGAAACGGCGAATGAAGTCTCAGCATAATGCGAGTCCCGAGCTCTTTTCTTTTTCCAATTGTTGATGGTGACTGGAATACAAACATTGAAGCTGCCATACCGCCAGTCTTCCATTTTTACCACACGACACATGTCAGGAGAGGTGAGATTAAGACGACAAGCAATAATAGCTTCCATCCAATCGCGTCATCCTTCAAGCATCGTGAAATGCCTGTGCCAGAGATGAGTAACTCGAGCGCAAGCGGACGCTGGCGGAGCCCCTGGAAGGTCACGTGAGTATCACACCACGGGCCTGGCCTGGCAGCTATTTTCACCGCCGCTATCTGGACACTCACGAACGAGACCAAACGAGGGCAAAAACGAAAAAAGAAAAAAGAAGGAAAGGAAGAAGAAAAAATTCTTTTTTTTTTTTTTTTTGGAGTTCTCTCTTTTCTCAATTTAGAGCTCGACCGGGCTTGGAGGACGATAACTCCAAGTTTCGTCTTTCCCAGGTCAAAATCGACTTTCGTGCATGTGTCGCTGACACCACGGTCAAATGAAGAGACAGTTTCGTCTTCAAAGATCCATTCCAAGGCTGAAGATGTATCCTCTGCTCTCCGTCCGCTGCAGGCGTTCTGGGGTTGAACGCCTGGCTCGTGTGTTCTTCTTACCCGTGTTGCACTAATTGCGTAGAGTCCAAGAAAATACGAGAAATGTCGGGTAGCGACTCGTGAATTACAACTGGTTCCTTCGTGCACGGTGGGCAATGGGTCGTTGCCCACAGATGGAGTTTGACGAGTCAAATATCGGACAAGAGGCTCAGCCAGCAAGGCTAGCCACGATGTCGACGGTAATCGGCTGGCTGTGACCTGTCTAGCGCCATTTGTGACATCAAGGTACGAGATATCGCCCACTGAAAGCGTTTTTCCATCTCCATTCTGGATTTCCACATTCTCTCACAGTAACTCTGGCCTAGAATTCATTTGAATAATGCTATTTTTTGCACATGTAATTGATTATATTCCCTGGATCCACTCTTTCAGACTTCAAGCGATCGGGTTCTTTGTTCCAACTTAAAGCTGTCAACGACTCACATCAAACTTTGCCGTTTCCGGCCTCCCTTCAACTCCAAGGCCAGGCAGTGATTAAGGCTGCCCATACGATACATGATTGCGCTTTTGGGGTGCAGACAGGAATTCCCGGCACACCTTTCTTAGCTATGAGCGATTAATCCGGAAATTCAGCTGTGGTTCACCCTCTCGTGCTTGGGCCATTGAGTACGAGGATACTCGGGGCCCGGCTTCTATAGAATAGTGAAGCATTCGTTGTTGGATTGAGATATATGTCCCTAGGCCAAACCTACCGATTCCCCTCTTTGAGGGATATTCCTGATATACCCTTTACTTCCTGTCTTTGAGTGGACCTAAATTTTGGAGATTTTATTGCGTTTTTCGGGCCAAGAGACTTCTCTTCATTGATCCCTCTTTGCCTTTGTATTATTCTAGGAGCTGGTCCCAGAGGGGAAGTACACAGTCCCTCTTTTATTCACGTTGACTTCTGAAGTTGGGATCAATCTTGCGTCGACGCAGAAAAGTGGTATGGAGTTCTATCGATCATCTGAGGAACTAGACCCATCATCAGACAGTGCAAAGGCTTACGCCTCGACATCATATGAAGACCACCTTTCGCGTCGCGAGCTTTCGTTCGTGACATCTCACAGGGAGCCTCTAAGTGCCGCGGAGCGTGCACGTAGGAATATAAATGCAAAACTTGCAAATCCACTGGCGGGTTTGAGCCATGCTGCCTTAAGAGGCAGAGGGGAACGTTACGCCCGGAAACACCAGATTGGAGATGAGGAAGATATACGAGCATTTGCAATGGGTGCTGTTTTGGCTCAGGATCCGAAACATTATGAAAATATGGAAGGATTAACGGAGGAAGAACTGGAGGTTCTCCGACATGAATTCACGCATAAATGGTCGCAGCCGAAATTGCTGTATCTGGTTATTGTGCTCTGTTCAGTATCCGCAGCGGTTCAGGGAATGGGTACGTCCGAAGATTTTCTGTTTCTAAATATCTTCTGAGTATCGATATTTTCGAGTTAAATACTAACAATCAGACAGATGAATCCGTAGTTAATGGGGCCCAAATATTCTACAAGGCGCAGTTTGGTATCAACGACGATGATTATCGTTCGACATGGCTATCAGGACTCACCAACTCCGCTCCTTACCTTTGCTGTGCCCTTATCGGTTGCTGGCTTACTGTTCCATTCAACCACGTATTCGGCCGCCGTGGAACAATTTTTATCACCTGCTGCTTCTCTGCCATTACCTGCTTTTGGCAAGGATTTGTTAATACCTGGTGGCACATGTTTGTCGCCCGATTCGCGCTGGGATTCGGAATCGGACCCAAGTCCGCAACAGTGCCCATATATGCTGCTGAGACCACTCCACCTGCAATTCGTGGCGCTTTAGTCATGCAATGGCAGATGTGGACCGCATTCGGTATCATGCTTGGTTATGCTTCGGATATCATCTTCTTCAAAGTTCCCGACCCACCCGGTGTAGTTGGCCTAGGATGGCGATTAATGATGGGCTCCGCAATGTTTCCAGCAGTATTGGTCTGTTTCATGGTATTTCTTTGCCCAGAGTCACCCCGCTGGTATATTTCAAAGGATGCCCATCACAAAGCATACATGTCTATGTGTCGTTTGAGGTTCAATAAAATCCAAGCTGCGCGAGACTTATTCTATATGCACACTCTGCTAGAGGCGGAGTCGACGATGAAATTGGGCCAGCCAAAAATAGTCGAGCTTATCACTGTGCCACGAAACCGGCGAGCAATGCTTGCTTCAGAAATTGTCATGTTCATGCAGCAGGTAAATCCCCTGTGCACCTAAGCCTTTTTCAACTCCAAACGCTCATGATTGTTAGTTCTGCGGTGTCAATGTCATCGCTTACTACTCCTCTGAAGTCTTCCTCGAAGCTGGCTTTTCCCAGATTTCGGCCCTTGCGGCATCTCTGGGATTCGGCATGATAAATTGGCTATTTGCGATTCCGGCCGTTTACACAATCGATACCTTTGGTCGTCGCAATTTACTGCTACTCACCTTTCCGCTGATGGGGATATTCCTCCTCTTAACAGGATTTTCATTCTGGATACCTTCCGATACAGCCCCCCGAGCTCGTCTAGGCTGCGTGGCGTTGGGAATATACCTTTTCGGAATCGTATATTCACCCGGTGAAGGTCCCGTCCCGTTTACATATTCCGCAGAAGCATACCCGCTGTATGTCCGCGCGTATGGCATGGCCCTCGCCACATCAACGACATGGTTCTTTAACTGGATGCTTGCGATCACCTGGCCTAGTCTCGTCCGCGCATTCTCCCCGCAGGGCGCATTTAGTTGGTACGCCGGATGGAACATTATAGGCTTCGTTCTGATTCTGTTATTTTTACCGGAGACAAAGGGCAAGACACTTGAAGAGCTGGACCAAGTGTTTTCTGTTCCCACACACTTGCACGCCAAATGGGCATTGAAGCATCTTGTCAGTGTCTTCAGGAGGTATATACTTTTCCAAAAGTATGTGAAGGTCGAAGAATTTGGAAAGGAGCAAGAGAATCAAGCGAGAGGAATGAGCATGAGCACTGTTGAGCGGAGACTTGACATCGAATAACAAAGGCGATGTCTCATTGTCTCACTAGGACGTAGTTTATTGGAATGACGTTTGGGTGAATGAATGATGTATCTATGTGATGCCGAATAGACCGAATTTCATGAGTTATGGTGAGACAAGAGCGATAGGTGGTCTGTGCTCAAGGATATTTCTCATGTGCTATGCATGAGAGAGGGGAAGATCGCAACACCAAGGCTATGACTTTGACGGAATCCGACAATGGATTTCGCACTGTGGATGGAGCAAGGAGCTACTTCGAATCTAAAGGCGTCATTAGGCATCAAACTCAGGTCTTGGGTTTGAATCTTTGTAATATTCTCCCGCCTAGGAGTCAATATCATTCCTAAAGCTAGAGATATATAAATCTAATAACGTTTTAAGGTGCTTGGATTGCCATCTTTATCCCTTGAAACGTGGATATATTCAAGGTCCGATCGAGAACAGTTTTTCAACGCTACATGCACAAACGAACGAGGCATCATCTCGATCGAAACCGGGATGCAGCAAAAGGTCATACTGGTCTAATTAAATAATGTGAAATAACGATTCTAGCGACTAGTTAGCATTCAGTCCGAGGAATAGACGACTGGAACAATTTTGGAATCCAAAATTAATGTTATCAGAAGGAAGGCAACATTTTTTTATCCACATTATCTGTTTCGGAACAGGTCTGTGTAAAAAGGTGTTTCATCACGGAAGGCAAGCAAATGAGGGGTCCGAAGATAATAGGACGCATACTTACAATTTATTCAAGCACCACGATCATGGGTATAGACGTCTTCGGCATATCTAACCACCAGGTGCTACAAAAAAATTGTTAATACGCTTCTGTTTGGGATCGTATGCTGCGCTTCCGATCCCACTTCCGGTGCGTGTTAGATTCTGAAGATGCTGTCGACAATTGACTGTGTGAACCGTTATCTTCAGGGTAATGGTTGAAAGGCTATCGGTCACCCGGGCACCCTGAGCTGAATGCGAACTTGCTTCTGAGTTTTCAGGAGGGCTGTTACAGGATATGTGCCTCGCAATGCCGCCTGGGGCCTTCAATATATCCAGTTCCATATAGCCTGTGTTAGACCAACCAGGTCGTCGAGCTTGAGCTTGAACAGTTGCGCTATATACAAGGTGATCGTGTTGACATAGTGTCGTCAAAGTCTCCCAGAGCACTGAGAGCACGATCCCATGCGAAACAATAGCGACAACCTCGGTAGTCTCTAGATCAGCATAAAGAAGGGGAAGTAGGAAGTCATCACGGAACTGATTCGCTCGTGCAGCCATAGAAGCTACGGACTCTGGCTCCTTGTGATCCAAACCAAGCGTTGGGGGTAATGTGGACCTAGCGACGGTAGAAGTCCGCCAGGATTCACCCTCCAAAGAGCCAAAGTCCTTCTCCATAAGAACTGGTAACAGAATTGGTTGCAATGATGAGGCATTCGGCTCTTTGCACAACCCCTCGGCGGTCAGTCGAGCACGCTGAAGGGGGGAGGCGAAGACCCGGGTGAACTGAACACCCTGAGCTCGAAAGTGCCGAGCAAGCCGTTCGATCTGGAGCATGCCATGATTTGTCAAAGCAGAATCGGTCACGCCAGCACTGATGGAGAGAAAGAGTGAGTAAAGAGGATCAGGTGGGTGGAATTGACTTGATGAGCAACGTCGAATCCGTACTAAACCTGGGCCACATTGTGCTCACTCTCAGCGTGTCGTATGAGGTATACGCGCATCCTGAGCAAACGGACGCATAGTGGAAAAGGATCGGATGACGAAGGGGAGGTAGATGAAATCTCGGGAAAAATTTTGGCGAGGATTTTAAACGGAAGAGAGGGAAAGCAGAATTTTTTTCTGGGAAGGCCGGTTTTAAGCTCGCTGTCGACTAGCGCCTTGGCATTTGGTTCACAAGCACGCTACTCCGTACCGTATGGGCGATGACCGCGGTGAGTTTTTTCCGGTTCAACAGCCCACTTCCATTGTCGAGTGGGTGAGGCCTGGTGGTTGGGAAAGGAAAGGTGGCTCCACGGTTGTCTTCTCATGGAGACACGAATTGATATTTGCACGAAAGCAGTAGTTAACTAAGTCTGTATGGAGTGAACAACCAAAAATCTATCAAACCAGCGAAACGAACGCAACTCCCAGATAACTACCTTATTGATGAACCATTCTGAACACCCGTGTTTATAAAGCATGTGTAAAATAAATACATATTGTCCATCGCCAGCAGGTCCTGCGAGGAAGGCAGTATACTCCTGAAGGAACCTCAGCATAAGCAGGTAGAGTTTCATTGAAGCTCTGCACTTGTTTTGGGATTGTAATATTGCTGATACTTCACCTGAGATTTGCATCCCATGCTGGACCAAGGTAGATTGGGACGACTGTCTCTCACCCAAATCTGCAAGCCCAACTAGCCTGTAGGGGACTAAACAATCATGCATAACTGTTGATAGGACCGTCGACTCGCTGCGATGAGCTTAAGGCGTTTTCTCTGTATCAAAGATAACAGAGCAGGTTCTGTTCATAGTGAATCTCCTTGGTGTTATAGGGACAACGATGCAATTTGCAATTGTGAACGCTTGAGCCACTTGTGTTCTCCAAAGCTTGTGTATAGGTATATCTTTTGGAGCGGATAGCATCTACCTTGCTTCACTCTGGTGAAGCTAACAAAGTCACACTCTTGTCTCATTCGAGGAGCTTCGGTCGATCAACTGACATCTAATATCAAGGCTCAGGCCTATTTCGAGTGCTTAACCCAGAAAGCAGTGCGCTCAGGTATAGATTCCTGGTTCCAGAACTTTGCAACCCGGCTTAACTAACACTCTAGAAGGGCACATCTCCATGGTATGGATAAAAGCCAGAGCATTCCAAATTATGGAATAAATTCAGCGTGCTAACCTTCTCTCATACGAAGATGTCTTACACGACAGAGCAGCTGAATGCTGCACTTACCCTTATTTGTTGTGAAAAGCAAGTGCAGAACACACTGTCAGGTTATCTTCGATACCAATTTAGGACGAGGTTCGGAGCGCGAATCACAGCCAGCATCGATGATGATGAAAGCGGAGACTTCGATCCTGAGTTGGCAAAAGCATGGCGCAAAAGGAAGCGAGCAGTGGCCGAGCCCCGCAAAATGCCACAAAAGAAAACTAAGGCCAGAAATGAGAAGGAATTGGATAGTTCGTCTCATAAATGCACTAGTGGCCCAGACCGGAAGGCCAAACTGCCCTCCTCGAGAAATAGAATGTAGACTTTTTGGTTTATGTTGGTATTGGAAAAAAAAATTGACAGAGAGGAGTGCTGTGGGAATCACTGATGATGATATCTGTTGTGGATGTTATTCTTGGTCTGAATGCTCTCTTTGCATGGACAGTTGCAATGAAATATGGGCAAGCCGCTCCATTGATTTCACGTATTCTCCCGTTGCAAATGGATCAAACTGTGCCACTGGTGTCATGACATCACCTACAGCCTCCTCGGACTTGGACAGCTTGATAGGAAAGGAAACACTGAGATCACAGATGGCCATACTTGACGTGGAAAAAAGCCGAGCAGATAGAATGTGTCTTAGTTGCACACAAAAGTGTGTGAGAGCCATTGAGGGTATACATGAGCAGGGTTTGACCTTCAGAAGGCATTTGAGACACTCTTTCTGGTTGTTGAGGAAGACCAGGGTATCAAAAGAAACCTTTGGTGTGCTATATGTATCAGTCCTGCATTCTATCAATGTGGCAAACAGCATGCAACTGGGTGTAGAGCACACATGATCAAGGTCTCGGGGGCTGTGGCCTTCAACCGTGTGGCAGCTGTGTGTTTCTGATGGCAGATCATGGATGTAACATCTCAATATTGATTGAGGTGGTAACCAGAGAGCTGATGTTGAGTTTCTTCTCCCTGAAGGTGAGCTCTATCGAAGAGTTAGTATGAACGTGTAACGATATAAAAGATGTGCCGAGATGAGGTTCCCGAATTTACCTGCTGGGCTTGACACTAGGGTAGAGATGGTGTTTGCTCTCCATTCTCTTCCATCTTCATCTTGATTGTGATAGCTTTTCCTATTCAATTATCGTGTCTCGCAGCCAAATGTACTCCGTACTGACGAGGTGATTTGTCTTGCCGCTTTTACAATGTGCTTATTAACAAGCCTTAAAGCTTCGATCGCCCTCGGAACATGTCCCTCTCTCTGCGATAATTCGATAATTTGAAGGGGGGGGACCTAATCAAGTGTTTGTGCGTATGCGATTAATCTCTTTTCTCCTATTAGTGGTTTATTCCTTTCTGTTGGGAAATCTTCACTGGTTTCCTGGATAATACGGAGTGCAAAGCGCTTAAAAGCTCTACCTCCATAGTCGGCCATAGCAGCTTGCTACTTCCTCCTCTCTTTCCTTGTTCGAAGGGATTGCCAGGCCTGATAGGCAGATATAACAGTCCTATCCAGTGCCTAGTCCTCGCATTCGGTGCGCTGTGACCTGTCTTTCCCTCAAATCATTTGAGTGCGAGGAAGTCAGTGGCCTGTGGGAGATATCGCCCACCATGGCATCCGGGTGGTCGGGGCGCCGACAGTCTGTCTATAAGATCTTTGGGGCAACAGTAAGTTTTTGCTTTCATCTTCTTCGTTCATCACGCAAGTGTTCCTTATCGTTTTCTTGTCGAATTCTTTCCCCTTAGTTCCTTGCAACATTTCAGAATCCCGCCCTTGAATGCTTCTTGGTCCTCAAAGAATTGTCTGCACTGTTTCATTTGGGCTGCCTTCCCGAATCTTCCGGTTCGGGACGAGGGGAAAAAAAAAAATTCGTGCTTCTGGAGCTGCATAATGACACGGATTGTTCCGAATTGTGGATGTGATGCCGGACTCGTCGCCTGTGGACCGGTGCTATTTTTGCCCCTTGCAGTGGCAACATAATGGCGCGGTCAAAAGCCTCGGGTTGTCGGAAAACGCCTCTCGAAACAACTGCAAAGGCGACTTGCATTTATCATACCACAACTGGGGCCTAATTTACATAACCCGATCATATTTTGCGGGCCCATAAGTCAACCTCATGACCCTGCGGCCGAAAATGGACGTCCCCATCTTGCGGGTGACGTGTGAAGGTCAAAAGCCAATTCCATCATCATAGCTCCACATATAACCCGGGGCTCCGCTAGTGATCGGAAATCTATGAGGGCTGGCCCAGGAGAATCCGGCACATGATACTTTTTGTTGGAAGAGCTGGTGTGCCCCTGCTCATGGAAAGTTTTTAAATGATATCCCGGGTGGACGTTCCTGTGTTTGATCTCAATGATGGATATCGCATCTGCAGGTGAAATGTACACCGTTGAGCAATTCACCTTCATCGTCTGTCGCGATCTCAAACGATAAACAGCCACCGATTTTGTTTGACTAAACCGCGCCATATGAGCAACCACCAAATCTGGAAACGAAAACTTCGACCTCTGAAAACACAGACGTTTTCCACTCGCCTTCATCATCTCTCCCACTGCAGCGACCGGCTTCCGAAGAGTGACTGTTCCTTGTTCTTCACTGATTCTCCAGTGGCTCCTCCCATTAACATCATCTCTGGGAGTTGTGATATTCAGACTCAGTGTTGCCCTATTGCGCTGCTCAAGTGCTGGCACTTAGATACTTGAATATCTGCTTATGCCCAGTCGAGACAGGCAAGAAGACTTCGGTGTTTCGTGGAACATAGCCAGCTTGACAAAGGAGGTCAAAGCAAGCGCCTCAAACCAGACGACTAAGCAACTGCACAGCCGTGAATATCAAGTCCCTCTAGCAGCGAATGACAAGGGAAGAGGCAAACTCCCCTCCTTAACAACAATGCGATTAAAATCTGCTGTAAATCCTCCATCCCCTTCTCAGCTTTTGTTTTTCTTGCTTTCTTTAAAAGCAGCATTAACATCACTGTCTTTATTGTTGCTGTTTGCATTTCGTCCTTCAATCCTCCAATTATTCCTGCTTTATTTTGAAATCTCATACCTACTTTGCATATCTTCATTTTCCTGTTGTCTTCTTTGACTCTACTCAAACATCATGGAGCCTGTCACTGAACACCAAATCACGACGTTCTTCATGTACTACAACCATACAACAGAGGTCCAGCCCGCTATCAAGCAGGCCATTCTTCCGGTTACATATGCTAATGGATGCATCCAGGATGATGATAACAAAATTTGTGTTGTTATGGTGGGACTTCCTGCGAGAGGAAAGTCGTTAATTGCAGGCAAAGGTATGTAGGTTCGTGTATGTTTTCTATGTGAACTCTTGTTTGTTAGTGAAGGATAGCAGTTACCAGCTCATTCCACAGATTTTTATTGAAAAAAAGAAAAGAAAAGAAAAATATGTGGGCTAACATCTTCATTAGCATTGCGATACCTCTCATGGATTGGAATCCCTGCAAAGATTTTCAACGTCGGGCAATATAGGCGCCAGGATACCCCACGGCCATCGGCGTCTTTCTTCGACAACTCGAACCCGGATGGAGAGAGACTCAGGCGTGCGGCGGCTGAAGCTGCAGTCAAGGATATGTTGAACTGGTTTGCAACTACAGACGGCCAAGTTGCAATTCTCGATGCCACAAACTCTACCAAGGAACGTAGAGAATGGATTTATAACACCTGTCGTCTTGCGGGTATCGCGCCATTGTTCGTCGAATCAAGATGCGATGACCATGATTTGATTATGAATAACATCCGTGAAGTCAAGACTACTTCTCCGGATTACTTTGGACAAGACCCCGAGGAGGCTGCGAAAGATTTTATGAATCGCATCCGTAACTACGAGAAGGTCTATCAAACAATTGGACCCGACGAGGATCACTATGCTTATGTTAAGTTAATTAACGTAAGCACGCAAGTTATCATCAATCGAATTCGCGACTATCTATCAAGCCGTCTCGTCTATTATATTCAAAACCTCCACATTCGCCCTCGTTCAATCTGGTTGTCACGGGTGAGTGGTTCAAGCCTCTATCCTTAAATCTCATTTGGATGATAACCCTGCTGATATCATTACCTATAACAGCATGGGGAATCCGAATTCAATCTCACTGGGAAAATAGGCGGGGATGCAAATCTCTCCCCTCGCGGCGAGCAATACGCACTCGCTTTGCCCGACCTCCTCCGTGAGTCCGGAATTCCTAAAGGAGCCAAGCTTACAGTTTGGACTTCCACTCTAAAGCGCACAAACCAAACCGCGCGTCACCTTGTTAAAGAGATGGGCTACCACAAGCTAGAGTGGAAGGCTCTCGATGAGCTTGACTCCGGTGTATGCGACGGTCTTACTTACGAGGAGATTCAGTCCCGCTACCCTGAAGACTTTGCAGCGCGTGACGAGGACAAGTACAACTATCGGTATCGCGGAGGCGAATCGTATCGCGATGTTGTCATTCGACTTGAACCGATCATCATGGAGCTCGAGAGAAGCGAAAATGTCATCATCGTGACACACCAAGCCGTCCTCCGCTGCATCTATGCGTACTTCCTGAACATGTCGCAGGAACAAAGCCCATGGATGGAGGTTCCTTTGCATACGCTTATAAAACTCACTCCTCGTGCTTACGGGACTGAAGAACAGCGAATTAAAGCTAACATTCCGGCGGTTTCAACTTGGCGTGGCAAAGGCAGCGAGGCCAAGCACCAAACTCCCGGCGAATCGGAAGTTCAAGCCTTGCTCTCCTCTCAGCAGGAAATACCCATCGGCAAGACATCTTCTGCGAACGCTACCACTTCTATCGTGGTAGCTAATAATACCGGCCTTACCGATCTTCAGCCTGCTACTGGTGACGGCCGTGTCCCTGACGCGGAGGTACCGGATCCGGTGGACCGCAACAGTACAACTGCTGTTAAAAATCATTCCAGCGTTGACAGCCCTACTGAGCCACTGACTGCCACAGAGGGCGATTTGAAAGAAGCTCCTTAGCTGGATGCCGCCTCCAGTACTGGTCTCCTTTTTATTTCGTGTTTATTTGCTTGTTTGCCACAATATCTCTTAAAGGACTCAAGAGTTCCGTCTTCCAGAATAGAATTCTATGTTATGAGAGCAAGGCGCATTTGAGGGAATGCGGCAAGGACGGTGACAGGAAAAAAGTTCGCTGGAATAGGGCGTTAGTTTAGGGATCTTTTATGGACCAACAGTAACTAATGAATGCTCCTCAGGTGGGAACAAAGTGGAAAGGTGCAGTTTGGATTTTAAGGGTTACTTCTAATGGGCTTAGCGAAATCAATATTCTCCTTACTCTCCTCATGTCCTATACTGTCCGCTTCCGTAGGTCGAAGAAATGTGGAAAGTCGTATGGCCACTAATGTAATTCCCAAGAGAGCCGATCACCCAACCGAACCGATCACCTCAATTTACATACAAATTTCAACTTTTTAATGCTCTATATCTCAACAACACTGTTAGATATAGGCTTAAAATCTTATACATATAGTATACTCCATACAACAATGTGATGGTTAGCTAGCAGCCGAACATGGAGGATTTTGCTGCCATGTTTTGGCGCCTGCTAATCACCAACCCATGATCATCACATGAATCAATCATCATGATTACAGCCTTTCCTCCACACACACCCACAATATCTATGGCTCTGGTGCTGATTTTTGTGGCTCTTCTTCACTCTTGGTCACCCACTTGCTCACTCTGCAGAGAGAGAAGTTATTTTAATACTTCATCTCTGCCAATTCTAGCTTCTCTCTGAACTATTATATTCTCTCCAGTTCCAGACTCTGTTATGCTAATTATATTCTCTTCAGCTTTGTTCTATCTTCTACTGATATCTCTCTCAGCATTGCAGTTTAATTCTTATTTATAAAAGTACTTATTAACTTAGTTTCTTGCTTCTAATTCTCTCTTCACCTGCTCTCTCTGATTTATCTTGAGTTATAATGTCTTGTTTTCAACCAGTCAAACCTAATAATAAAGAGAGCAAGAGCAAGCTGAGATTACAGACTATCTTACAGAATCTTGAAATAAAGTATCTGTAAAAGTTTGCAAATTCTAAGAAGATCTGAATCTCTTTTTTACTGATTAAAGCTCTGGCTAGTTAAGAATAGTATCTATATGACTCTTCTCTATAAGAACACTCTCTAGTATTATAACATGATATCTCAGATAGTTAATTTTGTGATCATTGAACTTGCACTTTGCCAGCTTGTAATAAAGATCTGCATTCTTCATTATTTATATTAAATAATTTAAAAGATTAGATAAATTCATAAGCTAGAGTACTGCTCAGATATTTATAAAGAGTTTCTTGCTTAGCTTATAAAAACCTGTATATTCTTTTAAATTCTGACAGACTTTCTGATTCAAGATCTATAGTTAAATCATCTTTATAGATAGTGACAGCTCTCAAGTCTTCTTATTACTAAATACTTCTGTGAGTTTATAATAGACTTCTGAAATCTGAAGATCTAGACTTGCTGTTATTATTTATTTTAATTTATAAAGAGCTATTATATAAATGGGCTTCTCTTCTTTCACTAGTAGTTCTGAGAGATTAACTAATTTAATCTTTGTGAGCAGATTATGATATACTGTTTAAAACTCTAGTCAGTTTCTTAAAATACATCTTGAAATTATGTTGCTGCAGCCAGCTTAAATTTAATAGTATATTATCAATTTGCACTACTTTCCAAAGCACTACTATCAGTCAGGATGAGTGATTTGGGACATGAAGAAATATCCTTTCATGTTGTTAATGCTCCAGAAAAATGAAATATCACTCTCTGATTTTCTCATTGCTCTTCTAATAACTCTACTATTACAGGAGAATGATGGCAAATCATCAAAGAAGTCGACCTCATTGCAGCAACAGGCTAGGCAGTTGTCTCACATCTCTGCAAGTGCAGGAATCGATGCAGATATATCTGAATATGGTGAAATACATCAAAAATCAATTAAAACCTATCTTCACCTTTTTCCTCCCACAAATTTTCATCCTCTCAATACCTCTACACTTCTTCCTCAGGCTTTGCATTTCCACACACACATCACTTCCACACATCTTTCTTTTCAAGAGAGACTCCAGGTGCTTGTTGATCAGCTCATCTTCAAGAAATGCATGATGCATGTATACATCAATGGGCAGCTCAGGTATCTCTATTGTATATTCTTTATTTTATGATGATTTTATACAAAGTTGTTAAGATATAAAGCATTAAAAAGTTGAAATTTGTATGTATATTGAGGGGTGATCGGCTCGCTTGGGAATTACGTTAATGGATGGGCAGTTTGGAACCGCTTACTAAGCAAATGAGCTCTTGTGGTGGGAGAAGCTACCGCCAATGAGGCTGATCGATATCCAAATGACATCGATGCACCAACAAGAGCTGCCGGCCGTTAGGGCATTCGCACACCTAGCTACAAACAATGTGGGACAGCGGAATGATGTTGCCGCATTCCTCATGGACGTAATAGTCTCGTGCACGATTGCGGGAGAGATTTTTGGGACCGACCATTCCCTGCCACCACCATGCTCTCCGCATTTACCGCCCAACCCCTTGTCGAGCTCCGCCCGCGAGACAAGTCGAAGATCGAGTCTCTCTTAGCCTATGGAGATCGGCTACTTGTCGGGCTGAACACGGGAAGTTTGCGGATATACCGGGTGAACGAGATCAACGACGACGAAGATGGTCTTGAAGATGCTGAGAACGCTGGCGAGCATGTCGACGGTGGGACGCCGTCAACACCTGTGAAAGCGAAACCGACGGACTTGCTGAGGGAAGAAGAAAAATTCGCGAGATACAAAATTGAACAGTTGGCGATCATTAAAGAGGCGAATGTGTTGGTTTCGTTGTCGGGCGGATATGTCTCTCTTCACGACTGGCAGACATATCAGCTGCAGGAGCAGCTGGTGCGGACAAAGGGTGCCTCCACGTTTACTGTGACATCGAATATTGTGAAAGACAAGAGCACTGGCGTTCCCTCGATTGTGTCTCGGCTGGCCGTGGCGGTTAAGAGGAAGGTTATGCTGTGGACGTGGCGAGATATGGAGCTCGAAGAGGATACTGGCGAGATTACACTAGTGAGTGGAATAAAGACGCTCACTTGGGCGACGGGAACGAAGCTGTTAGCGGGATTAAATTCCAGTTATGTGCTTGTGGATATCGAGTCAAAGAAACTTACAGATATCATCGGGCCGGGGAGTATTGGCGGCTCTGGCGGTTCGGAACGCGGAGGCCTCGGTATGACCAGTATGAGCTACATCGGCATTGGAGGTGCGGCGCCAAAACCATTGGCAACAAGACTCTCCGAAGGCGAAATGCTGTTGGCAAAGGATGTCAATACTCATTTTATCGATACCGACGGCAACTCTCTTGGCCGCAGACAGATCCCATGGAGCGCTGCTCCAGAGGCTGTCGGGTATTCTTATCCCTATCTGCTTACACTCCAAGATCCTTCAAATGGGACACTAGAAGTGCGCAACCCCGAAACTCTATATCTTCTTCAGTCGATCTCGCTACCGTCAGCGAGCATAATGCATATCCCTCAGCCTAATATCAGCCTTGCTCACGCCGGAAAGGGATTTCTTGTTGCCGGTGAGCGCATAATTTGGCGAATGAACGCCCTAGATTACGATTCGCAAATTGACTCGCTCGTCGAAGAAGGTCATCTTGACGAGGCTATAAGCTTACTTGGGATGCTTGAAGATGCTTTGTTGACGGACAAACTTGGCCGTTTGCGAGAAGTTAAACTACAAAAGGCCCAGGACCTATTCGATAACCGAAAGTATCGTGCTTCTCTAGACTTATTTACGGAAGTGTCTGCCCCCCCCGAGCTTGTCATTCACTTGTATCCAAAGATAATTGCTGGCGATTTGTCTACCGTGGTAGAAGATGAATATCAGTCAGAATCAGAGGGAAATGCCGAGGAATCGTCAGATAGAGCAAACGGAACTAAACCTAATGGTGTTGTTGCGATCGGGGAAGATAGGAATAAGGGAAAAGGCGTCGGTTACACACCTTCAGTCAGGTCTCTGCTAAAATATAAAACTGAAGATGGTGCAAGCGAAACTAGCAGCGTTTGGGGAGTGTCCGGGGATAAAGATAGCAACGGAGCAGACAAACCTCTGCGTAAGTATATTTCGAATCGGGCCGCCTTACATATATTGATTTCTTTTAGAAGGGAAAGACCTTAAAGCGGCCGTATATGAACTACAAGGATTTCTCGCGGACATTCGCAGGAGACTTCAGAGGTTCCTCAACCCGGATGGTAGCGTCAAAGTATCAGACCTGTGCGTAAACGGCGAATCAGATGAATTCAGCAAATCCGTGATAAGCATTCTTGGAATCTCCGAAAACGACGAAGATGTGGATATTGGGCAAAGATTGAGAGAAACCGCCTCTCTCGTCGATACAACACTTTTCCGAGCACATATGTACGCGACGCCATCCCTCGCAGGCTCCCTCTTCCGAATAGCCAATTTCTGTGATCCAGATGTGGTTATGGAAAAGCTGGAGGAAACAGGCAGATATAACGAACTTATCGACTTTCTCTTTGGCAAGAAGCTACACCGTCCCGCCCTTGAACATCTCCAAAAATTCGGCCAAGCTGAAAAGGAAGAAAAGAGCGCACCACAGCTCCTGGGGCCCAAACGGACAATTACCTATTTACAGAATTTACCACCAGAAATGGTTAACCTAATACTTGAGTTTGCGGAGTGGCCGCTTCGAACTGATCCAGAGCTCGGAATGGAAATATTTCTGGCGGATACAGAAAATGCCGAGACTCTACCGAGGGATAAGGTGTTAGATTTCTTACAGGGCATTGATCCAAAGCTTGCAATTAGGTATCTTGAGCATGTCATCGAGGAGTTGAATGATATGACGCCAGATTTGCATTATCGACTGCTACTGCTATATCTGGAGAGGTTGAAGAATGGGAAAGAGGGCGAAGAAGCGGCGGAATTTCAGGATGAAGAGGAGCGGGGTGAATGCAAAGGGAAGTTTCTGGATATGTTGAAGTCCAGCTCTCAGTATTCGCCAGCAAAGATGCTTGACCGACTTCCTAGGGATGGTGAGTAGTTTCTTTTTTTCCCCTAAATATTCTGTTGATACCTGGACTAATGTGATGATAGATCCCGAGTTTTTTGAAGCTAGGGCAATTGTATTCAGCAAAATGGGTCAGCATAGGCAAGCCTTGGAAATTTACGTTTTCAGATTGAATGATCCACAGAAGGCAGAAAGGTGAGGATTTTATTTCCTTTCCACAGACTCTAGCATTTCTCAGTTTTAATGCTCACTGTTTTTCCAGCTACTGCAATCAAATATACCTGGCTAAAGATACCCATGCCAACGTCCCAGATAAATTGCATAAAGTTTCTCCCACCGATCACGATGGAAACCACCCGTCGATATATCATACCCTCCTCTCACTCTATCTATCCCCGCCACATGGATATAAGCCTCAGTACGGGCCGGCAGTCGAAATCCTTGCCAAACATGGCTCCCGCCTTCCCGCAAGCTCCACATTAGATTTAATACCGGAAAGCTTTCCTATTCATGAACTTGAATTTTACTTCCGTGGGAGAATACGCGCGGAGAATTCCGTGGTGAACGAGAGCAGGATTGTCGCGGCTTTGAGAAAAGTGCAAAGTATCAATTCCGAGGCTGACCTGTTAATCGGCGATGGACTTCTGGGAGGAAACAGAGGGAGGAATCGATTCGTAACAGTGACAGAGGAGAGAATGTGCGGTGTCTGTCACAAGCGGTTGGGTGGCAGCGTCATCAGCGTCTTTCCAGAGTAAGTTCGAGTCTGCGATCCGATGTAAGAGTTGAAAGTTGGTTGTACTGACCCCTGTAGCAATACGGTCGTACATCTCGGTTGTGTTAATAGACGAAGCTCCGGCGTTTAAAGCACGGATTTTTCAGGGGAATATTTTTTTGTCCTCGGTTTGTCTGGGAACGGTGCTCTCTGATATTGTTTTTAAGACTGGATCACGTCCTGGGAACTTTTTTGCTTCGACTGTATATACACTTCTCGCCTTATTCTCTCTTTTTTTTTTTCCGGTCGAGAATATGCGATTGTCGCGATCCAACTGATACCCGGTTGTCTTTTTTCATCGTATCCCAACCATATCAAATCCAAGGCTTCATCTGCGGACCTTATCATTTCAATCCACGTCAAATTTGATGAGGACCTCGAAAACGTGTAGCTGTCACTTAATCTTCATCCTCCTCTTCGTTGACCACCTCTTCTCCATAATTCTCTTCTTCCTTGGTTTCGTCTTTCCCCTCTACTCTGGCTGACCGAGCGCTGTCCTCTTCCATCCGTGCGGTCAAATAAGCGTTGACCTCGCCCTGCAGCGAGACCACAGCGCCTCGTAGTTCGGACAAGTAAGCGGTCCTTCTAGCAGTTGCGTCCGTGGTGTGTGACGAGAGGGATGTGGAGAGCTGGTGCTGAAAGGTATGTTGTAGCGGGGGTTGGGGTTGAGCTGGGTGTGGCGGCGAGGTGGCGGGGGCCAGGTATGCAGCTTTCAGAACCGGTGGCCTGCCTGCCGGTGTGTCGGGCAAAGGTGCCATTATGCTATGGAAATCGTTAATCTTCAATTGATGGTAGCTGCAGTCCTCGCTGCAAGGATAAGTTGAATTGTGATGGAGGGGCATATAAGCTGGGTGGAGGCTCTGGAAGCCAAAGTCACGTGAGAGTAGCTTAGCAACTTCAGGTTGCGCAAGGGCTCACAGGCAACAGAGGGGATTTGGGCTCACTTAAATAGATAGTAGACGGGCTACAGGGTAACTACAAGCATAGTTCACTAATAGGAAGGACAAGAAAACAATATGGAGAGGTGTTGAAGCACGCTTAGATCAAACAGATCCTATTTCACTCCATCACTAACCCTGGAGACGCGACCATTCGCGAAAGGCCCGAGTGATACAGATTATTGCCAATAAGCATGTGGATTGGTGTAAAAAGACGTAAATCATTAGTTCCTCTGTGGTCGTTTTGCTCTATTGCAGATGTAGATTCAGGCGTCGGCATCCGAAATGAAAATGTTCCGTAGCCCTTCCGTATGGACAGCGTCGACCAGGGCTTATCCTCATGCAGTGAGTTTCCCAACTTACGCCACCGGGGAGACCTGAAGTCGGCCACTGGCGGAAGTACGATCGGTGTGCAGACCAGCCGTGCTCCAGGGGGCAGAAGCTCACCTGCCATTGCTCCCTGCTACGAGCCAAAAAAGGAGCTCCCTGCGAAGAGCAGATGCTTCAGGAGATAATCAAAAGAACCATAATGCCCAGCACTCCATACGTACAGAGTGATAGAAAGGTAATTTTGGCCCTCAGAACCCAAGACAGCCAACCACAAGTGTTCACAGAGCGTTGATGTGGCTGGTGGAGAAGTAGCTTGAAAGGATGCGTGTAATATAGATGCTGCGCTAGCCTCTTAAAGGCTAGCGTAATCCCGCACAGCTGCCCAATAGGCGGCTGGGACGGCGTATGACTAAAACCAAACCAAACCAACCAAACCAAAGAACAGTAGCTAACCTCACCTAGCTCATAACGAATCTTTGAAATTTCTCCATACCTAGAAGGTCAACTGCTCTACAATTAGGCTCAGCCCACTAGCCTGATTCCTGGCTATCTAGTTATAGTTCAGGAGATCCGACGGTCTCCGTCGAATATGATCATCATCTTGCCACTCATTACAATTGTTGCCGTGAAGCTAATTTCAGTAACCGTCAGTTTTTTATTCTTCTTGTCTATTTTAGCGAATGATCCAGCTTGCATCAATGCTGGCTTTCCTCATGAACAAGTTCAGATCGCAGAATAGTAGCGAGTCCAGAAGGAGCCCTTCCGAATGCCACTATGATGGTTCCTTCGATGGGGAAACAATATACGAGTACTTCGGCAACTGTGTTATCAAGAGTCACAACACCTCAGATGGACTCCCTGTCGCCATTAAATTCAAAACTACAGGCTTCTTCTGGCATTCAGAGGCGGATATGATGGCCTATGTGCATTCTCAGAACCTCTTGGCTCCTGCTGTCTGGGAATGCCGCCAACTCAACAACCATTGGATTGCAATGATTGCTGACTTTGTGCCAGGCAATCCACTTGATGAGGTCTGGCTGACATTGAACAAAGAGCAATGCACATCAATCAAGGAACAGCTTGCATACCATTTAAAGCTTTTGAGGTCATACACCCAACTGTATATTGGATGTGTCAATTACCAGCCTACCCGCAATCCATATGAAGGAATTGAGACCAAGTTTGTGGGTCCTTTTGATTCAGAGGCCGGGTTTGATGAATGGTGTCTTTCCCGTGTAAAGAACTCATCTGAGAAAAGCAAGTGGAGGAAGGCACTTGCAGAATTATGGAGGAAAAGTCCATCAAGATTTGTGCTCATGCACGGAGACCTCTTTCCACGGAATATCCTTGTTAAAGATGGGAAGATAACGGGTATTGTGGATTGGGAGTGCAGTGGCTTTTATCCGGAGTATGTTGAGTACGCACTTGCCGCATGTCTGTATGACTATGGGGGAGAGGAGTGGTGGAAACCCTTACTGATGGAAATCTTGACTCCCTGTATTCCAGAGTGACTAGAATTCCAGAGTTTGATATACAATCGGGGATATTGAAAGTCATGTGCATTCTCACTTCGGGTTGTGATGATTTGTTGCCTAATTGGACGCTTACATGTTTCCCCCTCCCAACCCTGCACTCCCATGCCAGAACAGCAAGCACCCTTTCTTCAAGATCAACAAAACTTCAGTATGTCTTCCAGTCTGTCAGCATCATCTCAAACTGTTGAACATGCTCCGCAGACCCTTCATCTTGTTGCATTTGGCACCAGGGATAGAGCACATTTGGCTCTGTTTATTCCCAATAGAATGGCCGACCCGACCGGAACCCTTGTGCATATCAGGATAAGAGGCAATGATCCCAAGTCTGGCGGAGGTGAGGCGGAGCTACTTGTCAACCAGTTCCAGCTCTCGCACAGTTCCGCAAAGAGTATTGTGCCCCTTACAGGGTCATGCGCATCGCGAGAGGAAGTTGAAGATGTGGCAAAAGAGTGCTTCAAGAACTTCGCGTACAATATTGTTCTTGACAACTGTCAAACTTTCACTAGTGATGTCTTGACTGAATTACATATAAGATTCCCCTCTCAGATCCAGCAAGCTTCAATTGATCTTATCCAGAACAGTATGGAACAACACCAGTCAAAATCCAGCAATTCCTCGACCGAAACAGACAAGAAGAAAGTGCCGAAGCAGGTCAATCTGAGTCCACAGAGCCACGGTTCCCACTTGATTAAGAGCAACACTTTCTCACCGATGAATGTGCGGCGAAAAAACGGACTGTCTTGAATTGTGTGTCGATTGTGGGGTCCAAGAGAAGAAAGTGCAAGGGGCGATTTTCGGCATGAAATCTTTCATTGAAGACAAGCCCGAACAATAAGTTGGATTTCTTTGACTAATCTCATGTGGATTTTGACTGTTTATCATACTTTCTTTGAGAAATGGCATTAACAACTCCCCAAGCAATCTGAAGATATGGTGAACTTGCTTATCATCAACCCCCTGGTAACATTCAGAAATCACTGTTGGAATTCCATTCAAGGAAGTTGTCTCTCCTCAGTCATAGGAACTCATGATCCTGTGCCAATGAACGGGTCATTGACAAGTCAACTACGACCAGAACGCGCAACAAGTTATGCACACTTTACGGAATACAATACATTTCGGCCTCTTGGTTGCGAAAAGCTCATGATGCAATCAGAACATATGCTGAGAATAAATATAGATGATTTAGCATGTAGTTTTACAATATGACAGAACTCACAAAACCCCGTGGGACATCTCAGCTCCTAATACTCTGTAGCTTACATCAAAAGTCCACTAGCTATGAAGGCTCCTGCCATGCTGGTGGTGCAGATGGGCCTTGAATGCCATCATACTTGTTGGAATGTACACTACGCCTGGCTCTTGACACATCACACAAGGTTTTCTGCCAAAATCATACGCATTCAGCTCATTGTGGTGAATGGTGGGGGCGAGAACATGGTTCCAAAAAGTGTTATTGTCAGGCCATTTCCGTGTCCTCTGTGCCAACGGCAACAAAGGGTTAGCAATGCAAAACGGACACTTGAAATTCTTGAGTATTTCTGGCACAAGGAATGGTGTCTTGGAGTTTGAAGGTTGTTGAGAGGGTTCCTGTTCAGCTGGGTACCACTGTTTATGGGGGTTGTAAGTGCCATGTTCCTTCTGGCTCTGCAAGTGAAGCCAGAGGGCTATGGACGCACATTGCTGCTGGAACACATCTGCAAAATTAAAGATCTGAAAACCAAAGAAGAGGTAGGGTAAAAAAATGAAAAAGTCCAAACTTGTCCTTTATTAAATGAACTGACTCTGACCTAAGCAAAGACCCTCTGTAATGATTGTGATGACACAGATTGGCAGCTGCTAGCAAATAACTCCCAAACTAGACCTTCTCTGAACACCACATTTGTCATTGTTGATGTCTAGAATAAACAGGGTGTGATATTTGTCCATGAATTGGAGAGCAGTGACTAAGTGGATCTGGAGAAATAGCAATTAGGCATGATTAGACAAGTATATTATCAAAATGGGGGGGTTGTGACATACTTTTTTGTGGCTGGTGTTGTGGAAATTCTGGGGAAGGTCCTGTCTTCAGTCTGATATCATGTACGGAGTAGTTATATCTATAAAATATCAGCAACCTGGGTGATCACCCACACTAAACACCCCCCATCTAACCGCTAGTTACTGTACGGAGTAGTTATGACTAAGCCTCCAAACCTCGCACCAGATCATACACTCTCCAAGCTGTTTTGAGTTTACCTCGTAGCTATCAGAATTTTGTACAATCAGATCAGCTTGTTTGCATTCTGTTCTGGTGACATGAATTTAAAGAACATCTTCTCACATGTAAGCCCCTTTACAAGGGTATTTAACTGAATGTTGCTGAATCTTGATGTTTGGTGGGGGCACATCAAGCTTGCACGCAGACACCCTGCTTCTGCAGAAGTGATATCCTCAAACCCGAATGCCTATCCCAGATTTCCTCCTCCCCCGCCAGAGGAGCTTTTGTCAAGAAGTTCATATTACAATAACCTTCTGAGCCAACGCGAAAACCTTGCTCCCCCTGATTCCCCAACAGATACGCCCCTCTTCGCCCTCTATCGCCTCTATGAGCACCTCGTCCTCAACCGCACCACCGGTCTGCGCAATGAACTCGAGCGATTTTGGTTTAATAAGTGGCCTGTTTCGTCCATTCCGGATCCGCAAGATCATTCCGAACCAGCGCGATATGCGGTTCTGGCGTGCATTCCCGCTCTAATGGCATTGGCGTTCAACAAAAGGATAGAACTAGGGATACCTAGACGCGCGGATGCCATTATGTCCATGGAGGAGATAGAGAAATACCGGAATGAGGAAAGAGTATATGAACAAGTTCCTCAGTGGACGTTATCCGTGAAGCCACTACAAGCAATACTGAAGATACCCCACGATGGAGGAGAGACTCTGGAGTCGTTTGATGATAAGAGAGCGAGTCCGCAGCTCAGAGAGAAGAATATTTTATGCTGGCAGCCACATATTCATTTTATTTGATTTAAGCTCAAACATATAGAGGATCAAAAAGATTATATTTCCAATATAATAGGCTCTTTCTGTGTTCTGTTGTTTGCTCCCGGTGCAACAGCTGCATTCACCAACCTTGTTGGGCTGGGCTGTGGGAGCCCCAGCAAGACTTTAAGCCATGCTACAATCATCCAGAAACTCATGCGAAATATGGCAACCACACCACTTCTTTGCAGGATTGCATCTTCCCATGCACTCTGCACCCCATCATGCAAAAGGTAATCTTCTCCATATCCATCATGAATATGACCAAACACAACAAGCTGTGGCTTCACCCTTCTTAACTCTCTTAACAAATACCCATCCCCTTTCTTTCCGACATCACAATGAAGCACGGGCGGGCCATGCACCACAACTACATTCGTGTTATCCGGGATTCTATGAGTCCAAACATCCCTAATTGCTGGATATTGGAAGGCCCAAACACCAAATTCTGGCGTCTGAGGTGAACCGTAGATGTTCAACCTCCTCCCATTTGAAAATTTTAGGGTGACAGAGCGGTCCCGGAGATAATGGACATCGTTCCAGTCCGAATTGAAGACAGATAATCCGGAATGGTCGGGAAAGCGAGTAGGATAACGTTCAACGAAATCTGAATCGAGCAAAAGATCGTGGTTTCCTGCTATGACAACTTTATGAGGATGTGGGAGGGTAGACAGCCATCGAAGTTGATCATGAAGCTCCTCAAATGAGCCATGTTGAGTTAAGTCACCAGCATGGATGAGAAGATCGCCATGTGAAACCTCTCTGGTCGAGTTGTGGGTATCCGAAATGCAAATAACTTGAATTGGCTTGGTACTGAATGACGAAGCAGCAGGGGGGCGAAAACGAAGGTAAAAGCCGTAGAGTACATTAGCCAAGGTCTCATACCCGAAGAATGGACGACAACGTTCTTGATTGTAAGGATATGGTAACAAATGATTGTTCATTTTGTAGCAGTAAAAATTGAGGAAATAGGCTCGGATACAACTCCCACAAGATGGGAACACAAGGTTAAATGCTTAAATTGGCAATTCCATTTGTGGCTTAATTCATTGTTGGTTTCTCCACCACATCTTTATGATGGACTATCAAACTTGGAGGTTATGAAAAGTGGAAGATTGGCAGATCATCATATTCTAGTAGGTAGAAATTTCAACCTACTAGTTTTTGACATGAACACAGAAATTATGGCCAAAAGACTATATGGCTAATGATGGCAATGATTACATCCTTCCGTCCATACCGAGCTGTGCTAAAGTTCATGTTCTCTAAAACAATAAATAGCCCTTCAAAAAATGATACCATCTTGTCCATATGCCTGTTCATACGAGCTGCTGATCTGCTTCAGTGCACAAGTGGTTACCATCTTTCCATATATCTTTCCCCATTCTTCTATTTCTCTTGCCTTTACAGGCTTCTCACCATTTGATAGGATATATTCACGTAGTTAACTAGCGGATAGATGGGGGGGGTTTAGTGTGGGTGATCACCCAGGTTGCTGCCTGGTTACTGCCAAGCTGCCAAATAACCTGTTTGGACCAGGGAGGGTGGGAGGTAGATTATATAATCAGTACAGAGTGATCAAGATCACTAATCTTTTCAGCTCCATCTCAATCCATTCTGTATTGTACAGAAGCTTCTGCTTCTGATGAATCTACATTAATTGATATACTCTCTGCAACACTAGACAGCATGGCCACTCCAACTCTGAACAGCCAGTCTGTCCTGATGGTGGAGATGGAGGCATGTGTACAGCATGCACTTAATAGTGCCCTGGATGCCTGGCCAAAGAAGACCCAGATGCAGTATGAGTTACACCAGGAGAAGTAAAGAGTAGATATCTGTATTATATATATTCTCTTGTTGATTCTTGTTCTCTTCTGCCCTGTTCTCATGCCATACAATGCATCTGCATTGGCCTGGCTGACACCCTCTGGCTTCTACTTGCTAGCATTTCTGCCAGACAAAGAACTTCTAGAATGGAGAGCTGGTGACAGAGCAGAAGCTGCTCTGGTTTCTGTCTGAATGTATGATTGGCTATCCAGCCAAAAGATCCTGCCATTTCTGTGACCATACAAATGAGAATGAAGAGCCTGTTGTGCAAACCCTGGGCCAATCATTTATCAAGATCTATAAGGCTGCAATTGTTAATCTCTGGAGCTACTAACAGAGCTGTTGTACAAACCCTCACCTCCATCCAGTTGGCCAGACTGTCCAGGCCCTGCTTGAAACTCATTCAAGATAGAAGCATGAATACAAGAAGACAGAGTTTATGAATTACAGCACAGAAACTCTGCTGGATAAATATCATGAGAAGAATATTGTACAGCTGGTTAAGTACTGCTGGCAGAGCTGGTCAGAGTTCAAAAAAGACCAGTTAGTAAAGCCACATCTCTGCACTGCAGTGAACTTTCTAATGAGCTACAGCATGCTTCTCTGCAGTGAATCCTGCTGTACAGCACAGCTGGCTGATCTCTTTACTCTGGAGCTGACAAATAAAGGCTCAACCTCTTGCTTCTCCATGGTTTTGATCATGGGAAATGGCAAGACTAACCAGATGGGCCAGATTAAGTATGTTATAGTAATGTGCCATTGCAATCTCTTGCTTTGCATCATGGTACAGACAGCCTTTTATTTCTTCTACCAATAGGACATTATACAAGAGCTACCACCCCAGTTCCACAACCATCAGGACTGGTACCAGCTGCATCTGATCAAGAGAAATGATATAAGGAAGCTCCTGTTATATGAGATTCAGCTGGACTGAATTTGATGCATCTACAGTGGAACAGAGCTTTCTGGCCTGAAGAAGACTCATACTGGGCAAGCTGCTGGAGCCAGGCATGCAGAGCAGATTGGAATCAGTAAAAGCCAGATCTATCATGCTAGAAGATGGAACAGTAATGCTCTCAGCCAGTACTATCTGACTAACATCTCCAGGAAGTTTGTATGGGCCATGGCTGGCTTTAACTTCTACACATCTGGAAACTTCTATCTGCCACAAGCCAGAGTGCCTGTATCTGAGTTACTGGAGTGCACTGTCTGGCCCTGGATTGACAACTGGATGCAGTAGTTTAAGTTATACAATGTCCAGAACCCCAACTTCTGCCTTCAGAAGCCAGAGCTGAGAAGATTTTCAGATCAGAGTGGTTCTTGAAACCAGTCCAGAGGATCTTCTGCTGTACAGCTGGATAGAGATAATCTGACTGCTTAAGAGTTTCTACACCTGCTTTATTATCTTCATACAGTTCTCCTGCAGGACTCTGTCATTCTTCAGCCTCTCTTCTCCAGCCACCTCCTGTGGACCAGCTCTGTATTTATGAGGGAGAACTATCATCAGTTTGCAGAGGCAGTCCAGATGACCAACATCCATAAAAAGAAGTTATACAAAATGCAGCTGCAGCAGACAGTGCCCATGGTAGCAGATCAGCTGCATATTGTATAGCAGAATCTGAATGTAGCCTGTAGTCATTTACATACTGCTCTGGAAACAGAACTGCAAAAAATTAACAATCAGTTAGAAGCATTAATCAGTAGACAGATTTCTTTTCTTGTATAAGCATTTCCTGCTGATTAAAGAATGATGACAGCAGCTGCTGTCTTTGAAGATAAAGATAAAGAGAGAGACAGTAATTCTACAGTATTCAGAGAAGTACAAGCTCCAGCCTGTTTATTAGAGGTAGCTTCAGCCTCTGCTAGTGTCTCTGTTCCAGTCACATACCAGCTTTCTTGTACAATCACTACAGTTCCAGATCTGTGGCAGGAATGAACAGTTGGTCTGGAGGGTGGCTCTTCAGTACAGAGTCTAGATGTCTTGTACAGAGTAAAATGGCAGCCAGGTAGTACAGAGAGAATGTTCTACAGCAGAAGAAAGATAATCATTGATTATATTAACAGACAGAGACAGAGGAGTGCCAGTGGCAGTACTGCTGTAGAGAAACTAGAGCTTGTACAGCAGCATGGAAAGCTCAGTTTAAACAGACTATCCAGAATACTGCAAGTGAAAAAGAAACTGCCCTGATTCTTATTATAGCAAACTCTGTCCATCATATCCAGCATGGCCTGTCATACAATAGGAAGATAAAGAAGAAGAGATGCTGAATACATGATAGTAGTTTGCTTGGCTTCACCTCTTAGAGCTACTGATTCTGAACACTGTATAGAAGTGCAAACCATATCCAGGTGTTATATACAGGGCCTGTACAACTAGGCAAGAGCAGTTAAGAAAAATCACAAAGAAAAGAAAGAAAGCAGACAAGCCAGAAAAGAAAGTTCATGCATATCTAGTTTAAGATGATAAAATTGCTCTAAGAGTTATTCTCTGGCTCCTCAGACTTCTCAATCTCATACAGGAAGACTGACAGCAGATCTTCAGAGTGAAGTGAGGGAGAATTGATTTCAACATGAATGGGATCATTTGCTGTCCCACTCTCAAGAAGAAGAATTAGATAGGCAGAAGACAGTTTCAGGCTGGTCCTGCTGTCTAGTATATGTGAGTGACCAGCAGCTCTGTACAAACTCAGTTCTCTGTCATCATATCTTACTGCAGATTCTGGCCTGCCATGCAGAGAGCAGCAGAATACATAATCTGGCCATTTGCAGTTCCTGCATGCATCTCCAAAGTAACTGTACATATGGTGGTATAATGAAAATGGGGTCATGGGCTTCATTTCTGTGCATCTGTTGCAGATACTGCTCCAGTGTAAAGTTCTCTTATATGACTGAATCAGAATTGCATTGATGTACAACTGGCAGTGCATGTTAATCTAGTAGAGAAAGATTTATTCAAGAACAAACTTCATATTTCTTTCTGATTGAGCAAGTAGTTACTGTGACTGAGAGAAGTAAATATACAGAACCAGCTAATTCTGTCCAACAAAGAGACAGAATAGTTGATTATTAGTTTAGGCCTGAACAGCAGCTTCAGCAAGATTCTGCTCCATCTGATCAGAGTGAAAGAGAGTCCATCAAACAAGTACTCTATATCAACAAGTCAGCACCTTCTTCTTGTATTTCACCAACACACAGGGCTGTACAGACATTTTCTTTCTCAGATTTGTGGGGGGGAGAGAGGAAAGAGGTGAGTGGAGATCTTAGTGATGGAGAACATTGTAGCAACATGAAATTATGAAATTATTCTGTAAGTCAGTCAGCTTGCTATTATATGATTGATGGATGATAACTGATGCATAATCTATAGAAAGACTTATGAGAAAAGCAAAGCAATGATAGTAATGAAGGCTCTGATGAACAGACTTAGAGTAAAAGAAAGAGAGAAGAGAAAAGAAGAGAAGAGGAGAGAAGAAAGAAAGAAAAAGAAAATCTGTTATCAAGACAATACTTAATCTACTGTTTACTGATTCTGATACTACCTGCTGTATGATGTATCAGTATGGTGTATATAAACAAACAGAGTATTGGGGCAGCATTACAGCTGCATCAGGTGCTGGTGCTGAGCAGCACTGCTATATACATACTCTGCCCCATACAGGATAGAGAATAGTATAATCATACTATATAGGCATCTAGCTATCTACAGAACCTATATTTGCCTGCTTTACAGGATCTTCTCTGAGATCCCCAGCTGCTGATCTGAGCTATCACAGATAGTTGGTTGATTATCTGATGGGTGCACTCTGATACTGCTGTTCCAGCTGTATGATGCTGTCTGAAAGACCTCTGTAATAAAGAACTCTCACTAGTCCAAATGGCTGACTCAGCATCACCCTCTGTACCAGCTAGTATGCAACCACCAAGATAACCATACAACATCAACCTCCCAGAAAACCTGGTTATTTTTGCAGTCTTGCTGACTAACCCCCTATTCTAACCAGGTTACATGGGACACCTGGGTAGTAACCCGCCGCAACCTGCCACCCCGCTAACTATAGTTAACTAGATAATAATGATAAGATAAGCATCTCAAACTGACTCTTTACAAACAAGTCTTGCACACTAGGCCAGAAGGGGAATAGCATGGAGGTCTCTCACATGGCATGGCATCAGGGAGCTCGGCCCGAGGGGAATAGGGGTTCAACCCCCTACAGCACTGAGTTTTATTAGATACACAGCACCATAAAATCAGGCCCAGGAGATCTCTAGAATATACTAGGAGAAGCTGAGCTGGATATTAGATCATGAACTTGAACGAATGCATGTAATATAGATGCAACACTAGCCTCTTAAAGGCTAGCGCAATCCTGCATAGCTGCCCAATAGGCGGCTGGGACAGTGTATGACTAAAACCAACCAAACCAACCAAACCAAACCAAAGAGCGGTAGCTTCCGGCAGATGGGGATAGGGCTGAGCAGCGAACGCCAACAGCGCCTTGGCGTGATATCTAGCGTGATCGCTAGCGTGGTCGCTGAACAACAGATGCAACTGAGAGGGCGGCTTCACCTTTGTTTCTCCTCAGATCATGTTGACACTACCACTCTTCCATCGCATAAGTTCATTTCTGCATTGCTGCTCAGTGCCGTTTGGCCCTCCTCCTCCTGTCTACCCTTTGAATTTTGACCATCTTTAGCGATTTGGCTCCCATGATGAGGAGCAGTCGCCGTGGTTCGACCGGCCGCCAACGCGGGGAAGTGAGCTCTGCTGGGCCCGCTTCTCCAGAGCACTCCGCCGCAACAGACCAATCTCCTCGTCCAAGCTCCTCCGGTAGCGCTGCCTCTGACTCCTCACCTCTTCCTCCTCTTAACATCCCGAAACGGCCCCTGTATAATCTCAGCCCCCAGCTCCCTAGCCCCGGAAGCTCCCGGTCGGCTTCAGCAAATATTCCCGGCGCCAATGGCAGCAACACCTCTCTTCCGAATTTTCTACGTTCGTCCTCTTCGTTGATGCCCCAGAACGAGCCGGTGCAGAGAAGGCCCTCCCCATTAGCAGCGGCAAACGAACCACAGAGACATCGTCGTCAACACTCTCAAGGATTCTTCGAGCCAAGTCTCCCCACCGCATCCATGTCGGAACGGACGACCACAACCATGGCGCCCATATCCGCTTCGAGGATCGCTGCCCAAACCGCGATGCAGCACCAAACAACGTCCCAGCAGCTGCGTAATCGATCTTCGACCATCCCTCCACATCAGGATACCAGTGCAGGCGCGGGTGCGGGTGCAATTGCAGCTGCAAGTACACAAAAGGGTCCTTCTGACGGAGCAGGATCCTTCCAATATCATAGTGGAGCATCAGGCGGGCGTGCTTTTGCAGCCACCACGGCAGCAAATCTCGTGTTTCCTCGGGTTCAGCCAGCTGCACCCAGCCCAGCGCCAGCCCAGGAGAGTACCAGTGTGAAACCAAAGGCAGAGAAGTCAAAGATGAAGTCGTTCCTGAAGCCCAAACATATCGGAATTTCAAGAGACAAAGACAGTGACCGCCGTGAGAAGCCAGCCGCCTCGCCGAGCAAGCTAGGCCCAAGTGGGCTGTCACGCATGGTCAATGTTTCCACACCAAGCCTAGTTGACCCTGTTCCTATCAACAACTCCTCACTTTACAACTTCACCAACTCCTCTTCTGCCACTGTTGTTCCCACCGAGAAGCAGCCTTCCATCGAGAAAGAAAAGGAAAAGGACAAAGAAAAGCATAGGCACCACTTTCTGTCGCGTCCAAAGCTCAAGCTGAAGGACAAAGACGATCACTTTCATCTACCTCTCTCTTCGGCAAACAGTAACTCAAGACCTCTAGACCCCAGTGCCCCTCAGTCTCTATACTCGTTTACACCATCCTCACCCTCTGCGACGTCGTTCGGCAAATCTGTCAGTGGCCTTGATCTCCGTCACGGCGGTCGAGCTTTACGCGAAAAAAGGAAAATGGAAGAGAAAGCCTCAGCGTCGCAGGATGCCACCAGCACCGACCAGCCCGATTTCTCTGGCAGTATGGGAACTGGCGTTGCCGCGTGGTCCACGTTTATTGGAACCGGCGTTCCTGGAGCGTCCATCCAAAGTAAAGAAGCTGCAATGCGAGAAGCCTTGGGCAGTTTCGGCATCCCGAACTTGGCGTTTGAAGACGCGTGGGATTTTCTCAAAGCAAAACTCCTCGTTCTTTTCGAAGGTGAAGAAGTTCGCATTGCCATTGAAGACCTCAACAAGCTCGTCTCCGTCCATATCCTACGATCATTCCAGCGTCGAGTGCCCAGTGTTCTCGTCGAAGACCTCCGCGATCTCTTGCAAACTGGCTTTGCATCCCTCAATCAGACTCTCAGCTCCATCCCGGATGAAAATCTTATGCCCCATCTCGTTCAAGTGTGGACCTATACGTATGGGACTATCTATCCATTTATTCAAGCTGTATTCTTCCCACTCGACCTCGAATTCAAAGGACGCGGAAAAATAATGGAAGCTCACGAATCTAGAGAATTCTGGGGCATCATTCCCGGGGGTGGATCTGCTGGAGCCAAACTGAACGTGGGGGATATCATTCTCATTTCTTTCCGCGATAATATCATTCTAAACAGGTATGAGGCCTTAAAAGCCATGTTCTCTCGCCTCAGGCTCGAACGCGTCAACGCCAGTCTTGGTGTTCTGGGAACTTCTTCAAATAGCGGTGCTAGTCGCCCTGGAACGGCTCCAAATTTTGAGGCAGGAAGCTACAACTCACAGTCCTCAACTACCTTGAATATCGCCGGCAGCCAGTCTTCAGAATCGCACCTAACCATGTCTCGTGCACGGGCCGAATCCAACACGTCCTCCAACCCTGACCACCCGGTCTTCCAGTCCTCTCTCTTTGTAAACCCTGCAGACGGGTCGGACGTCATCACAGAAATCGTCGGCCGAATCCTTCAGTGCATTTGCATTATTGGCCGGGTTCATACCGATGACCATGCACAGGAGCGAGTTGAAGAGCTCAGAAAGGCCCTTACGCATAACTGGCTTAGCCGGGGGCGTAAGGGGCGCGACCGCCGTGGATTTGTGGGGACAAAGGTCCGTCCTGCTGCACCTAGCCGTCAGTACAGCGAGGACCAGGTTCGCAGGGGATCTAAGGACATCATCGAGGGCTTTGGGAGGCCCACAAGCAAGGACTCCACAAGCCTCGATGAAGAGGATCCGCCAGTCGAGAAGATGAAGAATCTACGCATGTAGGTTCGCTCCCGCTGTCGCTCCGGAACGACGTTTTTATGATGACACGACTTTTCTTTTTTTCCCCCAGTTGCCTCTATTTTTATGTACGAGTACGCTCTGTTTTCTTTCCATTTTTTTTTTCCTTCTGCTTTTCCTTTTTTAAACGAGAGATAGGTCGCGTGCTCGGGCAAGGAATGTTGTATCCTTCCCTTCCCCCCCTTTTTTTTCCGAACTGTAAGAGTACATATCACCAAGTCAAAGCATATCTAGTATGGACGAATGATTATCTCAAACATATTCCCCACCAAGCTGGCATCAGTGAAGTACTAATAAACAAGCATTTTAAAGAACAAATTAAAGAATGTTCATTCTCTGACAAGTGGACGACAGTAAAAGGAACAAAACCAGCTCTTGAGCTTCCAGTTCTAGTCAGGATTAGCCGTAAGGCTTCAAAAAAAGTTCCAAAATCCCTCGTCTTGGAAAAGCTGTCGTCCTCTCCTTCCCCCTCCCCATAACCCTCCAGAGCCATCAATGCTGTCATCCGAATCATACGGGTTCCGAAAGCGCCTTCTCCTGGCTGCTTGGCCCAAGCCAAAGGTCAAAGCGGGCGGGGATAATTCTTCTTGCCCCGTAAGCCGCTTCCGCCGTACATATTTCATGATCCGCCTCGACGGCTGCCCCGATAGATAAAGGTCGATCTCTCCACGCGAGCAGTAGAGGTCGAACCACCGCGCTCTCGAACGCGATAACGCTTCCCAGAGGATTTCCATGCCTTCGTGGAACCTCCTTTTCTCCAGTAGATCGACGAAGCTTAACGATATAGAGAGGTCAGCATCCTCGGCGATTTTGTGGAGCATTTGGAGGACGTAGAGGCTTAGATCGTCGCAGAGGTCTTGGGTTGCGTGAAGCCGATCTCGGTCAAGAAGGTCACGGTAGCATGCGAAAGTGCAGAGAAGGGATACCCAATCTCCCCGCTGTGCTCTTCGAACATCCTCCATGAGCCGTGCCATGATGCGGGGCATTCTCACAGAGAACTGGAGGTCGTGGAGTTGGTCGAGGAGAGCATTTAGGCAGCGCTTGTATGCACTCCTTGGAATGGATCCTAACCTTAATAAGGGCGCCCGCGCGAGGACAGAAGTGATATCTATTTGCAGCGGACGGCGAGATGATCCGGGTTGGACGATATAATTTAGAATGCCGGGGATGTACTCTCGGATGATACTGTATGGGGCATGAAGTTCGAGCATCTCCCGAAAAGCGCCGTACTCATATGTATGGTGGCGTCTGAGGGTGAGTGCCATCGTGGGCGGTCTCTTCTCGCGTGGAATCTGAGAATTGGGTCAGGGGCATAAATGTAATATCCTTCTATATAGAATTCTTTTTCTCTTAGTAACTCCAATTTGCAAAGAACAAGAACTTCCCCGCGGAGGAAGAAAGCAAATTAGTCAACGTCCGTTGCTCTTATAAATTTATGGAAAACCGATTCAGCGGCGTGCGGCTCTCGTAGTATCGAAAAGCAAACATTGCATTTTCGACTCCCACAAGGTGGGCGCTCATCGAGCACGAGATACAAATATATTCACGAGGTTGAATAGACAAGCAAGGAACGGAAAGCAAACAATCTCAGGTCTCCAAGGGATACAAAATGTTATATTCCCTGGCAAAATTCCCATAGCAATGAGAACATCCCGTCTTGGTGCTCACCGACTTTTCCATGCTAGGACAACATTGCCCTGCTGACTTTGAGGACTGATTATTTCTCAGTAACCAGCAAGGTGTCAGGCAATCAAACGTGAGCACAGTTTCCCTGATTTGCAACAGCATCATCCAGGGTGATCTATCCTAACGCATCAAACCTGAAACGATACCAGATGCGTTTGATGCGTCTTGATATCCACTCAAGTCTAACTCAGAAACTTGATATCCCACATACCACCAAAAGATGGGATGTCGGCTGCAAGTTCCCGAGTCCTCGACCATCCCTTAGAAGCGTGGAATTGTTCCGGATGCCGGCTCGGATCATGCAAAGTTCCAAATAGATCTGATCCACGCACATGGCAATGTGGTGCGCATGGATCCGTTCCGCTATCCATTAAAAATGTACATTTCCCACTATAATGCACAGGCTGTGGCCTAAACGCCAGGAAACCTGAGTATCATGAACACAAAACACAGCAAACAAGTTTCAGCCTGAGATACCCGCTGTGTAACCGGAGCATTTAGGATCCGGAGCGGTATATATGTGGGATCATTCTGAACGATAGCTCCACAACGAGAAGAAGAAGACTAGATGGCAAACAATTCTAAGGGAATTGCTTCGCCATGATGTGAACCTCATCCTTTTCCATAAAGCTAGGGGAGGGATCAGTTCGGAAAATCCGATTAGGAAATATAAAAACTGCCGGCCAAAGTTATTGTTTCAGGGCCGCTAATATCCTGCAACGAAAACAGGCCATTTATGTGCCTTTGTTATCACTATGACTAGGTATGTGCCAACAAAGTGGATTCGATGGGAGCTGGATTGATCGGCTCAAGAGACGCGCAGGCCGTATGTGCATCCATGTTTTAGATCAGAGAGATCTGGGCCACTTTTGTTTTTTAGCAAGTTGCTTTTTCTTCTCCGAGCATCGCGGCCCACAATAACAGAGAAAGCCCGGAGAGTGATCTCTTTGCTAGATATGTCGTGTGAGTAACCTGTGGCTAGTTCGGATACTTGTGTCAGAAAACACAGAAGTGCTTCAATCCAGCTCTCCCAGCGCATTTCCACCCGCCAAATCTTGAAAGCCCCACTGGTCTTCTTGGTGATTCAGTTGTAATAACTAACTGGACATTCATATTTCCACCTCTCGCGTTCAGGCTTTGGCCGCGATGCGTCATGTTGTTCTTCTGAGAGATGATACCTGGGCATTGCATGGCAATTCGCCAATTCACCCATGAGTATTGAGAATATTAATTAGGCATATTCGTGTAGGTGGTGTTTTCTGAAGCTAGGGGTGAAAGAACCCTAGGTGTCCAAGCAGACTGAGCGCGTTGGTTAACTAACTAAGTACTTAATGCTTGGCGGGAGATGGTGACAAGGGCATCAATTTTCCCTGGGCATTGCAGATGCAGGCCAATGACCACATTGAGCTATTTACCTAAATAGAGCAGCCAGCCCGTTCGATATAAAATTACTCTATTTCGGTTGAGCGATGGGAGGATAGAGGGAAAGGTATCAGTAATTAACTATGTCACCAGTTCCCCAGAAAAGGAGCTTGGAATTATACAAACTGGTGGGTTTTATCTAACCAGCCAGCCCAGCTGGATGAACCAAGCTCTTTGTGCACAGAAAATGGAGTTGACATTGTCATTTTAGTTAACTTCAAGTCCAGGATCCTTTCCACTCCATAATTCTCTGAAACCCGCATCAGGTAACCTAACTCCCGACCGCAACTATCACATCCCAAACCAGAGCGCAAACCAAAGGCTGTGCATAGATTGACTTCCAACCTGAGCACAGTCTGACATGTAGAGATTGTTACAAAGCATTTAGACTGCATCTTCTCCATTTCCCTTCTTCTCGAGTTCCTTGAACTTCTTCTGGAGAGTGAGAGGTGGAAACTTCGCGCCGCGGGTCTGTTCCATGGACTCCGCGATTCGCTGCCACTTCTCTGCTTCAAACTTTTCTTCCATGTCCTTCTTGACTTTGAGCAAGAGAATTTCCTACCGCAGTCTTTGGTTAGAAGATCTGGTTGCAAAACCAAATAGGAGAAACAGCCAAATCCAGACTTACGTCGTCCTTAGACAGCACGGCAAGATTAGCCTTGATACGCATATAACGAGTTGAAAGCGTGGTTCCTTTGGTCGCTTCTCCGGTCATCTTCGTCCATGCACTGGCGATTTCGGACCAACTCTTGTTTTCCTTGTCCTTGAGACGGAGCAACATCTTGTCTTCCTCGCATGCGTTTTCAATGGAAGTCGGGATCGGACGGCTCTTTTTACCAGGAGTCATCCTCTGTTTTTTTTGAGGAGACCCGTCATCGTCAGGGTTGACGTTTTCCTTGTTGCCTTCATCGCTGTTCTCAGTTTTGATGGCAGCGTCCTTTTTAACTCCTGGCTTGCGACCACGCTTGCGTGGGGTAGCCGGGTTTTTGGGCTCTTTCTCACCCTATTATCGATGTGAGTTATTATTCGAGCAACAGGAAGAAGTATATGTGTGTATATATATATATATATAGCCACTTTACCTTTTTTTCTTTTGCTGGACCATCGTCAGCCTGTTCTTCCTGCCTGTCCTCTGATTTTATTTCACCTTCGTCGGAGACATCACCAGTGTTGGTGTCCTCAACATCTTCCATTTTAATAGCCGAGTCCTCGACACCTGGGTGGTTGATGGCAGTGAATGGAGACATCACCACGAAATGATAAGCTCAATTGGAGCTGATAAAGTTATCAAGTGATCTGGTGAAATATGAAAGGTGCAAAAGTGCGTGCGAACGCGGTTGAAAGACAAGGTAAAAACAAAACAAAGACTACAGACGCGATGGAGAGGGAAGAAGAAAAGAAAATGTGAAAGCTCAAGGGCCTTTTTATAGTGGCACGTGCCCTGGAGAGGAACACTTAAAGCTAAGTGAGCTGCTCTGTTGTGATATCGCTTTGGCATATATCGAGGAGTCTCTATGCTTCAGATCTGCTGAGGCGGAATTTGGCCGCTGTGGTTCAGTATTAACAATGGGTTTGCTTAAAATGTGCACCCTGATCACTGCACTACGGATGCGGCCTGTTATCTAACTGTAAGCTTTGAGCTTGATACCACACCTTGTTTCTTTATTTGGTCTCTACAGATGCTTACAGTTGCTTTCAGCAAAGGAGGGTGGATGCTGGAGCAATTTATTGGGGGAGAAGCCCATGATGTACTCTTCCTAATCACTTTTTCCCATCAGGAATATAGCAATTACAAGAGTTATTGCCCGGTTGAAAGTGTGGATTAACTTCCGGCCTTCACAATACTTTCAGCGAGCAGCGGTACTAATATCAGTTTGTGATCGTTAGAACCTTTAGCTCAATGCTTGAAATATTGAGATTTTGAAAGCAAATATTGACAGGTACTAAGAGCAACTGGCTGGCTTCAGATCTAGCTAACCATGTATTGCTGCAACACTGACCTGGATTTGGTTCTTCCATATGTGCCCCTGAGCTTAGAAGATTGGTATCAAAGACAATGTTGTATACTCTCATACATATATTGTGAATATCAACTGTCGCTGTCAAGTAGCAACCGCAGAATGAGATTATATTATTATGCTTCAGATTAAGGGATAAGCATCCTCGTCATAACCCACGTCAACATCAGCAAACAACAATCACATGTCTCGAAAGCAGCCATATTAATAAAAAAAAGGGGGCAAGAGAACAAAAATCAGTTCTCAAAAAAAAAAAAAAAAAAAAAAAAAAAGGAAAATGAATCCCTAATACATTCGAAAGTTCCCCATTTCTCCGTTCCATTCCCAATCCATATCCCCAGGCAAACTACAGAGCACACAGCAAAGGAGGCAAGCAAGCAGAAAGTCAAGGCATATCATGAATAGAACATCATAGAAAGAAAACATCACGAAATAACAAGGTAAAATAAAGATCACGCGGACGGAACAGGAAAACCCAGTCATTAGAGCATGGGTAAAGCAGCTTGGCATTAAATTCATCTTGTCAATAATGAGTCGAACGGGATGAAGGGAAGGGCACGGAGAAATATGAACACGGATTCCAGAGAGAGCCCCAGGCGCAGTGATCATGCTGAGAGGAGATTGAAAAGAAATGTCGAATTCAAATACTCTAATGCAAGGATCAAAGACACACGCTGGTTCAAGTGATTGGATCTTATGATGAAGCTCTGTGCAAGTGTGAAAGCGATTGGAGGGGTTAATTTAGGTGTAGCTTCGCATGGCATCCATGTATCCGGTTCCGCCCTTGAGATCCTGTTCAAAGGTTTCAGCCACGTCTAGAACACGGTTGATATGCTCCATGGACAAAGCAGTCTGTTCGTTAAGGGCAAGAGCCTGCGCAGTTCGAACGGAGTTCTTAATCTGGAAAGTTGAAGCCATGGTTAGTTTCGGTAAATCACTAATCTGATAAGAGGCAAGAAATCTACCTGTCGGCCGTTTAGGGCATGCCTGGCAAGAGTATCATAGTCTTTGTCCGTAAACTTAACCACCTCAAGGCCCTCCTTCGTGCGAACCTTATCAAGGAACATCTTCCAGACAGCACGCTTAGCTTTGGCCGTCAGGTCACCATAGCGCAAAGCAACGTGAATACGCGACTGGAATGCATCGTCGAATGTCTCCACACGGTTAGTAGTGAGGAACAGGATGCCTTGGAAGTATTCGAGTAATCGCAAGAAAATGCTAACTAGAGCATTCCGGTGGATATCTTGGATCGTACGCTTCTCCAAAAATACGTCCGCTTCATCCAGGAGAAGAACCGCACCCCAGGAGTGGGCAATGTCAAGGATCTTGTTCAGCTCGCCCTCGAGAGTGCGCGAATCGGTCCCAAGCTCACCAGCGCTCACCATGTAAAGTGGACGCTTAAGTAATTCTGCGATGCCTTCTGCAGTGAGAGTCTTTCCAGTACCAGGAGGACCGTGCAAAACAGCAACAAGACCCTTTCCTTTTCCTTGGATAACATCTTCGATATTTTCCGCTGCATGGAAAGTGTGAGATTCCACAAGAGCCTTAACAATTGACTTTTGATTCCCTGGAAGCACTAGAGAATCGAAGGCGCCGGAGTTCCATTCAATTTCTCTAATTCCAGAGATAGTGAATTCCAGCCAGAGCTTCTCGCTGAAAGCAAATCCCAAAACGACTGGACTTGCAATCAAAAGCTCCTCTTCGGTAAAATCAATGTCGCCGTTCCCGGAAGCACCGTCTTTGATCTTGTCAATATCTTCCTTCATAATCTCATTGCCGTTTTCATCGATCTCGACTTCAACCAGATGAGGTTTGCCATCTTTATCGTGAACAACCTTGAGTTTAGTTCGAGGGGTATCATCGCGATTTAACCGTTCCGACTCTGATGAGGAACCAAGACAGCAGCAGCCATCGTCATCGCTGTCGCTACTTGACCCCTCTGGAAGATCTGAATCCTTCGGCTTAACGGTACTAATAGGGTAGTTCGGATTGATTCGGCGATGTAGCGCAGGATCCACCATCACACGCCCATTGATGTTTACTTTAATGATCGAACGACGCTTCTTGAAAAAAGCCATGCCTTGATGGAAGCGATAGTTCATTCCCTGAAGAGAGACAAATTTCTTGCCGCGCTCGACGAGTTTGGACTTTAGCCCTTCAGCATCACGATGGTACTGGATAGGATAGCACGCGAGGCTAGTGATCTTTCGAGGGCCCTTAAAGAAATCGACTTCGCTAGTCATAGTACCCATGCCAAACGATTTACCGTCGTACTCCAAATATCGTCCTTCAATGGAGTACCATTGGCCCTTCATGAACGAACTCTCTTTGCTGGCATATTCTAGCTTAAACGCGCGGGGTTCGTCGACAGCTCCATAAGTAGGAGTATAGACAACGGTATTCGGCTTGAATAGAGCCCAGAGGAGATCAAAAGTAATGGTGTTGTTCTCCAGTAGCGGATACAATGTTTTCTTCGTTTCTGCATAATCCTTGTCGAGGTACTTCACCAGAACCTTTAGGTGTGCCGCCTTCAACTCTGTTTGCCTTCTAACCTTCTTCTTATCTGCTGTTTTTGCGGATGCTTTGAGCTCCTTTATGTATGCACGGCACTCTTCTAGATAGAGGAAGAGCATGTTGGGGTCAACAGCTGGGGTGTCTTGAACGAGACTGACGCTCTTAACACCATCCATGACATGGGCCAACGCATCTCGGAGAGCTTTACTCTTAATGTCAACAAGCGTTTCGAGATATTTGTTATCCCAGTCAAACCGACGGCGCACAGTGAAGATGTACTGGTCCCATTCATTTGCATCCGGATCCTTGACTGTCTCTGTCAATTTGTAATTGTGGAGGGTGTTATCCCATACTAGTCAATCACACGTTAGCACGATAAAAAATGTAGGACCAATGGAGACAAACTCACATTGATCAATTCGCTTATATGCAACTTTGGATGCACGCTTCTGCTTCTTTGACTTGGATGCCTTCTGCAGAGCCCGTTGTTGCTGCTGTAACAATGCTGCCTGCTGAGCTGTTTGCTCGGCGAGAAGCTTGTTATCCACATAACCAGTCTGTCTCAGCTTGCGACGCGGACGCATTCCACCCCGAAGCTGGAGACCACCTCTTCCCCGTTGAGCACCACGGCTGTGTGTTTCAGGTTCGTCTACCTCTCCACTATCTTCTGTCTCTTCTTCTTGAAGCTTCTTGGCTTTTCTGGCCTTCTTCTTCGCCCGTGCCTTGGATTTCTTAGACTTTTCATCTTCGGAAGAGACATCTTCATCGCTATCACTGTCGTCTTCGGAAGACGAAGTCTCTATTTTTCTAGCTTTCTTTTTCGATTTCAATTTTTTGGAGCGCTCCTTGGCCCTCTTCTTCTTCTTCCTTTTCGACTTTTTGTGGGAATCATAATCAGAAGAATCGTCAGAATCCGATTCGGAAGTATCAGAGGAAGAGGAAGAGCTAGAAGTTTCGGAGGATGAATCGTCGTCACTCTCACTCTCAGAGGAAGATGAATCCGCGGCTTTCTTCTTCATTTTCGACTTTTCTGACTTGATCTGATGAACAACTCCGTGTTTCTTGCAGAGCGGCTTCTTCGAATCGTTGTCTGCGGTGGACAAGGAAGCTGGGGTTGCGTCTGTTTTTGGGGTCATAGTTTCGGCGCCCGCTTCTTGCTTCTTCTCTAGTCCGTCGGCATTGGCCGCGGGGGAGCCTGCATTTTCGTCTGGCATGTTTGGCTGACTTAAATGGCCGTTAACCTCGCCGTTTGGCTGGGAAGAAGGAGCTGAAGAAACTGTTGACGGCGTCAAGACAGGGTCAGGAACCGAATCGCGGCTCTCGCCCGCAGAGCTATTCTTGTTTGACTCAGGTTTGTCGAAGGAAGACAGAGACGGGTCAGGATGAGGATTCGGCATCTATGGGAGCAAGGGAGTATCGGTGAGAAAGGAGCTCGTTTACAGTAGCATGGCAAACAAAATGGTAGGAACAATGTCACGCAACAAATAGCATTGGATTTCTAATTGACCCATGAACCAATTCAACTGAAGCCAAAGGATATTGAAAGAGAGAGAAACAGGAGCAAAACCCTTGGGGAATGGGACACGCGGATGAGCCTTAAATAGGCACAGAGGAGCCCTTGCTCGGCAAAGATCAGATGATAGACAAGCTTCATGCAGCACTTACCACTGTCAGTCAAATCAAACGAACCGCCGAGAGATGACTAGCAGGCCCCAGCAGGCAGAATGGTGATATGAGAACAATGGAACAACAGCGAAGGAACGTGACTGTCAAGCAAGGGACAGAAGGAGACTAGTTAGGGATGCTGAGTGCGGCTCGCGTCCTGTTTTGTGTTTGTTGGAGTGAGAAAGTGAAGCTGAACTGTTCGAGGTCCAGAAGCCAATTGTTGCCTGGCATGACCCTGCTGGGTGGAGAAGCCCGGACCAGGGTTGAAGCCGGCTCTCCTGCTGTGAAGCTTCCCTTGAAGGGCGGTCAGCAACTCAAATCGCAACCTTGTTTTTTGGTCTTATTTACGTTTTCTGTTTCTCTCTCTCTCTCTTTTTTGCTTCAACTTTTTGACGGCAGATGTTCTTACTGAGGCTGGGCGGCCTCATCTCCTTTATATACGACAAGCAGCTGCGGAGAAAGAGATTTCATCATCTACCTAACCAGTTGTACTCATCTCTACTGGTGGGAAAAGGATCAAACAGCTCTTGACACATCACTCAAATCCCAGTCAGTTATGAGTGAAGTTAAACCCGACCACCACTCCAGAGTGCCCGCCAGCAGCTAAGAAATTTTTTTTGTTCGCCATGCAGCTGAAAGGCTCACTTGCACTGCAGATTGATGCTGTGCCTTACAGTAGGCTGCTCCCTGCGCAGACTTCAATCGTCGCCTTTCGCTCTCTTTCTTCGAGTGACTTCCCAGCAATGTAGCTAGTACCAAACGTAACCCCCCCCCGGTGGCCCAGGGACGCGGGCCGAGAAAAGCTCGTTCGCTGGCTGCAGACCCATCCGGCCACTCAGCCTCTCCACTCTTGATATGGGGGAAAGTGGGCCGGGGCAAGGTATCCGGTACTTGGCGTCCAGGTCACCCACAACCCTTGTGGGCTGTCAGCCTGCCAGCCAGCTGTTGAGCAGGCAAACTCCATCTCAGCCACCGGGCTCTGCCTTGCTGTCCAATCACCCCCTTCAGGCCTAACATCCAGAACTTCGACGGCATAAGAATGCTATCTCAGCAGATACTGATGAATCAGCATGGTGCCAACAGAAATGGAGGGAACAAGGATGGGGTATCTAGTATCTAACCCAACGGCCTGGCACAATTCACGAAATATTGTTGAGAATCTAACTACGCGGTATAACAGACTTTTTTTTCGCTTCACTCTTTGCTGATGATGGTCCAGATCCCCGGAATTAATGCAGTGGCTACCGGATAAACGATCCAAGCAACAGTATCCCGTGCAATATGGTATTCATAGTGCGAGGCGGTTACGCTGCGGGAAAGAAGCCAAATCATCAAGCCATTTCCTCCTTGACGCATCCTGCACCTTATTTTGTCGGATTGTGGATGCTCGCCTCGGTGTCCTTCCTCGAATCGGCCACACATGCTGTGCAACCACACAAAAGGTCATTGCTCATCGTCATCTGCAGAAGCATTAACGCCACAAATGCGGAATGTTCTGTAGAATTTTCTTCCCTATTTCGACGGATTGGTCTAGTCGGTGCAGATACCCGGCACAATATTATGCGCCTCACGTCTACAGAGTAGTATACTCCGTACTATGTAATCCTCCAGAGAGCCTAGTTATGCTATACATGGCTGTTTCTCTTTCTATAAAGTCTATTTCAAATGACCAGCCAAATTTCAATATTGAGCTTGATATCCGAACAATATTCCAAATCCGCTTCGTTGCCACTCAATGGGAATATTAACGGATTGAGCCGAGAATCTTTGTTTTTTCCTGAAACTTTGCCTCATGCATCTTTATCCTGCTCGGATTGGGCCATGCATTGCCGACCAGCGTACAGAGTAAAGTTGTCGTCTTTTAAAAACTCAGCTTTTTGTGTGACCACAGGCCTATCACAGCTGCGATAACACGATGCCGAGAGCCAGCATCGACGACCATCTCGTCAGGCCAGCGCGGCGTTCGGTAGTATGCAGCGTCCACTCAACTGCGTAAAGGGGCCAAGTCCGGTTCGGGGTGCCATGAGGGATTAACTATGAAGCAGTCAAGACGAAAATTCGGGCGCTGAACAAATGGCTTGAGAGTTTTCCAGCGGTTAAGTTGACCATCCTTATCACGCCCACTTGGCTACATCATGGCAATAGAAAATGCATGATTGATGGAGTCGAAACTCCCTGCAAAAATGTATTTATTTTTTGATGCGAGTCCGCAAATAGAAACAGAATGAATAGATCTCCCTTCTAATATACACGCTGAAGCCATATACCAAGAAAAGAAAAAAGTAAAGTAAACTCGACTAGAACAGCCAACTAGCTGAAATTAGGGGGTAATCTCATCGTTGGAGCAAAAAAAAACCGAAGAAAAAGTAAAAAAGAGCAAAACCCGTCCGCCAGAAAATGAGAGAGCCAAAGCGAGCGAGGTGCTAAAAGAGGACGGTGGCAAAGAAGCAATTAGCCTTTTATAGATCGACCTCTGCTGCGTCTGTGGCCATTCCCAAAATAACTATGCGACACCGAGCCGCGCGGACTCATGGGCGCCTCCACTGGTGACACGGGCCTCATTCCAAGTCGACATTCGCCAACTCGCCGAAAAAGAGACTGGAGAGCGAGGCGAACTTCGCTGTTGAGATCGCGGGAGAGTAATTCCACTCCGAGAGGATAAAAGGTTTCAACGTGCTTGTCGAAAGTCTCGCGTGGAAAGCCTGTGTAGCCTTCTACCACATCGACTACAACAGGTCGCCAGGCGGCAATGTTGCGCTGCTGGGTCTCTTCATCTAATTTGACGTAGCCGCGGATGATGTCCGCACAAAGCCTAACGCTGTGGATTAGTCCTACTATCGCCTAAAGCAATCGCGCATTCACACTTACGGTATAAGAGCTTCTTCAGTTTCCCCTCGACTGCTTTTTCTCTCATCGCCCTCATCATGGTACATCCGGAAAAGGATGTTCACATATGTCGCAGCGCTCCCGCTTTCTTGTTTCAGGAGGTTAGGCGGCTGCTTCATGAATCCTTGCTTCCAAAGAGCGACCCTGAGATCCTTGGCTTCGTTGAATTTCTTCGCAAATTGATAGCTCTTCTTCAGAAGTGCCATTAGACGTAACAGTTCATCGCTTGGAATTTGTTCGTACACTGCATCATTTGAAAACAATTCATTAACTGTCTCGATCATCAGCAGCTGGAGAACGCAATTAGTTATAATGCGGTTGAAAAATTTTCGACGTGAAGCACTAATGGCTAGGGGAGCCTGTTGCTGCTCGGTGGGCGATGCATGATCTTCAAGCTGAGCAGAATGTTGGGGGCTTTTGGCTTCTTCCGCTTCGGTCGCTGTAGCCGGTCGTTGGTCGCCATTGATGGATGTCTCATCTCCCACGGCGATTTGCTCATTTGAAATCTCGTTCACCGATGCTGAATCGTCGGCTACTTTTGAGGATTCCGAACTCTTCGCAGGATTAGGAATAACAGCCGTAAAGAGTTCATAAGCAGTGGTCTTTTCAAACAGCTCCACAAAAGCTCCGACGATTTTGTCCCAGTGCGTAGCCTGAAATTTCTGTACATTTTGCAAAATCAACTGCTGGAGACAATTGCTGCCGATTCTAGCAATCGTGTCGTTCTCTTGACATATGCAGAGAGTTAGCAGCCCTAAGAAACGATCCAACATATACTCCAAAGCATCAAAGTAGTGCGTGAACAACGTGATCATATGTCGTAAGGCTTGAATCATGGTTGTCGAGAGCCAAACAGAAAGCTCTTCGTGATTTGGTACTTTTGACATCTCTGACTTTGACTGTAACACCACAAATATAGGATACAACAGCTGTCGCCAAAGAACATCCCAGAATTCTGTTGGGAAGTCGCCACCATACCGGATAAGGATTTCGAAGAGGTAAGTCAACGCCCTATAGCATGGTTAGCTTCCCCATTTACACGAAGTTCTCAAACTTTCATCCCTACCTAGATCGCACTTCAAGGTCATCCCCAGTCATGAGGACGTCTTGGAATGCTATTAGAACAGGATACCAGAACTGTTCTTCCGCTGACTGTCTGCTCGTCTGTGGCGTCAGTGGAACGACGGTGTCGCTTGGAGCACTGGATGTAGAGGAACGGCGATGAGAAAGAGGGCATTCGGGGGTTTTAAGCATCTTGGGAACTGTTGACTTGAGAGTTTCAATTGCCTGCAAGGACTTTTTCTGAAACTTCAAGTTCTTCGAGAATTCTGTCAAGCAAACTACCAAGTCCGGGAAAGCGCCCTGAGTGATGATGACTCCAAAACGCGTGTTATATATTTGAGAGACGTGCTCGAAAGCCATGTTTACGATTCCCTCTAATAAGATGATTAGGCAATGCTATGCGAGGGGGAACTTTTCTTGCTCACCGTACGGCTCTCTTGCAGCCACAGAGAAAACACCAAACATAGTTTTCCATCCAGATCTAATATTGTTCCCTCTAGCCTGTATCATCTGGATCAAGCATCGCAGAACCATGTCTTTGACAGTCACAACGGTGCTGTTGGCCATCACATGCTCAAAAGGCTTCAAAAAGTCTTTTTGGAACTTGAAGCCAGGCAGCTCCTCAATTTCTAGAAATCTCATGGATAGCTGTCGAAGGGAATCCAAGGCGAAAAAGACAACCGCTGTGTTAGCATGGCAGCCGACGTGGTTGAAATGTTCGCCAAGGACTTCCCAGATTCTGTTCCATTCGATCCTGACTCGTGTCATATTATAATAGCTGATCTCCACTAGCTTTTGAAGACTGTATGTCCGCGGAGACTCACTTTGACCGGAAGACTGTATCTCTTGCCAGCTGACATTGCTTAGAGCCCAGACGAAATCTACAATCGCATCTTGAGACAAGTTCGCGGTGTTAGTAAATATTCTATCTACTCCCCTGACCATTTCAGTCGACCGGCTCTCCATGGCGATGTCTGGTCTAAACTGGGTCGAGCCGTTGATTGATCGTGGCCTTGGTCTCCGGGGAACCTGCAACGATTTGCGAGTGCGCGAACTATCCGATGGAGGCACTACCCGAGCAACGGACATGTCTGGGAGAGCCCCCTCGTCTACCCCATCAGTAAGTAGTTGAAACCGATCAAGTTGGCTGATGCACGTAAGGATTTCTCTCCAAGAGCTTTTTAGATGATTTCCTTCACTAATCGCGACGTCAAGTAGCACTTTGAGAGCTTCCAGGTTCTTTGCCATCATTTCTCGAAGATTCCCAAGATTGGTAAACTTCGCAAGAGCAGTTACAAACGCAACTCGTGGAGTCTCTAAATCAAAGGCACATGATATACGAATGGCGAGCCTAATACCCTCCATACACTGCCGAATAGTGTCTAGGTTTTGGGTATCCTGCACTTGAGCCGAGAGACCAGACAAAAACGACATCCAGGTCACATTGAACATAGAGCCAACATGGCGCACGGAGGTAGCCGGGATAAATCTGGAGAGTGCTTCCTTCATGGCAGACTTCCTCTGGGCCCGGATTAAACTTCGATAAAGCTGTTCCGTCTTGTTGGCTATCTCTTCTGAGGCCTGAGCGTACTTTTCGCCTTGGATATCCCTTCCGACCGTGGCTAAAACTTGTCCAGCTCTAGAGGCGAGCCCCGGAGCCGGAGTGGGCTGGCCAAGGTTTGCTGCATGCTCTCGCTCACTGTATAGAACAATCTCGTTATTAGCGATTTCATCATAGATACCTCCAAGGTATTCCTGGGGAACATCTTGGAGGTCCCTATTATTTCGGATAAAATCTTCCTTGGTCATTTTGCGCTTCAATTTAGAACTGTGAAGGTCGGTATTAAGCATGATTACAGAGTATGCAAGAACGTAGGGATCGTCGGCCGTAGCGAAAGACTTCGGATTCCCTGTAAGATACCGCTCGGCAAATTTTAGCATAAAGCGATCGATCTTTTGGGATTCCCCCGGAAGCCGAAAGCTTTGTAAGAACTCGCGGAGCGCATCAACAAAGCCACGATCGCCAAAATCCATCAAATCGACAAATGCATGCATTATTGCAATGTTTTCCGCATCCCCCTCACCAAGAAATTCGCCAACAGCAGCTTTATCCAATCGTTCATTTCGAAGCAGAAAACTGGCAATATCAGAAGGTGAATCCGACCGAATAAAGCCTTCGGAGAGAAAAAGCTTCATTCCTCTCTTTGGCTTAAAATTGAACTGCCGAATCGCATTTGTTAATGCAATCTTCTGCTGCTTGGCTTTTTCAATTTCGTTGGGATCGTCTTCTGCAACGGGAGTCGATTGGCCAGTCAAAGGTTCCCCAGAATCTACTCTTGGTGAGGCGGTCGATAATGTCGGTGCTGCTGTGTCAAGAGATTCCCTAGACATCGCCAAGGAGTTTCGTGAAAATGGTTCGCGGGGTAAAGATTTTGAAGAATTCGTGTCCTGTGAAGACCATGTGTCCAAAGATCGCAAAATTTCTACAAGGCATTCCAGAGCCCTTTGTTTCATAGCATATTCAGGTGGTATATTTTGAGAGCTTGTAGGTGCGATATTGTCGATTTTTGCTGTTGACAAGGACGGAGGTAGTGTTCCCGGCTGGTGCCAGTCATGGGCAGAAGTCGGGGTATTCGCACGGTGTTCTTGATATTGCTGCTGTTGCTGTACAGTTACTGCCACAGGCATGCTCGATATTCTCGACAATTGTTCGATGATGCTATAAATAAGTCAATACTAAATAAACCATGCCGGCGCAGGCTCACGCACCCTTGAAACGTGTTCTCTAAAGCCATACGATCACAATCATAGTTTAAGTATAGTTCGACGAGAGCGCGAGGATCCGTGGATAACCTTCCAAGGATATCCATGAAATATTTTTTTTGGAACATCGGTGAATTGCGTTTCTCTAGGATGGCGAGGTATATCTCCTTGAAAAATACCTCCAACTCTTTCTGTTCTCATTATTAGATGATCACACTTACATTCAGGAGCATTTTTGGGCTGACCTTTAACATGACCCGCATGTGTCTCAACATTAGCCAGAATATCTCACAGCAAACCTCGAATACCGGGGGTACAGAGCTGGCGCCATTTCTACTCAAACTCAAACAAAGATGTGGCCTTATAGCCTGCAACAGTGTCATAGTGTCACCGGTGTTCGAGCTACTCCTAATGGTAGCAAGAGGAGATGTGAACACGGTAACATGGTTGCTGAGAAGATGTTGCATCAAATGCAGCGACAGTAACTTTGATCTCATGTTTTGCGACTTAAGATCTTGTTGTTGTTCATGGGATAGAATCTTATGGCTCAGTTTGCATAGTGCTCGGAAAACAAGGAATGCATCTTTCACGTAAATTTCGTCTTCGTCGTCTGTTGCCGGATCTAGGTCTTCACCTGGAACGGAACGGGACGCCTTGCGATTGGCCTTTGCCCGAGTTACCATCGTAGGCGCGTTATCATTTACCATCGCGTCATCTTTATTTGTCTCAAAGCTTTGTAAAGTCATTTTCTCTCTTGGCTCCTTCGCAACAGGGTGGTCAGAAACAAGAGATTGCCCATCTTCGGGGGACTCATCCTGCTCATTTGAGGCATCATCGTTAGGCTGATCGAGTGACGCATCGGATTCAGAGCGGTTACGCTGGCTCTGGGCATCCCGGAGTCGTGCTTCTTTTAGATCTAGGCGGAGGCGTACACGATCATAAACGGTGCCAACCATTTGGGTAAGCGATCCTTGAGCAATATGCTGGTTCTGGCTGGACTTCGAATAAATAAAAATGTTATATATCTGCCTCACAGCTTTGAGTAAACCAGCACCATGAACAACAATCTTGTCGTTGAGCACTGCAGCGAGCAAGGATTTAATAATTTGCTGTTGTATTTCTGGCGGAGTGGCTTCATTTTCAAAACAGTCGCATATTGTCTCGATAGCACGTTCTATTAATGGTGGTTGATTCTGCGATTCCGAGCTGGGTTCGTCCGGGGAGGAAGGGAATGCGAAGTAGGAATATGTGATGAGTTTGCCAATACAATCTAGAGCAGTAATTTGTAGGGGGATGCTAACAGTCTTGCTAGCCAACTCCAAAGGTCGAAAGATAATTTCAGGGTCAATGGGGTGCTGTTCAGACTGTTTGATGTTTCCCTGGGCTAAGCTCACGGCCTCGCCCAACTCCTTACTGCGTCGCGCTTCCTTTGAAGCTGCGATTGTGTCCAGGGCAGTGATAACAAATACTGCGGAGGTAAGCGGTGCCGATCGGTGCATGCCTTGAGTAGCAACGGTGGACCGCGAGTCCGATCGTTCCCTTGTTTCCGCTGGCAAAGCTGGAATCGGGCTCGGGTGGGATTGATTTTCTTTATCAGCCTCCAGTGCCGTATCAGAGCTAGTGATCACTGGAATGCTCGGTCCCTCTTCACCAATGTTCTCTTGCGGAACGGCGGGGTCCCCCGATTCTTTCCCAGTCCCTTGAACTGCATCATTTGTAGACTCTTGGGTATTCGAAGGCTCGTTCTGCGAAGGCACTTCTTGGGATGCGGATGTCGACAGCTCTGTAGTGTGAGGGACGGGATCAGTCTCATTTAGTTCCGCCATTGTTGCTTCGTTATTTGTGGGAGAGCCGGCGGGTTCATCGGAGAGGGACGTGCCGGTCACAAAGTCGTGCTCGGGCACATCGCACTGAGCCATTGGCGGCTAGACTCCAACCTCTATGGACCGTAGACACCGCTAAAGGGTCTGTCTGCATTGAAAGGCGACAAGTAGAGATGTGGGCGGCACACAGGATAAAAGACTTGACGGTCAACCATGCGTTCACCCTGACATCGATCTACCATTTCCCAGGAGCCTTTGATACCCATGACCGGAGAGTGGCATCTTTTGATACAGCGGCCGACGCGGCCCGACAGCGCAGCAAAACGCGCCAGCACGGACAGGGACTAGCTCATGTCCCATTAGTAAGCTGCCATGATTTGGTGGGAATCCACCCAGGCTGATCCGCCGAGACCAACCAATTCCGAGTTAATAGCTCAACAAAACGGTGTGTCAAGCTGGTCGAACTTCCTTTGTTCATACGTGGTTTGAATTTCTTGATAGGATCCCGGCGCGGACCTTGACGATCGCTTTTCATCCTTCCAAGCGATCTCATCCTCTCATTCTCCTATTTATTTCTTCTGCCATAATGGCTTCCGCTGCGGTGATGTCGCGATTCCCTTCTTGTCGTCTACTTGTCTCCAGACCCGCTTCCACCCTACGAGAGTCGCGGAATGTGTACAGACTGCGCGATGCCGCACGGTAAGTAATTCTTGATGGTACCCCTAATGTTTCTTCTGCGAAAACGCTCACTGATACGTTGTCCCATCCAGGCCACAATTGCCTCTCTACGCTTCCCTTGCGAGATACTATGCCTCGAAATGTACGCCGTACCTCCCTGTCGTTAGATACAATCAAAACTGAACTAAATTCAAAACTGCGTGATTTAGCTTATCCTCCCCATACTATCATCAGCATGCCAGCATTGTCGCCCACAATGACCGCAGGTAACATCGGCGCATGGCAGAAAAAGGTCGGCGACACACTGTCACCAGGCGACGTCCTGGTCGAAATTGAAACAGACAAGGCACAAATGGACTTCGAGTTCCAAGAAGAAGGTGTTCTTGCGAAAATTTTGAAGGAAGCTGGAGAAAAGGATGTTTCTGTTGGGAATGTAAGTTTCCAAGGTCGATCCTCTTCTTGCCGTCCTTTCTGACCTTCAACACAGCCCATTGCCGTCATGGTTGAAGAAGGCACCGATATCGCCCAGTTCGGATCATTTTCCCTGGAAGATGCTGGCGGCGATAAGAAGCCATCTGCTGATAAGACTCCAAAAGAGACTCCCGAGTCCTCAAAGGGACCTGAAGCCGAAGCCGAAGGCCAATCGCTCGCACAGGACGAGGCTAAGCCCGCCGCAGAAGAACCAGATATCACTGGGGAACGCCTTCAACCATCCATTGATAGAGAACCGTTGATCAGCCCGGCTGCCAAGGCCCTTGCTTTAGAACGTGGAGTGCCAATAAAGACCCTCAAGGGAACAGGCCCTGGAGGTCGAATCACCAAGGAAGATGTTGAAAAATACCAGCCCACCACGGCCGTCGGTGCTGCTGCAGGCCCAACCTACGAAGATATTCCTGCCTCATCAATGCGTAAGGTCATTGCAAGCCGCCTCACTCAATCCATGAAGGATAACCCCCATTACTTCGTTTCCTCAACTTTGTCCGTCACAAAACTCCTCAAACTTCGCCAAGCTCTAAACTCCAGTGCAGACGGCAAATACAAGCTCTCCGTTAATGACTTCCTCATCAAAGCATGTGCTCTCGCACTTCGCAAAGTCCCCGCTGTCAATTCAGCTTGGATTGAGCAGAATGGACAGGTTGTGATTCGCCAGCATAATACGGTTGATATTAGCGTTGCGGTCGCGACTCCTGTTGGGCTCATTACTCCCATCGTGAAAGGCGTGGAGGGACTTGGCCTGGAAAGCATTTCGCGTCAAGTTAAGGATCTCGGCAAGCGTGCCCGAGACAATAGGCTAAAACCTGAGGAGTTCAATGGTGGCACCTTCACCATCAGCAACATGGGTATGAATCCTGCGGTTGAAAGATTTACTGCTGTGATCAACCCTCCTCAAGCTGCCATACTTGCTGTCGGGACTACACGAAAGGTAGCCGTGCCTTTGGAGACGGAAGAGGGTACTGAGGTGCAGTGGGACGACCAGATTGTGGTCACTGGAAGCTTTGACCACAAGGTGGTCGATGGGGCAGTTGGGGCCGAGTTCATGCGAGAGTTGAAGAAAGTGGTCGAGAACCCTCTTGAACTTATGCTATGAAATGCTTTTACCCTTTCTCTGTTGTTCTTTTTCATTAGACTTTGGCCAGCGACATTGACCTTGACGCTGTGTTTTCCCCCATTTCTTTCTTCCATTTGTACTAAAAATGTATTACTGTATCCCACGACCGTTTTATTCCCTCTTTGTCTGTGCTAATTTCCCTCTCTATGTTCAGTGGAATATTTAAATACCAATTTGCAGGAATTGAGGTATTCCCCAGTTTCCTGTCATGGCTTCTGTGATTGCACCAACATCACAGGTCGCCGATTTGCCATCTTGACAGCCGATCACCCTGTCACGTGGAATGAATCGTTACATGCCAATACAAGTTACGTAATTCTTGGCGGGACCCTCCTGTGGCTGAAGATCAGGTGGTTCCAGAGGCACCTATGACGTGATGCAGTGGGTTGGAAGCTTTCATGACGTCCCGGTATCACTATGTCTAGCCAGCGGGATTAAAAGGATGGGCTGGGTACATACCCACTGGGCTATGAAGAACCTCACTGTCCTTCATTTGAAAATCATTAGCAGGTGAATTTAGCAAATCTTTGTCACAAAAGTAAGGAATATCCGTTACGGCTTGATATAGATGCGCTTGGTGGATTCTTTTCTCCTCTCCTATTACTAACAAGAGCAGACAGATATCCTCTGACGACCCCTTTTTTTAATCCTCTCTACATGCCCCCCATGTCATACGCAGAAGCCGCTGCACGAGGCGCAAGCCAAAGCCCGAAAGAAGTAAGGATTCCAGCAAACACAGCACCCCTTTATCAATGTCTTGAGAGCTATTCCTCGCTAACTTTCAAATACAGGCGTAAGTGGATATAACGTCATATCGCGAAATCTCGATGCCAGTGAACAGCGTGTCCTAACGTCGTCTCTCTAGGGCCGCCCCCCAACCGGCTCAAATCGAAGTCGCAGATATCGAAACAACAACCTCCTCTCTTGTTGATGTCGACTCCCCTCACATCAACACCGTCCCATCAACCTACGAATCCCAATCTGTAAAAACGAATACCCAGGCCGAGCGCCTCCAGCGCGAAGAGCGTGAAAACCCTCGTGAAGGCAAGAACAAAGAGAAAGGCAAGACGGCTGTGGGTCGAGAGAAGGAAAAGGCCAAAGGAGCTTATGCGAAGCTGTGTGAGAATCGGACGAATCCAGTGCTAGTGACCAACGCAATCCTGTTCACGGCTGCGAGTGCCGGATTAGGGTATGGTGCATATCAAAAGTATTTGAAGGGAGTGTTGACCTGGGACACCGTTATGTGGTGGGGCGGTGGTATCGGAGCTGCTGGACTTTTGGATTATTATGTGAGCAGGTGAGTTTGCCTATACATTTTGTGCGATTTCCTGATGAAACGTCTCTGATACCAGATTTTCGTAATAGGTGGTTCGTCCAGAACAAATATCCGCCAAAATAACAGCCTCTTTCTTTTCACGGAGTGACGATTCGGGAATTTATCGGACTCATCCATGTCTACCATGACATGACGATGCTCCAATAGCTTGCCAAATAATTTCTCCACTTCTTAGCACTTGTTGTTGTTGGATTTGCACGTCGGAGTTGAATGGATAGCTCTAGGTCTATATCTGTATCAAAGCTGCATACGCATCTGTAGTATCTGTATATTTTTTAGTACGATTGATAGTCCGTCTAAGGATTTCAATCATATTGTATGCTCCGGACAGAAAAGCAAAATTAGTATAAATTTGAAGGGCTCCGGAGCGGTCGAGAGCGTCCCCATTTCTTCGAAGCCTTCGATGGTCCCCATATCGGGATTTCGTTGGTCCGAAAAACCCTTATGTTTCTGAGATCTCACGGTAACCTAATTAGGAATCGTGCGAGAACCATAATCCAAATAGAGAACTGTTGGAGCACTGTAGGATTCCTATTACCTTTCCGAGAACACTTCCTTTTGGGAAATGAGCTCAGTTCTAGAATGTAACTGAAATTTGAACTATGAGATCAGGGGTTTCATTTCAAATTGAAAGAACCTTTTCTTAATTTTGAAAACTAGGTAACTACTGTAGTGACACAATTCCTGCTGCTTTATAGATCACCCCAACTGAAAAACCAGTTTTGGAAACCTTTGCTGCTAACATCAGAAGTAACATTTGCATCAGCTTTTTCAGCATTCTCATTTTCAGCACCCTTCTTGTTGGCATTCTTGTTGTTGGCATCCTTGTCAGCATCATTCTTGTTGGCATCCTTGTTGTTGGCATTGTTCTTTTTGGCATCCTTCTCATTGGCATTGGGATTTTTAACTGCTGGCATGCTTGGCTTTGCAGAAATGACAGTTTGTGTTGGAGTCACATCATGAGAAGAAGATGCACCCTTTGATGCCATACTTTGTTGCTCTGTTGGAGTAAACAGTCAGTATATTTCAGGAAATGTTATTTGCACACATACTGGTTGAAAACAGAGAAAATTGAAGGCTCCTGATCAGAGTCAGGGTTTCAGGAACAGTTTGTGGCAGCAAGAAGCTTAAGCAGATTCTTTTTGCTTCAGAATTGGAAGCACCATCAAAGGAACATTTCAACTAATTCACTCTCATTAGATCTCTTTTCCAATTCAATTCTAAGAGAATATCTTACAGCATGAGAAGGAAGGGAGTTATTTGCAGGTGGAGCTGAACAAGTGGTAAGAGCTGCACAAAGACCTGAATCAATAAGTTGTGGCATATTCTTTTGAAAGTTAGAATCTTCACCTCAAAAATAAGAAGTGAAGTGAACTTACATTAAGAGCATTCTTTATGTCAGAGACTGCAATGAAGTTTGCCTCTTGAATTTCCCAAATTTCTTTCAAGATCATGGAAATCTCTTGAAGAGCTTTAATGACTTTGCCATTTAATGCATCTGGCTTATCATCAACAGAAGGAGTCTCTTTTGGCATATTTGCAAGGACAGTTTTCAACTCTTTATTGATAGCTTGAGCAAAAGCAACAACACCCACTTCATGAGCATTTTTGATGACAGTGTTTGTTGTATTCACCCATTTGAAGTATGCACTTTGCAACTCAAGAATCTGATTGATTATTGTCTCAGAAAAGTTACAGCAATGCTTCTTGTTTCATAAGCAGTTTGAGCAAGTGTTGCCAGAGCCCTGAATATTATTACAGGGCTTTTCAAGATTTTTCAGAATCATATATGCCATAATGCATCATTAACAGAAGACTGATGGCCCATCTGAAGCTTTATCTTTTGGTTTACAGCCTGGCTTGTTCTCTTTTGGGGTTCCACACATGTTCACCATTTTGATGTGTTTTTCTGCAAAATGCATCAGCTTTTGCTAATCTCATATATCTCAGATCACCTACCTCTGCAAATTGAAGTATATTAATGAATTCAAAAAGAAATACCAATGGAAGAGAGAAAGGGGAGATGGGGAAACAAAGATTAGAAAGACTTGAAAAGAGAGAGAGAGAGAGAGAGAGAGAAGAGAAAGAGAAGAGGTTGTGGAAGAGGTTGTTTATATATATGAGAGCTGTCCTGATTAGGTAGGGCTTTGTTGACATGTGCTCTACTAGATGTGTTGATTTTTATATTACCTATGCAACTCCAACAAGCAATCCTCCAGCAGATTTTTGGCGGGAATTCTTGAAAAGTTGATTCCTACTATACAGCTGCTTTGCCTGTTGAATTATTGTGAGAATTATTGCAGCTTCAGTGCTGCTCAGGTTTGGATTCTATATCATATATATATACATGCTAATTAATGTGCAGATGCCCCAAGAGAGCTTGACATTACTGATTCAGTATTTTGCAGTTCACTCTTTTGGTGGAGCCTCACCTGAAAATCAAATCTTTGTAAGAATTGCCAACTTATCAGCTTCAGAAGCTGAAGCTCTTATCTTCTTCTTGGTCTCCTTTCTCTTTTCCACAAAGTCCTCTTTGTTGACATTCTCATATTGTGGATGTTGTCCCATATAGTCTTAAAATTTGAGGATTTCCCACCATGCCCCAATGGCTTCCTTCTTGCAGTTCAATTTCTTCATGAGGTCATCATGCAGTTTGACCTGCACTGTCAAATTGGCATATATCTCTAAATCAAGGTCAGTAATGCTCATTATCTTATATTTGTCTTCAATTCTGACATACACTTGATATACCATTGCCCTAATTGCTTTGATTTCTCATAATCAACAATTGGCTCTGCCCAGAAGAAAATCTCAAAGAATTTTTTGGGGTCAAAGTGCTTTGCAAAATATGCAAAGAGTTTGTCAGGATTCTGACAACAGTGCATGCCAATATTGAAATTGTCCTTGTGGTCAATCTTCTTTACATTCTTGACATGCTTCTGCTAGCAGTCAGTAAAAGATCTCTCAATATTATGAGGCAGCATACTAACACTCATCTTCCTCAACATTTTATATTTCCAGTCCTTTAAAAACTCCAGGGCAGACACTCTTGCTGAACTGAAGACATATGAGTCTTCATCATTTGTTTTATATACTTCCTCTATAATTTCAGGAAGTTTTTCCTTGCTGAATGTTGTGAGATACATTCATCTCACTCACCATTTCAGAACCTCCTCTTTTGACTAATTCTCTCTCTCATATTCTTCTGCATCAGAGTGTCAAACTCTTTACTTGTGCTTCTTGCCCCTTTTCTCATTCTCTTTGCCTTTTTTGAGATTCTGATCTTGTATATCTGCCCCTTGTGTGTCTGCATTGGTTCCTGCAGTGGCAATGTCATCAAAGTCACCCACATTGAATTCATCAAAAAAGAAAGCTTCACCATCTATGTTGGAGAATTTAACTCTGAAACCCTTGTAGAATTTTGGATATACTATAATCTATATCAATTGCAAGCTTCCTGACCCCAGCATGAAAGCAGTTATTCCCAACTCCATATTCTATTGGCAATTTCCCCCACATTTTCTGTTGACAGGTAACAGATAACCTTCACTTTCTGAAAGAGTAACCAAAGATACTTCACTTCAAGAGCATTCCATGCATTTCTTTTACAACTTCATACAATCAATAATAGCCTTGTTGTTGAAATGTTGTGTCCAAATCTCTGAAAAGTCAAGAAAATTACACTCTGAGATCCAAATTCAAGCAATGATACTTCAATTACTGGTGAACAACAGATCCAGGGTCAAGCAAGTGAAGAGAGTATTTGTCAGTCAATTAAATATGAAAGCAGTGCCCACCTGACACCACTACAGTCAGGACAGCTGGAGGATTTGGCATTAATTTCTGATGATAACAAATTTGGTCTTATAGTGTGAAAAATTGTTTATCAGAATTGTTAAATGCTGAGGCTAATATTGCATAGTCTACATTAGATACTGGTGATGGCAATGCTGGCCCAGCATATACTGATGATGACAATCAATTATATGAAATATTGAAAGATGCTGCAGCTGATGCAGAATTATCATGCCTAGAAAATAAAATCCTGATTGAAGAAGATCCAGAAATTGATGAAGATTCAGAAACAATGGATACTTAAGTAACAATGCTGATTCTTGAGAATAAATCATCAGAAGCTATTCCACACTCACAGGCCAAAGCATATGATTAAATGAATCAATTCCTAATGTCTCTTACATTATGGTGTGAGCATACAGGCATATCCCAACAGCAATACTAATCACTGAGGGAAATCCTCCAGAACCTGACAGATATCAAGTCATTGAAACTTATGCCTACTGAACTGTCAACATTAAAGAAGAGATGCCAGTCACAATTTCTGATACTACCTATCCACCAAAAACCACTGTCTGTCATCCCAAAGAAAATGCTGACATTATCAGATGCAGACAAAAGGCTTGCTCAAGCAGTATTGTGCACAAACATGTATTTCCAGAACCCCATTGCATTGATATCCATGCTTGTGAAATTGCCAATTTTCCAGAAGAAACTGCATATAGGAATGGCTGAATTAGTTGATAATCCAAGAGAGTTATGGCAATCTTGGAGCTGGAGAAGCTCCATTAAATACTTCTCAGGCAAATTTGTATATTACTGCAATGGCAAGCCTATATTTTTCTCTGACTTTGTCCTCTACCAATGCTGCAACACCAACTGCCCCTGTAATAAAGATCTAATGAACCATGACCATTTGGGGAGAGTCCAATTTGTTGGTCAGAATAAAAGATCAAATTCAATTGCTGAAAATGCAATTGCTCTCCAAATTCAACCAGTATACCAATTCATGCCAACATTTTATGGCAGGAAATTATCCCATTTGAATCCACAGCACCACCCAAATGAAGTCTTTGCTCTTGAAAGTCAAGGAACATTTGTTTTGGCAGGCAATATTCTTTCCCAAGTTGATGTATACCTGGACTATGAATTTAATATGGAGAATTCAGGATATGAGCTTCCAAATGCCCAATATTTCATGCAGCAAGTGCTAACTTTGAAATCAGGAACACTGAAAGCTCAACCACTTAATATGAGCACTCCACTATGTGGTGAGCTAGAAATAGTGGCATATGGTAGAGAGGTATTGAAGCAAACATTTTCTGACAGCAAAAAGATTATATCCCTTCCCTACCAACTTTTCATTAATGAATTTGGCCTATACCAGAACATGTACTGAAGCCTTATAGGTGTCTACATGATATCTGCTGGCATGAAAGCTACTGAAAGAGTCAAGTATAATAATGTTTATACAATTACTTTCAGGCCACATGGAACCAATTTTCCCAATGTGATTGAAGCCTTGGAGCCTGGTCTAGCATTGCTTGACAAGAGCATTGATGTGAATATTTCTAGTGAGGGAGTCACTAGAGTTATTTCCTCTTGTCTCTGTTTTCTTGAGGATATGCCACAACAGAATGCCAATGCTGGAATAAAAGAGCCTACAGCAACATGTTCTTGTTGGAGCTGCATGGTTTCAGAGAATCAGTGACATGACATGGATTTTGATACCATTACTGAAGGATGCTATCATTTTCAGATTCTGCAGCAGAGAGAAAAAATCAACTCTACAGAAACTCAAGCTTTAAAGCAAAGCCTCTGCAAGAAATATGAAATGGCTGAAGAGCAGACAGCATTGCTTAAAATATGCCTATCTCTTAATCTGGTGATCTTCTTTCCTTCTGACCCATGTCACAGTAAATTTTCAGAAATATCAAAACTGGCACACTATTTATTGGTTTTGGTGATTCTTACACCCCATGATCAAAAAGAATACTGTAAATTGCTTCAGAAGTTTCCATTCTGTTGGAGATGGGCCTGTCTTCAATCTCTGCTTACTCATTTGAAATTCTATTAATTACAGGAGCACATGTGAGCATCTATCATAATTCTGCTTCTTCTCTAATGCTACATGATCCAGGAATGGATAAATCCAGCAGTGCAATGAATGATGCCTGTAACATTTAAAGATTACTCTGGAAGATCAATAAAGAATTTGATTGTTTGAATTTATGCTGGAATTGCATGCAGCAATTCCATTCTAACATCTCAATTACCAGCTCAATTTGCCTCTGTAAGATTGTGAGAGATCATTACAACAGCCTGACAGGACCTACAAAGTTTAATTGACACTGCTGTATCAGCTATTGAGACTACCCATCCAGCAGGCACTCAAGCAGGGTCTAGAGCAGCTTTCATAACCAGTGCAAGGCCATCTCCCATTCCAATTGAGCTCCCAGCACTTGATTTGTATGCCAAAGAGACAGGTGTCCCAATTGCAGAAAATTTCAATTCAAAGAAGAAGACAAAGGCAATTTGAAGCTTTAAAAACTGCCCAAATATGCATGTCAGCATACATTATCCAGCACAAGCAAATGAATATGCAATTCCAAACAATTGCAATATTCTTATTGAAGAGGACAAGCATTGGGAATACAAGAAGCTGGTCCAGAGAACAAACAAGCAAGATGTTGAAAAGATTCTGTTAATGCAAGAGAGCTTCAGATATACACTGCTTCTACTACTTGAAGAAGCATTTGCTGATAGTGAGCCATTCTTGATTCAGTACATCTCTAACCTCTATAAGTACTGCCTGACTCTTTTTGTGGACTTACTCCAACTGAATACCAATCTGCATGAAGATGAATTTGAGGCACCAGATGCTGAAGACAAAGATATTGCTGGTGAGTATTCTCTGAATTTCTGAGCACAACAATCTGCAGGAAAAATGGTGCCAGTGCTAGATATTCTGAATGCACAGCTATTCATATTACTGAATCTCCACCCATTTTTGCAGAAACTCTGAAATGCATATAAGAAAGATTGAGATAAGCTGTCTGTAGTGAAACCAGGCTCAACTGCAATATGGTTCTATAAGAATATTACTTTCTCACTTGGAGACCAGCAAATCAAACTAATGGTTGATAATTTGATTGAGTATACACATGGAACCAGCCCTGCCATTGGGCAAATTACCAGCATTTTCATTCATGAATTGCATACAAATGAAAGGGTATTCTTTTTGGTGATTCCAGCATTGGAAATGATGAGAGATTGGGTTTTAGACCTATCAATTGTGCAGGTAGATCTAGGGGGCAGCAACTACATCATTATTGAACTTTCTGTGATTAAAAAGCCAAGTCTTTATGCTGTACTGATTAGTGAGGTGTTGGATGCCAGCAGCAATCTGGTTTTCAGTAGTCATGATTCCAGAACCTTTCTACTATGCACCTGGGATGTTTCATTTCTCTGAGATTTGCCTGCTTTGTACATATTTGATCAAGGACTAGAAATGGATGGTGCCTGGAACTAGGATTGTAGTAGTTAATTCCTGACAGTGTTCCAACTGGGTTTCTACTGATGTTCTCAGCAACTCTGAGAACATTCCCACCATTCTGAAATCATTCTACAGCAATTGGGAACATTTCTCAGGCAGGGGAACCTTTAAAAATGAGAACTGTTTCCTATTCAGGAATGGTAAACATGTCATTCCTGCTGCAGGAACCTTTCGGGCGCTGTTTACAGTGGGTTCATCGGGGTTCCATGGTTTTTCGGGCCTACAAAATTCCGATATGGCCTCCTTGGTCATTCGGCCCGACAATAAGCCGGAGCAACACGTGAGGCTACCTGACAACACGAGGAAAGGGCGGCGCCAGATGGCAGAATACCGCCAGCTTGCGGCTTGGGGACAGCTTGCAGGCGACACAAGGTGATTGTTTCAATGGATCTAAGCGCTACATTCCGTGGATTAGCTTGGTGTCAAGACTCCGTCAAATTTTAACGGCATATCGACAAACCGCTTCTTGAACCCTAGATATCTATCGCCATTGTTTTCGGCGAACGCCAGTATAATGGTATCCTCCCAAATTGAAACGGCTTCCAACCCCGGGCTTGCCCGTGAGTATGCGACTGATGCGATTCATTATAGAACTCCCTTTTTAACGCGGCGCTGAAGCAATCTGCGGCTGTGCGTCGCGACCTGGACGCATTCGCTGAAGCTCCTGCCTCCTCTCCAGCCGCCCTCCAAGGTAAGTCTGACGGTGAACTCCAATTGCGACAGCAAGCAAGCAGCTAAGGCTGCAAAATTACCTGATATACTACGGATTGCTAATTTCCTTATTTGGGTAGGCCAGATATCCGCATCCCTAGCGTCCTTCTCCCGAACTATTGATGATTATTCATCTCTTTCCAAAAAGGAACTTATCCCGGAGAAACAAGAAAAGGCTTTTGAGCGTCTGAAGAATTTCAGGGCGGAGCTCGTCGATTACAGAACCCAGTTTGACAGATTAAAAAAGGAGCGTGACGATGCGGTATGTCCTGGAGATTTTATTCGCCGAACCCTCGTCCACCTTGTCCCAACTGACCTCGGCTTATATATGTATAGCAAGTTGCGACGAATAGAAGTGAGCTGTTAGGTCGTCGACCCCATCATGCAGCTACTCCAGAAAACCCCTACGCCCAATCCGCCCTCCCTTCACAACCTTCTCCTTTTGCGAACCCCAACAGGCGCCAAGCTTCCGGAAACACGGGCCTCAGTTTTGGCACTGACCCTTCACAATATAGCCGCGAAGAACACGCACTACGAGAGCAGTCATTTTTTGCAAACACAAATACACAATTGGACGAATTCTTAGATCGTGGCCGAGCGGTTCTCGGGGATCTGGGGCAGCAGCGAGAAATACTAAAAGGCACACAGCGGAAACTATATACTGTCGCAAATACGCTCGGAGTTAGTGGAGAGACCATTCGAAGGGTGGAGAGGAGAGCTAAGCAAGACAAATGGATATTCTGGATTGGAGTGGTGATATTCTTTGGGTTTTGCTGGGCTGTGCTGCATTTTCTACGATGATGGTCGTCAACGGCTCCTCATGCAAATAATTACGTACATAACTATGTCGCCTTCTTGGCTATCATGTTCTTGGCTAGCGTTGGCGGATGATAGATTCTTAGCGTTTCGCATTGGGATTTGATAGCTTAACGTCGTTTACGGAGTCCATGAATTTTTAGTTATGACGGCCTTTGTTCAGCCAAGCACCAGCAAGAAGATTCACGTTCCACAATGTTCTCCGAGTCCCGGGTACGGAGTATACTTACTCAAGTCTTTGGTCCCTAGGCGGCAGTGGTGCTCTGCCCTTACGTCAAAGACCGTTCTGTTGGCAGGAGGTGAGCATTCTGATGTTTAGGGTGTCGGGCTCTCCGATCCTGCGGGCCAATGTGGTGGGAAATCTCGTGGGAGTGCATCCTGTGTGACGCTTTTCCTACCAATGACGAGCATCATAGCTTCGTATAGGTGGATCTCAGAAGGTTTATTCGCCAGTCTGCAGATCGCCAAGTGGACGATGTTGATAAGGCTCAAGATACAAAAGATGACTCTGGTGGTGCTCCCGCACTGTCGACCCCTACTTTTCAGCTATGACCATCTCAAATCCCTAGCCTCATATTGACTTGGGGTCAGGTTATTCCCAGGACCAGTTGAGAGTCCAGAGAGTTGGTCGGGAGCTAGTCAGTGTTCAATCCGCCAGGACTATCCGCACTCCAAGTCGCAACAGAGTGCAAAGGCTTGGAGGGGGGATTTGGCTGGAGCCATTGATAAAGCTGCTGCGTCCGGTGCATCTTCCAGCGCAGAAGCCAGGTTCTCAAACATGCGGTCCAGTGGCAGCCAATGGAGATAGCCAAGACTACGGATAGCGCAAGGCCGGGCTTTTCATAAACCCCAAGATGGGCCGCATCGCCTTTTCTCGACTTTCTATCATATCACTTATATACTTGCTCGTTCTCGGCATATCAGCCTCGCCAACCCGCACATATCCCTCCGAGCGGATTCGCCGTGACCTTGTCAACCCATCGAACATTCCCCAGGGGCATAACGACACCGTCATATGTGTCTACCCCATCAGTGGGCAATACGGCTCCCTCCCACGAGTTCTCTACTATGTCTCACTCGTTGTTGGAATTGTCGGCCGGTATCAACAATGGCTAGTCATCGGAGCTCTCGCCTCCGCTTTATCATACGCTGGTTCCACTGCTATTCACATGCTCGCTCTAACGAAATCGCGCGCGCCGGTTTTTGATCTAGATATTCTTGGTGCGTGGGCGATACTCACGACCGGATGCATGGCCTTTGCGGCTATGGTACATTGGTCCTCCGCGCTTCGGCAATCAGGAGGCAAGCTGGTGATTGTTTTGTGGGGAGGACTCATTGGAATTGGCTGTATTACCGGTCGATCCTTGCTTCTCGATGTTCATTCCGATGCGGAGCCCGCGTGTAGGTCTGCTAATGGAGACCTTTTAACCAGCACTTCCGAGCTCGTCTCTCCACTATTCAAATGCACGTATAAATGTTTCTCCGCAAAGACGCCCATGCGGCAAACAAACGAAATCACCGCTATACCCACCGACCAGCTTCTTGGAACATATGCTAATCTCGGTGTTGTTCTCATTGTCCCCATTATAGCGGCGGCGCAGAAATCCGTCGCTTTCAACTGGAGTCAGCATACCCCTTCGTATGCTTGCACGGCGATAGTCATGACGTGTATAAATAGCTCATTGAACCTACGCCTCTCTCAGAACACGTACAATGCTGCCTGCCAGACCTGGTACGGTGGATACATCCTTCTATTCCACTACATGTGCAAAGCGAAATTTAAACTTGGCCTCAAAAAATTCCTTATGGTATCAATCGTCGCTCCCATTATGTTTTTTGATCTATTCTTCGACCTCGCCGCTCTACCCCTATTCGTTGCGAACATCATATTCAACGAGCTTAACTTGCTGAAAACCAATATCCCCGTGGAAGAAGAATATAGTTCTGTGGGCCAGTGGTCGCCGGTCGTGTCTGCAGCATTGGTGCTAGCGGCCTCCGTAATCAATCGATCCGCCGAATGGTGGAAGATGAAGAAACAGCGAAGGCAACGAACAATGCCGGAACAGGAGGAAATACAGCTCGCTCCTTGGCCAACGAATTCACAACAACCACCGCTGAAGCACAGTATTTATCCCGGTCAACAGGAAAGCGGTGTTGTGATCCGGGAACTAACACCACAGAAAACACTTAGGATTGATTCATTGGAGCACGAGCCATTGCCGCAAGCTCTCGTTCGTGAACACAGATTTGTATAATAAGATGAGCAATGAGTATCATCTAACTTCAATTATATCTTAATATGCACACGTTTTGATGAACAGAAACAACTCAGGCATAGCGTTAAGCACTTGTACAGGATATGAAAGGGCTCTTTTCGCCAATTGATCACTCTATGATCTATTGCTTGGGCTATATTTACATTGCCTTGTTACTAGAATTCGACCCCGAAAATCAGAATCTAGCTCCGAAAAGGCATCAGCACTTAAAAGGTCGTTAGGATAGTAGAATGTAGCTGCTGAGTACCTTGGTGTTGTAATGACAAATTCTTTCATAAGACGCAGAAACACTGATATATCAACTGTGCGGAAATTGTCCTCCTCTCCAGAGTGCATTTCGTATCAGAAGGCCAGGTTGATTATCCTGGGGTTGGTTGATAATTGAGGCGGGGACTCCGCTGGTGCAAGATGTTCTTCAGCCTGCAACGCTCGGTGCGATTCGCGAAAGAGAGGACCGAGATTGCTCTATGAACGCGACGCAGCTGTACCCTGTCTATGTTATTCATATCAAACACTCAAGGGTGAGGCTCGTGTCAAACGAGGCGACAAGCTTTTCTTAATGAGTTCCCATCAGTTGTGCTCAAGATCTTAATAGAAAATGAGGTGTACTACATTAACTAACACAATGCTTATTCTGTATGTGGCTTTCTCTGCTAGGAAACTATACATGAGCAGTGAAGCATGCAGAGTTTTCTCTCCCGCACCTCTTACCAGGAGGCAAGCAAGACTCAGCACCATACGGAGTAACTATAGCAGTTTGGTTTTGGGGGTTCCCAGAGCTTCCGTACATGCCTGGTAGGCTGCTCCGTAGTAGGTCCTCGAGACAAAGTTACCCCTGTTAAAGAACAGGATATCAACAACTGGTGAACTGAAGTCTATGGCTAGTCCAGACAGTTTAATGAGCCCATAATCCAGTCCCGTCCCAAAGTATGTGACCACATCGGGGGAATGAAGAGATGGCCCGACTTTAGTAAAAAATTTCAAATATACACCAATAAGTCTTTTAAAAGCGAATGGAGTAATTTTTTTTTTCTCCTGTCTATGCTTATTTATGTTCCTTTTTTTTTTCCTTCCCCCCTTCTTCTCCTTGGGAGACTGGGAGGGATCTGTCGTGAGTCGCCGTGCCGAACCGACCCCCGTCCATGGTTTCGACACGAAGTGGGCATTCCTATCGTCCAGCCGCGTTTACGTAGCGGTCGAGCACTGTGAAACAATATTAAGTGTAATATGAAGGCATTGCAGTCTCAGGTTTGATGACTGGTGAGTACTGGATGCATGTAACCTTTTTTTTTTTTTTTTTTTTTTTTGCTCCCTCTCGGACGGGACAGCTCGGCAAGGAAGTAAAATCTCTGGGTCTGGCGGTGATCGGAAGCGCGCAGGCTTGTTCTGATTCCCCACCCAGGACGTGCGGTTCCCCAGACTTCGAGAGCATCATGGTGGCCAACTAGTCAGTTATCCTCGGCGTAAAGTAGCCTCTTCGAATCTGTGTAGCCGCAAGAAGAGGTCACCCAAGAGGCGGCGCCAACCCGGTCTCTTCCGCGTAGAAATGCATATGTTGATGTCGGCCGGAGGGTCTCTTGTGCTCTCTCTGGCCTATTCGCCGGGGTAGCCCGAGATTCAAGGACCCATGTGCTCAGGGCCTGGCGGGTTGTCGCCGAAGAAGCTCCAGGGCATTGCCGGTGAGGCCGTAACCACCAACCAGCAACTTGGCCAAACAACCCTGTGTTTGTCCCGTGACTTCAACAGCGAAAATCCTCTCTGGCCTTCTCTCATTCTTTTCCAACTTCACTTTGCTGTTCTTTTTTCTGTTTCCCTTGATAAACACACACTCTCAAGGCCAATTGTCTTAGATCCATCTTCTTCAATTCACCCTTCCTTTTTGTGATACCCTTCTTTAGCCATCATGTTTGCCGCCCGCAGAACTGTCGGCCTTTTTCAGCGCCGTGCCTTCTCGGCGTCTGCTCAACAGGTAATCATCCAATTGCGCCTTCAAGCTGCTCCAATGCATTTGGACCTGAAGCCACTGGCTCCCACCATCCTGCTAACCTAACCAATTGAACAGAACTCCAAGGTTACCGTCCTCGGTGCTGCTGGTGGCATTGGTCAGCCTCTGTCTTTGCTCATGAAGCTGAACCCTCGTGTTAGCCAGCTTGCTCTCTACGATATCCGCGGTGGGCCAGGTAATATCACAACCGTCAAGACATTCCAAGGCCTAATTTTCAGGGAAAATTGGATCACCTAGCCGGCTATACGAAATATTTGGTGCTGACGCGATGCTGCTTATTTAGGTGTCGCTGCTGATCTTAGCCACATCAACACCAACAGCACCGTTACCGGCCATGACCCAACCCCTTCTGGTCTTCGTGAAGCCTTGACCGACGCTGAAATTGTCTTGATCCCTGCTGGTGTTCCTCGCAAGCCTGGCATGACCCGTGATGGTATGGAATGAACAAGCTAGCCTCAAGTCTTGAAACAATGTAGCAAGCTAACGTTTACGTCCCTCCAGATCTCTTCAACACCAACGCCTCCATTGTCCGCGACTTGGCCAAGGCTGCTGCCGATGCTGCCCCAAAGGCTAACATCCTTGTCATCTCTAACCCTGTGAGTATAGTACTGTTACAAGTTACATAGGGCAATTTGGCTGATTCCTCTGACCCAGGTCAACTCCACCGTCCCCATTGTTGCCGAAGTCTTCAAGTCCAAGAACGTCTACAACCCCAAGCGCCTGTTCGGTGTTACCACCCTCGACGTTGTCCGTGCCTCTCGCTTCATCTCCGAGATCAAAAAGACCGACCCTGCCAACGAGGAAGTTCCCGTGATCGGTGGACACTCTGGTGTCACCATTGTTCCTTTGGTCTCTCAATCTAACCACCCAGATATCACCGGTGAAGCCCTCGAGGCCCTTGTCAACCGCATCCAGTTCGGTGGTGATGAGGTCGTCAAAGCCAAGGCTGGTGCTGGATCTGCTACCCTTTCCATGGCCATGGCCGGTGCTCGTTTCGCCGAGAGCTTGCTCAAGGCCTCTCAGGGCGTTAAGGATGTCATCGAGCCAACCTTTGTTGAGAGCCCTCTCTACAAATCCCAGGGAATTGACTTCTTCGCCTCCCGTGTCAGACTTGGACCCAACGGTGTTGAGGAGATCCTTCCAGTTGGCAAGGTCTCTGAGTACGAACAGAAGTTGCTCGATGCCTGCTTGGTTGACCTGAAGAAGAACATTACCAAGGGTAAGTTTTATCCCATCAGAGGGAAAGGTTGACATAAACTGATATAGGTTTTCCTAGGTATTGACTTCGTCAAGAACAACCCTTAAACGCACCGACACCAACCATCGACGCCTCTTTGACTCAACAATCCCTTCTATTTCCCCCATGTTTTCCGTATATTGGCCGATATGACACTTCTATGTTTCTTCTCATTGGGACTTGAGTTTGTGATTGCGGCGGCGTTGGCGTGCAGCGTATCCGTTGCTCTCCGTGTACTTTTAGTGGATTTCTAGGTTCATCAAGGAAGGGCAAAAATAAATAAAGGACTTTTCAATTTTTCAATTTCCATGCTCAGAATGTCCCATACGTTGTCATTACATTAAGGCCAAACTACCATTTAAAGATTCCCTAAAAATTCAGCAGCTCCAACCCATGCTGCCATCAAAAGTTGCAATATTATCCTCTTCTTTCAAACGAACTTGTTCGAAGGTAGGAACCGTGTTCTGCGCGTAGAATGCAAGCAGGCTATCCATATCACTTTCGTCCATCTCAACAAGCTCCTCCAAGCTCCATGTCTCGCATATGCGGGAGATCCTATGCTACCATTAGTATATAGACCGATAGCAAGCAACTCATCAATCCGCAAGTAAACGTTCACCAACCATTTCATCCTTTTCGGCCCATCCTTCGCCTCGGGGGCAAGCTCTCTCAGCTTCTTCCGTAACACACCAACATTCTGGATCGCTGCGCCCGTATTCCCCGGAAGCGCCGACGCAATCTCCTTTCTGACAATACTGGCCAACTTTGGCCCGTTCCCGTTCGTGCTCACCATCACCTGCAGCGGTCCATCGCGATGTACGCTGCCGAAGTAGAAGTCGCACTCCGAAGGGACATCGGCGATGTTTGCGGGTATTCGGCGCTCCTTGCACAGTTTCCAGATCTGCGTGGAAGCTTCCGGGTCGTCGATTGCGACAAATACCATCGCTACATCTTCCTCGAGGTCGACGGGTTCAAATTTTCGATCTCTGTAGGTGACCTGGTTTTGGGAGATGCGGAACTTGACTTCGGGATTGAGGCATGCGGACGGGCATACGACGGTGACTCTGGCATCGGCGTTCAAGGCGTGCAGGATCCTGCCTGCTGCGACCTGCATAAGCCCCGTTAGCGAGGATGGAACGGTCAGGAGTTCGGTGATAAGAGCCCTGTAACGAACCTCACCTCCACCTACGACGAGCACCTTCTTGTCCCGTACCTGCCATGCGACCATGAGAGAGCCGCCAGGCTGGATGGGAGGAAAGCTGTGCGGCATTGTAGGACAACGCTACCTTCGAGATGGAAACTAAGCCAGGTTCGCCTCCCAGCTTCACATTGTTATTTTGCGGTCCTCGAGCTTCTGTGGTGAACATGTACACTCACTTTATATAATGGCTTCTTCCAAGAGTTCTGTACTCCGTAGTGTCACATGTTCTCTTGAGTCTCGAACCCAAAAAAGGCTTTTTGAGTTTCGAGCGCTGTCGTTGGTCGAATTGTCGAAAACCAAAAAAAATTCATGAATAAACACACCTACGTCCCGAGTATGTTCATGAACTGTCTCCTTGACTAGCGTTGATGATATCGGTTGCCCGTTTCTTTTGATGCCCATCAATTAAAAATGCGGGGCGTTCAGATATTCTCCGGCACCTCTCACCCCGCCCTCACGGAGGCCATCTGCGAGCGGCTGGGAACCGTCCCTGCGAAATGCGAACTGCGGAAATTTAGCAATGGCGAGACCTGTGTGAATATCGGTGTATCGGTGCGAAATCAGGATGTCTTCATTGTCCAGAGTGGAAGCAGCAAGATCAATGATAGCGTGATGGAACTGCTGATCATGATCTCGGCATGCAAGGGCGGATCGGCGAAGTCAATAACGGGTAGGTGTTCTGGTTTTGCCCTGTGATTACATTGAAAGGGTGTGGAATTGGATGGCTGACTATCTGTTGAAGCTGTACTGCCGTATGTCCCCCGTTGCTGGCTGTCTATAGAAAGAAATCGACTAACGTCCTGAAGATACTTCCCTTATTCGCGTCAATCGAAGAAGAAGAGCCATCGCGGAGCGATTACAGCCCGAATGCTTGCCAATCTACTCTCGATCGCTGGCGTAGACCATGTTATCACTGTGGACCTGCATGTACGATCACGAAATCGCCGGCTAACAATGGTTTTGTGTGCTAACAGCGTTGATATAGGCATCCCAAATGCAGGGGTTTTTCGGAAAACCGGTTGATAACCTCTTTGCCGAATCTTTGATAGCACGGTGGATTAGGATAAATGTTCCACGCTGGCATGAAGCTGTGGTAGTTACGAAGAATGCTGGAGGCAGCAAGCGTGTAACCTCACTGGCAGACGCATTGAAACTGAACTTTGGCATCGTTACGACAGACCGCAGACGGCAGAAGTATAACCAAAATTCCATGACTGATAGTGCCATATTCTTTGACTCAGTCGACCATAACCTGGCAAATGTCAGAAACGCGGAATTCCAGCCACGGAATGTCTCGCATCGCGCGAGTTTACCCACTCGTCCTCGCCCTCAAGATATTAACCTTAATTCATCCTCCCTTCCCGACCCCTTTATCGATGCGCAACCTAACACTTTGGCAACCCTCCCTGAAGAGAGCAGAACACCACAATCTGGATTCGGAGAGGCCAGCCACGATGATGACGATACGACGAATGAATATACTGATGAGCGTGCCCGTGAAGTTGTAACCGCGCGACTGGTCCAGGGTCATTTAGTTGACGATGACTACCCCTCGCCAAATCTCTCCTCTACTGCAGCTTCGGTTTCCGGCTTAAATGTTACCGTGGAGCGGACCGAGATATACGATGGCGCTTCTCTCGATCCAACTTCGGAGTCAGCAGTGTCTACACTATCATCCTTCCAACCGGAGCACGCCCTCGGTGGGTCCTTCGATGCTGCCGCCTCTTCAGACGAAGAGGATGGAAAAGCTCAAAATTCTAACCATGAGCGCACGATCACCCTGGTTGGTGATGTCAGGGACAAAACTGTCTTTATTGTTGATGATATGATTGACCGCGCAGGATCTTGGATCGCGGCGGCAGAGACCGTTGTGAAAAAGGGTGGTGCGAACAAGGTATACTGTATCGCGACCCACGGTCTTTTCGGAGAAAACTCGCTTGAACAGATGGAGCGGTGCGATTGCATTGACTACGTCGTCATAACAAATACGTTCCCCATTGATCCGCAAAGGGCTAGAAGGATGAAGAAACTGGTTGTTCTGGACGTATCTGCACTGTTGTCAGAGAGCATCCGGCGCCACCACTACGGAGAGAGGTAGGCTTTGTCCTTGGCTGTTAGCAGGTCAGATCTGGTCCTAACTTGGACTCTAGTATCTCTTCTCTCTTTGAGTTGCGCGACTAGAATTTAAAGCATTGGGAGAGGATGCGCCGCATTTGCGTGTCGATACCTCCGGCAGTTGACCCAAAGCAACGGAATGATTTGTAGCTATATTACGATTCCTAATTATATATTCATACTATTGGTAGCGAGAAATCATTTTATCAACTTTCTGATCCAGAAGTCCGTTCCCTCATGTATATAAAAGAAAATGTGGATATCAGTTAGAGCTATGCTGCCACATCCCCCTGTCGCCGCATCGGTTCCTCCCGGTATGTCACTGATAGTCCCAGCAAATCTCCGAGAGCCACGGAACCGTTTTGAGAGTATATTTTGTTGCGGGGGGAAGTAGTTGATTTGAGCCCCCTGAGTAATCACGTGATCCAACTAATTACAGCACGTGACAATTGCCAAGAAAGTTAAAGGCAGCTACGTGGTTGGGGCTTAGGGCTTGGTTTGGCCGAGGGAAATCCTTTGCGTTATCTTAACGCCTTCAAAAAAATTCAAAAAAAACAAAAGGGACTCGACAGCGTACATGGGATCACGAGTCATCTCTGCTGGTCGAGATCGACAACTCTATGAAGCATGAGCCTCTCAGATCTTGCAGGAGATGCCGTGTTGAACCAATTTCTCTCGAGCAATGAGAGCGAGAAGGGCTCATCGTGGTAGTACTGATTGCGGCAACCAGCTTCCAAAGTGAAGAGGACCATAATCTGGTGGCATTGTCCCCCGTCCCAGGCAGGATGCAAACTATGGCTATATCATGAGAGAGAGGTAGGCCAATGATATTTATGAGGCACTTGGATGGTATCCAATCGCTAATGACAGCTCTTTGACAGCCAGCTGCGAGCTTGCGTCCGTTCCAGGCATAGCCACGGGAGTCAAGCTTCAGTTTCAACCTTTTTCACAGAAGCAATTAAATTATGCTCAGAGTTCCTACCTTAGAGCCCAGGAGGGCTTGTTGATAGGACCGACCAGTACCATTGGAAGCCAGCCTTGCACTGGATTGGTGAATCAAGTGCATCTAACGGCAACATACATGCATTCCTTCTCACCCCCGCTCCTCGCATACACATCTATCCCGCTTTTCCCAAAACGAGCCAGGACATTTTCGTCTCCCACGGTTCCCGTGGAGACCCATCAGGACCTGTGGTTCGGCCGGATATTAGATCCTACCATTGATGGACGGAGGACTTAGATCTGAAATTACACTGTTGACGGATGTCCTACACGTGATTAACCTTTTGTTTCGATTCTTTCCCATCTTGCTTCTCAGTATGATTGCCGTCGGTGCCATAGCGGTGCCAAGCAGGGCACATTATTACCCAGTACCAACGATGCAGAGACACTAAGGGTTCTGCAGGGACATTCTTCAGTCATGTGTCAAAGTGGTTTCCTACTGAGATACATATCATTCAAAGATCTGTCCTTAACGGAGCGTTGGAATATTAAAATCGGGTCTTCCAGTGAGGATTTCGGTTCTTCTGAACCGGAAGTTCCTTTTGCATCTCTCCCCTTAGCTACTATTCGGTTTCTTTGTGAAACGGATTTTCGTCTGATTTGTCGGGAGCAAATGCTTATCTGTTTGTTGGAGATCTCTGACATATTTATCAAATATTTCATATGTAGTTTGTCCTTTCGTATACATTGAAATTTATTATGAGACAAAACCCTCTCCGGTGACAGTATTATTCAGATCATTGATTCGGGGACCATGATGGTCCGCCCAAAGCGGGAAACAGGGTGGGGAGGCATCTGTCGCAGTGATTGGGTGATCAAATATCGGTGTAGGAGGTTCTCCATGCTGCAATCACAGTCCCTCCTAGAGAGGATCAGCTAGCCTCCCAGACAAAAAGCAACCACACGAAGGGGATAACAGCAGTTCCCCCAAGGTTATTGAACCCACGGTTGGATATCGCAGCACGAATGGGTTTGACTCTTCAACCCATCACGGGGTAGTGCTTTGTGCGTCGCATGCGTCTAAGTCTCACGTTCAGATGCACAGGTAGCTCCCCTCACTCCATCTTCAGATGAGGCGCCCAATGCTCACCAATACCCAAGCTGTAGCAGGTATGATCATTCTCAAGCGGAAAATCTGTGGCGTTTAACCTGCGGGTGAACGACTGCGCTACCCTGTATGTTCATATAAAGATGAAGCTCAGGCTCGGAGGCGCTGCAAGAATGTGACCATGATGAAGCGGCAGAGGATTTCGTGGAGCGGAAGCCAATATCCAATGACGACATTGATTAAGGTGACCGATTCGAGCAGGAATATTGCATCATAGGCCAGTTCTGCTCTCAATAACAACAAAAATAGGATATTGCATGACGGTCCAAAGCCATTGTCAAGGGGCATCCCCGCGCCGCCTCTTGTGGGTATCACTGTACTCCCTACGGAGTACTCCGTACAGACAGCTACTACGTATGGGCTACTCTGCGAACCGTGCTGATGGGAAAAGCTGACTCGCGTCTTTTGGTATCACGAGCGATCGTTCTTTCCAGAAAGAGCGTTTTGCATCAGTCGCCACTTTGAAAAATTTTAATTGCCTTTCAAGGATGATGGAATAACAGATACAAAAACAAATTCGTCTCGATCCATATGCAGCGGTTTTTCCGGCAAAACGATCAGGCCCAGCATAGCAAGGATCTGACCGGCGATTAGCCAGCCCTCTGGTAGGATCCGCGTTTTGGTTAGATCGTGGCGTCCATCATTTGCGATCTACACAGAAAGGACATGGCACATTCGACCTGAGCAAAATGCGGTTGTATTTGTGCGCGTTGACATTTCTCGCCACGTACTCTGTATTATCGTTGTGATTGAACTGGAAACGATATGCCAATGCGTAGGCCGCGTTAAGTGACGCCGCAATAATATGCAGAGAGAGCACAGGTATTCCTAATTTCTCAAGGAATGCAGGTAGGCATCTGAATCCCGCCGGAACAATATCCTAGTTCCGTGATTGGTTTATTAGGACCCAAGAAAATACTGGTCATGGGCCGCTTGGATTTGACACTGGACACCAGGAATTAAAAAAAAAAAAAAAAAAAAAAAAAAAAAAAAAAGGTTTTAGCCGCATTGACATGGAGCCCTTGAAAATCCTCCAGTGTTGTCTAGATGCCCGGGTAGAGACTGGAGATAGAAGCAGTTCTCCCTTATAGCATAAACAGCAGGCGAGAACCGTATTCCGTATTATGGAATACCGCAACCAGATCGACCCTCCGATCACTCAACGTCTTGGACACCATCAGTGTTCTAGAGTGGCAAATTATGGAGTTGGGTTCTTCGAGCGGGAATAACATTACTTGACGGGTCGAAATTGACTCAAGAAACGCAATCTGAATCTCGAGTTTTGGGGGATGTCAAAAGAGATATCTTCAAAAGAATCGCCAAATAGAATCGGTGGCTGATTCGGGGCGACAACCACCATCCAATGGAATGTGAAATGTCCTGGTGAGCAATTTGAGGCCTTCAATCTAGTCACACTGAGCCATCCACAATCCCGCTTACCTCCAGGGGGTTTGTTTTACGACGGTGGTCCGCTTCAGTCGGCACTAACACAATTTGTGCTTCTCCCACTCGAGACGACGACCGCCAAGCAGAGACCTCCAAGCGGCTCAAGGAAAATTTGTGATCGGAGAAATCTGGATGCAAGGCGGGAAAGCCTTGAATACCCAAAGATATGACTAGGCAAGATTGGCGATCGAATCCCTTAGATTGGGGTGGCCGGGGTGTAACAGTCTAGCGACTGGTTCGTCGATTCAAAGAAATTCGATGGTAAGAAATTGGGAAATATGTGCTTGATGTTGACCTTGCAGATTCAATCTCTCGATTGATACATGCATGGGAAAGCCTGGTACGCATTGTCTGCAGGATTTTGTAGAATATCGGTAACACCTCTGCGGAGATTAGATCCGGACGACTGAAGATGGGAGTCCCAGCAGTGCAATTTCTTTTTTGAGCAAGTTGCAGTAGCACAAGCATCAAGGACCACTATTACAGCATTCAAGGGCTTTCTCATTCAAAGACCGGCAGGAGAGAAACGAAGGAGCAATGCCACGTATTAATTATGTCGGCTTCAGGCCAGCCCATCGCTTTGATCGATGCACGGTTGGTTGTTCAGGGAATTGAGAAACGAACAATGAAAATCACTGCATCAAACGATCCTCATCGGCTTTCCAGACGTCACTGGGCAGCAGGACGGTGAGGCATGTCTGGTTTGGCTTGGAGAATCACCAAAGAAATCGCGAAGTGAGGAAACCTGGTGCAGAGCTGTCACATCCACATGGCATGAGTTTACGATAACTTGAAGGATACAAGGACAGACGAGCACAGTACGGAGTACAAGGGTCCATACCAAGTCGATACACATCCGGATATTTACGATACCGGGTGCTCCCTACTGAGTACTGTGCAACAAATGACATTTTCTTCCCGGACAAACCAAATTCAGAATAAGAATCCTATCGGAAATGCAAGCAACCGGCAATCAACGTGCATGGATATCTCGAGCAGAGGTTGGGCAAACTGCTTCCGACGATACATGCGTAATGTAACCTCACCTCAATCCATACATTTACAACGTGTACGGAGGACGAAGCAGGATTGCGGGGATACATTGCGCAACGTCTGCCTCAACTTCATCGCCCGCCGAGATGATGTCATTCAAAGTACCATATTACGGATTGTGCTGTGCATACGGGGTACAGGACACCCATCCACGTTCTCTGTATCGTGTATGTATGTACGGAGTATACGGAGTACCTATGTATGAGGGTCCAGCCTGGAGAATACCTTTGTGAACTCCAATGCTCTGCTGGACAGCATTTTGGGTGTCATCATGACCGCTATTCTCGACGCACGGACGGAGTAACTCATTCGTAAATAAGGAGTACAGAGTACGTAGTACCTGATGGTAAAACTCCCGCCAACAAATCACCTCCCACGGAGCACAGCAGACAAAGATTGTCGGTCAATGCAGATCTGTCTTCGGGTTGAATAATTTACAATCATACTCGATTTACCGTTCTGTAATGTAAACATTGTTTACCAGCAGGGATTGTGCGCGGCCGCCTCCCCAATTTCCCGGTTCTTGGGTTCTTATTTTTTCTTAAACTGCCACTCTTTTTAGTTCAAACTGTAACTGATATATCTCCTTAGGTACTCCGTCCGTCCCAATCACCGGTACCTGTAGGCATGCGTATGTTGTCCCTGATACAGGATCCTAACCATCCACCCCAAGAGCCAAAATAAAGCACAGGCCAATAGGCTGGCCGGTTCGCCCGCTCATTTTCGCCTCGGACAGCGTCGCGTAGAATTCTGGACTGCTCATCAGATTTTTACTTTTGGACTATGGATGGAGGCTCTATGCTTCGACCATCCCTTTGTCAGATACCGGAGGCTGAGGGTTATCCTTTCCCGTAACCAACTTGAAGGATGTCGCGAAGCAGAATTTCAGAACCTTTAAATTCAGCTCCTTTCCCCTCCAACTCGGGCTCGCTCTTCTATTCTTTCATGTGTTTTGTCTTTCCATAACCTTTATCATTGTTTGGATTGTTTGATTGTCATTCTGTTAATGGTTTTGAGACATTGGCACAGTCAGTATACTCGTACATAATACGACACCATCGACTTCCCGGGGAGGCCTGCGTGCACTTCTCGTCTTGTTTCCAGCGGCCACTTGTGGATTATCTACTCTTTGCTTCGCAGCGCACTGGGTGGAATTCTTCGCCATCTTTCCTGAAATCTTCACGTACTCTTTGCTTCTCTCGCACACCCAGCCTTTTGCCAGTCACCCTGTTCGTTTATTTGACAGGGGCAACTCGGGGCTTAGAAATTTCTTAATCGAGGCACACAAATTCCCTCGATCTACGGAGTACACTCTTGCCATACCCATTTCCATGAAACATCAGCAAAGCATTTCCACAAGTCATTTTGCTTCCAGAAAGCGCATCTAGCCTCTCCGACGCCATTTTGACATCTTTTTTGTTTTTTTTTGGGCTTCGACCAGTTTGCTGGAACTGATTCCAGCCGCCCTGACCCTTCGGAAGTCTTAGCGTTAGTCTCGTGCACCAACCAAGTGGCTCAAAAACCACGAAACAGGCCCGCCTTCTGCCTCGAACCGTGATCCCGGATAAGCAAAGAAAAAGAAAACCCAACCAGTTCAGTCTCATACAAAATGGCCAACCCCCAGTGCTCTCATCAATGGGAAGTTGCTCAAGACCGAAATGGCATGATAACATGGAGATGCATGCAGTGCACTGATGGCCTACACCAGGCCATCTGGCGCTGTAAGATCTGCGGATTCACGAGATGCAACCCATGCTACCAGAAGTGGCAGCAGGGAAGATAAAAAACCCTTAGGTAAGTCCCTCAACTTCGCAAGCAAGCCCTTCCCAAAAGGTTCCCTTGTCTGTGGAGACTCGCTTCCTATGTATATACTAACTTCTCTCAAGCGTCTGAAGGGAAGTGGAGCGCGCGACACCCAGCCAATCCCTTGATCTCCATGTGCCGGTGCTACTGCAACATCCCTGTAAAACCAGCACCACAAATGACCCTCGATCAAGCCCAGATATTCGGGACCTGCGGATAGCCAAAATTGGCGGCTCGAGGACGGATTCTCGAGGGTTGTTTCATTATATTTCTCATTCCCATATTTTATCCCGCTGCCTGTGATTCACTTCTTGGTCTCATACTTGCCGTGTTTTGTGTGTGTCGTTTCGGGACCTAGTTTTCTTTTCTTTTCCCCCCTGGATCTGTTCTCGAAAACGACAAGTTCACCCCCTCTCCATTTCTGACTTGTCTGGTTGGAATGATTGATACCTTTCATGTAGCATTTCTTATTCCCCGTTTCGGCGTTTTGCATGCTCATTTATAGATTGCAGTCTTGCTCAGGCCTCCTGCTAAGTTTCCTTGATTACTTCTAATTTATTTTCTTTTTTTGTTCCCTTTAGGTTGGCGGAGTCCTACTTGACGTACACTTGGGCGGTTTGTTCCGTTGCTTTTTGCATTTGGCCTTGTGTGTTAGGATTGGGAGCTTCGTCAGGCCCGGGGAGGTACTTTGTTTAGGGACGTACGGTATGGTTTTTCGGCGGAGACTTGCGTGCTATGTCTTAGAACAACATGTGAGTAGTTAGATTGTGTCGAATAGGTATACAATACATTTATAATTTCGGACGCGTTGGCTCTGCTGAAGCCGCTTCTCGCGGATGTGGTTACCGTTCGAGATTACTTCCCTGTAGGCATACGGAGTACATCATACCGCGAAAGGCCCCCGAGTTCCAACGCATTTCTTGACAAAGCTTATCCGAGCCAGTTGACTAGTTAGTTTAGGAGTGATTATAAAGAAATTAAAGATTGATAGAGTCATACGTATGTGGCTGTCCTCGAAGCAACCACTAGTTAACTTCTAACTAATCCGCATTGCCTTGGACATGGTTGTTATTTCGTCCCTCTTTCTCTCCTGTAAATTCGTTCTTAGTCCTGAAATTACTACTGAGTACGGAGTACGGATCAAGTTAACTAAGGTATTGTTACGATAGTCGATCAACGCTCAAAACAGTCGTCTGATGGTTCTCAACTGGTTAACAGGAAGTAAGCAGAACGGCATATTCTTTCTGCATCCCGTCTGAACCGTGCAAAAAGCATATTGAAATGGACTGGGAATTACAGCAAGGATGCTGGCACAACTGCCTAGCATGACAGATGAGGGAGATGTGCAGTTTACATGAGCCAAAAATGGTCATTTGCAAACATGGCGCTTTCACATAGCTGGCACACCTTTCAGGTACGAATCCCACTTTTGCAGAGGTGAACTTTATCCTGTAAAAGCACCTGCACACTAGTACTCTATGGCTTTGGCTGAACCCGAATCCATGACATAAATATTGCCTCTAGGACTCCATACGATGGGGCTTTTGGGAGAAAGTTCGATAGGCTAAGAGACGTTGAGATGTTGTCTAGCGGACCGTTATACATTTGAAATTCCTGTCAAATAGTTTGCGGGACTAGCATCATTGATGTTTGATGCATTTGTAGCCTTGATTTGTTGCAAGCCCTGCTAGAGTTTCCCTAAACCCATAGTTAATTATGGGAGAGTTAAATAATAGCTCGAATCTTGTCCGAGATTTGTGGGCAAGCTTCTCTACCCGAAGGGATAACGTACGGGATTCACGCAATACATATTGTACTGAAGATCCGTAATGTCAAGGCGAGGAACCCTTGAAACCATGGCTTCCGTTGCAACGTACGTTGATCCCTGAGAGCTAGCTCGTTCCTGTCTCAAGAGTGTTGGAGTGCATTTGCGGTGAACTCGCGAGTTGTATGGCTTAAAAATCTCCGCCCGGGTTTAAAGGTACAAATTGACTTCTCACATCCATGTACGGCTGTTTTCTCTCTTGATGGATATTCGCACTGATGAACTTGTACTATGCCATTTGGCTTTTGAGAATTGCGGTTCAGAGCTGTGCGAGGTATTTAGTGAGATAAAATACATGCCAAAGCATACAAACAAGAATATTTAGTTAAAAGAGCGAAATCCCCGACCAGCTGACTTGATACTTAGATACATCGCCCCCATAACCGCGTCACCTTTCAGCCATCTTCCTCCTCATCTCGCTAAGGCTTCTTTGGGAGTTGAGACATAGCATAGTATTATAGCAACATGGACTCACCCAGAAACATCTATCGACAAGATGTCGATTTCCGAAGCCTCGCATTGGAGGACCCCGACTTCGCAAAGTTGTGAGTCCCGCCTCCATATTTTATCTCCCCCAGATATACCCCCCCCTCTTGGGCCAAACACAGCCAATGGAAATACAATCAGGCTGAACCTGTCTAGCCTCAAAGTCAACGGCCAATTGGACTTTAACGACCCCGGCGCTGTGAGGTACGATTTAATACCCCCACCCCCCCCCCCCCCCCGGCGTTCCCCATTTTATGCTCTCTCAACGAGACGTCCAAGCTGCTCGCGGCAACGCCTCCAGGGTATTTCCTTGTAACATGAAACAACCCCGACTAACTGGTTACCATCAGGCAGTTGACTAAAAGCCTGCTAAGGCGAGATTTCAAGTTGAATGTGGAGTTATCCGACGATCGGCTGTGTCCGCCAGTGCGTATATACGCTTCTTACTTATCCAAGATGAGCCCCCCTCTTCCGGCTAACAGCGTGATTTCGATATTAGGTCCCTAATCGGTATATATGGCCCTTTTGATTGGTAGACTAAAGTGGAAGGATTTAGATGAAGGGTTGGACTGAAGTATATCTCTAGCTTCAACTACGTCCTCTGGCTACAAGACTTAATTGATACAACGAACGATGATTACAGAGGCGGATATGATCCCGAAAGGGAGGTTATTGGATTAGATATGTATGGTCTTCTATGTTTTTATTGTTATTATACCTAACATTATGCTAATGCGGCTTGTTCTAGAGGAACGGGGGCCAGTTGCATATATCCATTGCTTGCATGTGCCCAGAGGCCGAAATGGATGTTTGTTGCCACGGGTATATTTCTGTCTCTGTGTCTCTTTTCTAGCACAGTTGTCGAATGTTTGCCGATACTGATCCGGGATTAGATATAAACGATAAAAATTTCCAGTACGCCCAAGAGAATGTGAAGAGAAATAATTTGCAATCTCGTATTCGTGTGGTTAAGACCACAGCAGAAGATCCCTTGATAGCTTTGGGGGATAAAGTGCCTTTTGAGAGGTGAGCAGCCGTTTTGAATTTTGTGGCGTCTCACTCAAACGTTCAGACTACAATTCACAATGTGTAATCCGCCGTTTTATGAATCCGAAGAGGAAATGCTTGCCTCGGCTAGTCTGAAGCACCGCCCACCTAATTCGGTATGTCAAGGAAAAACTATTGGTAATTTTGAAAGAATTTCCGCTAAAAAGGCTCCTATAGGCGTGTACCGGAGCACCAGTAGAAATGGTTACGGCGGGCGGGGAGGAAAGTTTCGTACAGAGAATAATTGACGAAAGCCTCAAACTTCGCAACAAAGTTCAATGGTACACATCAATGCTCGGGAAACTGAGCAGTGTCACAAAACTTATCGAGAAGCTGTTGGAAAGTGGTAACCAAAATTGGGCCGTCACGGAGTTCGTGCAGGGGTCGAAAACACGAAGATGGGCAATTGCCTGGTCGTGGAGAGATCTAAGGCCAACAATGGCTGTTGCCAGAAACATTTCCAGTATTCCAAAACACCTCCTCCCTTTTCCCTCTGAATTCACATTTCACCCGGAGTTCGAGTCAATCACGTTCCTCATCCACAAGATTGACGACGAAATGAAGTCTCTTCAAATGCTCTGGAGTTGGGATCAACATGTATCGCGAGGCCTTGGATTTGCAATGGAGAATGTTTGGTCCCGGCAGGCGCGAAGAAAGAGACAGCATCTTATAGTCGAAGGCCAAACGGCGGAAAGTTTATCCAAATCCATCGATGAGAGTAAGGCGGCCCTGGGATTTGCTGTCCTTGTGAAACAAACAGGAATAAAGAACGTAGACGTGATTGTGAGATGGATTAAGGGGTTCGACTCAGTCCTGTTCGAGAGCTTCTGTGGAATGCTAAAAGGAAAGTTGGAACCGCGATAAAAGTTGGCTAAATACGCTCTAGATCCTCTATCGATATGTCAAGGATCCAACTTGATGGCATGCAATGGCATGTGTCCTCTCGCCTATGTAAAGCTAATTCGTGGTGTTTGCTTGCATATAGCCAGGTAAATGATCGAATCTGTACAAAGTAGTGCTGGAATACATTCCAACATTCGATATCCATTATTCCTCATATTTTGGCCTTGTTCGGTTTTTGTCTCTCAATCAGCCCTGTCCGTGGATCAATCCCTTGGAACAGGGTGGCCCCCTTCTCCGGATCTAGCTTTCGCGAAGGATGTCGCCGTGGAACGTCAAGCAGTCCCCAAGTAATTGACCATTTATCATTGGTTTCATCCCAGGTCATTTTCGGCGTTAGAGTGCATACCTTCTTCCATATATTCTCCATGAATTTTCGGGTAATGTTATGAGGCCGGCCTTTTAGATACGTTGCAAACGTAGGGCCTTTTGGCGGGCCGTAGACGATGAACTCAGGTGTAAGCAGGGTATCTTGTTGGTGAGATGCTGGGGTTTTCCTCCGCTTAGGAGCGCTCCACGGTGCCTTCCCAGAAGCTAGGCCTTGAAGGACTTCCCATTCCTGCTCCGGTAGCATTGGAAGAACACTATTCATCAGCGATTGATGCCATTTCCTCCGGATATTCACACGACGTTTGAACGGTGTTGGCCTCCCCCAGCTGTTTGTCTTGGGAATAGGCGGTTCGAACACTTTCACGTTGCGTCGCAGTTTCAGCTCGGAAACTGCTTTCCGTCTGGATTGATCTCTTACCAGTGTTAGAAGGGCACTGGGAGGTTCCCAATCATCGTCGTAGGTTTCGATTTTTTTCTGATCTCCAAGCAATGGGCGCATGAGAAAGTTGCGTCGCTTTCCAATCCTGCCGTACGAGAGGAAGAGCACTCGTTGCAACGACTTTAGATATCCCTGATTGGCACGGTGGAGGAGCGACAAGAGCTTCCGGAATCGTCGGTGCCGATGCAGCTTCTGAATCGGCTTCAGGCCCCGTATTTTGTGCTCGGAGACGCTCTCTCGAAAGCCCGAGCGAATGTAGTTGTGCATGTAGCCTGAAGCGATCGGGTCGGGGAGATATGTGCATTCGCGCAGAAGGGACCGGTAGAGATGCCGCCATGGCGTGGAGCGGGTAGCTAGCACCGAAGGCACAGCCATTGGAGAAAACTCTCCTAGGCCTTGATGCTATTGTATTGGGTGCTGGGGGGGCAAGATCTGTGCCTGTTTCTCTGCTGTCTGTTCGAGAAGGTTGTTCACTTGCTTAGTCAAGCAACGCGAGGAGACGCGATAAAAAAATTGAGTTTCATGGGAAGTTTGCTTTTCGTCCCAATGCCCGGCTCGCGACCCCGCGTGACCCCAGGAGAGAGACAGGAAACAACCGCAAGCAGAATGTCATTGTGCACAGAGTTATTTATTTTTTCTGGAATAGTGCAATAATCTGGCACTGGTTTGCGTGTGTTTGGCTGTGAATGTTCACGTCCACCGGGCTAGCTTTTTGGAGAGTGACTGGGCAATCCATGGCAGAGTAACGTGACCACGCGGTTCTTCTTCATTTGAGCGTCAGCGTCGCGACAGCCTCCCGACTCGACAGCGGTGTGTGCCCTGGCTGTCTGCTGATGGACAATCATCAGCTCTTTTGCACATTATCTGCATCGGCATGCTTCCTACCTATGCTAACTGCTTACAGTTACTGATCCACATGAGTTGATCGCGGAATCTTCCTCTTTCTTTTTCCACCACCCTTTCATTCCCCGGCACTTTGATGGTGCACCCAGCCAATCGAAGGCCACTATTTCCTCTCCATTGGAACACATCGACCCAGAGTCAACTCTCTCTCCGCTCCATCCATGTCGGCTTCGCAGAGCAGTGTCGCTCCGCCAAATGGACCGCCCTTGTCGCGATCGCACCGAACATCCTTTAGTGCCTCTCAGCCTCCGGCCTCCGGCCCAGCCGCTTCGCCTCCTCCGCCAGCCTCGCAACAATCGAACATGTCCGTTAGTTTCTCGAACGGCGGTGGAGGCGGTAGGCTGATGGAAAGCCGCAGCTTCGGAGGCTATGGAGATAATAGTGGACATGGGCTCTATAACGGGAACTACAGACCTCAAATCTACACGGTTGGTTTTATCCTCTATGGGGGGTGTCGCAAGGCATCACTATTCGATAAACCGTGTTGATGGTGGCTAACCATGCTTTTTTTTTCATTTGCGACTTCGATTAGGCTGTTTACTCCAACGTCTCAGTTTATGAAATGGAAGTCAACGGCGTTGCGGTAATGCGACGACGGTCTGATTCGTGGTTGAATGCGACGCAGATCCTCAAAGTCGCAGGTGTTGTTAAGGCACGACGTACGAAAACCTTGGAAAAAGAGGTTGTGTCCGGCGAGCATGAGAAGGTTCAGGGCGGCTATGGAAAATATCAAGGTACCTGGGTTAGCTATCAGAGGGGGGTGGAGCTTTGCCGGCGATACCATGTGGAAGATCTTTTACGCCCGCTGCTTGAATATGACATGGGTCAGGATGGTGTAAGCCAAGCGGGACAGGGCGCGATCGACACTCCAACAAAAGAGCAAGCTATGGCGGCTCAGAGAAAACGACTCTACTATGGCATGGATAGCCAGGGCTCCTCGTCCCATGGCACGTTCTTCCAGAGTATTTCGCGCACAGCGGCCAGTGCTGTGAGTGCTATCAATAAGGCACGATTCGACTCTCCAGCCAGCCGAGGTCCCGATTCTCGACAACCTAGCGCGATGAGAAGGTCATCACAGATGAGTAGCCAAGAATCACACATTCCCCTTGGTAGCCAGCAGAGTATGTACAGCGTTGCGTCTGATAGTGGCTTCGCAAGCAACATGCAGCCTAGTCAGCGGAGCATGATAGATCATGGAGAAGAAACCCAAGAACCTCCGCGAAAACGAATGCGCTCGTGCTCGTCCTTACAACCACGGTCATTCAATGCTTCTATGAACGATCCGACGCCGACTGAGCCAAGTGAATCGTTCTACGAGCAGATTGAAGCCCAAACCGATGGTGCTAGCGATTATGCTCACGGCCTGAAACCTTTACCGGCGGCCACTACCCCAGAGAGATATCAGAAGATGAAGCTTATCATGACCCTATTTCTGGACAAACGCGCAAAGGATTTCTCTACTCATCCTGCCTTCCTTACGTTGTCTAGCGAAGATCTGGAAATCCCACTTGATGAATATCTTAACAGCGCCCTACACTGGGCTGCTATGCTTGCTCGTATGCCATTGCTCCACGCTCTGGTTGCCAAAGGAGTCAGCATACATCGACTTAACGCTGCCGGTGAGACGGCGCTTCAAAAGGCCGTCGGCACGAGAAACAATCTTGACTATCGGACATTTTCAAAACTCTTACAAGTGCTTGCTCCCACCATCGAAATAATTGACCATCATGGACGGACGGTCTTGCATCATATTGCGATGATGGCTGCAACAGGAGGTGATGGGCATGTTGCTGCAAAGCACTATTTGGAATGTCTCCTTGAATTTATAGTACGTCATGGAGGTCCCTCCAATAGCCAGCAAAGTACTGTGAACGGTGCCAATAATGTTTTGGGCCCCCAGAGCATGGAGATAATAGGTCTAGGGAGGTTCATGTCCGATATGGTAAACATCCAGGATGATAAAGGGGACACTGCATTAAATCTTGCTGGAAGGGCTCGCACTATTCTTGTTCCCCAGCTTCTGGAAGTTGGCGCAAGTCCTCATATACCTAACCACACTGGGCTTAGGCCCGCCGACTATGGAGTTGGTGTGGATATGGTTAATAGTGGTGGACAGGGCCAGCTGAACGGTGATGCAAACGATTCTTTCAGTAACCAACTCGCAAGAACAAAAAAGGATATTCTCAACTGTAAGTCCACTGCACTCTCCATGCACGTTTGAACTGTTGATTAACTTGGGTCACAGCCACTATTGTGCAGATAACCTCTGCCATCGAGGAATCCTTCAGTATGGTTGATAAAGATCTGTCCGATGACCTGAGCCAGAAGCAACAGGAGTTTGACCACTGGCACGCGAAGATACGCGAAAGCGCAAGACTTCGGCAAATAGAGCAAAACGAATTAGACGAGATAAAGCGAAGAGCCCGTGAACGCGTCGAACTTCAGAGACAGACACGGAACCTCGAACAATCGGCGGATGAGCTCGCTGCAACGTTAAAGGAAATGCAGGCCGTGGACGCGAGTGATGGAAATGCTGGTGGCAATTCGAAGAGAAAAGCTATATTTGATGCTGACAGGTTCTACGCGTTATTTCCTGACACGTTTGATCCTTCAAGCGAGCTCTCCGACGAACAAAAGTCGTACCTACTGGAGCAACCTTCGCCTGACCAACTCCAAACACTTCTCGAAGCCTACGAAGAACATAATAAAAGCATTAATGAAGAAATCGAGGTCCTCAAGTCTAAAAACGTTGTTCTTGGTGAACAGTACCGGCGCATGGTCATGGCGTGTACAGGATGGTCTGCTGAGCAAGTGGATGCGGCTGCGGAGGGGTTGATGGAGTGCGTGAAGGATTTGAATCAAGACCCTATGTCGGAAGAAATGGCGCTCGAGATTCTTATGCAGGACCGTGGCCAAGATTGGTGAAGTCATGCATGATCGTCTCATTCTGCTACTATTACCCCAGAAAATCAGAATCGACGTGCGACACGTCGGTGCTCGCCCGATTCTACGCGCGCGTGCACACACAGTATTTTTTTTTCGAGCTTTAAGTGCTTTGATATCCTGATTTGCTTTCTTCTCGTTTGTACGGCAATTACCTGTGAATAATTTTTTTTTTTTTTTGTGGTCTGCTTCTCCTCGATGCAAGTGCCTTTCTTTTGTGTCCGCAGGCTTGGTCTCCCTCCCTGCTGTTATGATGGAAACGAACATAAGTTTACTTTTGAGTGTCCGGTCTCTCCCATGCTGTTGGGCTAACTGTACGGGGTATTGAACAAAATAATTGAGTTGCTCAGGAACTCGTCGGCGTGTCAGGGCGAGAAGTGTATATACCTCATGCACGAAGTCCTATTCAACTAAATACTTGGGCTAAAAAACAGGCGCATCTTCGATCTAATTCTGAAAGTTAGCGATTTGCAGGCTGTTTAATCTATCGACGTTGAAGATACTATGTCCCGCGAATCTATGATGAAAAATGGTGATCAAGTTACTGCAAATTTTGTTCTCGATTGTGACAACACTGCAGCAGTGAGCAACCGAAAAAAAGTATGAAACATAACCATTTGACCGAATACCTCAGTTCACACATATCTTGGAAAAAGGCTCGTGCGAAACTGCGTAGGAAAACCTATGACTCCGACATGCTTATTCTGCTTGGTGCCCGCCGGGCAAGACGCGGTTGCGCAGAGAGGTCCACCGGAAAAGCTTGACTCCGAAGCCAAGAAACCAATCGTGGGCTCTGGTTGGCTCCTTGCTCTGGCTTGCGGCGGTTAGTCAGCCACTGGTGTGTCTTGGCGCTGCTGCACCGCCCGGTGCCCCAGCCACGAGAACGCCTGAAACACGAGCCGAGAAGCACCCCACCGAGGAAGGAGACACCCCGTGCGTGAGCGGGATGGACACTTGGGAAGGAGCAAGCTCCCTTCTCCTCCGCTTGGGAGCCACAATTCCACGCACCACGCGGGGAAAGGTGTCATCATCCACACCGGCGGGCGAGTGACTTGGTCCGCGTCTTAAGGTCTTCCCGCACTCATCCTAGAGCGACAACTTCAGACGTTGTTTTCGGTTTCTTTTGTTGAATACAACGTGTCCCTGTTTTATGTTTTATCTGACGTCGGTTGCTTGAAACATTCGTTCAACATGTCTGGCTACTATGGTGGTCCGCCACCGCCGCCGCCGCCGGGCCAGCAGGGATACAACCAACCGCCTCCCGGTTATGGCCAAGAGCAGTATGGCCAGCAGCCTCCATATGAGCAGTACGGCCAGTATCCGCAGAATCCGGGTGCTCAGGGATATTATGGCCAGCAGCAGCAGCCGCCGCCGCAGGTTAGTTACTTTCCCCCACAAGAAGGAATAGTTGGTTATCGTTAACACATCCCCGTTTCATGTAGCCGTACGGCGCCCATCCTCCCCCGCAACAGCCCGGCTACGACAACCGTGGCCAGATGTACAACGCGTATCCTCAGCAGGGAGGAGAAAATACGTCCTATTACAGCCAGCCGTATCCTGGAGGACAACAGGCGCCGTACGGTGGTGGCCCGCCTGGTCCTCCCGGCCCTCCCGGTGGTCCCGAAGGTGAGAAGGGGTTAGGTTCCACGCTTCTCGGGGGTGCAGCCGGTGGGTTCGCCGGCCACAAGCTGGGTGGCGGAACACTGGGGGCTCTGGGCGGCGCAGTTTTGGGTGCTGCTGGTGCGAATCTCGTTGGGCATGCTGCCAAGAAGTAAGTGTATCCAGTTTTCATAAAATGTTCTCCGGAAGCGTTGTTGGGAGATTCCCTGAGAGCCGGGCTAATTTCCTTTCTTTTCTTTTTTAACTTTTTTTTTTCTAGGCACAAAAAGAAGAAGAAGGACAAGCATAAGCACAAGCATAAGCATAAGCGAGGAGGGAGCAGCTCTAGTAGCTCAAGCAGCTCAAGCAGCTCGAGCAGTGACAGTGACTAGACTAACTGGTCTAGCTTATGGTTCTTTTCCTTTGTGGTTTGTTGCCCTCTCTTTGGCTTGGTCTCATTATTATTAACAACCGATTCCGGTTTGTCTGTATATGGATGTACATATGAACTTCTTCGTCCCTGTACCTACATTCCGCTCAATGTATCATGATTCTCGAACATTATCGCATTTTTGCTGGATAACCCGAAATTTAGCGAGCTGGCGCCACATGGTCATACATACGGACCCGCTTCTCGACCCTGCTGCCTGTACTTTGGCTTGATGCCCATTTTACTTTTGTACGGGAAGTTCTCGTTGCATGTGGAACATGAGATGTGGGCCGACCTAGCCATCAAAATCCGAACTGTGCTCTACCGTTGGGCCGATGTTTCCCAGGGTATCACGGCGCTATTCTTATGTCTATCCAGCATTGTTTCAGCGGACCCGTGAGCTAGGATCGCGATGACATTGGGCTCCTCCAGCTTGGTTAGTGGTTGACAGCCTGAGATCTAAAAGGTACTGCACAGCACCCACAACTAGAACTTATTCTCCTACAACTAACTTTCGATATATTTTACCGCCATGACCATTGATTCGCAAGTCGCTGGGCCGTTGGAAGGTATACATACGAAAAAGACTGCGACGCGCGTACCTTCTATAATAACTTCTTCCAAATACTCTGGAGCCCATGGTGGGAGGTTCCCAAGGTGCGCGCGAGGATCCCTGTAAGCTTCTAAACGGATAACCCGAAAGCTGCATGACGGACGATCAGAGCGACAATCTCATCAGGCGGTGGATCTCCCCGATAATTTTACCTTGGGTTTGTTTGTGCGTGGCAGTGCATCAACGGCTTCTTCCTTTCTGCACCCTTACGACTGTTTTTCCTTTTTTTTCCTTTTTTTTTTTTTTTTCTCCCTGCCATGCCCCGCGAGCTTTGTGTGTATGCAGCGACAAGAAAGTTTGGATGGACGGTGATTTGTTTGCATCGCGCTCGTCTCCTATTGTGTCTTGGCACGCTCCGATTGACCAGAGAGTTAGCGTCCGACGAGCTTGGCGGACCGCCAAGACTCAGCCGCCGCCCCAATCGCTCGACTTTCCGATAGAATGGCGGAAAGCAGAAGGGATCATCATTCTCAGCGACGCCTGGCCACCATTAAGCTTAACACTTTGAAGGATGATGATGAATTTCGGCCCTGAAGGGTATTCAGGGATACCCCAGGCGGTGAATGGGACGCGTGCATGAATGGGGCTTTATGGGATCTTAAAAAGGGGGGGGGGGGGGGGCGGACCGAAGCCTTATGATAGCTTCTGGCAAAAATTTTTTTCTAGCACCATAAGGAGTCCTTTGTCCCCTCACCATAATGGACGGCAGAGAAGGCATCAGCACTTCCATCCCAGCTTTGTTATGGAAATAGAGGCCAAGAATTGTCCCAAAGCTGCCGGCGCTGGCGGTGTCACCTTACGATATTCCTTCTCTTATGGATCGGCCTGCAACCAGTCTCGCGAACTCTGATAAGCTCGCGGCGGAGGAACCCAGTTTTTTTTTTTGCCCAGGGCTTGGCCGCTTGAAGACATCCACAAAAACAGAGCAAGACTTAACTCGAAACAGCGACGCCCTACCAATAAGCTTCCGGCATTGGCATGTCTGTGCGGGCCCTCGACGGTTGGGTCCGCCGCTGCTCATTTTCGAGACAGCCTCGTGGGTCATATGGAGCAGTTGGCTGATGCGCACACCAAAACACAGATTGTTTTCTTGACCGGGAAAACTCTCTAGGCAAGGTAATGGACGGTGATTATGTTCCCAGTCCCTGCAGGGGGGAAACAATAGCGAGAAACGATGCCGCGACATCGGTCACATATATATATATATATATATATATATAAATTAGACTCGGGCGACCACAGTCGAACCATCTCAGCCTGATCGTCAATGATCTCTGAGCACCACCGCAGGAGCTGAAGAATGTCTTTCGAAAAAAACTTTATTACCTTTGACCAACCTCCGCCATCCTCAACCACGGACAGGCCGCCTGGAGATGTTGAGCGTGGTGTGTCAAGAGCCCTTGGGGCCACAGACGAACTGCCTGCAATCTCTGCCTATTCTTCCTTTACTGCAGTTGACGATTTGGAGTCCGTATCGGATTTCTCGATACGAACAAGAGCCGCACGATACTTCCAGGAGCAAGTCGATACCGAAAGAAGCGATCTTCTCCTTATTGCTTGCTCGTTTATCTCCGGGGTAATTGACAGCGCAGCCTTCAATGCTTGGGGAAGCTTTGCCAGCATGCAGACTGGTATGGTCTTCCTCCCCAAGATCCGTCATTTATTCATTCCTCCACAACATCGGAAGGTGCATGGTTGGATGTAGCCTGGCTCCTTGGATGGTATTCTCACCTTTGCACTGTACATCGCAGGGAATGTCGTGTTTCTCGCCCTCGGAGTATCTGGACAGCCACCCGAACCGCGATTTCGATGGGCTAAATCGCTCATCGCAATCGCAACGTTCATATCCGCAGTCCTATTCTTCACGCATGCCTCGAGACTCCTCGGTCCGCTTCGCCGCTCGACCCTGCTCGCATCCTTCATGCTTCAGACCGGCAGCATACTAGCATCCAGCATCCTCGTGGAGACGGGGATAATCGACTCCGAGATCTCATCCTCAATCCATGGCGTCCACTGGCTTCAAATGGTCCCGATTACCCTCCTCGCGTTCCAGGCTGCCGGCCAAATCGTGACGTCGCGCATGGTGCAAGTCGAAGAAATACCCACGGTGGTGCTGACGACGGTCCTTGCGGATCTATTTATCGATCCTCGCCTGCTCGCGAAGACGAATCTAGTGCGGAACCGCCGTGGAGCTACGGTGTTGGCGTTGTTCGGCGGTGCGATGCTGTCCGGCGCGCTGACCAAGGCCATAGGTTTGTCCTGTTCATTGTGGCTGGCGGCGGGGATAAAGGGCGTTATAACCATCTGCTGGGCCTTGTGGAGGCCAAAGGCTAATGTGGCTGGGTCCAGGAGGTGTTGGCCTTGATGTTGGTGTTAGTCTCGGGTGCCTTTTTTTTCTTTCTTTTCTTTTCTTTTCTTTTCTTTTCTTTTTTTTTTTAAAAAAACCATGGCACCGTTGGTGCTTTCAGCTTAAAAATCTCAGGATGGCATTTGGACATGCGACTTTCGGCGTTTTAATATGTAGGATATGCATTGCACGGTTCGGGCATCTTTTTGTAACGTTTGCTCTAATGTATTTCCGTTTATGAGCTCAACATGACGAAGCGATGCGTTCATCGGTTGGGTTTTGGGTCCCCCCCACCCCCCCCCAAATTCTGGGTTTCCCGGGTCATTGAATCTCGAACCTCGGAGCGAATCGGGTTGCGCCCCGTAGATCCCCCTGCCAAAAAGCCCCATCCCAACCGGTAAGAATCGAGATTGCATCGGCGGCCAATCTAGCCCCCGTGAGATCTATAAATAAGTGTTTAGGTCGTTTCTGCATCCCGAATAAACCCCCTCCGATATACTAGACCATTCTGGACTCTTATGGGTGTGTCTCGCTGAGATCCATGTATAACATTTGGTATGTATGTATGTATGTTAGCAATTGGGCTGTGCTCGTACCCTGGGGGTTGGGGAGGCTAAGTGTTGTACCTTGACTGGCTCTGGTCAGAAGATCACGCACCCAGGTCTAAGTGGTACAATGGGTACTCCTGCGAATGGAAAGGTATTATCATTACAATGATGTGACAGTAAAGAGGTATCACGCATCAACTAATGAGGATGTAACAGGGGAAAGTAGATGACATGATACGGAGGTATAAGCCAGGCAAAATCGCATTATTATCTCTCTCTCTATTGACAGCAATTTGAGTAGCTATGAGTAGATCTCAACTAATGAGCTAGAACTAAATGCCTCAAACCACCGTCCATCAGAAATTCCGTGCCAGTTGTAAAGGTGGCATCGAATCCCAAGAAAGCTACCGCCTTGGCGACCTCCTCCGGCCTTGCGATCCTTGCTAAGGGAGTTGACTGTCGTCCCAGGTCCGCAAAGGCCGCAACAGCTTCCTTAGGAGCATCGACGACGCCGAGTGTCGGCGTGTCGACGAATCCCGGGCTGACGCAGTTCACCCTGATACCCTCCTTGCCATCCTTGCCTCTAGCCAGCTCCGCAGCGAGGGTCTGCACAAAGGAATAGATGGCAGCTTTCGAGGCGGAGTAAACCGCCATACCGGGGTGGCCCTGATCCACGGAGACGCTGGTGGTGAAAACAATGGCCCCGCCGGGCCGCATGTGCGGAATCATCCGTTTCGCGAGGAAGATGGGACCTCGGGTGTTGGTGTTGAAGTGCCTGTCGAATAGGTCTTCGGTCATCTCACTGACGGGGGAGAGGTTTGCGTAGCCGACGTTGAGGAAGAGAAGGTCGATGACTTCTCCGGAGCCCAGGTGTTGCTCCGCAAGCCGCTCGAGATTCGCATGTGCGTCAAGGGAGGTTATGTCCGATTGCAAAACGAGGGCGGCAGCGCCGAGCTCCTGCTTCGCGGCAGCCACAGGTTCTCGACGGCGGCCAGTAACGACGACTTTAGCACCGTGGGACAGGAAGAGTTTCGCAGTTGCAAGGCCGATGCCTTGGGTACCTCCAATTATGACAACATTTTTCCCTGTATACGCGGCCATGGCCCTTTTTTTTTTTTTTTTTTTTTTTGTTTTGGGTCTTTTTTTCTCACTTGTGAAAGGTTTTAAGAGAGAATTAATGCCTCTGCTAGTACTATGGATTGTACTTCTTAAAAGGTCATGAAGATGATATGCGAATGTGTGAGAGAAAGTAGTAGTTGATACTGGGTATCAACGGCGATTAAATACCTTCGAGGGAGACATAATGACCGCTGAAACGGCCTCCTCGACCCCTATGAAGCCTGCATGTTGATTTCTAATCCTCAAGTGCTTCTTGAGCTGTGCTTCACCGTGAATACGAAGCCAGCGAGATATCTCTGGCGATGCAAACACCTAGCTGCCAGCTGGCGGAGGGAAACCCGTCCCCAGTTTGCCTTGTTTGCACGGGTTTGATTTCTCAGCAGGTGGACCTTGCAAACACGCCAAGCTCAACCTCACGTGATGCAATTGCCTGTCCGCTGAGGTCAAACCTGATTAAGCGCCACGGCGGCTCTTGAACAAGCAGAGAGAGTGAATGATGACGAGACGAAGGGTATCATGATCAGCTCAGCCACTGTCTCTGGGTTTAAGATCAAGATGGCCTCATCGCAAATGTAATCCTGACAGCTTTGGTATGAAAAATAATCCAGGTGGTTATGTGAAGGATGATGAAGCCACCCTCAAGCGACCGCGCTGGAGTCCATAGAACTGATGTGTTCGCGGACGCTAGCGCATGGAAACAGAGTTCCCTGGATCCTGGACAAAAAGATGATGATGATGATGATGATGTTTGTTATCTTTCTGCAGGCGGACCAGGGCGGTGAAAGAAGATTGGGCTTGCTTTTTGACTGGGGGAGGGAGGGGGAAGGGGGATCTGCATGCATGAAAGACAAAATGATAACAAAGATAAGTGATAAAAAATTCCGGGGGATAAGGAAATGCCACACCAGATCAGCGACAACGCAGGGCCATATTTATGGGTTACATATGTATGGGAAGTCTGTCAACAATTTAAGCCAGGACTGAGTCTAGAACGGAGATGCCACAGTTGGGCCTGTCCTGTGGACGAGTGCCTGATTTGCTCACAAACGGCGAGCGCAGGAGGCTGAAACCGGGCTTCACATGTTTGGCAGCCCCTGGGCCGCGATTGACGGGACATACGACAGGAGCAATGTACTGTACCGTATGTACCAATCTCTCCGGGGCTGAGGGCAGCCCTATTGCAAGGATCTACGGGGCAGGGTCCCATGCAAGCAGTATCTTTTTGGGTACTAGTACGTAACAGCGGCGTACCTCGCCTCAGAGAACGGCGGAGGAGGAAAAAAAAAAAAAAAAAAAAAAAATTATTGGGGAGGAGGGGGAATTTTCTCGGAAGGTTGGGGCTGGAGCCGGTCCGGGGGGCGAATCGAGAAGGTTTCGTCAGCGGTTCGACCAGGTAAGATGGGAACGAAGGCGCTGCTTCCCACGGCTCCAAGCGAGTCGAGCGGTACCTGGCTGCCTTGTACCGGGACTTGCGCAGAATGTTCCTTCCCCTCCGGCGGCCAGTCAAAATTTCCGAGCTCGACGCGTGCAGGCAAGGGACAGTGCGATCGTGTCCTGGTTGAGTGAGAGCTGGCTCTTTCCCTCCCAACAAGCCCCTTGAAGCAGGTAATTACCGTTACAGGTCGTTCACGTCACCACTGGCGAGGCACTGCGCTGGCCCAATCAGCGGCCCGCCATCTGCCTGACTCAGCGTCTGGAAATTACCGCGTGCTGATGTAATTGTGAAGTGGCCAATGAGCGGGCCCCGATTAGGCCCCTTGTTGCCGGTGCGCCAAACCGACTTTGGTCTAGTGCCCACTGATAACCAGCTATCGCTGGCGGCGGACCCACCCTGGCGGCCAAAAATTCTGAATTTTTGATTTTTTTTTTTTGGCACAAAAAAAAAAAAAAAAAAGAAAAATTGGAATCGCTTGGTTGAGTGCTCTCCGCCATATAAAATCCCTTTGCGCACTCCACCTTCAGAGTTTTTCTTTCTTCCTCTCTTCTCTCTTCATCTCCACTCTGTCTTTTCCACTCTCTCTTTCTTGTTCTCCTTTTCCTATCTCTTATAGATTCTTCTTCTGCATTTCCTTTGCAAAACACAGGAATAGAGATCTAGAGAACCATAGAAGTCCGGCTTTTTCTTTCTTCGCTATCACTTCGGCGACGCGAGTTGCTCTGAAGAGAGAAGAAAAAAGTTTTCCTTGCGATCAGAGAAAAAGATACCCAGCCCTTTTTTTTTCTTTTATTTAATCTAATATCCCTTTTATTTCTTTCAAAAAAAAGTTTTCGACTTCTTTCAAAAATGCCTGCTGTCGATTCCGTCAACGAATCCGCCCAGTCGGTCACCGTCCTCGAGGAACTCCTCAAGTCTCTCTCCGTCTCAAAGAACGAGGCTGAGACCAGAGCTGCGGCTAACAATATCGCCTCTCTTTTGAACGGCCCTACAGATGAACAGGCTCTTCCAGTCAAGTAAGTAATTTGTTTGCTTTTCTTTCTTTTTGGGTCCCCCGTCTTTCCAGCCGGTCCTGACCATCTTCATCGTAGGGCTGTCGAGTCCCTCAAAAAGCAGCTGGCCAACAAGAAAGATGCTACTGCCCGCGAAAAGGCCCTCGATGCCATCTTGGCCATCGCCAACCACTCCACAGTTTCTCCCGCTGTCGAGCCATACCTCCTCTCTCTCCTTGGTCCTACCTTGGTGGCCGTCAGCGACAAGATGACATCTGTCAAGAACCTTGCCCAGAGCGCTGCCATCGCCATCGTCAAGTCCATCAACCCCAACGCCGTCAAGGCTGCTCTTCCTGCCATCATCAACTCTCTTCAGAACGCTCTCAAGTGGGCTGAGAAGATCACCGCCCTTCAGTGCATCGAGTCTCTCGTCGAGACTGCCCCCGTTCAGCTCTCCTACCGTGTGCCAGACTTGATCCCAGTCGTCTCCGAGTCGATGTGGGATACCAAGCCCGAAGTTAAGAAGGCGGCTTACGGCACGATGGAGAAGGTCTGCGGCCTTATCGTCAACAAAGATATCGAGCGATTCATTCCCGAGCTCATCAAGTGTATCTCCAAGCCAGAGAACGTCCCAGAGACCGTTCACCTGTTGGGTGCCACTACTTTCGTCACTGACGTGCATGAGCCCACTCTTGCTATCATGGTTCCTCTGCTCGATCGTGGTCTCGCTGAGCGTGAGACTGCCATCAAGCGTAAATCCGCCGTCATTGTCGACAACATGTGCAAGCTCGTCGAGGATCCCCAGATCGTCGCTGCTTTCTTGCCCAAGCTCATGCCCGCTCTCAACAAGAACTTCGATACCCTTGCCGATCCCGAGGCTCGTGGAAAGACCAAGCAGGCTCTCGACACCTTGATCCGTGTTGGTGATGTCAAGGATGGCAAGATCCCCGAGGTTTCTACTGCCGGTGATATCGCCACCGTCTCCGCTATCTTGAAGGAGATCCTCGAGCCTCAGCACAAGGCCTCTATCCCCAAGTTCCAAGCTACTATCGAATACATTGCTGCCATCGCTGGTCAGCTCATTGACGAGAAGGTTTCTGATGTCGCCAGCTGGACTGAGAACACCCTTGCCTACCTCGGTGCCATCGTCGGTGAGGATTCTGCCAAGCCGATCGCCGAGACTCTCCGCAAGCGTGCCTCTCCCGGTGCCGCCGAGGAGGTCGAGGTTGAGGAAGACGAAGAGGAGGGCGAAGACCTCTGCAACTGCACATTCAACTTGGCCTACGGTGCCAAGATCCTCCTTAACCAAACCCACCTCCGCCTCAAGCGCGGCCAGCGCTACGGTCTTCTGGGCCCCAACGGTTCCGGAAAATCCACTCTCATGCGCGCCATCAACAACGAACAGGTTGAGGGTTTCCCCAAGAAGGATGAAGTGAAGACTGTGTTCGTCGAGCACGACCTCGATGCCGCCGACACCGAGCAGACCGTCATTGGCTGGACTCAGAAGAAGCTTGCCGACGTCGGCATCACTACCCCTCGCGAAGAGATCGAGGCCAAGCTGCTCGAGTTCGGTTTCCTCCAAGAGCAATTCGAGAACCCCATCACTTCTCTTTCCGGCGGTTGGAAGATGAAGCTCGCTCTTGCCCGTGCTGTGTTCGAGAGCCCTGACATCCTGCTCCTCGACGAACCCACCAACCATCTCGACGTGAAGAACGTTGCCTGGCTCGAACAGTACCTCATCAACTCGCCTTGCACGTCCATCATCGTCTCTCACGACAGTGGATTCCTGAACAACGTCATCCAGCACGTCATCCACTACGAGCGCTTCAAGCTCCGCCGCTACCGCGGTAACCTCACCGAATTCGTCAAGAAGCTCCCCTCTGCCCGATCTTACTTCGATCTCGATGCCTCCGAGATGGAGTTCAAGTTCCCCGAGCCCGGCTTCCTCGAAGGTGTCAAGACAAAGGCCAAAGCCATCGTCCGTGTGACAAACATGTCGTTCCAATACCCCGGAACGTCCAAGCCCCAACTCACGGACATCACCTTCCAGTGCTCTCTCGGTTCCCGGATTGCCGTCATCGGTCCCAACGGTGCCGGTAAATCCACCCTGGTCAATATCTTGACTGGTGAACTCATCCCAACCTCTGGTGACATTTACCAGCATGAGAACATTCGTATCGCGTACATCAAGCAGCACGCGTTCGCGCATATCGATAACCATTTGGACAAGACCCCCTCCGAATACATCCAATGGCGTTTCCAGACTGGTGAGGACCGTGAAACCATGGACCGAGCCAACAAGATCGTCACGGAAGAGGACGAGAAGGCCATGGACAAGATCTACAAGATCGAAGGCTCTTCTCGTCGCATCATCGGTATCCACGCGCGCCGCAAGTTCAAGAACTCGTACGAGTACGAATGTTCTTTCACCCTCGGCGAGAACATTGGCCAGAAGAATGAGAAATGGACCCCAATGATGACCGCTGACAACGCCTGGATTCCACGCACGGAACTTCTCGCTACCCACGCCAAGATGGTGGCTGAAGTCGATCAGAAGGAAGCCCTCGCCAGCGGTCAGTTCCGTCCCCTTATCCGCAAGGAAATCGAGGCTCACTGTGCCAATTTCGGTCTCGATGCTGAGCTGGTTTCTCACTCCCGCATGCGCGGTTTGTCCGGCGGTCAGCGTGTCAAGGTCGTCCTTGCTGCCTGCTCTTGGCAGCGTCCTCACTTGATCGTCCTTGACGAGCCGACCAACTACCTGGACCGTGACTCCCTTGGTGCCCTGTCAAAGGCTCTCAAGAGCTTCGAGGGTGGTGTGATCATCATCACCCACTCCAAGGAGTTCACAGAGAACCTCACCAGCGAGGTCTGGGCGGTATTGGACGGAAAGATGACCCCATCCGGTCACAACTGGGTGCAAGGTCAGGGGTCTGGTCCTCGTCTCACGGAGAAAGACGACGACGAGGAGAAGTTCGACGCCATGGGCAACAAGATCGTGGGTGGTGGCAAGAAGAAGAAGCTCACTTCTTCTGAGCTCCGTAAGAAGAAGAAGGAGAGAATGGCTCGGTAAGTCTCATATCCTTTTCTCTCCCCCCCATCTACCTATTCGACAGATTAGACTAACTGTTTATGCCTATAGACGCAAGCGTGGCGAGGAAGTTTTCTCCGATGAGGATGATTTTTAATTGTCTTTGTCGACAGCTTTTTCTTTTCCTTTGATAATGATTCGGTTTTCTTTCCCTTGGGTTTACTGGCCCATTTTCCATTTTTTGCATTTCTTTTCGGATAGATAACCCACACTAGACAGTTGTCTTTCTGGAGGTCATTTTGAACGTCTTCTGTTTTCCATGTTGCGATGTTTACGACTTTCCTTTGCAATATTTTGGCGTTGGATGGAAAAGGCTTATTGATTTCCAAGGTTAATACCAGTTCGCCTGTCATGTTCATGTTAATTCCTACGGATAGACCAAAATTAGATTTCTGTCTTGGTTCTCTTAAAAGGATTATTATTTCTATTTCACCTCTAGCCATACACTTGAAGCAATGCCCACACGGTCATAAAAAGATGAAAGCATCATAAAAAGGAGGGACGGATATCGAAAAGCACTTTCAATCATAGGAGGTGGACTTGTCTTCTGTAATCCTGCACATTGCTTCAATGTTCAACCAGCCAGCAGCAAAGCCGCTCAAGTAATTAACGTAATCTAAACCCCCCCCGAGCGAGATACCAAAATATACATACAAATCTCAACTTTTTGCTCTCTTATATCTTAACAAGTTTATGTCTGATCATTATAAAATGAAGAAGGTACTCCGTACTATGATACAGATAAAATAAACTTTGTAAATTATAAGAATTACCTAAATATAATAATTAGTTAGTTAACTAGTTAAATAGTTAGTTATTTTTTAAGTTAATTAGTTAAGAGATGCGTGGGCTACCTAGTATGGGTCACGTGAGTGAGGGGCTGTCCGATATTTTTGTCTTATCGCAGCGTGGGGTTTTGCACGAAGAGACGGACAGGAGACTGCTGCCCGCACGTGAGTAGGTTTTCTGATCTATATTGCATGGGATGGGATAGGAAGTTCCGGATACATAAGTAGCCTGATTCACAATGCCGTCTCCGTCAGAGAATTCTCTTCCACCCTCATTTGATACCCTCTATGCTTTTTGCCCCTCGTCCACGCAGCCATCGGGGTACGATTCTTTGCGCCTGACTGAGCAAGAATGTCTGGGTACTCTGAGATCACCGGTGGCGCAGAGGATATTTGGACATGAGGGTCTCGGCGATGCATCACTGCTTGCCGATGTGAGAAATGGAAGCGTCTCTTTTACAGACTTTGTTGGGAGGAATGTGCATGCGCTTCTTTCCGGAGAGGCTGAGAGTGCGGATATCGTGCGCTCGAGGTTGGTGCATGTCGGATATGCCTCGCTGCTGGCGTTTTTGCAGTCTAATGTTACCGGCCCGCCGTTGTCGTTTCGTCCTGGCGATGTTGTGCTTCCGTCGGGATTGACGAGTGGTGAGCAGGGTGCCGAGGTGCGGAGCGTGCTGCGCAGACTTCGGGATGTCATGATTCGAGGATTATCTGTGGATGGTGAGGCGGCGTATAAACTCACACCAAACGTGGAGCTATTCTGTGTTGCAAAGGCTATTTTTACGAGTGAGAAGCTGTTTGAGGTGCGAGAAAGTGGGCAGGAAGTGCCGGTGACGGCGTTGACAGCTAGGATGAGGGTAAATTTTCTGCATCAGAAGATGCTATCTGAGAATACGGATACTTTGCAGATTGTCATCTACGAGGATTTAGATGCTATCGCTAAGCGTATTTTTGGCGAATCTTCAGTTACTACCGCAGAGCAGAAAATGAGGTACCTTTTGGAACGAGCTGCAATACATACGCATCATGGCCTTGACTCGCAAGCAAGAGCGGATTTGGAGCATGCAGCGCGAGAAAATGGCTTTGAATTTGCGCTGACGGGGAGGTTGGGGAAGAGGACAAAATTTCAGGACCGGGATATAAGTCAATTGGTGGTGTTAGCGAAGAGCAGGTCTCTGGATACCGGTGCAACGTCCAGGGAAGTAAAACCTGGAAGTAGTGTGGCGCCCTCAGGGCCGAAGAATCTGGATTTGAATGATGATACCCTTTTAGAAGCCATCTCGTTTAAACGAGATGATGGAGATCAGAAGTCTGGGGAGAATGCTACGACGGTCCAGGAAGAATCTGCATTACCGCAGTCCCTGGCGGAACTGGATCCATCTGAACAACCGAAATTGGACCCCCTTGATTCTATCGTCCTCCTTGCTCTTGCTTCAGCTATCACAAATACCAACCCAGAAGATGGTTTGACCAGAGAAGAAACTCTGCCGTACGCTACTCGTGTACTTGACGGTGGAAGTTCCAACTGGCAAGTCTACTCTCAGGCCTTGCTCGTTAGAAGCAGGATTGAAGGTTATAGATCCCGTACTGTGGAACGTGGAGTTCTCCAGTTACAAGCTCTCGTCGATCAAGTCATCGCCGATACCGCAAGTGATTCTATTACCACAGAGGAAGAGCAGGCCCATACCTTCCTTCCAAGGCCAGACGCTTCCGAATCAGCTCCTGCAAGTGAACGCTTAGAGTATATCTGGGTTCTTAGTTTCGTGACGAGATGGGATCTGGAAGCGGAACTAGCAGCCAGGTGGGTCAACCTGGGAGGTTTAAGAACCGCTCTGGACATCTATGAACGATTACAAATGTGGGCGGAAGCAGCACTATGCTATGCAGCCACCGATAGAGAGGATAAGGCGAAGCTTATTGTTAGGAGACAGCTCTTTGAGCCGTCAACTCCCGGTGGCGAGAATGACGAAGATGAGAGGTTTGAAGGGCCGGAACGCTCTCCATTACCAGTGGATGCGCCGAGATTATTCTGCATCTTGGGTGATGTCAATAAAGACTATACCATGTTCGAACGGGCATGGGCGGTGTCAAAGCAGAGATATGCCCGTGCCCAACGGGCGTTGGCGCGATATTACCTTGGCCAGAAACCACCAAAATATGAAAAAGCAGAAGAAGCATACAAGCTCAGCTTGAAGATCAGTCGATTGAACCACGCGGCATGGTTCTCTCTCGGCTGCATTCAACTTGAATTAGAGAAGTGGCGGGATGCGGTGGCGTCGTTCACAAGGACGGTCCAACTTGAAGAATCGGATGCTGAGGCATGGAGCAACCTTGCTGCCGCACTGATGAATATTCCGCCTCCAGGACCCGCAAAACCAGCCCCAAAGGCGGCGGATGAGGAGGGAGAGCCAGAAACGGAGTCCATTATAGATGAATACAAACCAAAACGAGACGCCCTCGCAGCCCTCCATCGCGCTGCTCGCTTTAAAGGCACTGACTACCGTATCTGGGAAAATATCCTCACCGTTGGTGCTTCAATCCCACCACCACAGACACCCTTCCGGGACGTAATTTACGCACAGAAACGAATCATCGAACTCCGTGGCTCTAAAGCTGGCGAAAAGTGTATTGATGTCCCCATCCTCACAGCCCTTATCAATACGCTCACAGCAGACTATAATTTTGACGACCCAGACTCCGCCATTGCGTCGTCGTCGTCGGGGAATAAGAAAAAGCCTCGTCCCGGAACCTTCCCTGCTCTCATTTACTCTCTCATCGATGACTCCGTGGTCCCTTTAATCACTCACTCCTCTGAGCTATGGCTCCTGGTCGCGAAATTGGAAAAATGGCGCGGAAGACCGTCTCGCGCACTCGCGGCACATGAGAAAGCATGGCGTGCGATGGTAGCATCATGTACGAGTGCGGCGTTTCAGATGGGCGATGAGAAGAAGTGGATGGACATGGTGCGCTCAACGGAGACTCTAGTTAAGCAAGGATATGCGGCGCTGGGTGGGATGGATAAAGAAGCTGAGGATGGTGGAGAAGAGACCGGTGAGATGGTGGCGAAGGATTGGAGATTCAAGGCTAGAAGTGCGGTCAGAGGCATCTTGGGCAAGGGGAAGGAGATTTGGGAGGGCTCAGAGGGGTGGTTGAGGTTGAAAGGATTGGCAGAGGAGGTAGGTGGCTCTTGATGGGATACTTGTTCGGGGTAGGGACTCCAAGTAAGTTTTGGTCTTGTATAGTATCTCAGTTGGAAATAGACAAAAGTTGGGAACAGGTATTATGCATGCAGACAGTCCGATGAACGCAGCCTCTTAGCTCTCTAATTGGTGATTGAGGTTCTACGGGTATTGGACCGCTGTCGGCGCCAAGTCCATTGGGACCGGAGTTCCATGCCGTCTCACTGACCACCTGGCTATGAGACACGCCTTCCACGACCTTTTGAACTCTCTCTCTGATCAACAATCATAGGACACTCCCAGTGGGCTCTGTCATCCCAAAGATGTTGTACAAGCCAAGCCGTGTAGTTAGCATGGGTGGGATGTATCCACACAAAAAAAAAAAAAAAAAGGAGAGAGAGAAAAGTGAACAGTCTTCTTTGCTGCTCTTTGTGCACCGGGTAGCATCGCAGCCAAAGTTTAAAGGGTTCTATTTCAACACGTGGTCACATACGTTTGAGATTAATGTCTTTGGAAGCAAATTCAGACGATGGCTTGCCAAAGCAGATTGCACAAATACGATGAAACCTATCTGCACGATGATTCCAAGCTATTGAATAGCCGGGGACATGCAGAGGCATGGGTTTGCATCCGGCAATCCTCTTCGGCCTCCTGAAGTATGTCTAGGCCTAAGCGGCGGTCGGAGTAAGATACTAGGCTGTGTTGTCAGGTCATAGTTATTGGAAGCTCCTAGGGATGTAAAAGGTCAAGTGTGCACTGAAAGCAAGAAAACGCATGAATATTTTTGTGCTGGGCTTTCTTATTCTTTTATGTGAGCTTCAAGAACAAGATGAACGGCATTTTGCTTGTTGTTCTCGCCAAGTTTATTTAGTTAATGTAGAAGAGGATGGTTAATAGGCTTTCACCCCCTGAGGGGGTTTCTGATGATGTCTGTTGAACAGAACCAAGGGCGGAATTCTGGAACCCATTGGATCGTTCAGCCCTGTGGAAAAGTGTCTCATCTGATGTGTCCGGTGATGGCTGCTGGTTGCTGGGGTTCTCACTCTGTGTGCTGCGTATAAACAGTTGAAAATGGAATGATCGTGTTGTTTATACAAGTTGGTTGATGGTTGTATGACGCTAAAATAACCTGGTCACGGGAATGACCTTCAGCTCAACTTCTCAGGACTGCATGCCGACATGAACCCTTCCAGAATTTACTGGCAGGACATTGCTTCTTGACTTGCTGCGTCCTGCTGCTTTTAAATAATACACTCTTCATCTGATCTGAAATCTAGCTGACTGCTTTGAAGCTATAGCTTTCTGGTATAGTTGGTGCCTACCGCGAAGTATTCACAAGACTCGGCGACCACTCTTGAGGGAAAACGATCATCCAGCCGCGCTTGTCGGACAAATAGTACCCACAGGATGCTCTGAGCTGGTTATTGAAGTAGGCAGCTGCTCCTAACGCGAAGCCGCCCTCTCGCCCTTTGATCTATTAATACATGTGAAGTTAGTCAGGGAACTCGTTGCTACCGGGATGGAAACTAAATTTTTTACGGAGTACGGAAGTGAATTTTCTTGACATTGAGGTTCTCTGACAGCCGTCATGGATATGAATAACACTGCTCCTCAGCTGTCCTGACCAACAAAGAAATCCTTGCACCGTGCTGCAAAAGAAATATGACGCACCAGAAGGTATACAATTATATCCTCTCTACTCCGTACTGTTGAAACGAACCATGCGACCTGCCCAGTGGCTCCATGGAAGATATTTATGCAGACCGCGAAATTTTTGTTTCACGAACTCAAGTGGAACAAAGAAAACTTTCCCCAAGAATGCCAGCAACAGGTTCAACATCGTCTTTCCCAGAGATATCTTTTCTCAGATCGCGGAATCCCTCCCGGCTTAAGTTCCAACAGATAAGTAGCTTAGTCCTCCGAGTTGGTGTTGAAACCATTCCTCGAAACTGCTCATGGCTTCTCTGCTTCGCCCTTGCCATGTTTACATATAACTACATTTTGGATCCATCCTCCATGGCGTCCTGACGAGGCTCGATGTTCTCACTGCGTTTGTGATTCCCATAATTATCCTGCCTTTACAGGGTATCGCTGCTTTGATGAGGATTTGATCAATTGTCACAATCCTAGAGAATTTTGCTTATCTTTTGAGCGCATTGCTCAAAAATAACAGACACTTGCAGAGAAATCTTTTTGTTATAGATGAGGAATCTGCGATTCACTCAGAGATGTCTTTTATTGAATGCTATAGCCCTCTTTGTCCTTTGCTCCGCACTACGCCAAGCGGCTGACAGTCAAAGCTTAAGTCAACAATGCAATACCCAGCGCCAGAAAAGTGCAACTCTATGATCATCACTGTGAAGTGACAGTGAAATGTTTGGGAAGATTTCATGCACAGCATACAGTGACATGCATTTTTATTGCTGTGCCACAGCATTTATCGTGTTCAGTACTTTTCATGGCACCAACAGACAGGAATATTTGTTATTTATACTTATTGAATTGCCACTGCAACTAAGAAAGCAATATACCCCTCTTTCTGGCCACATCTCTTGATTGTGGCATATAACAAATTATCTTATCCTACATCTTGCTCCTGCTCGAAAATTATTTCAGACTTCCAATAATCTGTTTTGGGTTGACCACGCGGAGTCAATTATTGAACATACTGAGATGGAGCAAACTCCAACAAAGTTTGTCGGCTCAAACTGCTGTTCAGGAAACAACATGATAAATATACAGCCGACACACGCTTCTCCAGACCCCATTTTTGAAGCTACAGATCCTCGACCGACCTCCTCTATATATTCCCGGCCCATAGGCTACAACGACGAGCACGTCATTGTTACCGGAAACGGCAGAAGTGATTCAAACAAATTTGGCAGCTGGATCGGCCCGGCAATGCGCAGAGCAACCCAGAGGATCTCCTCGGTAACCTCTTTAGGAGGATTAATGAGACGATTTGACTCCCCTAGTGGAGAGGGAAGAGAGACAGAAATAACTGAAGGGCCCGAGCAACCTGCAACAGACACGGCAAGAGTCGCGAAACGGAACCCCAGTCATGACGATTCCGACAGCAATAGCTCGGAATGTATATGCGAGAAATGTCAGCGAGATTTTCGGGTTTTCAAAATAGTATTCGTCGTCGTGAGCATCATGGTGATTATAATCTTAATAATCGTCGTTCTCATGGCAACAGGTGTTTTTAATCGTTCTGCAACCAACGGTGGAGTATTGGTATCTACGACTTCGTCTTCTCCACCTTCTACCATGACAAAGGACATTAGAACTGAACACAACTCTCGGTCAGGGATAGCCTCTATAGCAGAAACCCCCGCTTCATCGTCGGAGCCCACATCTACATCCGCGCCTACGCCTACGCCTACGCCTGCCCCCACGACCACGCCCACACCCGCGCTGTCATTTACTCCTTCGTCTACATTTATGCCCCCATCTATACCCATGTACACGATCTCCATTACGAAAACAATTTCGTCCACACTCTTGGTAACCCAGACCCTACCGCCATCCAGGACCGGTGATACGGAGACGACATCAACGATCTCTTACGTGGTGATAATTACTACACCACTTATGCCGCGGCAAAGCCACAAAATCGGGGAGCCGGATATAACGACTACAATGTACTCCCCGGTAACTACGGTCTTCGTCCCACTTTCGAAAATTTATCTCAAGGCCAAGTCGGAGGAGACAAACCGTTCGTTTTCGGAAGATTTCCCGACAGAAATGTGGCAGAATTTTCCATAATTAATATTTGATTGTTCTGCGGGCGTTTTGTGCCAGGGGATGATGGTGTTATGGGTTTGTATAATTGGGGACATATCATCATTAATTTTAGGATTTGATGTTTTCTACTCATACATCAATTTTGGATACCACTGCATCTAGGAGGCTTGCAAAAATTTCTGCAATGCATTTTTTTTTAATCTAGTATATTGTTAATGTTCTTTTACTGAATCCTTCTTTCTAGAGGCCAGGACCAAGTATCTTGTTAACAAAGTTACAAATTAATGGCGTGAATACTATGCAAAGTCAGTTCTGGTATGTTACATTTCGGCAATCTTTGGTGACTCTGATACAGGAGACAATTCCACCGTTTCCAATTGCATAGGCCTGATGGGAGTGTGTGGTCATCAGACGTGAAATATCCGGTGCTATACACGTACACATGGTGGGCATGTCTGCGGAAAACACTGAGGCAGTACGCAATTGGAGCAACGTGGACAGTAAAACCGTGAGATGCGAGGTGTCACTTTTCGACAAGCTTGAATCCATTCCCAATTCCACCGTGGCTTGACAGTGAATCTCCGAAAACTTATCGTAAACTATTTCAACCGTATAAGTTTGCCGAATTTGCAATCGGCACCATCGTCACCTGTTCAGACATCCAGTCGAGATTTTTGACCCCACTTGTAGATAGATCATGTAGACAATTAGGGGAGAAATCTGGGTTGGATATCGATAACCTTAATAATTCAAGAAATCTCGATAAGCAGCCTCTCTTGCTGCTATCTTTCTCCTACAGGTCTTTCAGAATAGGTGAGAAAGGCTGCAGCTGTGGTATCGTGGCACGCCTGCTCATCTACCTGCTGGGCATCTATGGGCTGAACCTGTTCACTCGGTTTCTGTCGACATTGGGTACTGCCACAGCCATTCTTCCTTGGTTAAACATTCCGCTGTCATCCTCAAGAAATCTGTGATTTTGGTATTCAAGTCTAGGACAGTGAGTACTTGGACAAAAGATTTCGACATATTAGACTTCTGGCTCACCATCTACTGTCATCTCCTTCCTCGCCTGAAGGGAATAATGATCTTTGAACTCATGGACAAGAATAAGGTCATCTGGAACTTGAGTTCCTACTTCCCCTCAGAACTTGTCTAGGTAGTTGCATATGGTTGAACAGTCTCACAAACCTGCAGGGGCTGAATAAATGCAAGCTGAATTTCCTCTGAGGGTGCTAACAGGTCGTTGCGTCTTTGCAGTATTCGGTCGCATCGAAGCTCCATTGGTTGGTAAAACCAAAGCAGAAGATTGGAACAAATTAGTACACTGTATTCAAAGCACACTGAATGTGACACTCACCCTGATATGTGGTTGGACTGAGCGCCTTCGGCATCACCTTTCCTCAATAGGTCAACAGGTCAAAGAGGCCTGGGAATGCACGCAGACGAACAATAGAACCATTGTTTACACAGAAGAGCTCCTTTGGAATTACGGTATAGGATTAGATAAATATGGAGTATGCAGTATGGAGAATAAAGGGTTGGACTGTTGGGGCGAATTGGACGCTATCCTTGGGCTATAGGAGGATTGTGTACGGCAAGCCTATTAGCATCCAATCCATTATCCGCCAATATTTGTAATCCAATAACTTAGTAAAACAATCCTTATTTCAATGACGTTTATTGCATTACTGAAGGAGCCAAATGCTATGTCTATGAAGTGAGCCCTCTCATTGATATCAGGAAAGCAAGACCGCAGTAAACCGTTTGCACATTGATGGGATTCTTCTCAGTATTTTATTTGCGAACTAAAATATATATAAATATTCTACTCCATAGTTGACTAACGCACATAACAATAGTAGTGCTTCACTAACTTAAGGAGCGTGCCAACTGAGTCGTTGGAAGCTGGAACGCCGTTATCAATGCCGAGCCGTTGATTGTGAGAGACTTGAAAGCTAAAAAGAAGGAAAAACAAAGTCCATAAAAGCACTTAAGCTGAGGTGAGCTTAAGAATAGCTAGCCATGACCGCAGGCTTCGCAGATGCTAAAGCGATGCTTTTCCGGTGGAATCAACCTTGCAGCTGCCAGGCCTCCCAACACAATCGCAATGAGTACCAGAACTGCCATAATCCAAATTATCATCCATTTGCAGCATTGCTGTGCAATTATCGCCTTCATTGCGGCAACATGACGGCACTGAGTTGGGTGGGTGTGAGTACTTGTCGAAGAACCGCTCGTATCGCTAATATTCTGCGCTGAGGTACTGGCCTCTGGGGCACCACTGTTGAGATTGATTTCTTTCAACATGATTCCATCAGTAACATTGTCTGATGTCGTAGCTGGGTGAGTTGATGTGCGTTGGTAGATGGGCGATGTTGCATATGTTTGGTATGAGGGACGCACCTCGCTCATAGTTGCTTTGTATTAAGCAGGTTATGTCTAACTCCCAGCTCCAAACAAGCAGAACAAGCAAGCTAATCACCGATATCAATGTGACCGCAAAGCTTAGCGCAGGTTGATACCAAATAATAGGAAAGCACGGCTAGAAACGCCTTAAAGCAGATATCTCCAAGGGGGTTAACAAGTAAGATTTGAGCAATGGATGAAGACATGGATACAGAGGCTATCAAGAAGCCTCTATTTATAAACGGCATGTGGAGTTTTCTCAAGTACATGGAAAATGTGAAGAGGAATGATCCTAGATACAGCTAATACAGCTATGCCGTTATAAAAGCGGGATATTTCACATCAATGGTATGGAAGTTATTGTGATAATTGGCAAAATCCAACACTCAAGGGAATGTTAAATTTAATGCCTAGTTTTGTAGAAAAATCACGGATGACATAGAATTGTGCATCGTAGGTTGACCAAAAAAAAAAAAAAAAAAAAAAAAAAAAAAAAAGAAATACACAAGTGGACATTGTCTGTGAAGGTTGACAGAGCAGTTCTATCTCCGAAAAAGACTCAGGATACAATGATGAATAGCTAGGGCTTTGAACTTTTCAAGCCTACCGAACCTCCCAGAAATATTAACAGATTGTGGGTATGACCACGGGTTAGCTTTGAAAGCTCGAGAGGAGAATCTGGTATACCTTTGAGATGGTAAAGTCGGCTTCTCTCGGATCCAGCTTTATCCTAAGAATGTATCCAGACACTCCTTCAAAATACCCTCTTTCCATGGCGTTGATTGACCTTTCAGATTATCCGAACACGTAGAGAGCTGGCTTCATGTAGGATGAGATACAATAAGATTCATGCAAGGCTAATGTCTGGTCCACCTGCAATGGGATTATCCTCGTATACGAAGATGCTTTAAAAGGACGGCGTTTTAAAGGATGCAACCACAGAGAACACTTATTCGAGGTTCACATGTGAAAACAAGTTTGCCTTGGCTTCGATCAACGAGTTAAAAAGCTGTGACTCGTGAAGGCAGGGTAGTGTGGCGCTTTCGGGGGACTTGAATGTTGTTGTCAATGGGTAGGGAAACACTGCGTGAACTCGAAGGCAGCCATAACTGCTCTGTTAAAACTCAAAGCAGTCCAATGGGGGTTAATAATGTGGGTGATTGAAGAGGATAAGCTTGAGATGGTTCATCACCTGTTCTCCCAAGATTAATTGCTCTGGGCCTGCGTGACCTTCATGTCCCGCTGCGGGATGATCCAAGCAATCAGATTCCAAGGCCAGGATTCCAAGATTGTGTTCCAGACAGCTCACCACGGGAAGCCAGGAGCGAATGTTTGTCGTGCAGTCAAGAAATGTGGCTTGAAGGTGCTATTTATATTGGTTTGCCCAGGCCAAAACCACATCTGCAGCCACTGCTCCGTTGCAGCACGAGAATCGACGCGCAGATCGACAAGGATCAGCCTTGTTCTTGGGACCCTGCAAAACTTTCGGCCTTCAAACTTCAACGTATGACCAACGCCTTCAGTAGAACAAATTCGAGACGAAAGCGGAAAATTACTGTTTCCAGAATACCACGAGAAGCTTGGAGGTTTACTATCGCGTACCCCGAACTTGGGAGATCGACTTTCATCTCCATGTGGAGCGCCTCAGGGTCCCGTTAACTTGGTCAATGCCCAACAGTAAACCAATAACGAACTGACCAGTTTACCCAGCTGACCGGATGCGCACTTTCGCGCTCGCGGGAACGTGCAACCTCATTTCCCTCTTCACGCCTAAACACGAATTGCGTCTTCATCCATCGGGAGCCATGTTGCTGCTGCCTCCTGAGTAACATCCGTCTTCAGTCCTCGGCGCTCTGGGCAAAGGGGGCCAGATCCAGTTGATATGCCGCAGCGATGCAAGTTTCGGGAAATATATCGTATAGAAGTAATTGGTTCTAAATAAAGCTGCCTTCGGTGTCTACTGGGGCGAATTGAGAAATGCCTTGGCCTGAAAACGCTTTAGATGACGAGCTTGGCGATATCAAGTTGCTCGAGCTTTCTCCTTTTTTTTTCGAGCTGGAATAGGGGTATATAAAGGACCCAGTCGCCTCAAGCAGTGGGCTTATATCCTGTCAATGAGACAAGCAGCAAGCGCAACCTCTCTTTGCTGAGCCACTCTCGCGATCAGCCGCCATAATGAAGTTTGCTTCTATTCTTTCTTTCCTTTTCCTTGCCGCCGGGGCCATCGCCCAGGAGCCTGGCGAACTCGACGATCATACCAGCCTCGAGTATGATGATATCTTTGACGACAGCGCAGTTTTGGAAACCCGCAGCCTAATCAACAGTGCTTGCACTGGCAAAGACGGTGCTGAGGGTGTTTGCATCAGGGTTTCTGACTGCAACAAAGGTGGTGGTGAATTCATCAACAATGCTTGTCCTGGCACTCCACAAAACATCAAATGCTGCACCAAGACAAAGTGTGGCGATGGTGGTAACTGCCGCTTCACCGACAAGTGCAGCTCCGGCAATATCCTGTCCGGTCAATGCCCTGGACCTGCTAGCTTCAAGTGCTGCTTGCCCAAGGAGCTGTCCGGCCGCGGAAGAACTTTCCCTAAGCCAAGGATCCCGTCCGTCGGCGCTTGCAAGAGGACTTCTGTCAATGGAGCGAAGAAGATCGTGGCCGCCCAGCGTGGCAAGATCAGGGAAATTGGTTGTTATCGCAGATGCAGATGTCCAAGTAACAGCGAGCACTGCTGTGGTTTGGCTGTAGATTTGATGTGCACTTCTCGCGCTGGCGTAAGTCACCCTTTTTCCGGTTCCCTACTCTTGGCTCCAGGTAGGGCTGACAGTCCTCTGTAGAAACGAGACAGGGATGACTTTGGCCGTGCCATTGCCGAATGGGTTATGAAGAATAGACGATCCCTGAAACTCAAGTATGTCATCTGGGGACAGCGCATCTGGAATCCTTCCCGCGATAGGGTTGCCCCGTGGAACAAGTGGCGAAAGATGGAGGACCGCGGCTCTATCACCCAGAACCACTGGTGAGATGACTTTGTCTGTTCTCAGAAGCAAACCTAGGCTAATTCTTTATTTAGGGACCATGTGCATGTCAGCTTCAATTAATAGTGGTTCTAAGTTGGGAGTAATCATACCAGCGTGCAGGTTCTCGGTAGTTTCAGAGGAGCCCGTGAGTGTGGTGGTGCTTGTTTTTCGGCCTTTTCCCCCTATTGCCGTCGCTTTTGATTGAAGCACCATTAGCAGCCGAATTGGTCAGAGGAGTACTTGCACTGAAGAGACAAGTTTCTTTTGGTATCAAAGATATCGCCATATTTGCTACATTTCGGGTTGTTAAATTATTGAGCAGATGAGGTTGATTAGCATCAGATGAAAAAAAGAATGATACTCTATTCTTGTTTTCCTTGGTAATGCTAATGAGGTATTGAAAAGCAACAAGGCCCCAAGAACAGCGACACAACATCACTTGGGAGAGAGGGCCGTGACAAGTAGAATAAACAAAGATACATCCCCAACGCCAGCATATTTCCTGAAGAAAAAAATATATAATCTCTTTTTGTCTTCAACATAGCGAAAGGTAGAAAAGGCTGGATCCCAGGATGCAAAAGCCATGTGCTCTGTGCCTCTGTCGAGAGGCGTATGACTGTGCATTCGGCAACAGTGGCGGGGACCATCATAAACGAAAGACGACCTGGCAACTCAACTGCTGGACTCTTCGTCTGGAACTGAAAGTTCTACCACGGGCATCTCGTCGTCCTCGTCAACATCCATCATGCCCAGAATGCTCACATGCTCGTTATCATAATCATTGCCGGAGAACAGCGGAGCCGGCCCTTCCGAGCTGCCCAGCGGCTGTATTTGTGTTTCGGAATCGGTATCATCACCTCCGACGGCTTTCATGCTCGAATTATCATCCAAATCATCATTATTACCATAGTACGAGCCTGCGTGAATACGATCGAATGACCAACCTTGATCTCTTAGATAGGACAACGGCCCCGGGCCGTATTCGCGTTCATACCCATCAATCTCCATGCCTTCCAAGTCATCTCCACGTCTCAAAGAACTTTCTCCAGCTTGCATGGAATCTAGGTACCCAGGCAGCGTATCGTCTTCATCATTCCTGTTGAGGACTCCGCCCTGCAAACCACCATCTCCCGCTTGGTGAGCTGCTGCGACTCCGGCTAAGGCGCTCGACGACCCATTGCGGGAGAAGCCGTCGAGGCGCTTGCCTTCCCCCGAATTCCCGTCAGAGTCTTCGGGAGAATCAGAGTCTGCTGCGTTTTTTTGACCTGCTGCCTCTGTTACCTGCGCCAGATACGACCCGCCTAAAGGGTGATCCGAGCGCCGACGGTAGAATAACAGGTACGCTGCCTTTGTCACAACAACGCTGGGATCTGACTTTCTCGACGTATGGGAATCTGGAAATTAAAACTGTTAGCAACCCTAACAGTGTGGCTGAAATGAAAGTGGAACGGCCTTACCATTATATTCATACCAATTACCATCAGCAAAGCTCTTGGCGTAAGCCGTGTAATGGCCACCACCCAGGGTACCATAGTGATTATCGACGGCAATCAAGTCGTACATCATGCTCTTGCCGTCATTCGGCGCTTGGGCTCTTCCGGTCATATCTAGTTCAAGAGGGAAATCGACTAGCACGTCTAATTTATCTCTGAATCCCCGGTTGGCACTGAATCGTTTAAGATGCATAACCAAAATGTCTGGCACCGTCCAAAGCTCGAATTTCTTGCTGGCACGGCGATGCTCTTTGCATCGAGGACAGTACCAAGCGTCATTTTCGGAGAGAATCTCTTCTCTGCCAAATTCGTCTAGGCATTCGGCTAACGAGATGCCCATGCGCTTCTTACTCTGACGTAGTTGACGTTTCCTTGCTAGTTCGGGATCTGGGAGCCTTTGGGGATTCTCCCATGTCGGTATGCCACGCAGCGATTCCTTATCTCGGGGATCTCCTCCGAAAAGGGCGTCATGAGCAGATTCGTTCCAGTCGAGCACAATAGCCTCGCCAGGACGGATATAAGGGAGATTGGATGGAGGGCCGCGCTTTGAACCCACTCCTTTTTGTTTATGGCCCTTCTCTTTCCGTATTGAGCGGGCGGTAGGATATGGATCTGAATCAGTGTCTGACCCGCTGTCCTCCTTTGTCTCCTCAGAGCTCGAGTAGTTCGACAAACTTTCAGTAAGCTTATTACGCGGAACTTGAACGGAAATAGGCGGTCTAGAAAGTTCGTCTTCGCTGCTGACAGGGCTGTTGTTTGAACGGTGAGGCGGAACATTTTTCATTCGCTGACCTCCACGTTTAGCCGCCTTTCTCGGTCGCACCCTATCTATCATAGAGAGAAATTCCTTGGAATCGTCTATAGAAGAATATGCTATCCCCGCAGGATCCTGGGTCTTCACGAACTTGACGTCGAATAGGTTTCGAAGCGAGGGAGGAATGAAGCTTCTCGGCTGAAGAACTCTGGCGACGGGTGCGTTCGAAGGGTTCGTACTACCTCCCTGCGAAGAAGGGTCAGTAGCATCACGCATGGAGACATCAACCAATCCGTCTTCACCTTCCACAGAGCCCATTTTAATCTTCGAGTCATTGGAGCTCGCGTCATCGTCGTTCGTGACCACGGCATCGGAATCTTCCGCAGAGGTGGAGCGCATAGTTGTATCATCTTCATCTTCGGTCAGGATATCCCGCGTCGTTAAAGTATTAACTTGAGCTAAGACTTTCCGCAGTATTGCATCGTAATCCATTGCCTCCTCGCGGGTGATAACCGCAAACCTAGGCACGCCAAAGAGCGGCCGCTGACGGGCATATTTCGTGACAGAGGTCTTTACAACACGGTTAAAAATAGGAACAAGGATACGATCCGCCTGTTCAGAGTCGAAGGAGACAATGTCTGCATCGTCACCGCGTAAACCCGTGTAAAGCATGCTATAGCTTTGCCTCTTTGCCTTGTCTGGATCGTAACTTGTCGGTATAGTTTCTAATTCGTACATGGCAATGTTATCCGATTGCCCGATTGAACAGTCGCTGATAGCCGAAGTATTCGAAAACAATTTGTAGATTTTTTGGGTATAGATTTCCGCCATGACCAAACGCCGCGGGTCGCTGTTGACCTTTTTCGCCACATACTCCTTCAACGCCTTGATGCTAGCATTTTTATCGATCTCCACATCAATCAAAAGCGGCTCGCCATGAGCCGGGAAGAAATATACGTATTTACTCCATACATTTTCGATGGGTAATTGGAGGGTCAGGTTGCTGAACGGATCGAAGATGATGCTCACTTTATCACAAGCTGGACAAACGACTGTGGATTTGTACATGCCGGCAAATAGATCAGTAATCACTGAATCGTTTCGCGCTTTGTATATTTCCCAGTTCCGATCGGCAAATTCCTGCAATGCAGCCTTGTCATGGACCATATCGTCCGTGGAATCCGGTTTCTCGATATATGGTTTCTTGTGAATCCTATTGAGATCTTCCTGCAGACCATCAAGGAGGAAAAGTAGAAACTCTTGAGAGTCTTGCTGGCCGTAGCCGGAAAATGAAGGTCCATATCGTCCGATTGTCAGTTTAAAATTACGGGGAGAAATGGAATCAGGTGCGTTTTCATCGAACATTTGATGGAGAAGGTTGGCATAGGTCCTGGCTACATCGCCATTGTGGGACAGCGGGTTACTCGGGTTGAGGTCCTTTTTATACTCGTTCGCCAGGAAATACTGGGTGAGCTCCTCGACACTCCGGACGCATTGCAGAGCCGAATTCATGTAGCATGTATTTCCGAGATTGCTCAGACCGGTAACACCACGAGTTTTGCTATCTTTGCGCTTTCGCCCTCGCGTAACGACGGATGGTACGGGTGACGCACGTCCACTAGTAGGAACAGCGGGTGATTTGAACTTGCTCTGGGGTGCTACCTTTGTAGTGGTTGTGGTGGTGGTCAGAGCAGCAAGTCGGCTTGACCCATACTTTGCGGCATCTGATGCCCATTCGCCACCACCAGCGCCACCGATTTGCTCTTCAAGAACAATAACATTGTCACCACTAAGGCCAGCAAGGTGCAATGTAACACTTCCGTTATATTTTTCGTTCGAAGTCTGGTCTTTGAGTTCAACAAGTTCCCTCTGCGAGCCTTCACTCAAGGCGGCAAACTTGTTAGTGTCGAGAACTAAGCTGTCCCCAGCGTTGGCAATTAGGGTGGAGCCCGGAGCTGGCGAAGCACTTCGGGAAGCGGCTGGCGTAACGGTACCAGAGGTGCCCAAACCCTCAAGGATCCTCCATACGCGAACCTTAGTTGTGGGCTCGATAGAAGCAAGTTTCTTAGCATTTCTTAGCCATTGCTGGAATGGAGTGTGGCTGCTGGCAAGCGTCTTAACAGGAGTCCGACTTTTATCTGTCGAGAGTTGCACAGCAGGGTTTGTCGGACTCGGCAACTTTAGGATTGTAAATACAGGCGGATTCAGCTCGTATTGGATGTTCTCAGTATTTCCGGGGGTATTTGTGTTATGTGCGTATCGAACAATCGCCGGGGAATTCTTTGACAAGCCGTACCAGCTTATAATCAGATCCCATGCTTCTTGAGGGAAGATCTCGAAGTCCTCTCCCATTTGTAAACCGGGGCGAAGCGGAACGAACGGCTCTCCGGCTTCATCCTTGAATAGCGTGCTAGGATCGGTGACCAGGACAAGATCGGAGTTGTCCACTGGTCCTATCTCACCCTCTGCAGCAGTTTTGTCAGATTTGTCCCGCATCGGACCTTTGCTACTCCTCGCGAGAACCCTATTTAACCAAGTCCCAGAGACCACATATCCTCGCTGTTTTTCTTGTGGAGGCTGCATCACCATTTGCATGACGGTTGCAACCTGTTCGTCAAGGGAAGGAACAGCGTGCGAAGAGTGGTTGGAATGGCTTGAGATCGCCTGGGATCTCTCCTCGTAGGTTGAGTGGGTGTAGGTCGACATGCTGGATGGGGTTGGATAGACGCTATCCGATCCGGAGCTGGTAGCCTCTTCAGATGAGGTTTTGGGGCCTGTATCGTTATCCCGACCGATCATATCAACGGAAGCTGCCCGGGCGTGCCTGTCTGGCCGATCATTCTTCTTTTTCAGGTGTGAGTTGTCTATCTGCATTTCGATAATGCTCTTGCTGCTCGGAGGATCTGTATCCATAGAATCCCCGTTCTCCTTCTGTTCGTCCCCACCCATCTCTGCAGCCGGGCGCTTTAATGTAGGAGAAGAAGATCGGTAGTCAGGATGGCCGTTTTGAGCGTCTTGCATCGGCTGATCGCAGCTGGTGGACTTCCCGTTCGCACCGCCCGTTGAGGACATCTTTGACCGCTTTTTATGCTTGGAAGGGGCGGAGATGGAGGGAGAGGATCCGGCGTTGCTGAGAGGGAGTGTACCGTTGGAAGTTTCAAGGGAGTAGGTTTTTGAAGCAGGGGGAGATTCCGAAGATGCTGACGAAACGGAGGAAGAGGAAGAGGTATTGGTGGCTGAAGGAGTAGGTTGCAACGAAGCAGGCAAAGAGTGATGGCCGCGGCGTTTCAGAGGGTGGGAGGACTTTCTTGAAGATGCAGAGGGAAGAAAGTGAAAACCCGTGCGGCCTCCAGCTTTACGCAGCTCTGCAGCAACCTTACGCCTCTTTGAAGAAGACGTTGTGAATGTGAGCTGACCACACAGAGTGGGCAGCTCTGGAACAAGGATGAGGCGATGTAGGTGGATGTTAGGGGGCGGCTAATCAGCGCGGCAGGACTTCACAGGAGCCAACAGTTAGCCTTCTATTTCAAAAATGTGAATATCGCATTGTTGGTTTAGCGACCGGTGCTGCATTTTGATGATGTGTGTGCGCTTTGGTTGGCTGAAGGGCGTGATTTGCACTCACTTGGAAGCAATCGCATTCAACTACGGAGCACGGAGTAGTTTGGAGGTAGAAAAAACGCATTTTTTCTAACCACAGCAAAAAGACAAAGAGTACGGGGATATTATGTAATATTTACACCATCTTGGTAATTTGGTGGTTTGGTGTTGGTAAGATCTACAAACAGAGAGGAGTTTTCTGGTAACTTGATGGTATTCTCGGTATGGCCGTTTTAGGTACGCGTTCTTGATCAATGATCGATCCTCCAACATGAGAACCAACTCCGATAATCTTCCTACACCCATTACTGCTGGGCGTAGCTTTGATAGCCTTGATACCGAGTTTCTCCACATCCCGGTGTGGTAGTCAGGCTGACCAAATGACTGCACTGGATGACGGGTGGGGATCCGAACGCATGTTTCGCGCAATCCACGACAATGTTGATGTCTGTCTTGAGCTATCAAGGCAGTGTCAGGGTCCTAAATTGCGACAACGAAATCGCCCTCGAGGTTGGGGAGCGAGTCTATCCTTCTGAGGAAGCTGCTATGTGCCTTGTGAAAGAGCATACTCGGTTTCTATCATCGTGGGAAAACCAGCTGTTCAGGGCATTGCTCTTCTCTCCCGGCCCCAGTTGAAACACTGTTGCTGCTGCCACTTGCAAATGTTCTCGTTGACCAATAGTACTAATGGCTGTTAAGCGCCCTCGACCAAATGGCGGGATCGAGCTGTAATTTATCCGGGCTTACCCAGGAATCCATATGACACCGTTCAGCCCCAGCATATAGACAACAAAGGTAGCTCAGCGGTATAGTTTCGCCATCGCCACACAGGGCTTTTGTGAGAGACAAAGACCGGGGCAGGATGCCGTTGAAACAAAGGGACAGATGGAATGGTGAGGAAACTGTCACCATCTAAATATTCATGTTACTGCAGTAAAGACTAGAGCAAAAAATGACAGGTCAGAAGCTTCCTGGATGGTGGGAAAAAGAAGGTTTTGGTTGTCTGGGCGAACTAAGTTCATACAATCGAAATTTTTTTCGCCCCGTCTGCGGAAGTTTGGTGGTCAGCCTCAAACAAGTGTGACCAGCGTCTAACTATTCATCTCCGCCTGGTCTTGGCAGCCAGCAGTTCTTGCATATCATGAGCATCGACGCTGTCATCCATGCTGGGTCTGACAGCACTTGATGCCCTTTCTTCTTCAAAAAGCAAATAGGGCTGGCAAATAGTATGTATCTGAGATGTTCAAACTGAACCCTGCATGGAGATAACCTTAGCCAGAACCTTGATTGCTAGCCCCAGAAGACCTAGAACAGTTTTATTTGTACGGAGTACGGAGTACGGAGTATTCCATATTCATTATTGGTTACAAATTTCGGCTAAACAGCTTTGCATCAAAAAGTACGCAAGCAAAACTGTGAATCACACCCAGGCGCCAACACTCCATAACAATAACTAGCCAATGCCACGGGACGCGAGTCCTCTCAACGAACAATGATCTTATCAACTTCATCTTTGGCCTCTGTCCATGTTTCCAGGTTCTTGCGGGCCCAATCAAGGTGACATCGGGCGTAGGCCACCTATGCGTGTCCTGTCAGCTTCAGTGCAATCTAAACGCAGAGGGTTTACTGACCATGTACCGTTTTAAATCATCTTCTTTCTCCTTCTGGAATCGCTTTAGATCCTCTAACACTCCAGCACTTGCATCTTTAACATCCTGCTCTGATACTTCAAGCGCTTTCTCCAGCTGTTCGTTCACAGAATAAATCAGCCATGTATCACCAGATGAGGAGCTGCTGTAATCATCAACTTACCTGAATTAGACTCTCCTTTGTTTTTCCAATTTGGTCTCGTCGCGTTCGCTCCGGATCAACGTCGACAAACCCATGCACAGCATGACTGATACGTCCGAAGATCTTATTAGCCATGAAGGACCCACTCATCGAGTGTTTATGGCTTGGAGTGGGAGGCAATTGATCGGCTGCGCGATGTGGAAGGCCTTGTGACGCGGAGGGACGTGGACTCTCGCCGTGCGTGGTTGGGAAGTCAGAATCAATGGATGCCGTATCTTCCATGCTTGGTCTCCCACCCTCAGCGCCTTGCTCAACATTGCCCACGGCAGATGAATCCGACAGCGATCGTTTTGGCTTGGTCGCTTGTGGAGTTGTTTTATTTAGGTATTGTTCGATTCTTTTGGCTTCTAACTCACTTCGCTCGAGAGAATCGAGAAGTGCCTTTTTCTTGCTCAGTTCGTCCCTTGTCATCTCTTCTTGTATTCTCTTCAGCACACGATACCTAAGGACGCTGCGAACAACTCCGGCGAACTGCGCGCTTTCTCGCATCGGCTCTGCAAACGTCGCATTTAGTGCGTTAGAGAGCTCCTCTGTCTCGATGTATGAATTGTCTGCTGCTTGCCCAACGCGTTCAATAGCTGCAGCCACGGTCTGGGATGGCTCTGAGAGAGAGAACCCGTTGAATCGTGCGCCTAATTCCATCAAATCTGTAGCAAGTGATGATAAGTGGCTTAACGTCCGTCGGTTGACCTTTTCTATATTTCCCTGAAGTAATAGTTCTAGTTCTCTCGTTGATGCCTCGAAATTCATGAAGTATGGATCTAATTCATGCTCGCTAAGATTCCGGGATGAAGGAGGGAAACGATTGAGGAACCCCGGGACGGTCCCGGGTACGTTAGTTTCGGATGTCGAGCCAGCGCCGACGGCCTTCAGCTTGGCCGACGAAGATGGCACAGGGAGCCAATTATGCGCGGGTTTCGGATTCGCCGGGTCGAGTGGAGGTGCTTTCAGGTTATTCTTGGGAACTGAGGAAGCTGGGTGAGAATGAAGAACTTCGCTCTATCCTCATGGTTAGCAATGCAAAATGTATCTGCCCACTTACGATAACTCACCCAGCTTGCATTCGGGTCCAAGAAGCGCCACCAGACGCCATCTTCTCGGATCTCTTTCATCCTTCTGCAACGGTTTAGGAACACGGCTAGCATACGCTTTCGTAATTCAATGATTGATGCATCTTCTTTCGCCTTAGTCGGTTTCGCGGCGTAATCGGCCATACTATGCTTCTCCGGAATCGGCGGAACGATGAGCGTAGGATGGAGGTTTACGAGGGTGGCCCGGAGTGAGCTAAATTCGGAATATCGCCGTCTGACTTCAAGATCCTAGAGAATAACCAAGGTGTTAGAATCGCGGCCCGGGGGAACCTAGGGTCTCCGAAACACACTCCCGTCCGTATCGTATACACAATGAAGCCACCGCCACCTTCATGGTTTTTGCCCGCATGCGTGATTAGAATGGGAAGCTCGGGGTTCTCGTAGAGAATTTGCTGTATTCTACTCTCATAGACTCCTGTTTTGCGCAAGTAGCTTGGTGATGTTGGGTGCCCCGCGTAGCTCTCTGGGGTTGCCTGTTCGTGCTCTTCATCGTCGTCGCTTGGTGTATGTGGTCTAACTGTATACTCTGGAACATGGGCAGGGGATTGCGGGGAAGCAGGCTCATTGTATGCTACAAATAATATTAACCCTAATGTAAGCTTGGATTCAGAACAGCTAGGCACGGGCAAACTCACTGGGAGACATCTCTGGCGCATGGAATGGAACATTCACCGGCTCTGTATGGCGATCAAATGCGCCATATGGATTATTATCTTCATCATTCCACATTGTGCTATCAGATGGGATCAGTGGACACTGTATGCTTGAAGTCTTGGGGATTGAGGATGGCTATTGTTGGGTCGACTCGGCATCAGTGGGCTGTGAGTGATGAGATCATTGAAGGCGCTCAGCCATCAATCGCAAACTTAGGCAGGGGGGCCGGCCTCATGGATTGGTCAAGACCACGATTATATTTTGCGAATTGTGAATGGAATGGGGAATTAGGAGTTGACAGCCTGAAAAATCTGTCTAACCAGGTGGTTTTGCAAGGAGTAAGCTGGAGGAGTAAGTTGGAGGTGAGAGTGGATGGAGGTAAGTAACCGGCGGCGGCTGTTTCCACTGTCTCATCATCACTTTTCCAACGCAAACTCTGTTCTTCACCTTGGAGACAACAATATGGCAGCTGCACAACTCAAAAACAATTTAGATATGGATACTGGCTAATTACTATCTAGCTAGAAAAATTTGGGATACTCTCAATACCTTGCTCCCATGATGATCGACGCAACCGGCCCTTCCTAGGTGAAGATGTTACGGGATCAATCGATGCAAACATACTCCCATCACCCATCGTATCAGTAATGGGGACACCTCTGCTGTATGATACTGCATTATCGTGATGGTATCGACACTCTTGGGAAAAGAGCCTCCCGGATATTCGCGACGAACTCGGTGTTAGATCCCCTGTGTCTCCAGACCGGACGGGGTTTCCACCATACTTGCCTTGACCACTCGCAACTTAGTCATTATTCGGCGTTCCGTGGAAAACGGGCAGTTCTACAGAATCAGAAGCTTTTGGGATAAACAATGGAATATCATTGTTGGAGCCTTGGGAGTGGACCATCGACTCTGAGCACTCTAACTAGCGTACCTGGGTGATATTTCTGGGCGGAATGATTGTCTGCCTCCTCGTCATCCGGCATATCGATAGACGCTTATGATTACCCGACGGCCCGGGAAATATCCCCGTCATCGCTTCCCTAGCTCTTTGAAAATTATTATGCATTCCTTCGTAGGTGAATTCCGCGGGTTGCCTTGAGGATTGACTACTCCGTCACAGGGTTAGCATGCCATGGATGACCTTCGCCGGCCCATTGAAAACCTCACCTTTCACCGGGTGCTTCGTTGAAAGGCACTGGGATTTTTCGATGAGCGTCCTTGCCATGCCTTCTTCCAGTTTCAAGGGCTTCAGCTGTTCTTCGCCACCGTGGCTACCAATGACCTAGCCGCCGTGCTGGGAAATTTCGAACGTATGGTTGCTCTTCAATGAAAGTTCTGGGAAATTGGTTTAATTCACCATCACCTTTCCCTTGAAATCTTTCCGAATTGGTCTTTGATGCTGACGCTGTAGTTTGCATTGGCTTTTGTGGTTGTAACGGCGTCGGCATGATTACACTTGTTGCGTTGGAAGCCGTTCCTGCATTTGTGTCTCTTGCACACTGTTGCTGTACCGATTGCGGTGACTGTGCCTGACGATGTTTCGATGTTGTTGATGTCACTATGTGTGTTGACGACTGGTTGCTATCTTCGCTTGACGCTAGGGAAGACGCGCTGGTATCATCCCATACCTTTTGTTGGGTGGAACTATGGGGACGAGTCAAAAACCAGCGCCTCAATTCCGCACAGACATTTATTCCGGTTATTCAAAAGATATCCTCTGGAGAGGTAGCAGTAGAATTCGCAACTAACGGTAGATAGGATGCCAGCAGTTTTATCGGAGGATGGGATGCGCATCCTACGAGATCTGGAAAGATACTCGCTGGCGACGCTCTCTCTCTCGTTGGTATCCTGCGTCTTTGTTATTGCAGGAACATTTACAGTGATTCGGATATGGCCTCTTATTCTAAATTTATTATCCGTGACCCGGGTCAGGTGTTTTCCGGTTTGCTAGCCATTTCTATTGCTGGGCCGCCCGGTTTCCTACTTCTTTCTGTGTCCTGGACAGTGAAGCCCTCCGGGTTTGTGCTGGTCGATTTGCCATTACATTAGCCTCTGAGCAGTATGATATCCGAATCATTATCACTGCACTTTTATTTGTTGAATCTATTTCAGTAACCCAAGGAGAGCAAGTAAACCGGCCTTATGGCTACAAATATGACGGCTGGAGGAATCATGCAGCCTTCCGCATACCATGTCATTGTCCAATGTCTCGTCTGGCGCCCGTCCATACTTGGGTGCTGCGTGGATGGATATTCATAGTATGAGTATTAGTATTAACTCAATTGATTCAATCTAGACTAAGTGACTGTTGATTCCGCATCGCCTTATATCTCTGGTTCTGCAACAGAATGAGCTCGCGGGATGATGATAATTCTTCATCACCTGTATTTCCACTCAGTCTCGCATGATTTGCTTGACCCTGGTCGCTACCCACAGAAGCAGCTGTGTTCTCATTAAGTGGTTTTGTTGGCGGCCTTTTGCCTACATCTTGAGGTGTTGGGTTATCCTTCCGCAGTTTGCGTTCTGATTGAATTGATTTGCTTGTTGATACATTTTGTGACCTAGATATTGACCGACGTGTAGAAGACTGCGTTGCCCCTTTCTTCCTCGGCTCCCTCTTCTTTTCAATTCCATGGCTACGATGGCGCCGTTTCGACTTGCACTCCCTTCTTGTTCCGTCATCTCTTGGCGCAGATGTAATTCCTGCCTTACTCCAGCCCCGATAACTTTTCGATTTAGATTCATTATTCGACTTAGAATTTCGGTGACCCCGCCGTGACTGTCTTTGATCATGGCTCTTGCGTCGAGGCGAACAGTTTTGCTGCTTTCCCCTCCTGCCAGCAGCGGAATATCCACAAGGCAATCGCAACAAGGAACATAAAAACAAGTAGTGAGGCTGCTAGGACACCTCCTTGTTGTTCAGTGGACCAGGAGTCCCAGTTTGTTGTTGAGCGCGCCTGGTTTGAAAAGTGCCGCCCTAGATGGTAAAGAGGAGGAATCTGAGATGAGGGTTAAAGGGGAAATCTGCTTGTTGACAATAAATCCCTGCTAAAATTCACTGATTATAGCGCATGGTTCAAGGCTGGGATAGGTGTGGGCTGGCCGCAATGCTCGTTCATGTGGTCTCAAGGCGACAGTGATGGAGAGATTACCTATCTTAACTGAAGCAGAAGTTTGCCTCTTAGGATCCAACGCATGTGTTTGGGCATAAAAGCTAGGAAACATAAAAGGATGAAGAATATATTGAGATCTGAGTGTTGATTTGTCCCTGGAACACTAACCTTCGCGTGAGGTGATCAGGGAAATTTCCAACACCAGGTCCTGAGAAATAGGCTCGAGATAGGATTCAAACTGCAGGCCATACAAACAAATCATCCAACATCATTGACATGACAAATCTGTTTCAGTCAGATCCTTCTGTAGTCGTCAAAAAAGCAAGCTGAGTCCCTTATTTGTTGCTGGTCCCTTCTGTTGTTTGTTGACCCTCTTGGTCGGCACGGTGTTTGGCAATTTGAGTAGTCAAGTCTCTCACTTGTGCAGCTAGTTGTACTTCACGTTCAACTCGTGCTGCCTCCAATCTCCTAATCTCCTGCTCGTGCTTTCGCATTTGGACACCATGGGCCACGACACGGACAATATGGAAGCCTCCTCTCCAGGCCATAAAGGCGAGGATGGGGATAGTCAAGAGAACTACCAAGATGGTATAATTTGGGTTCATTATTTCTGCCAACTTGCAAGATGATTAGATATAAACAGAAGGTATATGCTCTCGAGTGACAAACCTAAGGGATTCTGGTAGTCTGGGAAGATGAGATATTCTCTGCCAGAATCAGAGGCACACGTTATTATTAACTAGAAAGGCAACAATTATCTCAAAGATCAACGCCTGTCTTGATAACATGTTATTATGCATGAATGAAACAATAAAGAGGTCTGGAACATACGCTCATGAAGAAGTTTGATGTTGAGGTACAGAGAGATAAGTAGAAATGTGTGCAAGAAGTTATAACCTTTTTATGCTTGTTGCTATGGTGGACGCGAATACTGCAAGTAAGCTGAGGGAGTCTCAAATAACAACACAACACTGGAAACACCCAGCTGCGGAATCCTTTAACGTATTACTAGACTTGTCCTAACAGCATTGAAGCTGGCTTGTAAACTGCTGCCATAACTTGTGCTTTTTTGATTAAGCGCATTCTCGACTGCTGCAATCCAAGGCTCATATATTCCAGCACTTTCACCAATCTCCAACATATCCTGAAGTGTATCATGGATTGTAGAAGTCTTGTACGCAGGGCAACCAAACGCATTCGTAGCAAGTAGAACCTTTGCACCATGGATGAGACGCATACTCATGGCTAAGGCATCTGGGCCTGACATCCATCCCAATATACCCCTAGCTTGCTTTTTACGCAGCTCCTCACGTAGTTCTGATAAACCTTCACACACCCAGGAGACAAACTTCAGGCCCAGATCTGTTGGGGGACCGCTATGGTCTAGTTGAGCAAGGACACTGGACCATATTTCAATCTCTCGAACTTCGTCAATATAAAGGTTTTGCTTCTCTTCAAGGAACAAAACTGTACTCTCCTTTTGAAGTTCATTAAGCTGATCTCGAATGGGGGTGAATGAGACTTTATCGCCTCTATTTCCCATAAAACGGAAGAGAGCACCTTCGAAGACTTTGTGAGATATAGGGAAAAACTGGGTGACGAACCTTGCAAGCGTCACGTTTGTTGTGAGAGGCAATTCCGGAGTTGGGAGCAAATCGGAGAAAAAGTTTGATGCGATATGAGTGGAAGCATCTCGTAGTTCTTCGTCATCGTCGTTTAACATATCATATAAAAGAAAGTAAATTTCAATGAAAGAAGCTGAATAGGGACTGTAGGCATCCATTCTTTCAAGTCCGAGGATAAGGCACTTCATAGCACAAATTGCAGAATACCTCGTTGAGAATTCCTACGTCAATGTTAGACAGCATTATTATTGGCAAGAGGAGAGAAAATCTTACTGTTTCCTCCGCCAAGGCGGACGACAATGTCTGAGCCATCTTCCGTAAATCAGACCTCAACTTAGTAGAAGATTCCAACGCTACGGTTGAATCAACTCGGAGGGGAAATAAACATCCTGCCAGATGGATCGAAGCATTGAACCTGGCGCGGTCCCAGAGTGGAGCGCCGCTCTGTTCCGTAAAGAAGTCCACAGATTTCGCCCAGCGCTTGAGAAACTGGAGTTCGGGGGGGAGTTGTGTTTTCCGTTCGTAAAAGCTCTCTAGCGATTCTGCAAGGTAAGACATCGCCGCGGTTTTTAGTAGTGACGACTGAGTTATCTCAATTGCACATTTATATAGCTTAATCGAATTTAATTGAAGGGCTGCACAATAACGGAAGCATCGATGAAGTCGATCCAGCACCCAGTGAGCACCGTCTATATCTGCGACTGAGATAGCTTCCAGGAATTGCGCTACCTCCTCCGGGGAGTCCTTCAATACTTTCAAAAAGACAAGATCGAAGGAAAGGAACCGCACTAAGAGTGATGACGATCGGGAAATCGAAGATCCTGAACTGGATTCCAAAGCCTTACCGAGGAGCTGCTCGGTTAGATAACCTTTGAGGATATAATCGCAACAAGGCAGTACTTTGTCTAGCATGTATTAGCTCTTGAAGTTTGAGAATGAAGAATGTCGGGCAATCACCTTCCTGTCCACATCCAATGCTCGCCTCCAAAATATTCGCTACTATTTCAAAAAGACAGGCTTTTATATAGGGCGCTAGCTTAGAATCATAGAAGCTCCTGAAGACATTCTCAATTATGCCCATTATATCGTTGATGTTACCTAGACCCGTTAATTTGCATTCTCGACGAGAACATAGGGCCAAACATACCACACCAATAACCAGCAGGAGACTCCCATAGCTTCTGAAGCAAATATTTTATGCACAAGAGTAACCCATGTACTTGATTTGGTAGTTGAGTTCGTAGTTCGGGGCTAGAAAGCTCTTGGGCGGTTTGCAGCAGGTCTGCCCTTTTCACCAAAGTGACGTACGTCCTCGCCGCATGATCTCTTATTCCCCAAACGGGATTTGAGAATTGGGATAGGGCTAACCTTTTTAAGATATCATCATCACTAGAAGGACGAGCAGGTGCCTTATTTCCGATCAGCTCAAGCGCAGGGAAGACCCGCTCAGTGAGTATGGAGAGATCCCAGCCCCTAGATGCTTCGGATTCATGATCCTTCTCATTAGACACAGGAGTATCTAAAAGGCCGGATAATAGTGGCACTAATCCGTGATACTTCTCAAATGGAACGCTGTGGTTAGAATCCGAACCAGGCATTATAAATATCCCACGACGAGATTCTGGGGTTGGGCGGCTCATCCGATTTATTAACGAGCGAAACAGCATCAAGCCGCAATTACGAATTGCCCAACTAAGTTAGGTTAGTAATTAAATGCGACATAGACATACCTATAAGGGCATACTTACATATTTGACCCAAGACAATTGGCTGAGATATTTAAGGATGGCATAACATATGGCTCCGTACTTTGGGCGAGGTTGGTATTTGTAAAGATATCTTTCAGGCAGTTCAATGCATGGACTTGGGGTAATTCCAAATCGGGCTTATCAGTTGTCTCCATGGGGCTTGTCCGAGAGATATTTTGGAGCTCCTCCATGATTTGTCGGAATAGGTTCCCCCCTGGCTGAGATGTGGCTATTCCGGTGACTATAGCTGGAAGACCAGCAGATCTTCGGGTGAGCCTGGACGCTTGATCGTAGATAATTCCAACGGTATCCTGATCAATTAGTCTCGTTTTGTGAAAAGTGAAGCGGCATATCTTACTTTATACCATGCAGCCGGTAACGCCCTTGTTGCAGCGTCATCAGACTGGAAGCAGCGTAAACAGCAGGAGGCGAAAGTCTGAGAGACGGTAGAAAAAGCACCCCTGTGTCTCAATTCCGCTAGTTGCTCGAAACTCAGTTTACCTATTTTTGAAAGTGTCTCGTATCCAATTCCGTTTTGGGAACCGCTGGGAGCAAACGTCGTATTTATCAAAATAGCGTTAAGTAATAGACTGGATTATTAGCGAATTTTTGACCAACCGAACTTCAAATTTGGGAGTCGTACCTTGATTCACGCAACGCCCGCCATGAGAATGAGAGAATATCTTTGGGGCCCGCTAGGTCTTCATCCGGATTCTCATGCTCTCGCTCCGGTGAATCAACACAGAGTACGTCTTGAACACCAAACCAAATTCTGGAGCAAATTGAAAGTATCCGTTTGAGGAAAGATGACCAAGCCGAGACCGAGTCCTGAGAAGAAGACACGATAGCGTGAAAATTGGGTGTTCCGACAATATACCTATACTCAGACGTCAGTTGACCGGCATGGGAAATTTTATGGCTGAACCAACCTTAAGGCGGAGACATGTCCTTGAAGCGGGGTATTGTGAAGTGTAGCATGGAATGATTTCACCGAACAAGAAATGCTTTGCTCTAAATTCAAAAGCAAGTTATCAACAATACCATACGGGGTCCTATTCGGACTTGAGTCGATATCAATAACTCCAGCAAAATCAAATAGAAGACGGTGCAGCCGGCCAACAGTGTCAGAGTGATCGGCTCTACTAGTATGACCCGCCATATCTTCAGCTCTTGAGACAGCGGCCACTAACTGTGAGTAGGGGCTTGGGCCAGTAGCTTCCGAACGTGTTTGGAGGAGGCCGCCAGGGAATAAGCGAAGAAGCATCATCGATGCCTCTCGAACATCGTCATATGGATCAAGCAGCAAGTCTGCAATAGCCCTGAATAGGCCGGGTCTGAATACTTCTATGGTGAAGCGCCAAGTTTGTTGTTCCTGGCCTAGTTTAGAGAAATGCGCCCGGTCAATTCGGTTGTCGACTCCGGACTGCAACAACAACAAGAAAACTTTGAGAGCTAGAATATGTCTTTGATATGAGGCAGTGGGGCGAAGCTCATTTTCGAGGAAGTCGATATACCAATATAAAAATGTTTTGGCATTCGGTGTGGTAATAACCTTTTGATTTAGTTGGGCATTTTCCAATTCAGGACTGCCGTCAGAGGGTGCTTGAATCGTGGTGGAGCTGCCTCGAAGTCTAATAGTTAGCCTCCTTAAAATACTAAGAAGCTGACTCCGGGTGTTGGAGTCCGTTTCTGCGTGTATGTACGGGAGGGTGTCTGTGAGGATCTGGAATGTGAATGGGGAAAATGGCTTTGCAGTAGCTGGATCTGTTGTGAGCAATGATAAGGCAGGGATCCTTATATTCTCATCTGCGTGGACCAAGAAATGCTTGTAGTCTCTCGAATCCAACAAAATTGACGATTTGGCAACGGCCGGACTAAGTTTTTCGAGATCTAGAGCTCATTAGCATTCGCCGTCCCGTTCGGTTGAAGCTATGACTCACCCTCTTTGTCATGAACCAGCCCTAGCTCCTTTCCACGCTCAAGAATGGCGAAGAGAAGAGTATATTCTTCATTCGAAGCTTTAGAGCGTGTTTTTGAACGAATGCTATCAAGGGGTAGAGTGCTTACGAAGGACAGGAAGTCCTTTGGCTCCGTTTTGAAAAGAGGGAAAAGAACATGGTTAGCTATGGGATCTAAACAGTCCAGATTCATTAAAGACACATATTTTAACGGTGCAACCCAAAAGGGGTCGTCATTTGCGTAATACCGAAACTCATAGGCGGCCGCCACGGATTTAAGTCGGCAGCACAACTGGGAAAATAGCATTCCTGCAGGGAGCGAAATATCCCGGTTATGAGTATTTAGTAGAAGCACTAGGCATAATATGCGGGCGGCATATAGATGTAAACTCCCTGGTGAAATATCCCGCCTGGTTTCCTCATCCGCAAGACGGGTTAAAGGTACTTTGAGGTCCGTACAATATTCGCCCAGGAGCGGGATCCAGCTTGAATGGTTGGCCCATAGCCACTCTTCCGCCGAATGAAGCCAGTCCACCACGTTGACGGCCTCTTTTCGGATGAGGGACTCCAGTGAAACGAGAGACGCCTTTAACCTTGAGCGAGGCTCAAACAGAATAATAGTCGGGACGGTAATCCTGGCTATGTGCTCGCACACCAGTCTAGAGGTAGCAGCGTCCATGTACTTTGAAAGGATCATGATCAGGGTGCCAAGGACCTGTTTCATGGGCTTGGGTCGGCCATTCTGATAGCGGTCCAAGAAGTCCTCGAAGACAGATATCCAGGTTTCTTTGGACAGCACAAAGTGGCGGAGCTCCTCATAGTCAGATTTCAAGGCCGACTCTAGATATGCGCTGACAGCATTGCAAATGGCTGTATTATGCGACCCGGGCAGGTTGGCAGCTGCAAATGTATGAAGAAGACATTTCCAGACTTGCAATAATTGCCTGGAAGGAATATTAATATCTACAGATGTATAATATATAACTTAGTTACTCCGTTGCTATGAAGGCGCTTACTGGATATCCCGAGATTGCAATATAAAAGAGCGCAGCGGGCCTTTGGTGATGTCCTTTAGGACCTGTTCAGGAACGACGAAAACCTCTCTATCAAGAAAATATGACTCCAGACAAAACTCCCTGGCGGGGTCGTGAGATCCCTCTGTCCCCGTAGGCCCCATTGTGTAGGGTAGCAAAAAGAAAAGATGAAAAGAAATGGAGCAAACGCCAATCGCTACTTCGTCCCGCCGCCCGTCAAAAAATTCGCTTTGCTTGAAGAGTGAGGTTCCGATCCGCGGCTATTCCCATTTAAGTTAGTTCCATACGTGAAGTTTTTCCCTGGCCAGCAGCCAATCAAGACGCAGTAATCCGGGCAAACAGAGCAAACTCAGCGTCGATTCAACTTTTTTTGCTTCTCAGGATTCAAACTCCAGCTCGGTGGAGGTTCTGATTCAAGCATTCACCCGCCCTTTGACAGCCCATTTTAGCAGTCAATCCAACAAGCGCAACAGGCGCACATATTTAATTGTCTCCTTTTTTCTCTTTAATTTGTTATTTCTTGTAATACCTCCATACTCTCATCATGTCGATCTGGGACACCCTCTCCGGCCGGAAATCTTCTACTTCCCCGGCTCCGGCTGCCTTCGACCCTTCTTCCGCTCACGATGTCACCTCTTTCCTCTCTAGCACAGCCATTCCTGATCCTTCAGAGTTACACCCTCTCGCGGGACTTAATCGCGAAACACTAGACTATCTCACTCTCGAGGACTCCACATTGAATGAACTCCCTGGTTCTCAATCTGCACTTCCTTCCCGGGGGTGGTCCGATGACCTGAGTTATGGCACCGGAACAACGTATCTCACAGCTCTGTCCATTGGAGGTCTTTGGGGTCTTACAGAGGGATTGAGGAAAGCACCTCCCAGTGCGCCTCCCAAGCTGCGGCTGAACGCCGTGCTCAACTCCGTGACAAGACGTGGCCCTTTCTTGGGCAACTCTGCGGGCGTGCTTGCTATGACATACAATGGAATCAATTCGACGTTGGGATATGCCCGTGGCAAGCATGATGCGGCGAATAGCATTATCGCTGGCGCACTGAGTGGGATGCTTTTCAAGAGCACTAGAGGCTTAAGGCCTATGATGATATCGGGAGGAATAGTCGCCAGTGTGGCGGCCGCCTGGACCGTAGGGCCGCCCATATCCTTCATCAGATTCGACATTGCTTGTTCTGACATCTACGCTTTTAGGTTGCCCGACGCGTGTTCTTTTCATAGAGATAACCGGTTCCCTCCCCGGACCTATTCGCCCCTACTTCCGCCGCGCCAGGATGCAGGTTGCGACAATATGACAGTCGCAAACGGCCTTCACCTTTGGAGTGCCTGCGCTGGCGATCCGATACTGAGCCTATGTAATTCATCTCGGACCCGAGCCACCGCCATTATCCTCCCCGTGTATTATTTACCCTTTTTTTTCGCTGGTTGATTAAAAAAAAAGAACGCATCTTCCACTCTGGCGCACATCTGAGAGGTATTCGAGTTAGCATTGTCCTCGCATTATTCGTATATGGACAGTGGGTTTTGTCAGTACGTCATGGGAACTGATTTCCTGTATTGTTTGTACATATAGAGGTTTTGGTTTGTTTAGCTTTTCTTTTTGCCCTGCTGGCTTTGCCTGCTGTTAGCTGGAGGAGTTTGACTTTCTCAGCATTTTATTCATTTAATGGAATGTGCTATGTATGTGTAAGTTAAATGAAAACCAACACTTTTGCATGATCCTAAGCCATTAATATAGAGACCTCATTATGCTATGTTGGATTTATCAAGCAATAGTCCTTAAAGCATGTAGAAAGCCTCCACGCACGACCCGGACCAACACCATCAACAACATACACTCACCGTTGTGCTAGGCTAGGCATGATGGATGGAAAATCTGAGGTCAGTACCGCAGACTACTCAACTAGTTGGCATTTAGATGGAGAGCTTTTCTGCTGGTGAAACTTTTCCATGAGCACCTCATTAGCTCGCTGCTTCCTGCTTGGTGCTCTTGCCAGGCAACAGCTTGAGCAATCAATCGTTGTCTGTGTTTGCGCGAGGAAAGCTCCATATTTTCCTCTTGATTCCTCGCACTTTGCTTCTTTAATGCAAGAAGCTGGGCCTCTGTCAACAGCCTAGTTCTTCGCAGGCCTCCAATTATCATTGTTATAGGATAAGATGGACCACATAAACACGCGCAACAATAGCTTGCCCATGGAAGCAGCACAATCCCGACCCGCAATGGTCGATGATATGATCCACTGGCTTTGGTACGATGGCTTCTATCGTGGTGTCGTGGGATGGGTGAATTATTGGCCCATAGATGAGTTATTCAACAACCCTCAGCCAGCGCCAGGGCTCCATGGCTTTGACTATGAAGATGGCTCTGACCAATTCGACATGCGGGACTTCGATTTCAACGCGGCGCTGGGAGAGGTGGCAAAAGAAACGGCTTTCAGGGAATATGTTAAAAGAATGATCAGAAGACACAGACAACTTCTTCCCGCAGCAATCGATGAGATTGATCGTAGGTTGCTAAGGGAAGGAGTCTCACAGCAGGAAGTGAATGATCTTACTACGGGAGCTGCATCCGACGCGTATGGGAAGTTGGCAAGGCTTGAGGAAGCCCGCCGTCCGTTTCGGATGCCGGAAAGAGTACAGTTTCGCGTCATTTCTGATCTTCCTGGTCGTGAATGGTTACCGTCTGACTTGTACCTGGAACATACCTGCAACCTAACGGATCTGGTGGACGCAATACAGCGCCATAGGCTGATCCGATACTACCCTGCTAGACAGATCGGATGGACAACAGATGAAAACAGGGGAGTGAACAATTATAGTAGCCTGTCCGATGATACGAATGATGGGACCAGGCGAAAAATGCTGGCGTACAAGCTAATCCCTACGGACAACGAAAGCACTTGGGTAGCACAAAACACAGACGGATGGGACACAATCTCTGACGACAGCGTCTTTGTGAAAATGATGGGAGAATTGCAACAGGATGAAACAAAGATAGCAGCAATATGCCATGTATGCTAGCATGGAGAACCCCAGCTGTGCCACGCGACCAGCCAATAGGCTAACTTAACTATTGATGCAGGAATCGACACTGGAAAATATAAGACAAAAACAGGAGCAAAGCTTAGCCATATTCCCGGAGGATTTCAGGCTACTCAAGCCGGAGGATATGGATTTAGATCTCGCGGCGACGTTTGAGTTTGCGACGGAGGCCTGGGAAGAGGTGGAAGGGTGCACACCGTTCCCTCCAGATTTTGACTGGAGTCGACTGGAAAATGGGAGAATTAAGAACCCAGACGGAACGCTGCCCAGCACGGACGATGAGCTGTGACAGACAGGCGATGGATGACGGTAGCTGGACGGGGAGATGATGCGTGTATGTATGGCTTGCGGAGTTATTCACTAGTAGTGATGTAACAAAGTCTTCACTATGCGAGGCGGATGAGCGAATGAGCGAGAATGTTGGTGTTTGCTTCGTTTGTCCTGGTTTCCAAAGCCGGTGGATGCTTCGATTCTCAAGTGTGATTGGCCGAATGTTGAGCGGCAGCGGAATAACCTTAAAGCCTAATTTGTTAGTCATGCACCTATCGAGTCCGTTAAAGCAGCACCAGGCCAGCGACGAACGAACGCCATCACGCTCCTCGCCTCGCTTCGTGCGCAGCCCGTCCACCGGAGCGAGTGAATAAAAGGAAACGATGGGACGCAGGAAGAGTGCACAGCTTTCGTCCCAAGTCATTCTGCCATCCCTTTATGGAGTGTCCCCCTATCTGGAGCCGAAAAGGACACCCGTTCAACGCCAACCGCTTCGTGTGCCATTGCAGTGCTGCTGTTACATCATCCTCGACTCAAGGATCCCCCCACCTTTTCGCTTCATGCACAAGCAGCTATTATTAGATCTTTGAGACGGGAACAACCTTCAGACCAACTTTGGCCCTTCAGGCCTCCAACGCCGTCTCCGTTGCGTCTTCGGTGACCACCCCGACGCGGCCTCTCTGCAACGGCCACATTCTCGATGGTAGAACGCAACCCTTCTCGGACGGAGCCTCATCCAGTCAACACCGGCGCTACAACACTTGGGCTTGATGCATCACCTCGAACTTCGCTGACGACGACGTCCACGACCATTTCGACCAAACATCCATCCACCGCCTCAGCCTCTCTTCCTGAGCAGCCCCAGCCAGGATGCCCTCCGAACAGGCTTGTTGGCCAAGCTCCGACAACACCGAACTTCAACGTCGCCCCCCACGATGACTCAAGGCTCTTGACCAACCTTCTGCCAAACGAACCTTCCACACCTCTGCAAAGGCCTCCTGCCCTCAGCGTCCGCACGGACTTTGGAGACACAAGAATCATGGCTCCGGGCAGCCAACCGGACCTCGATGCCCCTCTTCGAGCCAGTCTATCGTCCACCAGCTTGCCCCACAGAACGTCGAGCTTGCGCGCTGCTCTGGCTGCTCCACACTCCAGTACAGGATCTCTCTCTCCAGGTTCGATCTTCTCATCGCCGCAGCTCGCCGCTCTGACAGACATCACCCCGCTGCCATCACCTATCCAAGGCAACTCGCCTTGGAGATGCGGTAGTTATCAGTCGCTCCCAAGATCTCCGTCAACAGCATCATATCGGGGCTCCACCTTCAGTCTGAAATCGCTAGATCCGACCAGACCGCCGAGATCTTCATCTGGCCAACGTCGAGGTTATGATACCGCTCCGGGTGGTCAGGACCAAACACCTGCCGAAAAGGAAGTCCATATAAGAGTACCGCAAAACGGCCATGCGCGCAACCGGAGTCTTAGCGAGTATGTCCCGCCTGCTCTGCACGTTCCAGCAGTTCTAAAGTCTCCTTCGAATAGCTCAAATGGCGTTAGCTGTGTTTCACCTTCTCCTCGACGGACTGTGCAAAACAAGCTTCACCGTGAAGAGTACCTAGCCGTTCAACGTGGCTTAACGATTCCCCATGCGCACCCTCCAAGTCCACCCAGCACACGTCGTGGTGAAGAGAGTAGCGAAAACGGGATGGCCCCGGGTTCACTCGGGCCCAGTCTCTCCTCAGCTCAGGTGTACAACGTCAAGTCAGTCAGAACGCAGCAGCCCCGAAGGTATCGAATGATTCGTCAACTGGGACAGGGTACGTTCAGTCAGGTCGTGCTTGCTGTCCGAGAGGGACTCCCAAATGTGGAGTTCAACGGAACTCACGATATCCCCGCTCAGCCCCGGTTGGTCGCGGTAAAAGTAGTCGAGTATGGTCCTGCGGGCGGGGCTGATGAGGAGAGAGTCGAAGTGTCTTTGAAACGAGAAGTTGACATTCTCAAATCCATCCATCACCCTTCGATTACTCAACTCAAGGCTTTTGGTAGTGAACAAAAGAGGGCTCTCCTAGTGCTGGATTATTGTCCCGGGGGCGACCTGTTTGAGTTCGCCAGCCAGGCGCCAAAAGCCTTATCACCCCCGCTGATACGGAGGATATTTGCGGAACTGGTGGCTGCTGTGCGATATTTACACCAAAACCAGATCGTTCATCGTGACATCAAGCTCGAGAGTAGGCTTTTCTTTTCCTTTTTCTTTCTTTTCTTTTCTTTTTCTTTTTCTTTTTTTTTTTTTTTTTTCTACCCACGCGTTCTTCCCATTCCACGCATGCTGACCGTCGCCCTCCAGATGTACTCATTAACGTCCCCACCGCAGTGATGCAGGACATCGGTGAATGGGAAAGTTACCCGCGATCTATCGTCACTCTAACGGACTTGGGCCTATCCCGGCGCATTCCACAACCGCCGGAGAGTCCTTTGCTCCACACACGGTGTGGATCAGAGGATTACGCCGCCCCAGAAATTCTCATGGGCCAGCCGTACGACGGTCGATCCACGGATGGTTGGGCTCTCGGAGTCCTTCTCTACGCTATCGTTGAGAATAGGCTTCCGTTCGACCCCCTGCCTGGTACTCGCGGCGACCCCGCTAAATTGCGCGCTCGTACTCCGCATCGTATCGCGCGATGTGAGTGGAGCTGGTATCGATATGGCGATGATGATGGAGAATGGGATCCTGCGAAAGGAGCCGCACTGGACGGTGCGCAGCTCTGTGTGCAGGGCCTGCTGAAGCGGAGTAGTCGACGGATGCAACTAGATGATATTGCGAAAACTGAATGGGTTAGCAAAGCGATTAAGGTCCCCGGAGGGTTGAAAAGAGGAGACATCGAAGGCCCTTGAGGAACATTGTTGTTTTGATTATCCTTTTGTACTTTTTTCTTCTTTTCTTTTTCCTTTCCTTTTTTTTTTTTTTTTTTTTTTTTTTTTTTTTTTTTTCCTTTCTTTTCTTTCTTTTGGTTGGGAGAAGGGTTGGTGAGTATTTGCTGTATATCCTTGCTCCTTTCTGGCCTGGCAGATGTACTGTACAATGTTTGCTTTACCTTTTAGATGAGCGTGATTGCTCTCCGTACTATAAAGCCATATATGGTTCTTGGATGATTCATGTTTGGGATACCTTTGGCTTTGTTTCTTGATACGCTGTATTTTTAAGCTTCTCTTTGCTATTTTGGTGTTGTTAGCATGATAGGAGAAAGGGATCATGTATGTATGTGAACTGAGCCCTTTCTTAGTTATAATCACTTACATTCTATATATAGAGCATGTACATACATACAAATGAAAATGTTATATGCGGCAAATAACAATAATTGGAGATATTTTTTTATTAATCACATCTACGCGCGTACGATCCGTCACACCGCGAAGGCAAGTTTGATAGTTACCCAGTACAGGGTAGATCCACCAAATAATTCAGTTGCTGTTGGTTCTAATGTGCTCTACACAACACTAACTATCATTCTATGCACCCACTAGTTAGTGCATTCTTGAACCCTACTGCTCCTGAGCTACTAGTCAAAACCAATCCGGCATATAGATATTAGATCATGTCGTCGAGGCACTTTAGCACCCATCATAAAATGTTTACATTGCAGTTTATTCAAACAAGACCAGCAATTGTCAGCATCTTAAGTCTTTGATCAGTCAAATTCTTGTGAAACTATGCCAAATGGAAGGAGAGTCCGCCGACGTTCTTGGAGTATGTGATTGGGTTGCATCTCTGATGGGAGGCTTGCTGGGCATGTCGTGAACAATTCATGCGTTGCCCTACTGATGTACTGGGTGTGCAACCAGTGGAGTCAACATCGGGGTCCCACAGAGTTCTTCATCACAAGATGCGTAGAGTCCTGAGATTCTAAGAACATGAGCAGCAACTAAGTGTGATTAACCAAATCCTAGGGTCTAAAGTACGAGGCACGCGTTGGTTTCCTAATTTAGCCGCTCGAAGCCCAAAATTCGGAGAATTTTCTGGGTTTCCGCCTCTATGGGTGATCATCACTGGACAGCCGGCGGCCGATTTTTGTCTCAGCATCCAAAAGATGGTGACTGTCCGGTTGCGCTGTATTTCAATGTCGATCGAAAAGACATCCATGGCAAATACTTCGAGAAACGCGCTCGCAGACCCATTCAGTTGGAAAATGGCGTTGATAAGGCTGCAGAAAGTTGGGGGAGAGCTCGATCCAACAGCTACATATCAAACGCCATTCGCTAAGATGTGGCTAATTAAAAGAGAGCGGGGTCATCTCCCGGATGCCCTGCATTTCCAATCCCCGTCACCTCCACAGAACAGCGACAGCAATTGTACCTGGTAACTAAGAGAGAAACGGCTCGCGACGTAGAAAGGAGGCGTAGTGACCAGGAAGACGCCGTGAAAAGAGTGTCAAGGCCTCGGAAGCGCTCCAGAGTTAATGGAGAAGATAGGGTGTGTACGGCAACTATTCCTCTCCGTTCTCATCCAGGGTATGCTAAGCGAGAAATAGTACGGAGAACAGTACACTCTGTTTGGAGACGGATAAACTAAGAGAATTCAACCATTCAAGATATCACTTTATATAATATGCAACTGACAACGCGGTGTTCGATTAGTTTTCGGAGTTGCCCGGAGTTACTCCAGTTCAAATCTTGGCTCGGGAACTTTTGTGTCGGACTCGGTGAGATGAACACCCCAATTCCGGCCGAGACCATGTAAGTAGCGATTCATTAACGAGCACTTAGGGAGTGTTAAAGCTTCAGTACAGGGAACAAGAGTATTTTTGCCCGTTGGGGTCCGCAGGGCATGATGGCTACGATAATACCTTTTGGTACTATCCTTGACGGCATTCCGGCCTTTCAACACTTTTGGGAACCCTTCGCCTTCTCTTGGTGTCGGCAGAGTCATGTGTCGAACGGTGAAAAGGAAAGGTTTCACGAACAGAGCTGAACCTTGTTTGGGACCTGAAGTTTGTCTGAAGCCCTCCAGAGCAGCAGGAGCCGAAGCTCTCTCCCTTGGAGATAAAATAGTTAAGGGAGACAGCCGGGACGGGGGATATCCATGCAGACTTGGGTTACTGATTCCTGGTCTTCATCACCGCCTCCATCTGATGAAATTTGGTTCGACATCGTGATAACCTCCGCTACGATACACAGAACTCGTCATCTCCCACCCCTCTCCTCCTTAGTCAAGATGGAGTGGTGCCTTTTCGGGCACGAATGTTTCTCCCAGCATCCCAACTTTCGACATTAGCTATTGGACTCACACGAGGGGGTGGTAATCCAGAACGCCGCAGGCTTCGGACCCTAAGAGAAAGTATTTCAAAGCAGTAGTGGAGACGATGAACTCCCCTCGTGTCGAGAGACGGCTGAGGGAATCTGCTGACGAGAGGCGGCATCAAGGTAGTTGGCTTGCCAGAGATTCCCTGCTAGACGGCATGGCAGATAACAAGGGTTGAGACTTGCCGAGTCCAGTGCAGGGGATGTTTTAGCCAACCGGCAATCCCTTGGGTAGGCGGTAGACTTTCTTCGCAGTAGGTAGTGGGGGAATTGCCTTCGAGGACGAAAGGAGGGTGGAGATACCCGGTGTCGCCCGTGCCGAGACGGCGGAGGGTTTGAGGTGACAGATGGGCGGGCGCGATGTCGTGTTGGCGAGAGAGGAGGGGAGAACTGCACGCAAACATCTCAAACACCACGCGACATTGCAACCTTCTTCCAGTCCGGCCTTCACCAAGCGTCAACATCCAGCTCGCTCGGGTTTTATCGACCAGATCGACAGTGCCAGCAGCCCAGCTCACGAGATCTTCCAGCTGTCAGAATGATGTTCATCTCCCGACCACCTGGGGAGCCCCTGGACGGAATGCTTCTTTTGCTCCCCGACTGTAGCCTCGATAGGCTGGGGTTGCAGGATCGAAGATTCGATTCCCAACACCCCTGGTCCCTGTCTCCTCTTAATGGTGGCCAGGGGGTCGGGCCTGCGTGCATCTTATTGTTGACACTTAACTCAGATCATTGACTAGGATTATTCCTTGCGCGATACCAAATTTGGGTTAGCTGTTGACCATGGCATTGATCATCGCAAGAGTTTCTTTAACCTTCAACTACGGAGAACTGGATGAAACTAAACCACAACCACAATAGACACACGCGATGGCAAGATAGTGATGTTGCAATACAAACCGATCGCTGGATTCACATGGCAAGCATTCTACGGGATTGTGGAGCGCCGCCCCCGGGGGTGGCAGCCCGGCCTCAACCAGCCAAACATCCACCAGGAGCGCCTCTTCTGAGAACGGAGGCCTTCCTAGCCTTAGTTAACTAGTTGACTTATTTCTGGAAAACATGTTTGGCCAGCATGTCTCTCAATTCGTGTTCCCCCGTCATCCCCAGATTCAGTTCGGTGGATATCCTCCGCCGCCTCCACCCACAATGTAACGCCTGTGGAAGGTAGGTTTGAGGATATCAACCATCTGTGTCTTTGGGTCGAAATTCATCGACTTCCCGCGAACGGGATTGAGGACCTTGGGCGGGAGACGAGAATTTGTTATGGCCGGAATTCACTTTCTCAGGAGGTCAACGGGCATCGTTGCCTTCGATCCTTTCGGGGTGCCCTGCGCTGTGGCATGCGCGAAGGCTGGAAACATACCCTTTCCTCTTTTCTTTTCTTGCATCATATATCCGACTGCAAAAATGCCGAATCCACATTTTTCCGCCTATTCCCCGGGCCAGCTATTGGTTGTGGTCTTAGCATTCGCTTTCTTATTCATTTCCTGCAATACTCCGTACTCCACAAGGGATTAGACATCCACTTCCTGGGCATCGTGGCACACCCTGGCCATGACAAGCACTTTTTGGGTTTGCTGATCATGGTGGAGTTGTCGAGGGGGCAGGTATAAGAACCATCTGGTATCCCCAAGTCATTGAGGAACGCAACTGGTATTTTCCTCTCAACTTGGGAAAATTCATATCTATTTCCAGTTCAGGGATACCCCTTCATCATGAAGACCATTACATCACTTATGCTATTGGCCTCGGCCGGCTTGGCCAGCGCCGCCAACAGAGCCGCCATGGACCGATTGATGTCCATGAAGCTGGAGGCCCAGGACAACATGGAAAGGGACGGTCTCTTCGAAGCCGGTAGATACCGTGCTTCCCGCCAGGTCAAATGTGTGGACGGGAAGGCGGGTGAATACTCCTGCAACAATGTTGACTTGCACGGATTCTTGCCCCACGAGGATCTCGGCAGCCAAACCAGAAGGGGTAACGACATTTGGGGTAGGTGGATTCTGTCAGCTGTCCATTAATTCATGCCCTGGAAGCTAAAACATTCATTTAGGCTGGACCTCGCGGGATGGCCGGGAATTCGGCGCTGTTGGACAAACTGACGGAACCGCATTCGTGGAAATTATGAAGGACGGCAGCCTCGAGTATAGGGGCAGATTGCCAACCCAGACCTCAAACATCATATGGCGTGATATGAAGGTTATCGATGGATACGTGTACATCGGCGCCGAGTCACCAAACCACGGTCTCCAGGTCTTTGACATGAGAAAGGTAAGCATTAGTGCATGCAGCTACATCTATCTTCTTCATCTTCACTAAACAGCTTTTTGCGTAGTTGCTCAATGTCACAAGGCCCGTCACCTTCGACAAGACCAAGGACCTAACTGCGTGGTACCGTGGCTTTGGAAGCTCACACAACGTTATCTCCCATGAGGAGAAAAAGATGATTTACGTTGTGGGCACACCCCGCAATTCTCCCTGCAAGGGAGGTCTCTATATGCTCGATGTTTCCAATCCCGCCAAGCCAACGTCGCCAGGCTGTGCTCACCAGGATGGATACGTGCATGACGGTAAGCATAATATAATCTACATAAATGTTGTGGAAATCGGCACTGACATGCAGTCAAGCCCAATGTGTCATCTACACTGGGCCGGATAGGCAATTCAGGGGCCGCGAAATTTGCTTCAACTACAATGAAGATACCCTCACCATCATGGATGTCACGAACAAGCGCAACCCAAAGATCATCTCGAAGACCCCATACGTCGGTGCTGCGTACACACACCAAGGCTGGCTGACCGACCCCGTCAAGATGGAATACCTCCTGCTGGATGACGAGCTCGATGAGAGTGACAAGACAGGTGAAGCCAAGAACGGCCACACCACCACCTACATCTTCGACATCAAGTCGTTGAAGAAGCCCAAGCACACTGGAACCTACCAATCACCCGTCAAGTCGATCGACCACAACCAGTATGTTGTCAACGGCCTTACGTACCAGGCCAACTACGGCAGTGGCCTCCGTATTGTCGACATCAGCTCCGTCGAAAGGGATCCCACTGGCAAGTCGTTCAAGGAAGTCGGTTTCTTCGACTGCCACCCTGAAGACGATGAGCAAGGTGGTGTGGTTGACTTCTTTGGTAGCTGGAGTGTGTACCCATACTTCAAGAGCGGATACACCCTCATCAACAGCATTGAGAGAGGAGTCTACTCCGTGAAGTACACTGGGCCAGGAAGAAAGTACCACTGAGACGCATGGCCGTGATGCATGGATAACGGCTCTAAGACGAGCAGGAGGAGTGTTAACCTTCTTGTAAATATTTGCTTACCATCCTTGAGAGCTAGGTTTTAGCTGTACTCCGTACGGAGCAGTTGTCTAGTTTCGTAGATATGGAATTCAGAGATACATGTTTCTATGAACGAGCTGTCCAGTTGGTCATTCGGATTCAAGCAATTGGAGTTGAAAGTTAACTAGTTGCCCAACCCTCAAGCAGCCCCCTCCGAAAGAAGAGTCAACCCAGCCATCGATGCAGACTCCTGTCCCAGTGAGCTGCTCTTACAGGCCAAAAGATCCCTTGTTAATGCACAGCTGAACGATTTGTCCTTTTTATTTTTTCCCCCTCCCCCAAAAGCCGCCAGCGCGACAGAGCCACAAATGCGTTGGCTGTGATTGGCCGGCCACTGACTCACCAGCGACATCGGAGGGGAAGCTTGATTTTCCCCAAAGCGCGTTTCTCCACTCGAGCTCTCCAAGAAATAAAAAGCTGAACCCGGGCCATCCACCGACAGAAGTCCACGCCGGCCCTTTTAAGCTGTCCATTGATTAGCTGCGTGCCTGGATCGATTGAATACTAAAGTCTGACTTTCAACTGAGTGCCCAGTTGACGGATTGGCGGACCTGCAACGACCCCTATTGGCACCCTCGCCGAAATGCTTCAGCTAAGGCCTCGCGGGCATATGCCCTACAGGCAATTGCTCACTTATCTCTCTCAGTATGCAGAAAACTAGGCTTTGGCTTAAAGCTGGTATACTATTATAGCTAACTCTCTATTTTTTTTTAAATTTACAGCCGTGCCTTTTCTTCCAGATCGACGTTCCAGCAGAAGTCTTCGTCGAATCCCCCGTCAAAATCAGGAAAGCCATTAAATGAAGTATCCAGCCATATCACGCAGCCAATCTCCCAGGGCGCTTCCCAGGCTATGCTTTACGCTACCGGGCTTTCGACGGACGACATGTCCAAGCCTCAGGTCGGGATCTCCAGTGTCTGGTACAATGGGAATCCCTGCAACATGCACCTCCTGGACCTAAGCAACATCGTGCGGGAAGGCGTGCAAAAGGCAGGATTGATCGGATATCAATTCAACACCATTGGTGTTAGTGACGGAATTAGCATGGGAACAAAAGGAATGAGATACAGCTTGCAGAGCAGAGACCTAATCGCCGATTCCATAGAGACCGTCATGGGTGGTCAGTGGTACGACGCAAATATCAGTCTGCCGGGATGCGATAAAAACATGCCGGGAGTTATCATGGCTATGGGTCGTGTGAACCGGCCGAGTTTGATGGTATATGGGGGAACGATCAGGCCGGGCTGTGCTGCAACACAAAACAATGCTGATATCGATATCGTGTCCGCCTTCCAGGCATACGGCCAATTCTTGACTGGGGAGATCTCCGAGGAGCAGCGATTTGATATTATCCGCCATGCCTGCCCTGGTGGTGGTGCATGTGGTGGAATGTACACCGCAAACACCATGGCTTCGGCTATCGAGGTCATGGGAATGACCCTTCCGGGCTCTTCCTCCAACCCAGCAGAATCTAAGGCAAAGAAGGCCGAATGTCTGGCTGCGGGCGAAGCCATCAAGAACCTTCTCATCGAGGATATTCGACCATCCGACATCCTCACCAGGACCGCATTTGAAAACGCCATGATCTTGGTGAACATCACTGGAGGCTCCACCAACGCGGTCCTCCACCTCATTGCCATGGCCGACTCCGTCGGCATCAAACTCACCATTGATGACTTCCAGGCCGTCAGCGATCGTACCCCGTTCCTCGCAGACCTTAAGCCATCCGGAAAGTACGTCATGGCTGATCTGCACAACATTGGCGGCACCCCATCCCTGATTAAATTCCTACTGAAGGAGGGTGTCCTCGACGGTTCGGGAATGACTGTTACCGGTCAGACCTTGGCCAAGAACGTAGAGAATGTCCCTGACTTCCCATCTGACCAAAAGATCATCCGACCTTTCAGCAACCCAATCAAGAAGACCGGCCATCTTCAAATCCTCCGTGGCAGCCTCGCTCCTGAGGGGAGTGTAGGCAAGATCACAGGCAAAGAAGGAACAAGTTTCACAGGCAAAGCTAGAGTGTATGACGATGAAGATGATTTTATTGCCTCTTTGGAACGAAACGAAATTAAAAAGGAAGAGAAAACTGTCGTTGTTATCCGATATACTGGACCGAAGGGAGGACCAGGAATGCCAGGTATGTTTGTTGAACCTTCTTTTGATGTGATTAGAAGCTATATGGCTAATGCTTCCCTATAGAGATGCTTAAGCCTTCTTCTGCCCTGATGGGTGCCGGATTGGGCTCTTCTGTTGCCCTCATCACGGACGGGCGTTTCAGTGGTGGTTCTCATGGCTTCTTGATCGGACACATCGTCCCTGAAGCCGCGGTTGGCGGACCAATCGCCCTCGTTGAAGACGGCGACATCATCACCATCGACGCCGAGAAGCGAGTTCTCGATCTTGAAGTCGGTGAAGACGTTCTCGCGCAAAGAAGGAAGAAGTGGCAGGAGAAACAGGAGGCAGGCCTCGGTCGTCCAACTGGATTGACGATGAGGGGAACTCTGGGTAAATATGCCAGGTATGTCGATTAACCGGAGTCCTTTTTACACCCTCCTTTTTTTTCCCCCCTTTCTTTACTGGATGCTTACTGATAACCCCTGTACAGAGCTGTGACGGATGCTAGTCATGGATGTATCACCGACGGTGTATGATTGTATGCATTTGGATGTACCAAGGATTCTGGGAATTAAAATTAGCGATTTTGAATACAAAAAAACCTTGAAAATATTCATTGACTTGATTATTTTTCCGTGGTGATGTACTTGTCAAGATCGTATTGCTTCAATGTCCGTGAGCTATCATAGGAGGTACAAACGAAGACTGAACCTCTGTAGATATATACATGTCCTGTACTCCGCAACCGCAGGTGATTGACTATTCGCAAATTCCGATGGACGCTGGGACGCCCTTTAAGGATTCGCGTTCATGAGTACAGCATAAAGACGAAAAAAAACAAAGGGGTAGAGATGTGTGCAGTCTGGAGAATAGAATGTGGGGCGTTATATTCGAAGCCGGGTTTGGAAAAAGGTAACTGAGATCGAATGGGCTTCCAGGATCGCAAGACAAATTTTAATTGAAAGGAAGCAGAAAGGAAGTTTGTTTGGACAAGCCCAGATCTTTTCCCGAAGAACCCTGTGGAGTTTGTTTCATCTGGTTTCGTAGCGGGGATGAGATGCTAAGACGCTTCGTGTAATTTCGCCCAGGCCGCCTCGGTTGCTAAACTCTCCACTCGTTTCTGGTACAGCGCCATGGAATGCATACTGACATCGCCAAATACAACTCTGGCTAGCTCTTCGTTTCGCGTTAAATACGCTCGGGCACACTGTTTCCCCTCTTTTCCTTCATTGCCTCGCAGGATTATCAACCCTCCTGGCAATGTCAGCTTCGGCGCCGGTCTGGACCATACCGCTGACGTTGCCTTGCGCTTATCGAATTTCTTCCGCTCCCTCGAGATCAGGAAGGCAAATTTACGGGAGAGGAAGCCCGCTGGTTGAACGGGAGGAGGAGGAGTGTTGTATAGGTCGATGAGACAACGGACGTATGGCCGTTCGGCGAGGGTGACGGGATCGCCTTCATTGATGATGCTGAAAAACAACCAGTTTTGGAAATCTTTCTCGCTTGGCTTGTTAAGAGGCTGGGCCGAAACGGGTGGTGCACCGAAAGTAACGCAATGGATTCGATTGAAGGAGCGCCGGAGGTTGATGAGATCGGACTTGACGTTCTGAGAGAGCATGTGTGCGTAGAGGAGACTTGCAATGGCCCCGCCGGTGGAATGTCCGGTTATAACCAGCGAACCGGCAGAACGACACGGGTTGTCTCTCAGAATTTGTCGGAGACGCGAGGCTACGGGCTTAATCAGTTGTCGAGCAACGCCCAAGAAGCCCGCGTGGCACAGGTTATCAGAATTGTCGAGGAACCCAGCTGGTGACTGGGGCTCTATCGTCATATTACTAGCCCAATCTTTGAAAGAAGTGTACATTGTTCCTCTAATCGAAAGCACGACGAGATCAATGTGGTCTAGAGCAACGGACTTGATCACCATAGCATTGGTCCCGCCTTTAACGTCGGCCTCAACAAAGGTTTCCCTTTCCGAGTCTGAAGGCATGCTATAGGCACGCTGTGAGAATTGTGCAGCGAGACAGAGGATAGGCCATATGGGAAGGGTGCTATCAAAACAAACGTTAGCTTCGAATCACGGACCGTCCTGAAATCCGCCCGATCCGATTGATGACATACACTCGGAGATGTGGCAGGTTCGAAGGCAATTGGGAATTCCCATAGTTATACACCGTCGAAGAGAAGTTTATCTGTCGGGCCGAAGGGACCAAAGAATCACGTTTTGATGCTTTAGACTTCGTTCCCAGGGAAGATTGTGATCTAACGTGCAACGGTCCGAGCGGATCCACGTTCATTACTGCGCAAACACACCAACGTCAGCAAGGAAAAAACACATATATTAACATGAGCATGACTCACCCAGATCTTTTTCTTCCCCGCTGAACGATTGCATGTCTATTGAATTGATCAACTTCACAAATTGCTCGAGTATGCGGGTTGAAGCATCGGGGAGAATATCTGGCACTGATTCCCTCTCAGTTTCGCTTGTCTTCGAAGCTGGTGAGGCTGGAGTTACAATCGGTAGACTGGATTTAGACAATCTGCCCGAACGGGCATTGATTCGTGCCGGAGGTGTGAATTTGCCCATATGGAAGGACTGCCTGCTTGATCCAGGGCGTGAAGTGACTGAAACAGCGGAAGCTTGCGGAAGACGGCACTGTGAAGATGGGACAGAAACGATTGAGGAAGACTGAATATAATTCGCGGTATTACTCGAAGACGGAGTCAAATCCTCCTCGGAGGAAATAAATGGGACGTAGAGAGCGCGAAGCTCCTTGAGGTCGCGAACTGCTCCATGGAAGGAGAGCGGCCGGTCATTCGAAGAAAGTGATAGAGAGGCTTTGGATTCGGATTCTTTTGATGAGCGCAAATGTGCGGATTCCGGACGAGCATATGGGTAGAAGTACGATGGCTCGGGCGCAAAGAGCGGGCTTGTGCTACGCTCCTGGTTGACCTGTGCGGCCCTTGTAGGGGAACCTCCGTGCTTCATGGCGCTAGTCATCTGGATGTCTCGAGGTCGCAAGAACAAGTGACTTGACGACCGTATGTTTAACGAGCGGCTAGAGACTTCATGGAAGATGGAAGATTTGGTTTGATGGCCTCGTCGTGTGTTATCGCTTGATGTCTGACATCAGATATATGCGACGCCGCGTATCACATTGCCACAGGTACCTGTAAAAAGTGGGTTAGCGAGGCCAATGGGCCGAAGATTGTTGCACACAGCAGTTCGTCAGATACGTACCCGTTTAGCCGCGGACATGTTAATAAACTTGGCGCTTCCCAGTCGTTGGAGCCAGATCTGCGGCTGGTTTCCGATCTTGGGCTCAAAAATCTCGCTGAAATGAAAGCGAAACTAGGAATATGTTACACTTTCTCAGAGTGATGGGAAGGAGGAAGTATTTCAGAACTCAGTGACATCAACGACTTGGCGGCTGAATGCAGAACTTAACCCGTCCACTTCAGCTCCGCGTTACTGAAGACGGGACAGCTTGACTTGCCCAGCAGCAGGATGCAAGTGACAGACACAAACACGAATGTCCGGCCTGCCTTCGATTTTAATATCGGCTCGAACACCGCAGAGCCGTGGCCCTTTCTAATTGATGGCCAACGTTCGGGGTCACTTGCAAGGATACTGTAACCAGCATGACAGGGACCATCGAACCAATATTGTTAGGGGGTCAACATATTTGGCGCAGGTGATTCGATGCATTGTCCTCGTTTGTGCACCACTGCTTTCGTGGAAAAACGTGGAAAGACGATCCCGGAGAAGGTGAGAGGTCCTACGTACTCCGTCCTAAGCATGATTTGGCTGCGCTGGAGTAAGAGTGACGAGTTGGCACATCCGCCAGCGCCCAACGGAGTAATGGTGGGAGTCGATCATTTCTTTGCTTTTTTTTTCTTTTTTAGTTTTCGCGGTCAAGAATCCTGAAAAACATGAAGCATTAGTAAGTTGGATGATCAAATAAGATATCATAGTTTGTCGAATATTGAAAAGTCAAATAACCTCAAGCAAACAAAAGGTCAGTCAACTAAAATGATCTAGACTGGTTATCCGGAAAAAAGAAATTGCCTGCGTGAATTTATATCCCTACAATAACACCCCAGCTCCAGTCATAAAACCTGTCTCAAAAGGACATAATTTGCGGCTGGACTGCTGCAACCAGGCCTTTTCTCTCGGCATAACGCCCCAAGGGTGTCGCAAGAATTCGGGCCCAGGGCCTTGTCTCGTTTTGGGGGTGATAGAAAATTGACAAATGGAAGCATGTCTCAAGTGTTGTGGCGCTGAAGGATAGGAAAACAGAGCGATCATATAACGGCGGTCAATTAGCCAGACCAACCCCTTACAGTATTGTATGTACATACATTTGCTAGATAGGAGCGCATAACATTTCCAACATTGTCGGAACAATTCCACCGTGTCATGTGAGAGCTGGGAGTACGACGGCTTTTCTCACAACGGTCTACTGATTGCGTGGAAGTTCACCTCCTGGAACATGCTTGCCCTCATCTGGACCAGTGCTGTAAGCTCAAGGATAAATTCGTACAATATAACGATGTTCGTTAACACATGCCCGAGCGTCACACAGTCCCCATTCGTTTCGCCTGCCACGTCGTCGTTTGGAGTCTCTACATTTCCAGAAGCGGTGGGCGCAGGAGCGACGTCCAGATGCTCAGATCTTCGACTCAAGGAACGGGTAGACTCGGTTGATATAGGGCTTGCAAGGCGTCTATGGAGGCCAACGGGGTGCGAACGCAGGCAGGATTTGGAAGGTGACTGTGACGATGGACGGTGAGATGATAGATTGCGGGTCGGGGAAATAGGGCGCTTTGACTGAGAGCGCGCGAAGAGCGATGAGGAATTCTCCCCCACCCTTTGCCTCTGCGATGATCGTCGCCCTCTGGAAAATTCCATACTGGGATCCCCTTTCATCCCCGCAAGACCACTCGACTCATCTGATAAATGCGCTCCCATTTCCATCGCTGGGTCCGCTGCGACTGTCTCTGGATCCCTGATGTGGAGCAACTCTCGTCGGCCTGCTAATAAGGCATCAAAATCGGGTATTGATTCACGCCAACTTTGAACTTGCTCAACCAGCGCAGACAACACTAATGTCAAAGCTGGGGAATCATCGTGGGGCCAAGAAGGATGTGCGTATGCACCATTCAGCTGGCTGTCAGGATCTCGGCACTCTGGGCTGAGAGGTCGGTTGAACGGCTCAGCCGAATCCCGAGTCTTTCTCAAGTCTTGTAAATGTCGATATTTCTCTGCGGGGACCAGGAGCCAGCCATCTAAAGAGACTAGGTTCGAAGATGCCAAAGCCGTCACCGAACTTGTTAAAGCAAGGTTCGTGATAACGTTGTTGGTGAAAAAACTCCTCAGAAGATCCAGCATTCCCCTGAAAATGGTGTCGTCAACCTGGAGAATCGATGGGCTCTCCTGGTTAGAATCGGATAAGTTGCTCCAAAGCATCATTGATGCTCGAGAAGAGAGCGCCCCGGATGCGCTGGCGAGGTAACTCCCGTAGGATTGATCAAGTGAAGGGCTATCATAAATCGTGGTTGCGAAACTGAAAAGCTGCTGCAATTCAGCATTCAAAGCCCCAAGAGTCCTCAGATTTGGAGTCGCTTCCAACCTTGTCGACGTCTTTATGAGCGAGCTGGCGAAGTGGTGATGACGTTGCATGATGGCTGTGATAAGTCTTAGCGTGGCCACAAGGGTTTGGTTGTTTTGTGATTTAATGCTCATCGATACCAGGTCCACCAGGTTGAACAGAGTAGGTGACGGTATTGCCGCAGCTTCTGCGAAGGATGATAGGATGTCGAGTGACTTGCGACGGCTAACTGACATCTTCGGTTGCTCCACAGGCTTGGTTGTTATGGCTTCACCCTCAGACGGAGATGCTAACAAGAAATGCAGAATTCGGTGGATGAGTTCGGGTTGATCGATAGACTCCAAGATCCGGGACAAGTACGTGATGACAGCTGGCGTCGAGCCTCCGTCAACGTCGGAAGACTCGAGTAGCGATGGGTATCTGCGTCAGTCATCAATTCCCTGTGCTCTAAATCGGGTGTTTGGGGGGGGGGGGGGGCCGCCTACAAGAGTTGCTCAAGAAATAGAACTTGGAAATGGTCTAGAAGGGTATCATTCAATTCGACGGACTTGCAGTGGTCAACGGCATCCTGCCAAAACAAAAGGTATGAAAGGAAAGAATCCATATTACCGCCTAGATCGTATCGAATGAAAGCCTCCAGGCGAGTATCGTCGGACAGAGCGATAATAGGTGGGATATCTAAATCGTGAGCCTGGGGCAATATTCTGCATCTCTCGGTTAATTGGATGCATGTAAAAGACAGGTATATGAGTGTCTATAGGCATACCTTCCCAGCTGACTGTACAAGCCTCCAAGCCCAGTCGCCATCAGTGTAGCCATATCGCTCTCAATAAGCCAACGCTCGAGATCCTTTGACTTGGAAGCGGTTTCAATTATATATAGAAGGCCGGTGCGGGCGAAATCGCCTTTTCTTCCGGCACAGTGGACATAATCCAGAAGTAAATAGAACAGAGGGAACTCCTCCTTCCTAGTTGCCCCTGCAAAAGTTTCGCCGGCCTCTTTTATCTCCAGCTCTTCTTCTTGAGAACCCTTTGGGAAGAACCACGCTGGTAGGATGTTTGGTCGTAGTCGGATATTGTTGGCAACTCCGAATATCAATTCTACCAGTTTTCCTTCGCATTCTTCGCCCGCACAGCTTGCTCGTCGCGCCAAGTCCACCAGTGCCCTCGAAAATGTCCGGTTATCGACGATGCCGTCGACCTCTGCATCGATCAACATGTTAAAGAAAACGGCAGTCGCGGATACGATGCGGGGATCGTACGTCGTCAAGGCAAGCTTGGCGATGGTCAGATAGACCTGCGAGGTAGCAGCGAAGGCGAGGCATGGATGCGGCGATGGCCCTCGGGATTCATCGCTGAGGATCGCATTGAGGCGGTCGATACAGGTTCGTATGCGAGGGATGGACGAGGAGTCTGGAGTGAGGGAAGCGGAATTGCGCCATATTTGCTGAGCAACATGTGAGTACGAAGATCGAAAAATGGTTGCTGAATGAGCGGAACTCCTGATTCATACATAGAGGGCATTGTAGATGTGTTTAAACGTGGTATGACGCTCGGTAGTAGCGTTGCGGCGAAGGGACCCAGTGGAGGAGGGAGCACCTCCGATGAGACGAGACCACTACTCGCTTGTCAGTAACGAGTTAAATCGAGAAAAAATATTGGCTCATACAAAGTCCATTATTCATACTGTACGCTGGAGGTCTCTGTCAAGTCTCGGTGAGTAGGAGTGTCGTGGAAATCATCCTGATACTTAATTCATGACGAGGATGTCACAGCTTTTTGCATCTCTCTCCCCTTGAGTTACTTAACCTCAAAGCTCCCGGTAACTAACTACCTGATATAGTCAAGAGGGAATCTGGATTTTCCCAAAATACTCTATTAGCACTAGTCCCGGAGGCGCTGGAGGCAGGCTGCTTTTACCCGGCTGCCTCACCAAGGCGAGGGTGAGGAGGGTGAGGCTTGGGTGAGGGCGTGCATTCACCCAACTGGGCCGGCAGAGTGCCAAGTCGGTTAAAACTGCCCCAAAGCGTTTCAGGGGACGGAAACCATCAGCTCTCGGCCTTCCATGAAACGTTGGTGACCTTGCGCCCTGAGCTTCACGCAAAAGCTGCCCTTCCTCATCGCGTTCTGGAGATTGCCATGAGTCCTTGACTCCTAGTGGTGTTTGCGGCCTCGCGATGTCCCTTCCTACAAGTTATTGTCCAGCCGGCGGTACACCGCCCTCGCGCCTCATCTGATGTAAAAGTTTTAGAAACCAGTTATTGCTCGGAGCACACGAAAGAGTCTGTATTTGGAAGTGCTAGAGGACGACCCATCTCTTGCCAGCCATTATATACCCAGACACTGGAGCTCTCTGCTAACATATGCTGGGAGGCAGCGGGGCTGTTGCCTGCCTCGTCCATTTGCCGCAAGCAGCATGCCAGCTTGTCGGCGAGGCTAGATCCTCGTAATGATATGATGTCAGCTGTTAATCCTTTGGCCGTGCCGCAATATGCATGCACAGGAACCAGGGATCAGTCAAGGTAACCACACTGAGTGGTTCACGGCTGAGCAGCAGCCTACTTTTTCTTTTGAACTGAGTCAAACGCGAGTGCTTGAGCTCTTTTGTCTATGTTCCAATCTCCATGTGCAGGGATCGAGTCCGAGCGCCCACACACCGTGCCGGACACTGAAAAAGAAAGTATGCAATCCAGCACGTATCCAGCGTCATTTGTATGAAGAAGGCGACGTTGTTTTGACCCGCCCCCCCCCCCCCCCCCCCCCCCCCCCCGATCCAGTGATCTTTCCCAGGGATCAACCCACTTTTTCGTCGGCTGGAAGTTTACATGAGACCGGTGAAAGTCTATGATCAGAACCCGGCCCAGTTCATTATTCCATAACATGTTATCACGCCGTAAGTCCTGGTGCACGACTCCTAATATACGGATCTGCTTTCTTGACTGGGAGATCTCACGGCGGTCGACCTCGTCACCATAATGCACTCCTGGTGCGTCGGATTGGCCAGGAGCCGCAGGGACATACTCTCTGACCGGAGCACCATGGTCAATCCCTTGCCCCGTAGGGGTAAGCAAATAGCCAGGTCACAGGACAGGATATATATCTCACGCACACCCTCCCGATAATATACTCGAATTGGGGAATTTGCCGTAGGAGGTTGGATAAGGGAGAAATTACGAGGCTCAGCCATCTCGTAGTAGTAGGACAAGGCTGTCTTGGAAGGAAATGGCGAGGAGGTGGTGATGAAGAGTTAAAATTGATGCCGTAGTGCAAGAGAGAGTGAGAAGCGCAGGTCAAAAATTTGACTGAGAGACAGAAGGGATCACTCTCCCAGTGCGTGCTTGAGGGCCCCAAGAGAACAATTCTCTTTGTTTGTGTTATGGGCCTCACGGCTTGATGGCAGCCAAGTCTCTTCAAAGTTACTATTATGGCCCTGTCCTCCTTCCCGCCTAGGGCATGAGCCTGCCGCCCGCACGGCAACAGTGTATGGGTCTGTGTTGTTCTTATCAGCCAGTAGGCCAAACGCCTCGTCTACTCGCGTCTCATCTCTTGTCACCTGTCACCGAAAACGCTTGCATATTCTATGCGACTATCCAACGCTGTGGAATTTTGAAACCCTCAGCCTCGATACAAAGGAAAAAGCCGACATTATCCGTTTATATTAAGTCCAGTGTTAATATCATAGTTATTGGAGCAGCATAACAGCGCCCACAGTCTGTAGTGCATCAAATTTATCAGTTAATCTCCTCTTCATGATCCTGAAATGGCTATTGCTCTTGAACGCATCGCTCCTCCTGCGTATCAGAACCATCCAGCAAAACCTTCTTCAGCTCCATATTCTTCTTCACGACGTCCTCGTAAGCTTCGGTCCTAACCCAACCATCATCACTCAAGCCCTGTAGCTCTGACTTCCAGTACTCAACAAGACTGTTCATCTGAAACCACGTTGGCTCCTGCTCATAGTGCATATCAATCTCAGATCTAGCGAAAGATATGGGGCACGGGACTGGTTCTGGCAGGCTTGCACTAAAATGGTCCCAATTCTCAGTTATTCGGATGAGGGCCGCCTTTAGGCTGAAAACGTCTCCGCTCCATTGTTTCTCAGCCCTCTCAACAAGGTGTTGTGTTAGGAGGACACGAGGGTCTCTCAGTCCTGACAGGTGTCTTTTATTTAAGCCACCATTAAACACCATGTAAAGATAAAATAATACTCTGCGTCTGTGGAGTTCATCTGCCTGAGACTTCTCCTCTGGGCTGAATGAGTCATAGTCATTCGGGAGGACCGGTTTCTCGAGTGTTTGTGGTGGAGGGTGATCAGGGCTCTGGAGCATTGGGGGATGCCCTGTAGCGAGTAGAAGTGGGAGCAAGGCCGTATGTTGCCAATCGATGATGCAAGAAATCTTGTTGGTTTCCGGGCGAATGAATATATTCCCGGGAGTAAGGTCTAAACACAATCAATCACTAGTTCTGTTGGTGTGAATGGGGTTTACTTACCTGGGTGGCGCAAAGTGGGACGGTTCAACTCACTGTGTGGATCGCCGCCAAGTAGGTAAGTACGGGGCCACAGCCATGTACTGGTTCAGGAGCTGGATGTGGTCGTGCGGGGACTTGATGCCTTCGAAGTTGACAACATGGGGAAATCGGACAGGACGGGGTTTACCATATCTTTTTGTCCACTCACATTCCCGTTTTCCTATAGCAACCAAGTAGGCCTTCGGTGTTTTCCCTAAAGGGTACTCTATTAGCTCGCCTTCCCTCAATTAGGGCAGAGAAGGGCCGGTTTGGAAATCATTACAGGGGGCCGCGATCTATACCCAACTCTGCGCGTTTGCCGTACCAAAACATGTAATCAGTCGTAGGGCCAATACAAAACCGCTCATCTGCGGATGACATGGCTGGGTCGGTGCTCTCTGCATAGAGGTCTTGTTGAAGGTTTGATGGGACATCGTTCCTATAATATATGCTACCAAAATGGCCAAAGGGGATGTCAAAGATCTTTGTCTCAATGTCGACCAAACTTGTCACAAGATGGTGCCGTTGTTGCTTTGATAGATTAAACCATCTCTTTTCCAATGGGATTCCAGAGGCTTTTTCCATAATGATATACTCGGCCCCGACAGAATTGTTTGGGTCAGCGGACCAGCCAAGTATACGTGGGACAGGAATTCCCTTTGATCGTAGAAGGTCTGTTGTGGCCACTTCGCTGGCAGTGGTATAGCGCTTTGGAACGGTGATCATGTAGGGAACTTTGGCGACAGCCTGAAATCCATCTTCTGTTGTAAGGAGGAATACCCGATTGAACCCTCCTTCAGCAAGTTTTCGCAGATTGGTGATTTTACCTCGTCCAACATGTTTTTCAGCAGCATGCTTCAAAGCAGCAATATTAAAATTAACCCGTCGTTCCTCAAGGCGACGCTGTTCGTTGTAAAGGAACCGACCGGACGTGTATGTAAAGAGTTCATCATTCATTCTTGTTCCTTCAATAGGTTAGCAACGTAGCTGCAAGTCATGAGTAAAAGAAACGAACCCATTGCACGGCAATTCCATACGAAGGCCGAGCCTATGGAAGATCTCGAGAGGTATTTTGTGAAGCCAAAGGTGGATGAAATGTTGGATGGAGAGAGATTCAAAAGACCCCTCTGAGTTGGCGTCATTTTGTTGTGGTCAAGTGAAGCATTCTGCCATTCTTCGAACTCGGAAGTCGATTTATTTTAATAGATACTACGGCAAACCCACTGAATGAGGCCGAGAACCTTGTGCGCGAACGAGCGGATACCTTCTACTGTGAAATATTTGGACAGACTTGTTCGCGTTTAAAATATGAAGACATGACAGACTTGGGATTAGATGATGACATTATGAAAAAGGTCTGGCAAATGCTTGGGTTAGTTCCATTGAAGAAGCTGGTCATAACCAGCAAGGCCCTTCTTGTGATGCAATCACCAGTGAAATCTAGTGATAAGATGTCTGCTGAGCCAGATCCAGAGCAGCCTCTACAACATGCAGACCCACCAGAGAATGAGGCTCTTACAGAAATCACAGAAGGTGATCTGAAGACACCAGACAGTCCACACAAATCTTTACAAGACTCTGCCCCTGTCAGAGTTCTAATACCAGGTAAGTTACACCACCTGCTGTTGAGTGTGAACATATGGACCTTGATAATTTACCCTTGACAGATCTCAGCAGCTTGCCATCTTTGGATAAAACAGATGACAATGACAAGGAAAATGAGGCATCAGAAGATGGAACAGAAAATAGTGACAAGGAAATTAAGAAATCAGATACTAGCAGTCAGAAGTGTAAAACTCTGCTTTGCACACAGTCTCTGTGTAGCATCAAGAGATCAAGAGTTTCTAAGAATTCATGATGTACTTTAGTTTTTTACTCACATCTAAATTGTAGCCCCATGAGTTTTTACAAAAAAATGAGAATGATACTAGTCTTGAAATTATTTATTTTAATATGTAGAGTTAGAATTTCCAGATAGCTAAGAGTACAAAGTACTGGTGAGAGTGGTACCTTGGCTTGGTGAGTAAAAGGGGCAACTAAAGAATGATTTGGTGAAGCCTGGCAGGCCCAGAGCCATTACAGATAGAAGAACTCAACCAGAGCTAATCCAGAGCAACAAGAAAATCAAAAATGTGGCCCAGAGTACTCCGTACGGAGTACTGTAGATGATGTGAACCAACCACCCCCGCACTTCCAACAATCAAATGACCATCCTGAAGGCGTGGATACTTGGAATGTACAAAAGAATGATGGATATCCATTTTGTGTGTTGTTTTGCATTGTGGAATGGATATCCTGCCTTCTCCGGTGCAAGGATTTAAAAAATTGCGGCTACACATACACAGAGAAGAACGCTTGGTACCAGATTCCAGAACAATAAACCCCATGCCATCCAGAATTAAAAAAAAAAAAAAAAATCGTTAAAACCATGCCGCATGACACATACAGGGCAATGCTAAGTAACCCAAAAAAAAAGAATCCCCACCAACGCCATATGTTCATGCCGAGAGTAGGCACCTCCCATAATCTAGGGTAACAACTAAATATATAAGGCAGAGTTTCATACTAAAACTCATCGGGGTCATCTTTCTTGCGCCGGCTACTGGATTTTCTTTTCCGATGTTCGTCTTGGTCACTCCCATCCTCGTCCTTTTTGCTTGTATGCTGGTCTGGTACCTTAGATATGATGTCGGCGAGGAAATCTAAGACTTCATCTTTCGCAATCGCCTCCTTGAGATGCATGGCAGTGACGCGTTTGGAAGAGCGCTCTTTCGCCTGCTGCGCCGCTTTTGTAACGAGGGAGATCATGAATAGCTCGAGTGCCTTGGCTGAGAGAACGGAAGGCGTCGTTAGCCCAGCTGCACGGTGGTGGGGGTGATAGGAAGCGAAAATGGAAACTCACAAACAGCAATAGGAGTGACCTGCGCCACCTTGCCGACGTCTTCATCGGCTTGCATGATCCGCTTGATCCTTGCGACGGGAAACTTCGTCTTAATCTCAATGCCCATCGACGGGCCCGCAGACGATTCCGGCTCGGGCTTTGCTACACTTGAAGAGTGGGAATCAGGAGACGTGTCGTGATGGGGATATGCTTGTTCCAGCGGAGCTTGGACAGGAGGCTGAGGTCCTGGTTGTGGATACTGTTGTGCCACCTTCTGGCGCCGAGGCTGATACTGTGGTGGCTCTTGGGGTGTGGGTTGCTGGAGCTGACTCTGCTGCTGCTGTAGCAATGTCCTCGATCGGGTCTGCGGGGCCATCTCGGCAAAGTTGGAGGTAAAAGGAGGTTGTGGGTGGTAGGAGACGGAAGGGCGGGGGACGTGAGGGTTGAAGAAGGGAGAGGCGTCGTAGGAGGCTTGCGGGGTCAACTGGGGCGGAAATGCATAAGGTGTATGGCTGTATGGATCAGCAACAGGCTGCTGTTGTAGGGTTCCAGTAAAACTGGAAAAATCAGGGGACCGTGGTCTATAGGAATTGTCCTGATCTGTCATTGCTAGCAAACGCTCGTGTTAGCTGAGTTTTAAATCGCACTCTAGGAGCTACGATGAGCACATGCGACGTTCCATAGGATGTATCGTGCCGGCACGACAGCCAGTTCGAACCAAAAAAAAAAAAAAAAAAAAAAGGGGCACGGCGGTGACAACATACCAAGGCAAAGTCCCAGCTGCAAAAGAGTCAAGCAAGGGTGTGGATCAAGAATGGTGCTAGGCAGGACCAAACTGCAGGTGTAATTCTGCCCTTTTCCACAGTTTCAACATAAATAGCAATTAATATCAGAGGCCAGAGGGTGTTCCACGGGAGAGGGAAAGAGAAAGAGAAAGAGAGAGAGAGAGAGAGAGAGAGAGAAGAGAGAGGGAGAGAGAAGAGAGAGAGACAAAGTTGAGAGATAGTTGTGGTTGCTTTTGTGGTGAGCTTCGCGACGTGATGGGATGGGATGCGTTGCGGCCGATCAGCACAGCACAATCTCACGGATATCTTTTTTTTTTTTCTTGGCCCAAGCTCCGCAGATAAGATCGCACGTGAAGATAGGTGCGCCTAAGGGTGGCAGGTGTGCGTGGCAGTTGACAGAGTTGGCAGGCCAAGCTCCGCATAAACTCTGCAGAGCCAAGTGTCTAGTGTCTAGACCTCAGTAGGTGGCAATAGATGGGGGATGGGAGGTGGGTGTATGGGCTAGCGCCACAGCCCAGCGCCGAGCAAGAGAGCAGCAGGAAGGTCTTGGAAAGGGGCGAGAAGAAGAGAAGGAAAGCGAGCGAGGGCCGGCGGGCGGCTGTCATTAAAGGCCCTTTTATCCCCCGGCCAGCCAGCGTTCGCCCCCCGGTCCATCCGCCCACCCCACACGCATCACCACCAAGCAGATCAGCCTATCATCACCCGGCATTCACCACAACTCAATCTTCGCTCTTCTTTCTTTGACATCCAAACTCATTCCATCATCACGCAGTGCCATCCCTTCGAACCCATCACGAACCCCCGATGGAGGCCCGCACAGGCGTATTCTCTATTATCCTTTCACTTCCATCCATGATATCCCCTCTAGAGTAGCTAGCTAGTCGCAAAAGGTAAACAGCTGATAGTTCTATCTTTTCAAATTAAAAAGGACAGTGATCATGGGGTCCTGTCTTGTTCCTTTTACCCTGATCCTACCTTTGCAGACAGCCTGTCGGGTCCGATGATGATAGAGCAAAACCGGAGATGCAAAAGACAGATATTCCCCCCCCCTCCCCCTTTCCAACACCCGACTATCCCGTCTCTCCGCGGCCGTCGGGGCGAAACCTGAGGCTCTTCTCTCGAAAAGGTATCACCCAACGGCCGCGATCTTGGGAGCCTTGGGGTCGGTTGTGAAACGGGCAGCCGGGGGAGCATCGATGAAGGTTGCAAATTACTTGATCTAATCTGAATGATACCGACTTTGTTTCGTCCGTTGCCCTGTTTTTCCCTTCCAGTCCAGGATCTGTCGACCACTGCTATTCCGCTAGTTAGCTGACTCTTGTTTGCCATCTTGGAAAAAAGGCCTGAACGTCAAAAAATCCCCTCACCTCCGGATCAACATTATTCCGACGCGTGGGCCCTCAAAATCTTCCCGGTCAAAGCTCTCAAAGGATTTCAGACGGCGTTCAGCTTAATTCACATCACTCTACCCCAGCTCCAGCCACTTCACACACATACACACAAGACCCGTTTTCACTTCTTTTTTTTTTTTTCGTCTCTACTGTGCAGCTGGAAAAAAAAATGCTTTGTGTTGCTGTCACCATATAAATCCCTCCCTTGGCTGACCTGTAACCCGACCATGCCACCCCGATTTTAATCCTCCATCCTCAGTCTTCCTCACTGCCGTGGATAGCTAACACACCTCGCCACGCTCCGAAGCAATAATGGCTGCTTTGGAACCTTCATCGGGTCTGCTGGACATTGCTAGGTGAGCCCCTGTCCCCGGGTTTGGTGTGAAAGATATACCCTTTTGCTGACCGTTCCCAGTTCACTTACCCAAGATGAGATCCCTTTCAAACTCCGATGCGCCATCTGCAACAAGCTGGCCTTGAACGCATTTCGGCTTCCCTGTTGCGATCAAGCTATCTGCGAAAGCTGTATGAACACCCCCTGTTGCCTAAAAATATCTTTGTTGAAATGCTAACTCTGATAATTTTCAGGCCAGGGCTCTCTTCCAGAAAATTGTCCCGTGTGCGCTCACACGCCGCTGGATGCAGATCTATGCAAACCAAACAAAGCACTAAGAACAACCTTAAAGGCCTTTCTTCGAACAGAGGAGAAGAAAAGAGAAAGGGAGCGGCCAGTAACGAAGCCTGCCGCGGAGCCCGCTGCGCCCACGACGGAAACAGGAACTCCCGCTGAGACACCAGCTCCCGCGGTAGAGCCTCTCGAACCAAACGGCGTTGGTGACGAAGGGGCTCCCGATCAGTCAGCGAACCCGTTGCCTGCCGATACGATCTCACAGAACGAGAAACCTGAACCTGCTCCAGCCACGTCTCCTACTATCAATGCTACCATTGCCGATAATGAACCTTCACCTACGGAACAGGTGAGTCTCAGGGCATCAGAAAATACCGACAGTTTAGGGTCTAACTCCTTGTAATAGGAGCCCACCGAGACTCATGTTGAACCTACGAATGGCATTGTGAATGAAGAGTCCACCTCGCTCGAAGTTCCTTCGCAAGCACCTGCCGATCAAAGCTCCGCCGCGGAAGACGACGGCGGTGCCATGCAAGATCCATCTCAGGCCAGCCAGCCTGTAGACAATTCGATGGTGATGGGCACGAGTAATCCAAACGGATTCCAGCCAATGGGTTGGCAAGGGCCTGCTGATTTCAACCAGATGATGCCACCTTTTATGGCTAATGGCATGCAACCAACCGGCATGATGCCGTTTCCGAACCAAATGGGTGAGTAAAAGCGCCATGTCACCTTACGATTCACACTGTCTTTGCGACATTGTTCTGACAAGTCTTTCCCTTTAGGCCTCCCTGGCATGCCTGGGATGGGAATGGATCCGATGGCTGCATCGCAGGGAATGTTTACGGACTACGGAATGAACATGAATGGCATGAGTGGTGATATGAGCATGGGAATGAATTTCAATAACGGTCAGGGAATGTATGGAGGCTGGGATGTTCAGAACAATATGTGGAATGGAGGTCCAGATAAATTCAATGCAAATGCATTCGCAAATCGCATGGGTGCCGGCTTCGGCCCTTATTCTGGATATCCTGGATATAATATGTCACAACCACAGGGAAATTATCCTCACATGCACCATCCTAGCAATGATTTCCATGGACCCTACGGCCCGTATGGTCGTGGTTCTGGCCGTGGTCGCGGTTTCGGCGGTCGTGGTCGCGGCGGTTACATGTCGGGTATGCATGATAATTACCACTCTACTAACCTAGCACCTTTCCAGCACCAGATCCCACCGCACCTCCAGAGTAACGGTGGCCCCGCTCCCGCAGGAACTACCGATGCCCCAGAAAATCCTCAGCGCAAATTAAACGACGAGACCGCGCCGGGCGGAGAGGAAAATATGCGCGAGAATCAGCCGACAGACGAAGCAACAAAGACCACCGACAATGCGGCGGCCGCCGAAGAACCACCCGCCGAAACCAAATCAGCACCCGGAGATGCCGCACAGGAGACACTCTCTGCTATCCCGAGCACGGCTGGGGCCGGATCTGAGAGTGGGAATCCTTCCGGTACCGGGGAAGTAAAGTCCGGCCCTCACTCAGTGGGCAACAGTATTCCAGTGGTTGGAGAGAACTACCAGCCGAACTACGGCCATAACTATTTCCCCAGCGGACCAGCTGGCTTTCAACCGTCGCAGCCACCGGTATCTGCTGGCTATGGCTTCAACAATGAACCGAGGGGCATGGGTGTGGCCGGTGCGCCAGCTGCGCCGCGGGCAATGAGAGAAGGTCTGCCAAACACTAGTATTCGTAATGCTAGAGGATTTTCGATCTTAGGTCGCGCAAACGTACAACCTACGCAGCAGCAACATGTAGACGGCCAAAGGTTTGTGATTTACCTACAACCTACGTAACATTGTTTTTCTTTAGCAACATGTGTCTGACTTTTTTTTCTTTTTTATTTACAAAAGTACCTCGCCCGCCAAGACAGGCGATGAGAATAGGTCCCATTCAAGACAAAGGTCACGATCAAAGTCTAGATCTCGCTCACGCTCACCGTCACGAAGGTCCCGTGCACATAGAAATCGAAGCCGTTCACGCTATAGAAGTTACTCGCGCTCACGCTCCCCTGGATCTTCCCATGACGATGAAAGGTCGGACAGACACCGCCACGGCCGAAAATCCCGCAAGGATCCTGACCATGATGGGGAGGCGAGTGTCAGGTCGAGATCGGCTTCTGCTGACACCACGCATCGGCCGTCTCACCGCAGCCGCCGCGATCGTGATAGGGTTCGGCGAAGCGATGAAAAGGGGTCATCCTCTCGCCGGTATCGGAGCCCGACGCGTAGAGACGCGCAAGAAGACTCTAAGGAAAGATCCTCGTCGAAGGCGCTGCTGGCTGGAGAAGATGGTGAGAGCCGCCGGCTCGCGCGTGCGAAGGAGAAAGAAGATAGGCATCGGCGTCGTGAAAGGGAAAGGGGAAGGGAAAGGGAGAGGGATCGAGATCATCATCGAAGGCACAAAGATCGGGAGCAGGAAAAGGATCGCGACAGGGAGAAGTACCGAGACCGAGACCGAGACCGCGAGCGGGAGCGGGAACGGGACACAGACAAGGATAGGGACAGGGATAGAGAAAGGGAGAGAGACAGGGAGAGAGACCGGGACAGGGATAAGGGCAAAGATAAAGATCGAGGCCGTGACAAGGACCGCGATCGTAAACGTCGTCGCGAGAGATCAGAGTCTCGGGCAGATAGCGAACATTCACGGCGACATGCACGACGAGCTCGACGTGATGAAGCCGACGAACCTGTCAACGGAAGCAGAGACAAGAAGTTGGCGGAACGCGTCCAAGCTAATGGAACATCTACCAAATCGGCAACGGAAGACAAAGATCCGCATACCCTAGAGCGTGAAGCGAGAAACAGGGAGCGAATGTTGAAAGAACAGCAGCGGAGACAGGCCATGAATGCTGATCGCGACAGCCGGAGCAGCCGTCGGCTCGAAAGCAAGCTGGAAAGAAGTCTATTAGGGGGAAGGCGCTTGAGTTACAAGTACGAAGATGAAGCCGATGATCAGGCGAGGGCAGCGCGCGTGGAGCAAGAGAGGGAGGCAGCACGATGGGGATAGAATGTCGTGTCATTAGTGCTCTCTCTAGTAGAATACAGGAAGATCATTTAAATGCTGAAATGCTATGAATCAGCTCGACATGTGCCCACTATGTGGTGAAAATCTATTTCATTGACTTCAAAAGTACGACTTTGCAATGGTGGACAGGCTCACTGGTGTGTATTCCATGTCATTTACTTTTTACTCTGTGGTGTTATGGACGCTTGCTTTTCTTCTTCTATGGTTGCGACATTTGAGTTTTTTGCTTCCACTGCGCGTGAAATTTTCAAAATAGCTGTAAAAACATAACTGTATATGGGGGAGGGCCTGTGTAATAAGAGCAGCTCAGGATAGAAATGTCACCTTGCATGTCATACTGTATTCTTCCGTCCCATGCTTCCTCCATACTCTTTGCATTCATCAACGATGGAGCCCCAAATCTCTTTTGCGGCTTTCCCAGCACGATTGCGTCAACTAGCCCAGAATAGGACTAGTGTGTAAATAAGCTATCTTACCTAATAGAGCCAAGACTCATTCCTCAACTCTATCTGGCAAGCCCCGCCAGCACTTTACCGGTTCCGGGCTCCGCGACGCGTTCTAGGGCAAGGGCTTGCGCGGATCCCGTGACCGTGCAAAGTTTCAGTCAGAATCTTGCAGTTTCTCACCGGCTCTCCTTTTGTTCTCTTCTTCTCTCCTCCCCCCCTGGCAGTGGCCAGGAAAGGCACCCATACGTTTGCAGAAAGGTTTTGTTGGAATCGTCAGGATGAAGTACGTTCTAGTCTCTGGAGGTATGTCTTCCCTATGCTGCCCTCGACCAGGTTCGAGGCTTGGCTGACAAAAAATTTTGCAGGTGTCATCAGCGGCATCGGGAAGGGCGTGATAGGTATGGTTTGCGTGCAGCTTAAGAGTTGCTCGAGCTTTGACTGGAAATTGTCCTTGCTGACCGTGTATCGTTGGCGGCAGCCTCTTCGACCGGCTTGCTGTTGAAGACCATTGGACTTAAGATATGTGAACCCGAGTACGAGTGCTGAGAGCTCAAAATCTGACCGTCTTTGCACGTTACGTCCATAAAGGTAGATCCTTATATGAATGTCGATGCTGGGACAATGGCGCCTACCGAGTATGTTTTCGTAATTTTCCGTCTTGCCTCCCAAGCGCTTTCGTGAATGTCGCTGACATCGATATCGGATGTCAGACACGGCGAGGTATTCGTCTTGGATGACGGTGGTGAAGTTGACCTTGACCTCGGAAATTACGAACGATACCTCAATATTACCTTGACTCGGGAGAATAATATCACCACCGGCAAAATCTATAAGCATGTCATTGAGAAAGAGCGCAGGGGTGACTATCTTGGCCGCACCGTCCAGGTGGTTCCGCACTTGACAGACGCGATTCAGGATTGGATTCAGCGCGTTGCAAGGATCCCTGTTGATGATACGAACGAGACACCCGACGTCTGCATCATTGAACTTGGTGGTACCGTCGGAGATATCGAGAGCGCTCCTTTTATTGAGGCTATGCGCCAGCTTCGCCGACGAGCTGGCAAGGACAACTTTGTCAATATCCATGTTTCGCTGGTTCCGGTTATACATGGAGAACAAAAGACCAAGCCAACACAGCAAGCTATACGCGATGTCCGATCCGCCGGATTAAGTCCAGACTTGGTAAGAAAATGCGCCAACCCCTGAAAACTAAGAAATGATCTTACTGACCTTCACTATCCTCAACATAGATCGCGTGTCGTTGCTCCATGGCTCTCGAAAGATCAACAATCGATAAGATTGCAATGTTCTGTCAAGTTGAACCTGAACAAGTGTTCGGTGTACATGATGTGTCTAGCACGTATCATGTCCCTCTCCTCCTTGAAAAACAAGGCTTGATCTCTGTTCTACGTGATACGCTAAAGATTGATGATCTTTCAGTCCAACAAAAGCTCGTTTCTCAAGGGCAAACAACTTGGCAAAGATGGAAGACGCTTACAACATCACAAGAACGCCTATTTGAAACAGTTACCGTTGCACTGGTTGGCAAGTACACCAGCCTGCATGATTCATATCTATCGGTTATCAAGTCCCTCGAACACTCTGCAATGGCCTGCGGAAGGAAACTTAACTTAGTTTGGGTTGATGCTTCTCATCTGGAGAAATCCACAGCATCCGAATCTCCCGAATTATACCACAAGGCCTGGCATGAGGTTTGTACGGCTGATGGCATCCTTGTACCCGGAGGATTTGGAACTCGAGGTACGGAGGGCATGATTGCTGCTGCTAATTGGGCGAGAACCAAACCAAAACCTTACCTCGGCGTTTGCCTTGGTATGCAGATTGCCGTGATTGAGTACGCGCGCAACGTCTGCAAACTTCCCAACGCTGGCTCTGTTGAATTGGGAGGCGAGGGCGTCGACGATCCCGTTGTCATCTACATGCCCGAAATTGACAAAGTCAATTTAGGAGGAACCATGCGCCTCGGCCTACGCCCGACCATTTTCCAGGAGGGTACGGAATGGTCTAAACTCAGAGCTCTCTATGGGGTATCTAATGAATCGATTGACGAACGCCACCGTCATCGCTATGAAGTGAACCCAGAGTATGTTCAGTGTCTCTCCGAAACCGGGCTCAACTTCATTGGGAAAGATGATAAGGGCGAGAGAATGGAAATCCTGGAACTTAAGGATCACCCTTGGTTTGTGGGTGTCCAATTCCATCCGGAATATCTTTCTCGTGTCCTTTCTCCCAGCAAGCCATATCTTGGATTCGTTGCCGCGAGCGCAGGTGTATTGGATGAAGTCACCAAAAACCTGCAAAGCAACGAATTCCTCGTTAATGGAGCCCTAAGTAATGGAATTAAAAGTTTGGATATCTGACTTGGCGCACGGTTGCTTCTCGAATATTTTTTCTCGAGCTGGAAAATTGATCTCTAGATACTCGTTTTTGCTCTTCTGGGACTGACGGTACTTTGGACATTCGGATATCGGACGACGAGAAAATTATGAATCGTAGATACCACTTGTGATGTATGGCTTGCTCAAGGCTCTCATCATTCTTTTGGTGTTATATAATGATGTGCTTTGGGTGGTCACAGGCAATTCTCGCTTCGCGTTTTCTTTGCGCTGTGCACTAATTCTATGTATAGGCACTTAAAACTGCATGTGCTGTATAACTAAATAATAAAAAGCCAGTATGATGGAAGTGATCCCATGCCTTCAATCCCAAATCCTTTTATTATAGCTTGCGGCGTTACACCAACATTTGCACTCTTGCTGTTTGAGCAAAATTAACAGTAAAGTTCCTCGCTTAAAGCATATAGCTATAAACATAGAAACAAACAGTTAAGTACAGAGTGCAAAGGAAATATACACAACATGGTCTATAGACACCTCTTGGAAAATCATAAAGGCTACGTTTAGGACGCTGCAAAACCCATAGCAGCTTGCTTTAACTCCAGTGGGCAATATATGGTTGCTGGGGATGATAAGAACTGGGGGAAAATAACCGGGAAAAAAAAAAAAAAAAAAGGAAGAGGGGGTGGTAAATGAATATAATGATGACTGCCTATTCCAAAAGACGCGTACAGTATACACAGAAGAGTTCACTTTAGCCTAATTTTGCCTTGAGGCTATCAATCTCGTTGGTTAGAACGGCCATCTGTTTAGCTTGGGCGGCCATCGTCTTGGTCTGCTCAGTGATCATGGCCTTTATCTGTTCCATTTCTTTCAGGAGTGATTGTGGGGCCGTTGAGAAGTCATCTAGGGTTGGAGTTGAGACGCCAGGAGTGACGACGGGGAGGTTTGGAACATTTTCGGTTGGCTAAGAACTTGTTAGTCAAATGAGTCCCGCTCGCACATGGCCAAATAAAATGATAGTATGCATAAAGTAATGAAGACTCGCGGCTAAACTGATGGGGCTTACCTTTACGATAGAAGGGGCCGGCTTCGGTGCTTCGGGCTTTCTTGCTTTCCATAATCCAGGCGGTGACACAACCGACTCAGGTTCAGCAGAGGCGACAGAAATGGCGGGTGGCTTGGAGACCTCTTCAAAGCTGGAACTATCGTCGCCTTCATCCGCTTTCTCCTCTTCGTCAGCAAATTTGGAGACCATCGCAGCCATCGAAGCCCCTTGTTCTTTCATGGTGTTACCAGGGGCGACTGTGGCCGCTGGGCGAGCTGTTTTAACTTCTGGTTCTTCTTGGGGCTTCCTCGCGGGTTCCTTGGCAGGTTCCGCTGGCGCTGAGTGAGTCGCGGCGGCTTTCTTTGGTGCTGGAACAACATCTGATGGTAGTTCCTTGAGGCCCTCTCCTTCATATAAACTCGCCATATCGATTTTAGGAGGAACGCCTTCTTTTCCTTCGAACCATTCGCCCGAAGACACTGCTGGTTTAAGCCCGGTGGTTGGCGGATAAATATCGTCCTGGAAGACTTCTGCTCGACGGGGTACGATGAACGATACGGGCTCAATATACGTGTCGTTCACCGTTTTAAAAACGCGAACAACCTCATTTTCGTGCATATTGACGCCACGCTTGGGCATAAATCCAATACCACGTTGAGGATCGCTCGATTTGTATTCTGATAGGTATTCAAACTTATCGTTCTCATACTCAAAATAACGAATGTTGCCATCACTATGAAGAAAGAATGGACAGATTAGGGTCTGAGGCAGGAGAAAATAGTGTTAGTTCAACTTACCCCTTCCCAGCCAGGTATAAACATTGAGTGCCATCGTCCCAGTAAGGTACACAAACTCCAGAGATAGAGTCGAGCACTCTGAACCCATTGATTGGCTCTCTGGGAGCGCGAACATCCCACAAAGCCATCTGTCTATCGCTCATCTTGGAGAAACCAGTGGTTGCAATGCGATCGTGTTCTCCCATCCACACGGCTCGGCTATTCTTTGCGCCTGAGTGGCCCTGGGTTTCGTGAATAGGTTTCTCTTGACGAACGTCCCATATTCTCAACTTTTTATCTCGAGAAGTGGTGACTAACAGTGAGCCATTTGCACTCCATGACAGCGATTGGACAACGTCTCCAAGTTTAAGAGTGAGTTTCGAAGATCCAGCTTCGATATCCCAGATTTTGATGGTAAAGTCGCCGGCGGCGGACGCGAGGACATTTTCGGCTGCGGGGTTAAATAGGACATGCCCGACTTTTCTACATAGCAATATATTAGCTGTGTAGCTGCGCTGAGTTGATCATAGTGAATTCTTGCTGTACCGGGGATGGCCACTAAGCTTTCCAACGGGCGCGATGTCGTTAACTTGGTCGGCATCGGTGTGGAGTGTGAAGCCCTCCGGCACCCTCCAAAGGAAAACCTAGCACGTTATCAGTCGAAACTATCCGATCATGCTGTCGTTGTATGTATTCCCATACCTTCCCGTCTTCGGAGCTCGATGCGATCAAGGAGTCATTGAAAGGATTCCTGCAGAAAGTATTAGGCATTAGAGATCACACTGCGGGGTCACAGGGATATCTAACCAATCTGTATCCAGCACTACGGCAGTATGTCCGCGAAAGAGGGGAAATCGCTCGGGGAGTTTCCCGGTTTCGTTGATGGGGACGACGGCAAAGGCGCCACCACCACCTGTTTCCCAGTTCACTGAAAGGTATTGTGGATTTACCTACGGGTTGAACAAGCCGTGAGTACGGAGAGTCTACGTTCGAGAGCTTCCAAGGGGTGACCAACCTTGACGAGATTGGTATCCCAGGCATTTGTGGAGATACGGAGGTTGTCATAGCATTGTTCCTGGAGTAGTGAGTAAACGGCGAAGGGAAGGGGAGGAGCAGACAAAAAGTGGGCGTACTTTGCGCGTAGAACGTCCGAAAACGTGTCCTAGCACAGAGCAGCGAGAGTCAGAACTGAGAGAGCATATCGTGTTGGAAAGAAGTGGGAAGGGCTGCCTCCAAACAACGGTACTTACGGTATTTTGAAGAGCGGACGAATCGACCGGCCATGGCGCTATAGTTTAAGAAAATAAGCCCTGCGGGAAGCGTTTATAAGTGTACAGCGGCGATGCAGCCAAAGTGAGCTTTGTAGAGGGGAGATAGGAGGAAGCACACGACACAGTGGCTTATCCGGAAGTTTGCGAGCAGTTTCAGGGAGAAGAGGAAGAAATATTGATGATCAAGGAAGACCAGATGCCAATTGAGCAGGGCGAGTGAGTGTAAAGCAGATCTGCTGTACCAAAAAAGCTCCTTGAGCTGACTTGAGGCGGAGGGGGATGCTCGCTGCGCTCGTCGAGGGGAAGACGGGAGAGACAGCTGACGCTCAGGAGGGCGGTCTTGGCAACGTTCGCAACATCAACTAGACGACCGACTCCACCCCGAGCCTGGACGCATCAAATCTGACCACCACGACTCTATGAAGATTAGCACATTCCTCGACGCAATCCTCTATTCATCTATGTCTATGCTGGGAGTTCTTCGGGTCTCTTTGGGCTAATCCAACAATGCCGATCGGGATACTAAGAATACTCTCAGTTATCACATATCTGTCCAGAGTACTCCGTACTACCACGAAACAAGACTCTGCATAGGCCTTATTCAAGATCAGAGTCACTTGAAACAGATGCTATTGAGTCCTACGTCCCAGAGCAGTGCACTTAATGAGAGACCAAGTTACTGTTGTGCAATTTGCAGTCATGGCTGAGACAAGAATGTTTCATTGACCCCCTGTTGCGCGTCGCCCCAAGGCAAGCAGTTGTTCGAATCCAAGCCAGATTACGACGAACTTATCTACAACTATTGCTACGGGAATACTTAACGTCACGTTGATAGTCAGTCCGAGATTACTCCGTAGAAAGCGGTTTCTGACATGAAGTACGAGTTATTTGAATATTTTGGCCCTTTGAATTATCTGAACCGGTCTATATTCGAAACTGATATGACAGTCTTGTGACAGGACTTCAACCCCGGCTGGTACACGCTATCGGCGAGGCAAAAATGAAATGAAAAAGACCGGCGACTAGAATGTCAAGCCTAGTTGCAAGAACATCTCCATCACCGGGACGTGATTCACCGGCCACTCTCGGATTATTCCACTACCATTATTCTCGTGAAGAGCGACCTCAGGTAGAGGGTCAGCCGCTTACTTAGAAACGTTGCTTCTACCGGTGTAGGAGGGGTAGAGGTGATGGGTTGCGGCACTGAATCACCCCCTTCGCACACAAACAATACGAGAACGGTGTGGCGAGCACCTCCTGTATTAAGAGACAAATAGAGTAAGAGTGCGAAGTATTGCGGGAATGGACCACTGGATACCAGTCAATTGGGCTACTGCTCGAGGTCGAAGAGCAGGCCGCAGTCAGTCAAGTTTATTTTATAAATGCTATCTTCGGCCGATGTCCTTTTGGAATGAGTGAGTACCCGACCTCACAGAGAATTCCCTCGAGAGCATCAACCGACGATAATACGCTCTCATGATCTGTATCTTGGACAATGGCTGATTCAAATTCCACCACGTCACCAAACCCCTTTCTTTCTTTCCCAGCACTCTTCAAAGTAAGCATGGCCTTGCTTTCCAACCATGACATCGCTCTCTGCGACATATGCGTGTATTTTGAACTTCCCATAGTCCAATTTTTTTGGGGTCCATTCAGCGACTGACCATCCAATTATTCAGCTATCCTTTGGCGCTCATTTGCGGCAAATTCACTAACAAATTCATCGTAATCCTCACATTTCCCCCAAGCGCCCGGGGGCCGCTTTTTGATGCAGATCAATGCTTCGGCATTCGCCGCTATAACGCTTTCTTTGAAGATGACTCGTAGTATGCATTCTTCAATTTCAATTTGGGTATTGGTTGAGACTCCGTTTTTCTTTTGCCGTTCCCGCAAAGAAAATGAAGGTGCGTTGTTGGTACCAGGCCAAAGAGAGCGAAGTTTATCTATAGCAACACTGCTGGATAACAGTAGAGGGGCACCTTTAAGAATGAAAAAGCGGGATATTTCGCTCCAGGGACTGAATGATTGCTTGGGAAGCATTTGAGCAAGCTGCATTAAAGGCACTCGAGAGTGCTTGGTCCAATCCATGGAGCTAGGTGTGTTTTCAGGGTTAGAGACGAAGCATATTACTCTGAACCAAATAGATTTGAACGTGAAATCTAAGAGTAGGTCGATTTCTCAAAACACATACCCAAAAATGCAGCAAAGGGTCGTTGTGGATGGATAATACCAGTAACACGGTATTGTGCGGGTAAATTGTTCCCGCGCTATGCGATGCAAGCGCAACATGGGGTATAGACAAATGCTTTAAAATGCCACGAACAGTTTCTATCCAAAAATAGAAACCCTTGTGCGGGTGTGATAGAAGCCGAGCCGCCCATTCCAGAACTGCGCATCGATGCACGTTAGAGGCGGCTGGTAGCGTCGGGTGAAGAAGAGGATCTTGATCAACCCACAGATCTGTTGAGAACGCGCAGGTCGGGGGTCTTGAAGCCATGGCCGAATTGTGAGCAGTTTGGGATGAGAGTGGGTTCCTCTGGTCGAGGTGCTACTGTGTTAATGACTTTGTACTGCGCATTTTGAGCGCCCCAGCAAGGCTTGGTGCCTGGAGACACCGGTTAAGGTTCTTTGTTAACTAGTTAACCAGTCATGGCAATCCACTGCTGGAGAGTTAGTTAACTATGTAAGTAACTAACTTACCAGCCCAGCCCAGTCCCCACCGCCGCCGCCGCACTTCGAAGCTAATGACACCCGTCAGTTCACGCCACGGTCAGGGGGTCGAGACTATTCAGCGACTGTTTTTTAGGACAAACGCTGCGGATATCGTGCAAAGTGAATTGAATTGGATACGGGGTTATGAACCTAGAAGGGCTTTGTGATTGCCCTTTCATACATCTGGCCCAGCAAATGCGGTGATAGAGAGGGGATCCCCCCGAGCTCCGCTCGTAACAGGCATGGACTGGGTCACTGAGCATGTGCCACTGTCCCCATTGTGGAGTCGGTCAGTTGGTGGGTTCTGACGGAAACGTCTGTTCTATCTTACCGTGATGGAATAGTATTATTCGATCAATGGTCTAGCCGAGATGTTAGACGGAAGATACAATGAATTCTCCCGGAATTGACCTCAAAGCTTTACCTCAGGGTGATTGAAGGCGGCGATTCCCATAATTCGGTGAATCTTTGAAACAATATCGAACAACAGGCGGAGTTCATACGTACTTCATATATTGAAGCATTATTAGAGGCTGCGCATCATGTACAAAGAAACTCGTTGTTTACTGGGCTCGACCAGATCGCATTCAGCTCCACCGTTTAGGATTCTTTCATGATGCATAGTCTCGCATCCATAGAACCTGAGTGCAGAGTCCCGCTCCGGGAAGCTGAGCTCAACAAACCTAGGCAGGATCCTGGATACAACCCACAAGGTATTACCCCAAATCCTGAAGCTTCAAAGCGAAAGGCTTGATGCAGCGCTTCTGAGGGCACATCGCTTGTTTTAATTGGGTAATCCAATGGCCCGGATGCGGCATGATCCCTCAAGAAAATAATATCGCTCCAATCCCGCTTTGTCGTACAGCAATTCTGGCGTGAAACAAGGGTCCAACCCTTGACTCAATGCCAATGCAAGGGATTAAATTTTCGCCGACAAAGTTACATCGTCATCATACCACTTCGCATCGAATTCTCGATGAGTTATGGAAGAGTGGGACCGCGTGGGAGGCAATTACCCGCCCTTTTGGTTTCCAGAAATGTAGGAAAAACAGTGGTTATCCCATCCATTGGGGAGGATGATGAGATAGTGCATATTTCCTCCAATACAATTCACTTGACTAGCAGTACTGCAAATGGATCTCTTCAAAACATTCATTCAAGACTGTGTACCCGCCCATATGCCATGCTCAGTGGTAGAAATCGGGGTGTGTGCGGTGGTGTTATGTGTGAGTCGGAAATAACACCTTGAAAAAGTAAATACATCACTAACAGCAGGCGAAAGATCACAGCCGTCATCATCTATGAGCTCTGGTTACATCCTCTTGCTAAATATCCAGGGCCATTAATTGCCAAATTCACACATGCTCACGCAGGCTATCATGGGTGGAAAGGCGATATAGCACACGATATTTGGCGATGCCACCAGAAATATGGGGATTATGTTCGCTACGCCCCTAATGCACTTCTCATCAACACCGCACAGGCTCATCAGGGCATGTTATCCAGAATTGATTCACTTCTCTGATCATAGGAATCAAAGGCGTGCTAATTGTCTGAATAGATATCTATGGCTTCGGAGGAAAGGTGGTGAAGGCTGCAAATTATAGTATTCTTGCTCAGAGGGCGCCGAGCATCCTTACGCTTCGAGACGCAAAGGAACATAGACGCCGCCGGCACCGTGTTGCTTTGGCACTCGGAGAGGATAATGTTCGGTTTTACGAACCGCAGATGTTAAACCATATCCGGACCTTTTGTGCCAAGATGGTGGAAGGCGTAAAGAACGTAGATGGCTGGTCTGCGCTCCGGAATATGGCGCCATGGTGTAAGTGCAGATGGGCTATCTCGTTCTTTTTCTGGCAAATATCTCTGAACGTCGCAATTTGACACCAGGAATAGGTAATTATCTGCTCTTCGACATTATGATGTCTATGGTTTTTAGTAGCGACTCGAAGCTACTTACTCATCCCAAGTATCGTCATATTCCGAACGCGATTCATCAATCTTCAGTGTTGCAGGGTGTGCTTGTTCAGGACAAAACCCTGGCGATACTTGGTTTGCATAAGTACCTTTTCAAGACAGCCGTGCGAGAGCGTGTCAAGTTCGTTCATTTCATTCGAACCGTGCTAGGTATTCGATTGAACAAATCCGCCAGTTATACTGCGGATTCAGATCCCTGTCATGACGTTTTCGCATATCTTCGTAATAATCTAAGTTCAGCAGACCTTGCACAGCTTTCTCCAAAAGAGCTCAGCGCCGAATGCGCTACCTTGATCATCGCCGGTATGTGACCCTTTGTAATTCCTTGCTGTTATTGTTGGGAAGATTTAGTTAGCAAATCTAACCGCTGCGGTCAAACTGTCAAACTTCCTGTAGGGTCTGATACTTCTACCATGGGTCTTGCCGGAGCTCTCTTCTACCTAAGCCGGTATCGATCAGCATACGACCGACTTGTGCAAGAAATACGCGAAAAGTTCAACGATGCCTCGGACATACGCCTCGGAAAAACCCTATATTCCTGCAGCTACCTAAAATCTTGCATTCAGGAAACCCTCCGAATCTCGCCCCCAGTTGGCACAGCACTATGGCGCGAAGTCGAGCCCGAAAATGGAGCTACCATCGACGGTGCTGTTATTCCCAAAGGCACTCACGTCGGAGTTGGCATCTATAGTATTCACCATAAGCCAAACCACTTTTCCGACCCTTTCACGTTCCGCCCCGAGCGTTGGTTGTCAGAAGCTCGTCCTGCAGATCTTGTTAACCATGAAACCCGAGCTTATGGGCCGTTTTCGATAGGTCCACGCAGCTGTGTCGGGAAAGGAATCGCAATGCAGGAGCTGATGCTCTCTTTAGCCCATATATTTTGGTCCCTTGACTTTGAGGCTCTGGCGCCCGATGGTAATCGCGTCACAATCGAAGGGTCCGTTTTGCATCCAAGTCCCGGGTGGACCGAGTTCCCTATGAAGGAATATATCATCGCGGTTGGTGATGGGCCTATGTTACGCTTCCGTCGGAGGGCTGTTGAATAATCTTGGTGTTCGAACAGCGCTACCTAGTTAGTACTCTGTAGAAGGCTGATTAGAGGGAGATGGGGTTCCACTCGACTTGAGGTCATAAGGTTGGTGGGGCATTGTGGATTAACTATTTGCCGACTACTGACTAATTTGATGCCAAGAAACGTTGAAATGTTGACTAATCTATATACGGACTAGCGCTAATAAGTTTTGTTTACATTGTTTGTTTTGGCCCGACAACCAAACAACAACAAATCCGCCTGGTTGTGAACGTTGCATAACGTCGGTCATTGCATCTCAACGCCTTGCCGCCAACAGGCCAATGGACACAGATATCACTGTGTGACAGCTATTAACTCGACACAACCATCCTCATATGCATTGCAATCAAACCCACCTCAAACGGTCTTTCTGAAAAGGATACCACCCCTTCCTCGATGGTCGGGCGCGATCAGGAACTTCGAACGGCCTAAAGAAGCTCCCAGCCATGGACGGAGAGGAAAACGCGTGTCGAGTATGAACGATCATTTTGGTTCTAATATCATTGTATATGAAAAGTGATCAGCGACTAACTTCGCCAGTCATCTGCCATTCCCCGTCTCACGAGAAGTCAGACGACGGGAACCTTCAAAGATATAACGACTGCTACGAACAATGCGTCTCTATCAATCCCGCCGAACGGCGTTTTGAAAAGAAAACAGGCCGACTGCTCGTGTATGTTATTCTCTTTTTCTTGGATTCCTTTTGCCGGAGTTATCAATAACCCAGTGCATTCGCAGCCATCGACGTGACTTTCAAGAAAAAGCCCGTTTCCTCCTCCAAACACAAACCGGGTCATTCCACCTCCAAATCGGTCGGCGCACCATCCAGGTCTACCTCAACCATTCCATCCGCGCGCAAACCGTCGGCGACTTCACATTATGCGACGCGAAGTGTGACCTCTTCGGCAGCAGTTCCCTCCGCGCGTGGTACCACCCGTCCCAAAACCTCGTTTGGATATGCATCCACAGGGAGAAACCCGTGTGCTCGACCGGTCACCTCGATGGATACGCATCAGGCAAAGAGAGCTGGTGATACTTCAGGGAAACTAAAGGGTGCGAATCCTAGTCCCCCCGTACCTTCATCCACCTCTCCAATGCCCATCACACCATTACGAGGGAGCCATGACAACCGGTTGAACTTTACATCAGACTGGTCGAGCTCTCCGGCCGCAAGGTCGTACAGAACCCCTACGAGGATGCCCAACATTGATTTGTTATGCGCTGCCGTCAACGATCTGTCTATCAGTTCCCAAAGGCCCCCCGGTGCGCCGCCGTCAGCAGACCGACCAAAACGGCCACCGGCGTCGAGGTTACCCTGTCGCACATCCCCTCCCAAAACTCTACCATCTTCTACTGCTGTTTCTCCTTGTCCATCTATTGCATCCTCTTTAAGATCCTCGCGCCGCACTCCTTCAAAGGTTAACCGGTATCTGACACGTTATTCTCATGTTCAAGGTTGGGACCAAGCCGAAAGAGAAGAGGCCTTAGAAGCGATGTGTGGGCGGTTGATGCACCAGATCAAAGACTCGACCTCCCTCAGCACCGGGCTTCAAGATGCAATGGAACTTTACAAGTCACAGAGTATGTCCAACTTGGATTCCTTATTCTGCTAGTAGCAGTACACTGACGTGCAGAATCATAGTCCGGGACCTCGAGCAGCAAAGAATACAGCTTACAGAGCAGAATGTCAACCTTCGCGTCGACATCGATAGTGCCAAATTACGACTCCAGAACGCAGAAGAGAAATGGAAGGATGCGGTCCGCGAAAACGAAATAACGCTTGATGACGCTGGCCGGCGACATCGGATAGAAATCGAAACAGTGCGACACGAAATGAAAACCCAAATTGACCATATCAACCAAAAGCATCAGGAGGAACTCTTCAGCTTACAACGACGCTTGGAAATGCAATTTGAAGAAGAACGAGAATCCCGTTTGCGCGAATTGAGGCAGCTTAATACTGAATCAGCCATGGAGCGACAACGCGGACAGATGGATGTTGAGAATAAAGAGCGAGAAATCAGAAATTTTAGGGAGGAGATAGAGAGGCTCCGGATAGACCTAGAAAGAGAGCGGATGACGAACGATGAATTACAGCGAAACTTGGTGACTGCAAACAGTAGTGGCGTAACTTTGGAATCGTCGATCCGTGCTTTGAAAGCTCGAATCGAGTTTCTGGAGTCAGGAAACAAGGAACAATCCGATGCTTTTGCACGGCTCGATCAACAACTCAACGATGCCCTTGCGGAAACGAAAGCCACAAAGGAAAAGTTGAGGAAGGAGGAAACGTTACGACGGAGGTTGCATAACCAAGTCCAGGAACTCAAAGGGAATATTCGGGTCTTCTGTCGAGTGAGACCTTTGCTGGACAACGAAACCATGGATGCTGCCGCCCGGATTCGGTTCCCGGATTCCGACGTTGACTCGAAGGAAATTTCCATTCAAGGTCCAGAAGAAAAGAGTAGCCTAGGAAACGTGACGGCCAAAAATTTCTCATTCTCGTATGATCATGTCTTTGGTCCGTCATCCCGAAATCCCGACGTGTTCGAGGAAATTAGCCAACTTGTTCAAAGCGCATTGGATGGTTACAACGTTTGCATCTTTTGCTATGGACAGACCGGCAGTGGGAAAACGCATACGATGTCTTCTGAGGACGGTATGATCCCACGAGCTGTGGCCCAAATATATGAAACGGCAGCGGAACTCGAAGAGAAAGGATGGAAATACACCATGGAAGGGAGTTTTGTGGAAGTCTACAATGAAAATCTAAATGACTTGCTCGGGAATGCAGAAGAATTCGACAAAAAGAAGCACGAAATACGGCACGATATGCAAAAGTGTCAGACAACCATCACGAACATCACCACGGTTACCTTGGACTCACCAGCAACGGTTGAATCTATGCTTCGCCAGGCTGCAGCAAACAGATCTGTGGCGGCCACAAAGGCTAACTGGCGATCATCTCGATCCCACTCAGTGTTTATTTTGAAGCTAACAGGAGAGAATTCTGTCACTGGAGAGCGAAGTGAAGGCATCCTCAATCTTGTGGACCTTGCTGGGAGTGAACGTCTTAGCCACAGCGGGGCTACAGGAGATAGGTTGAGGGAAACGCAGAATATCAATCGCAGCTTAAGCTGCCTTGGTGATGTGATTAGTGCCCTTGGTCAAGGAAAGGAGGGTGGCCATATCCCCTACCGTAATAGCAAGGTATATCCTCAGAGGTACACTCAATCTTCTTTAGAATTTGAGCTGACGTTTTACTTCAATAGCTCACATACCTACTCCAATTTTCGCTCGGTGGCAATTCAAAAACGCTTATGTTTGTGATGGTCAGTCCGCGACAGGAACATCTTAGTGAAACATTGACTAGTCTTCGATTTGCAACCAAAGTACACAATACGCATATCGGCACTGCAAAGAGACAAACCCGGATTAAGGACTCGTAAAGCACGGGGTAGGTAGTCGCAGGGCCTGTTGGCTCGCCACACCGCTTTCATCGTGTGTTTGGTGGAGCAGGATTTCTTAGGATCGATTCCCTTTTGCTTTTATATCGGCAGGCATTTCTTATCATGGTGTATCATTTCGATTGAACACCAAACTCTGACAAAGGATTGTGAATAACTTTTTCCTTTTTCCTTTCCCCTTTTTTTTTTTTTTTTCCCCGTTTCCAGCGCCCAGTTTATTGATGCGGCGTCCCAGCCTTTACGACCTCAACGAGGAATGGCACATTTTGAATCAGATACCCGAAGGTGGTTTTGTATCTATTTCCCTTCTTGACTCTCTTTGAATCGAGCTAGTCGAAGCCGTTTACTTTCATATGTCAGGCATGGAATGCAAGTCGTTGGAACCACTTAACTCTGCCGGACGCTTTTGATAGTAAGTTGATCTGTTTCCTTGCATGTTCTCGGATTGTATCTGAGACCAACGATCCAGATCATCGGTAAGGGGTGATTCATTGAATTTCAGGAGTTCTCAGAACTCTTGCGGGTTTTCCCCATGCGCAGCTCTCTCTGCCTGAAATTCCGGTTAAGGTATTTTCAAAGTCCGACCGTGTAACTTCAGGTCTCATCTACAGACTGTTATGCCTGGCTTAATAGGAATTACGTAGAGCGCGGTGGCAAAACACTGTCATACCTTGCATCCCCTTATTCGGCCTCTAGGAACGCCCTTACTGCTGTAAACGTTTCTTCTCGTTTCTCAATCCAAGGGAAATGACCACACTCATCCAGCACAATCCCAGTCGCGCTGTGGATACCAGATTTCGTCTGTTCCAAATTTTCGATGGTGCATTGTGCATCCTGATTGCCGAATATGATGAGAGTTTGGGCAGTGACTCGTTTTAAGCCTTTAATCATCGTTGCCTCTCTTTTCACCCTTTTTTCTGCCGCGTTTACCTTCTGAACGCACCATAACGATATTTGATCCGGGCCGAGAGCAGCGAAGAAGGCGGGAATATGGGCTTCTGGATCATAGAAATAGATCGGGGCCATTTCGTGGAAAAGCTCCGTGAATTCAGAGTCAGTCGTGGGAGAAGCGGTATCTTGCATCTTGTAAGCCTTGTCGTATCTACTGTCACCTTTCCTATCTCTCTTAAACCTCCTAGAAGCACTAGAGTCGTCGAACCCAATCAACCTATGGTCTATCAGGATAATTTTGGTCACTTTCTCCGGGAATAACTGAGCGTATGCCAAAGCGATGGCACCGCCGTGCGAATGGCCTAGTAGGGCAGGATATCGGTCAAATCTTAGGTAAATACGGAAGAGTTCGAGATCCCTGGCCATATCAAAGCAGCTCATCTCTGTGGGATCATCAGGACGAGATGACCCAGCTGTACCACGTGGATGAAAATAGATAAATTTAAAGTGCTTCTCCAGAGGCGACAAGCCCACTTCGAGGTATCGCGAACCAATACCCCAGCCTGGACACTGAACAAGCACCGGCAAAGAGTTCACACTTTGCTCAGAACATCGAACTGTGTAGGTGAAGTCTAGGCCATTTGGTGCTGCGAAATGATGCTCGCCGGCGATGAGGTCCGCCATGGTGACAGAACTAAAGAATTCAATCACCCTTGCCACTGTAGACCTGCGGTGACATACCCGTGAAATCACTGCTAAACATGATCTAGGAGGTTAACAAACCTACCCCGACCCCCCACAGGTTTACTCTCCTGTGTTTGATTAAATGGACGCGGTTCGACACAACTGGCCGTGCTGCCTTATAGTTGTATTTCCTACTGTGTAGTTGTGTCTGCTCCAATTTTCTAGACCTCATCTCATTCTGCAGCATGTACGGAGTATTTATTTAACAATGACCCTTTCTTTGTGCAAGAATGGACTCCTAGGGATATGAGTTCTTGGCCAGGGTGCTCCACAAATCTTCGCTCCTCGGGTTTGAGCGTCAAACGTTTTGTGTGGTGAGAATTGTCGATTCCGGTGGAGAAGAGAAAACCGTTCGCAATGGACTCGTGGAGTAAGACTAGTTAACAAAACTACCAAAAGTTGCTTTCCAGATTGATTGTTATGTACGGAGTACAGAGCATATCTTGTACAATGGCGCCCATGGGAATGGAATTGGACTTCGCAAGCATTTTAAACAAAATGAAGACTGAATACAACTTTTTGCCTAGGTTAAGATGCGATAGACATGGTGATTAGAAAGAAACCTCAGCCGGCTTTTCTCCCAGTTTATCCATTGAAATCTACCATTATAGCACCAATTAATTCAAAGGCTTGAGGCCATTACAAAGGCTAGGCTTGCGGACTGGAATCCAAAAGCGCGAAGGTGGGCGTCGGCTTTTAACCTTGTCGCTTTGTCTATAATGCGATCACCACGACTTAACATTCGCTGGTCTGATTGTCAATGAGCGACTGAAGATCATGTTTTTGTGTCACCACATTTTTGGAGCTTGTGGTGTGCTTCAAATTGTAATATGGCGGGCAACGCCTGTTCTCGACGTTCAATGCGATTAATTTATCGACTCGATTGTACCGACGTATATTTGCCGGAAACAAACACATCCCGCAGGCCAAAATGCCAAACTTGGGGGACACCCCCCGCGAAGCGCTGAATTGGAAACTGGGCATGGCTCTTCTCTGCTTTGGATTGATGGGAGCAAGTCGAGGTCGGGTTGTCCTTGCATTTCTCCGTCGCGGTTACGGATATGTATACTAACATTCCATAGGAATCGATGAGGGCCTGATCGGTGGAACGGTCCAGCAGAAATCCTTCATTTCGAAGTATAGCTTGGAGGACCAAAACTTGAGCCCGTCGCAACAGGCAGACAAACTAGGCAATATCACCGCCATGGTTCAAATAGGAAGCATTGGCGGTGCATTGATGTAGGTTTCCTACTATGCTTCGTATCCAGGCCTCGGCGCTCATACAAATGCAGTGCCTTTCTTATAACTGACCGTATCGGCCGCGTCTGGGCCACCCGGCAACTATGCCTGGTATGGGCCATTGGAATAGCCATTTATATGTCCGCGAATGGCAGATTGGGCCAGGTCTATGCCGGGCGCTTTATTGCTGGAATTGGAGTTGGCCAGACAACTGTGGTCGGGCCAACTTATCTCGCAGAGGTTGCACCTAGGGCGATTCGAGGACTTTGCACTTGTGCATTTTCAGGCTCGGTGTACGTGGCGATCGTGGTAGCATACTTTGCCAACTGGGGAAGCTCATTGCATATCAGTGATCAGACACAGAAGGAGTGGGTAAGTATTTATGGCTCCTGGTTCCCGCCTAGCCCGAAATGCTGATCGCTAACGTTCCTCAACATCACAGCTTGTGCCAACTTCTGTCCATATAGTGTTTGCTGGTGTTATTCTAATTTTGTCATTTGGAGTCAAGGAGTCCCCTCGATACCTTGCGAAAATAGGCAAGAATGAAGAAGCTATTGCCACGATGGCCTATATTCGAGACCTATCCCCGGACCATCCATACATTCAGACAGAAATGAATGGTATTTACGAACAGCTTGAACGAGAACGAGAGGCAACACTGGGGCTCCATTGGCTTGGTCCTCTTAAAGAGCTGTTCCTTATGCCCTCAAATCGATATCGCATTATGGTAGGGTTAATGTCACAGCTGCTCAGCCAGTGGTCAGGCGCAACCAGCATTACCATATATGCGCCTCAATTCTTCGCTATGCTGGGAACAACCGGTCAGTCAGAGAAGCTCTTTGCAACTGCGATCTTTGGTGTGGTAAAGCTTGTTGCTTCTATTGTCTGCGCTCTCTTCCTTGTCGACATCTTAGGCCGGAAGAGGGCACTAGAATATGGCATTATCTTGCAGTTTATGAGCATGTTATACGTGGCAATTTATTTAGCGGTGGCTCCATCGATTGAAGGAGGTGAAGAGCCCCAGGGGAGTGCAAAAAAGGCCGGAACCGCAGCTATTGTGTCGATATACGTCTCCGGTGTGGGGTGGGCGCTTGGATGGAATAGTGTGCAATATCTCATCAACGCAGAGATTTTCCCACTCCGAGTTAGAGCCCTAGGGACGTCAATGGTCATGTGTTTCCACTTTGCCAATCAATAGTACGTACTTTTCTGTGGCCCTTCTAAATAACTTGGAGTTCACATATTGACTAAAATCCGAAATTCTTTTGTGCAGTGGTTTGAATAAAGCTGTACCAACCATGCTTCTCGAAACAGTGATGAAACCTCAGGGAACTTTCTTTTTCTTCGCTGCTGTGACCCTTCTTGGGTTCCTATGGATGTGGTTTTTCCTTCCGGAGACGGCCGGAAAGTCATTGGAGGCTATGGATGAACTGTTTAGCTTGCCTTGGTATGTGATTGGGAGGAAAGGAGCTGCCTTGACGGCGACTACCCAGGGAGACACAAGTGAAACACGAGACACAGAAAAAGGCACGGTGACAGAGAGTGATCAGCCTGTCGATCTGTAGCCGAAACTCCCGTACACCGACTGATATAATTCTGTGGGTTTGATGAATATGGATTTGGAGCGAACTGTGCAGCTCGCGAGAGAATCTCTAAGGGCTCTGTGAACTTCGTGAAAGGCAGTTTACACCTCTGATATGAAGCACTATGTTACTCCAGCGGATGTAGGCCTAGGTGAAATTGCAGTGAAGAGCACTCACATTTGGTCAAACATCCAACCCAATGCTGATGGTATCTTCTTTTGGTGTGATGTCGCTATCTTTCAGGAGACTTTGTGGATCGAACAGATAGAAATGATAATCAGGGCCGGAGCTAAATGCCTAAAGGGCCTTCAGCGCCTGACAATTTTACATCATATAGTTTCTGCTTGGTGTTCTTCAAAGGGAATATGGCTTTCTATGTGATATCCTGGTTTTGAATGCCGCATGACTTATACAAACCCCCCAAGAGAAAAGGACGAAGAACAAAGAGATTTATCCAGGTTGTAGAGTAACACCCGTCTGGACAACGTTAGCTTGATAGGAACATTGGAGGCCTGTATAGTGGGGACATACAGATCGAGAGTGCAGGAAGCGCAACATGAAGTGGCGTTTAAGATCATATGTGAGTATAATATTGTGTAATCATTTCCGAAGTGATATCAACAATTACAAGCATCATGGAACGCATATTCTTTTTTGCAAAACGGTAGAATTTTGGCCAGGGAGTAGGCGCCAGTTGCCTTCCAAGGACGGAGCGGATTGAGCAGGTTGTACGTAGAAGTGATCAAGCATAGGCACTTCCTCCTCTTCCATTCAGCTCAGCAGACCTTTCTTGTTTTTGGACCACATTTTAATAAACTGTTGCTTTTCCCTTACACCGAGGCCAACCCGTTTGACGCGGCCCAGCCTTGCGAGAGCGTCACCAACTTGGGTGAGCAATGTCTGCTGTTCATCAAAAATGAAATTGTTTGGGTCATTTTGCCCAACAACGACGGGTTCCCCAATCCTGACCCGAATGGAATGAGTCGCGTGGTTCAACAAGTTCCAAAGAAAACCAAAGTAGGATTTGGGGATAGGGGTGGTGATATCTCCGGGTGTATATCGGAGATTGACGGGAAATACTTTAGCACCAGCGGGCGCAGAAGTGATTGAGGGGCTGAGTTCCAAGATTCCCTTTCCATTTGTAGGGGTGCACTCCGGATACACAACAATACAGTGGTGCGGGTACTGTTTCAAAAGAGAAGGGAGGTCTGTGAGATCTGAAGATGAAGGATGCGTTTGTGGAATGGAAAATGCATGCAGAATGGCTTGAAACAGCGAAACGCGTCGTAATTTCTGTGTAGAGGGATACGAAACCGTGAATATCGGGTCAAATACCGCAGCGAGATAGAGAGAATCGATGGGCGAGGTAAACGAGGATGCAATAACCGACCCTGGCTGGGGGAGCCGGTTGGCATGTTGTCGGGCGAGAGATCTAACCATCCAGGCAGAAACAACGGAGTCAGTGACATAGCTGTGTGTATCTCCATCCTCACTCTTTCACTAGAGGTAGTGGCATTCGTACCCTTTCTTAACCCCGTCAATGTGCAAGTCGGCCCACCACAAACCAGCAACGCCCGCGATGGCCCAAAGACAAGCTTTCTTTCCTAGCGATCCAATTGGGAGCCATTGTAAAACCCCAAAGTATACGAACAAGGCGAAGGCGAAGAGAGGAAGTCGAATACAGAAGAGAACGAGCTTTAGGGCGAAGGTCAATGGCTGCACCTGGCCAACGACCGGGAGGAATGGTGCGATACCAGAGGCTGCAAGGACAATTTAGCTATAGAAGCACATTCCTATAAACAATATCATACCTCGATCGCGAAACTGAGAGTACTTTTCCATTGGGACCCAATTTAGCAGAGCATTGGAGAGGCGCGCAGCGAAGTTCGTGGGGTTGAGGCGTGTTTGGATTGTCTGGTGGGAGACATGCGCTGAAACTCAATTCTTTTTCCACGAACCAAAGCACTGAAAGAGTACCTAAAAGGTTGCAAAGAGCAATTGGAGCAGAGTGATGGCTCCTGATAGAATAGTTATGTCTGTTTCCCGGCTCTTGCGGATAGTATTTATTCCTTGCATGTAATATTGAATAACGAGCACGGGAGCTAAGGAAACAATCGACAGATTGCATTCCCTGGAAGGGCGCTGGGAAGCCTCTCCAGCCTCGACATCAGCAAGCTCTTTAGCTGAAACTTAATGGGGAACGGCAAACCACGGGCGCCCATCACTCCTCGAAGCCTTTATACGGAGTACTCTGTACTTCCTTCCAAATCGCCCCCCCATTACCAAAATTAACATATCTCTATATATTCCCGCCCACTGCTGTTGTTCTACTTCTCAATATTGGATACATGCTTACTCCGTACTTCCAATGTAGTTAGCTAAGGTGGATACTCCGTTTTTTTTTCCACACAGGGACCAACTTTGTTAACAGATACCGCCGCGGATTGATATGTGACGTCAACGAGTCGGGAGGTGGGAAATCTTGCTCTACGGAGTACTCCGTATATCAATCACTATCTAAATAAGTTGTGGAACGTGCAGATCCCCAGCAATTTCAACACAGTCGATTTTACACACAGGCCGGGACAAGCTAGGGAAATGCCACAGGGCCTCTCAATGAGCCATCGCCGAATCCTTTCTATTTGCGAAATTCATATTGACTCAGAATTGATTTTAGTGAAAGCAGGAACAAGTACAGGTCAACCCTTGGTAAAACGAGAGCATTGGATTGTAGGAGAAGCCATGAGGATCTTGCGGCAGGAAAACGTAGGATAGAATTGAAGTCTTGTTTCCCGAAGCGGTCATCCATCCGATGAACTAGATGAGATGTCTTACAACACCGAAAATCATTCTCCTAGCCGCGCCTTTTCAGATCTCATTTCTTGAATGAGAAATTATGACAAAGCTGCAGTTTTAATCAACTCTGGTGATCCCCAACATTGATCGATCTTATTATGGGCAAGTGGGGAACTTATTGGCGACAAAGACGGGCTCAAGGATAAGAATTTACGCCATCGGCACGTAGATCTCACTGGCTCAAGGCGCATCTCGAGACTATCTCGAAGCAGGGTCGAGTCGATTCAACCAGCCACTTGCCACCCCGGTGCCTAGATCATGGCGGTTTGGCGCTGGTCGTTGAAAGCTGAGTTTGGCTGGCCGAAATCGATTAGTGTCTGTCATTCGGACAAGGTTCCGAGGCTAGGACGATTCAGGCTTAGTGTCCGAACACGACCTAGTCCCGAAACTCTAATCCGGGCTGCCACGAGAACCCGAAAGGCCGGGAGGGCAAAGGAGATATGAGCCATGCAGCGACCATGCCAATGGTGCTTCAACAACACAACGCGCTGCCACTATGGGAAGTGAAAAACGTAAGCGCTGGAAGGCTGAGATTGAGGATGTTAGAAATCTATGGGGGTGAACACGCAATCAAGGCGGTGGCTGCGTCGAGGATTTATTTTGGACGATGATTTTCGAAAGGCTGCAGTGTTTTTCTCCTGCGTTTTCTTCTTACCCGTCGTTATATAAAGTCTCTGCTTCGCGAGGACGTTCATTCATCCTGATTCTCCATATCACTTTCAGCTCCAACCTCAATCTGTCCGCTGCACCATTGAACGCATTTCTCTCGCCATGGCAGACGACGGAGAGTTCCATGACTTCTACAAATATACTCCATCCAAGGCAGCCGCATCGGTATTCATCGTTCTGTTTCTGCTGACATCGACCTTTCATGCTTTTCAACTTGCGAAGCCACGAGTGTGGTTCTTTATCCCGATCGTGGTTGGCGGCGTTTGTAAGTACTTCATCGACCTAGCATTCGATTGACTTTTAACACTCTGTTTCTAGTTGAGATAGTGGGATATGCCGCTCGCATTGTCTCAAGCACCGAAGCCCCACTGTTCAAGGACACTCCATACATTATCCAGACGTTATTTCTGCTCCTCGCTCCAGCTCTTTTTGCTGCTTCGGTATACATGCTTCTGGGCCGCTTGATAGCGGCTCTTCACGCCGACCATTTTGCTATCGTAAGGCGAACATGGATGACCAAGATATTTGTGACGGGCGATATTTTGTCTTTTGTGGTCCAAGGAATGGGTGAGTAAACGCCAAAGTGAGAGGTAACTTTGGCTAAGTTGCAACTAGGTGGCGGTATCATGGCTAGCGGAACGCCTTCCAATCTCTCTCTCGGCCAAAAAATCGTTATTGGCGGCTTGGTAATCCAGCTTCTTTTCTTCGGCTTCTTTATTCTCGCTTCCATCATATTCCATCGTCGAATGACCGCAAATCCAACGACGGAGTCTATGTCATTGTGCTTCTCATGGCACAAACATCTCTTCGCGCTTTATATCGCCTCCGCTCTCATCATGACGCGGTCTATATTCAGGGTAATTGAATATATACAGGGAGCTGATGGAGAGCTCTTGAGCAATGAGGTGTACTTATATGTTTTCGACGCTGCCCTGATGCTGATACTCATGGTTTTGTTAAATGTTGTACATCCACGAGAAATCGCAGAGCTTCTTAACGGTGATAAAGGGCTGAACTTCGGTGATTTAGAAATGCGACGCGGTGGACGCAGGCGAAACAGGCCCGGCGGGACTGGCTCCGAGCAGAACGAGGCCAATGGTCGCGTCTCTTTCGTCGACACAGCATACGCGAGGCATGCCATTGCTACCAGGGGTCTCGCCTAAAGCACGATACAGCACATATGATAGATTCCTTGGCATGCGAATTTGGCTGGCCGCCTCATGACGTTTCAATTGGATGGCACTATGGGTGAGATTTGAAGATATGCATATGATGAAATACTTAGCGGATTTCTCTGTACTTAAGAAAAACGTCGAGAGGTATTTTGCCTTTGTCATGAAGCTTTTTGCCTGCATGCCATCACCTATCCCAGCAAGTCAGCATGTAGTCTCTGAATCGCGTGCAAAGTCACCACGTACTGAGCTTTTAAGAAATATGCAAGCATATATTCGAACAGGCTCTTGCACCCGGTGACATGTAATCAACTGTGAATCCAAGCAATATATATCTCTGGGTTTCGTAGTGACATGCTCAGCAGATTCGAAATCTGGAAGGGGTGGGGGGTAGCCCAACCACTTCCATCGGCCACGATATTGTATATCTCCAGTTCTGGGGCAGATTCTCAAATATTGCGTTGATAACTTGAACGCTCCACCCTTCTGCCCACCAACGAGCAGGCGCATTGTAGAGAATCACACAGAAGTGAGCTAATATGATTAAGGAGACCGAATCTCTGCATCTCAAGTACGATAAGAAAGAGTCTGAAAATATCATGGGGAATCTCAGTGCCATCGACCAATCCTTGCGTTTGGTCTGGGCCATGACAAATGAGTCCCACAGCTGATCGATGGCTTTTTGATAGACTGGGTTTAAGGTAGATTCGGTAGAATTCAAAGCTAGAACATGTAGACAGTGTTGCTCCATAAGCTCAAGGGCCATGGAAGTTTCTACGGGAAGATACCGGCGATCCGTAATTTGCGGTCCGCGTTGTAATAGGATTCCCAGTGGGCTTTTCTCGAGTATATGCCATGATCGGCGTATGGTTGCCATGGCCTTTCTAAGGAGAATGAAAATATCCAAAAGCTCATCGATCGGATTTTCAAGCCTCTTGCGTCGACTGGAAAATTGGGCTGACCCGAAGGCGAAGAATATGCTCAAATTCGAGAAGGCGAACACGGCACTGGTATTCGATTTCGTCATCGTAGGAACGGTGGATCGGAATATTGTCACTGCAGCATTATAGTGCCTTTGTGCAGCCTCCTTGTAAGAAAGTGCGGGAAGATTTTTGGAGGTCCATAGGTGGTTGATATGCAGAGCCGATACGGCAAGGATAAGCTGCATCAGGAATTGTTGAGACCGGGCTTCCCGAGGAATGTCAACCTCCCAGACAGGCTTGTATATGTCGTAGTCGATGAACGAGAGGAATGTGACTGTGGTGTAGTGGTACATCAATTCAAGGTCTTCTACAGGATCCGGATTGCTAGGGTATAGAAGGCGTAAGTCAACCGGAACCTGATCATCCAAAGATCGCACGGGCTGCTGCTCCAAACCCTGTACAATGCTGGTTGAAGCGGGTGTTTCAGGAGCAGGCGATGGAGCGGAGTGTGACTTGGGCGCGCACTGGGATTCAAAACTGCACTGCGTCTTGCGATGGCGGCAGTTGCGGCAACGGGGGCCTTGTTCGTCACACTTGAAGTCGTGCCGGTTGTCGGTCAGCGAGGGGCGATCAAAAAGCACGGAGAGGCATAATTTAAAGCAACCTTCACTTTCCTCCGCTTGCACTGTTGGCAGCCGTTCCGGGATTTCTTCGGAATCCGATAATGCCATGGTCTTTGCTGGACGCTGCTCGGTGGCATTTGCAAATTCCAACCCTTCAAAGCAAACGAGGCCATGTTAAAGGGTATTAAGTCGTCTAAATCAAGCCGGCTCCGCTCAGGATTGGTGGAAGAGAGGGTGAAAATACGGGACGGAAGATTTCAGTTTGAGCGACGACAACGTCCACAAAGAAGGGGAAAAGTCTTCAGGCACAATGGATAAAAATTCCAGCTGCCTGGTGCTGGGCTTGGTTGAGCGCCGGATTGGATGATTGTCGCAGCAGAGTTCGCGGACCATTTAACGGCCATGCAGATCAGGAGCTAGCCAGCGAGTACAGCCTTATGTACTACTCCGTACTACGGAGTAATAATCTGTTCGCAGGTGAATGCTGGACAAGAAGCCATATCTCGACGAAGCTGACCAAGCTGCACAATAATTACCTTAGTCCTGGGGAGGAAGCCTGCTTGTCTGGGAAGCCTTAATTTGACCGGATCGCTACCTAGACAACCGTGATGGGCTGCCCTTGAAGGCATGATCTCTGCTAGTTAGTTAACTAGCCTGCCAACAACGGCTAACCTTCCCTTATCAGCATTTAGCGCCCCGGCTACAAGCGCGAGTATGTGGAATTGATTTTGCAAAACCCCATCCCAAGTCCAGGATGACTGATCCCGCAAACTGCAACAAGGAGTACCTATGCCGAAGAGAAACACATCATCAGCGTCTTAAGTATGTACATCGTTACAAGTTCTCCGTGCCCGCAATGAGACAGCATAAAGCAGCCCCCTTTTGTGAAATCAGCGATAATGAACGGTGACCCCTCCAGTAGCGATCGAGGGAGCAAGGGTGAACGAAACTTCCAGGCCTCCTGGAATTCTAGGGTCTCCAGCGATTCTCAGTGCCTTCGTCTTCTTGACGCAGTCCGCCGCGGCGATGAAGATGCAGTCCAGTGCCTGTTGGATGACGGCGCTAATATCAGAGCCAAAAATATTGATGGCGAAACGGCTCTCCACGATGCAGTCAGGAACGGCTCTCTCTCCATGGTGCAATTGCTTCTCGACAGGGGCGTCGATGCTGAAGTTGCCGATTCAAAGGGAGCCAAGGCCTTGTACATTGCGGCAGAGACTGGCGACCTTGAGTTGGTCGAACTTTTGCTGCGATTCGATGTCGATGTCGAGTCGTTCAATCCGGTGGCTCAAAGCACGGCATTCCACCAGGCCGTTATTTGTGGGCACCCCGCTGTGGCTGGGCTTCTTTTGGCAAAGGGAGCGGACATTGATGCTCTGGTTTGCGATGGACATACACCACTACTCAATGCTGTGATCCGCAACGATTTGCAGGCCGTCGAGTTCTTGCTGCAGAATGGAGCAAATAAGAAGCTACGTGACGATGATGGCCGAAGGATTGAAGACTTTGCAGTCGAAAATCCTGCCATGCTAGCCTTGCTACAATCCGACCAGCTCCTTCAAGGGCCCGCGATTACAGGCCCAAAGACCTCCACAAAGCGACAAATCAGGATACCACCCCTTTCATCTGATCAGCCCAACAAGTTGAAAGCCTGCCAGGGATTTGAAGGCACTATTGTTGATTTTTTCGTGGGCACAACGGAGCAGAGGATCGAGAAAACGGTGCCGATCTACGAGCTGCTCTACGGCAAAGGGCCTGACTCCATAATGGATCCAGCCAGTCGAGTGGAGATTGACGGACAGCAGCCTACATTCAGATGGTATCATCTACCCGCCAACAATGTAGGCTCTCCACCCCAGTTTATACACACGATCGGATCTGACTTTATTAGATAGAGTGGGTTCATGTATGGCTTTCTACTCATACTTTGTAATCCTAACCCTATTGAAAGTAGCTAACGTAAGGATTCTACCGAAATCTGCGCAGATTTTGGTTAATCGACATTTCAGCAATCGGAGTTCTGGTGCTACGATGCTGGACGAGGAATTTAAGTCCAAGCTTGCATTGTCAAACTCCACTCTTCGACAATATCGAGTTTCAACGAAGCACTCCTCTTTCATGAGGCCGCAATGTCGAGTTGTCAAGGTAGGGTCCCTAATCTTTATTCGACATTTACAGCCAAGGTCAATTAACGGACAACGAGCAGTCGAGCCCAGACTCCGATCCAAACGATGAAATAGATAACATTGTGCTATTTGTATGTCTAAAATCTAATTCCCTTGGATACAGCCGCTGATTTACCTGCATATTCCGTTCTTGCATTTTGAAACATCTGAAGGATATCATAAAATGGCCCGGTTTTTAAAGGCTCTAAGCGAGCAATTCATACACCAGAGTCAGCCCGCACCAAGCCTGTGGCGCGCTTCTCGACAGCCTAAGAAACGGCCCAGAGAAAGAACCCTGGTGCCTTCTCTCTTGGATCCGCTTCAAAATGCTGGCCCCAGCGCGAGTGCCATTACGTCCTCCGATTCATCGGACTCTACCCAGAGGACATTTACACACACAAAGGGAAAGTTACGCTCAGCATTTGAAAATCTAGCCGATGTAATGAGACGAGGGTTACATCGAGGTCCAATAACAAAGGATTCATCCTCGGGCCATGAGGATGACATAGAGAAAGGCGATCACCCTGGAGGCGACACGAAAGATTTTGCTGAGGCAATTGCGTCTTCACAAAGGGATCAATTATTTGGGCCAACCTCGTCTTCGAATGAGAAGCTGACTGCTGAAAATGAGGCTGCGACGGTTATCTCCAATGCTGAGAGCACTAAAGCCTCAAAAATGGCTGGTAATGACCGTGGAAAGACTGGGAACTCTCTATCTCCGAGCGAAAAGCCAAGTGCTGCAAACAACACAGCCAAAACGGCCATCTCAAATGTTAGGAGCTCCAAAACCTCACAAATGGTTGATAGTAATAGTGAAAAACTTGCGAATTCCCTCTCCCTGAGTGAAAAGCCAGGCTCCGAAGGCGAGAGAGCTGAAACAGTGAGCTTGAATATTGAGAGTACGAAAACTTCGCCAATGGTTGATAATACTAGCGGGAGTCTTGGAAGGTCCCCACCTCCGACGGTACCGGCGGTGGAGGAAAACACAGAAGGTTCTGTTGCTAGTCAGCAAAACCCAAGTCAGCGAAGCGGCCGGTCGTTCTGGGGTTTGAGCGCTGACGACGTGGATAACCTCAACTTTAGAGCCGAAGAAAGCGCTTTTCGAACAAGAAATGGTGGAGACCAGACAGCGGACTTGATGAATATTGACGAACATCTCGTGAAAGGATACTTCTCGCCCAGTAATCCTGGTGATTCACCTCTCCAACTAAGGAGAACCCTCGATCAATACTTCTACACTCATCTTGCACACATGTCAGAAAGGAATACTGGCGGACAAGTGATCCAAAGGTATACGCAGGAGCACTTCGCTGAGCCTAAGATGTGGATGGTAGACCAACTATGGCTTTGGATACTCAATAATGGTACATGATTATCCTGAACAGCTGATTACATGCTAACCGGGTTGTAGATACCATCATTAGCTGCTGCCCGCAACGGTGGGATATCTTCTCCAGCAGCTTTTCTCACATGACTGGAACATTATTCGAGCCGTTTCCCGATCAGTCAGGACTTGAAAATCCAACGGTTACCAGGCATCGAAACTCGTCGCTCGTGCCTAGTTCCATCGAGCTTGCTCAGGGCAAACCCAAGGACAAAAGCAAAAACGAAGGCAACGTCGTATTAGGGTGGATGGCCGGTAAGCAGTCTAAGTTAATCCGAAAGGCAGCTATTCAGCGGAAAGACAAGGAACGGGGCCAGTTTTTCCCTGCTGGTAGTCGTGATCATTTAGAGACTGTTTTTGAGCCCTACAGCCCTCGATCATCTTCCGAGGAAAATCGACAACGTCGGGCATTCCTCCGGAAAGATCCTTTAAATGTCCATCAAATGATACTCAAGCACCTACAAAGTCGAGCACGAGACCCTATTACATCAGTCTATGCACTTGCAACCTTAATTGCGGACACTTGCATGGAATTATTTGACGAGTACCGAGTTCCAGATGAATTCCAATTCTTCGACTTCTTTGAGCGATCTATTGGCGATGTGGTAAGCGTGGTAATGCCTCGTAATCGCCTGTAAGGGACCTACTAAAAGCGATCGCAGATAGACCAAGAAACGCAATGTTTTCAAAGTTTTGCGAAGAGCCTTACTAATAAATCTCCGCGCGAGACAGATGCCGTATTTAGCATAACTAAAGAAGCCACATTATTGGCTGAGATTAAAGATATTAGCGATGAGCTTGGAATATTGAAAATGGTTCTCCATGACCAGCAGGAGCCCAGAGAAATCCTCGCTCAGACCATTGCTCGGCACAGGACGAAAGACACAAATGTGAAAGATAAAACCAATGATTCGCCGTGGGCACGGAATACAGTTCTAGGGAGCCATCTATCTAGGATTAAACTGATGGAAAGTCTAGCAGAAAGGTCTTACCAAGCAGTAAGAGTACCTGGGAATCTATTTTACTACCTATACTAATACCGGTAGCTTTACAACCTGCTTGACCTGAAACAAAAGCAAGCCAACGTCCTAGAGGCACTGTCGTCTCGCAAACAGGCCGAAAACACTTTTGCTCAGGCTGAAGCGACCCAGAGCCTCACAGAAGAGAGCCTAAAATTGGCCCAGTATACCCATGATCAATCGCGTGAAGCTACAAGACAAGGCAGGACAGTTTTACTCTTCACAGTGGTAACAATTATATTTGTAAGGAACATGCATTTGCCATGCTTCATTGAAAGGGACTGACAAAACACAGCTTCCGTTATCGTTCATCTCTGCTTTCTTTGCAATCAACATTGACGTATTTCCGTGGACCAGCAGTGGACGGCTTCCCCTGGACTACATCCTAAAATACTTGTGTAAGAATTCTATCGCGGGCACGGATTTTCTGTGTCCAGCAAAATGACTAACAGAATCCTGGATTGACTAGTCGGCATATCGAGTGCTGTATCTATACCCTTCATTCTCATCGCATTCAATCAGGATAGGATTGCGCAATGGTTAAAATACGCTCGAGGCTTAGCCGCCGCGGGCTGGGCATTCCTTCTAGCGGCTATGGTGGCAATCCTTGCAGTCATCTGGACACAAAGTTTAGCGACAGGTATAAAGGCTGCTGTGACAATTGTTATCATTTGCGCCATTTTGGTGGCTCTCATTGTTTACACTTGGCATCGGCTCTTTGGTTCAATGCTAAATTTTACATCCTCTTCTGATGTGTCATCGCGAAGTTTATTGTCAAAAGGTAAGTACTTCAACTAGTCAGGTTTATATCTAAGGGGGAAATATATATCCACCAATCTTTTTCTTTTTCTTTTTTCCTTTTTTCGTGATAAACAAAACATACTTTAATATATTGAGAGTAGCAGGAAGACCTTAGCCTTACCCATCTGTTATTCATCAGTAAGCGTTTGCATAATTTTAATACTCAAGTGCATGTTAATAATTCCAAGAGTGGCTAAACCCACTGCGACCAAAGAACCCCACCCAAGAACCATTGCAGCGACCCCGATGTTTCCAGTAACAGTGCTATATGATAGGATCTCGACCATTGTCACACCAGCAGAGCTTGATATATGTTGCCAGAAGGCAGATAGCAGAGCAAGGAGTGAGGTAATGGACATGAGTACCATAAGAACTTTCACAGGACGTGCTGGTGGAAAAGGCCTGATGTATTGATCTTCCTCATCAGGATCCTCCAGCCAGTTGGGAAACACCGCCAAAATAAGAATACAAATCAGTAAAAGTGGTATCGATGCAAATCTATCCAAATAAAATTAGCGAGTAAAGAACGACACCCAGCTTGGTCAGGACATACACAAATCCATTGAAGACAAGCTTGTCCTTGAATGTTTTGGCGGTCCATATCAGATTCAATGGATCATTGTGTGATGAATTGCCCGCTCTGCTTTTGACCAGGGAGGCGAGTGCTTCTGCGCTTCGGGCGCAAATCCAGAGGTCGGTGGCCTGCTTCAAACACATTCCCAGGTATCCAGTTCGAACCTCTAGGGATGGGTAAGAAGCATTCGTGCGCACCAGATGTGAAATTGTGGACGCCATGTTCTCATTAACTTGTGTTGAATCGAGGTACGATGTGCCATTGTTCCCCACAGTGTTATACGACAGTGAGAGAAGATAGACGTTACTGAGGTCAGTGCTTGTACAGCCGGCAACCAGTATTGCTGAGAATGACAACTTCATCAACTCCAAACCCAAGCTTGTATGAGATGTGGAGTGACATACATGCGAAGATGATCGGGAATATGGTGATCCCCATTAACACATGGTGATAGCCAACAAGGTAAAGGAAACGAAACCCTCCTGTACTGCAACATTAACTACATCACCCTCAGACTAATAGGATATATGATAGTCCATACCACTCTTCCATATAGAGACCATTTTGGATAGCTGGCTGAATTTGGTATTTCATATGAAGTCCGGTTCAAAAATAAAGCAAAAAAAATTGAAGAGAAGGCTGAAGATAGTGGGGTACACGGGGCCGGTTGGGATAGGCTCGTCCATGATGAAGCTAATGCAGCAGAATGACAGGAGTTAACAAAGTACTCCGTAAACAAGGGATAATTTTGCGTGCGGAGTTAAGAAGCCCGCCCATGTTCCTTGTGTTTATCCAAGTACGGAGTGCTCTGTAGTTACCAGTCCCGTTCAAAGTTAGTGCAATGGGTGTGGTGCTCTATCCTCACCCATCCTCATCATTCTCACTCTGCCTCACTAATCTCAATCACCCTATTCCCCCACCAGCTATCTGCCTTCTTAAAATATTGTTAACTTAGTCAAGTTTATATGATGGCTCAATTCTTTCTGAATTAGATGTATGTAATCCGATGCTTAATTTTTTTTTTTTTTTGGTTCACATTCTGTTCGCAAAGGTGGCGAAGAAAGGGGGGAAATGCACCTCCAGGAGACTATTATTATCTTAGGGAGAGGTCGCCATCCTTGGTGGCTTCGCCTAAAAAGAGACTTCTCACGGCTCCTAATTGGAGTTGGATAGGCCGCTAGTCAATTTCTACCACAGAATTAAAGCACATGTCGGAACATACTGCACGAGGCTCCGGCTTCAACATGATCCTATTCGCTCCTTTGCCCCGGATCTTCAGCATCCTAGCTTCCAATAAGCAGGGCTTGGGGTTGCCCATGGATGGTAACACAAAGCGCCGAGCTTCGAGTTGAAAGGAGGTGCCGCGTTCACTCGGGAAGTAACGCCGAAGTATGTCCTTTCCAACTGCATCTAACACTGCTGCGCAAGAAATGTGCAAAAAACCATGGAGTCAGTACATATACAAAGGGTTACTCTATGCTTGTTTGTTTGCTTGGACTACTGGCAGTGTAACTCTGACAGTAACCATGGCTGAAGTTTGCTTCAATATACTCCGTAGTTATCATAAGAAGCCAGGCTTAGGAAGTCTACAAAGAAGCTAGACCCGATTTTAATACGACTTCCCGCAGTGAAGCTTCTTGATTTGTCTTTCAAGGGCATTTGATACAACCGATATACGTTGACGATATCTAGGTCTTCAGGATATACGAAATCTTGGGTATCTCTCTTTCTTTTCCTTCTCGTTTTGAGATGTGGGTAACTTGTAGGTGTAACAAGTCATCACAGCCTGAAGTTGATTCAAAATGTGATCCAGGTTCTTATAATATATAGATCTGCCAATCAGGGTATATTAAATATATAGCCAGAAGATGTGGTCACAGCAGGGGCATAGGTCATAATGGATGCAAAAGGCCGGATCCAATTCACCAAGACAGCTAAAAATACCTGACAGACAGCGTTCACTGCATCTCCACGTGTTGGGCAACAGCTCTCAATATAAACTAGGAGAAGCAAATAAATTGATCAGCCTTGCTTAGAACTCAGGGCCCAAGCAAACACTTACTTTTGACTTTAGGTTCTGTGCCGGAACCCCGGAGCGTAAACCTAAGGCCTTTATCGGACCAAATCGTAATCATTTGCGAGGTCGAGTCAACAGGCAAGTTCGAGACACTGTTTGGCGTTCCTGTGTCAAAGCCTTTAGTGGCATCTCGCCATCTGAGAACTGGAAAGCCGCCTATGCAGCTGCGTTTGTCTTCGGGGAGATTTCGGATACTATCAAAGAGAGTCGCGCTAATACTAGGATCTGGCGAGACAAAGTAGGTATTAAGTGTCTCATGATAGCCGTAGGTCTGGTATAAATGCTGCAGCCTGCTGAAAGGGGTAAAACCTTGCTTTCTCCACTGTGCCTGGGCAGTGAGAAAGACCATGGCTGCTGTTAGTCCATCTTTATCGTAGGATACATTACAAAACATATAACCTAAGGCTTCCTCAAAGGCAAATGGAACATTATATCCCTCTGATTCAAGATCCTTGGCGACATTGCCGAGCCACTTAAATCCAGTTAGGGTTTCCTGAAAGTGGAATCCTTCTATCTTTGCCATTGTAGCCAGCATGTTACTAGAAACAGCGGTGCATAGCATTGCTATGGGTTTTTCTTGTTCTTGGTGTTTCCACTGATCTAATATGTGGGAGGCTAGAAGAACTCCAACTTGGTCTCCCGTAAATTTGAACCACGTCTCGCTATTTACCGTTAGGCTTGTGGGCAAAATAGAGAAATGGTGAGAGATAAATTGGGGGGTTGGGTAAACATACCCTACTTTTTCAGCAACTGCAAATCGGTCAGCATCAGGGTCATTCGCAATAACGATATCGATTTTTAGATCATCTGCCGTTTTCATGGCAAGATCTAGCGCGCCAGCCTCCTCTGGGTTCGGAAAACGAACCGTTGGGAAGTCTGGGTCCGGATCCCGTTGTTCACTCACAACGGTCATCCCTTGAATGCTTAGCACTTCACAAAGTTCCGACATCATGGAGTAGCCAACGCCATGGAGAGGAGTGTATACGAAGCGTCCCGGTGAAGCCGACAGGTCAGCTGTGGAGGCCTCGTTATCGTTAGTCAAGGATCAAAAGGTTAAAGGACGGTATATACCTACCACAAAGGCACAGACATCGTCACAATAAGCCTTCTGGAGTTCTTTAAAGGCATCTGTACATGAATAGTGACTGTCGCTGCTATCCCAAGCACCCGTCCACGGTTCAAGGTTATGCGATATGAAATCTCGAATATGAGCATCGATGGGTGAGTTTATTTGAGCACCGTTCGCAGAATAACTTGAGGACATTAGCCTGTAATTCTGCAGATAGACAGCCTACATTCTAACATTTTGTAGCCTGTAAACGACAATGAATCAATATATTAGCCGTGATGCTCAGAGGAATGGAGTGCTTACCGTTGTCTTGGGCAGGATTCTATCCAGCAGATCAGCTCAGACGAAAGCACGGCAATGTCTGGAAAGTACTTACATGACTAGCGGTAATCACTATTCCCGCAATCGCTTTCTTGAACGGGACTGCATAAGCGACCAGAGGGGTGGGAACGGGGTTGTTGAAACACCACACGTGGATACCCTCTGCTCTGAAGGCGTTGGCGGCTAGTATAGCAAACTTTTCCGAGTTGTGTCGACCATCTCGTCCGATGACAACGGATAGAGGACCCAAGGTTTGGGGGAGCGCTTTGAGATACCTGCCCAAACCTTGAGAAGCCTGAATGACTGTAAGGCAATTCATATATGAAAACCCGGCCTGCATGCGGCCACGCAAGCCTGCAGTGCCAAATTGGATACCTGGGTATACTGGGTTAGCATTATTGATCTGGAGGTGCAAATAAAATGGAGTATAGCGAGATCTAAGGTGTCTGGGAACTACTACATACGTTTTCGTAGGCGTTTTTCAAGTTCCGGGAGATTGTGGGAGTCGTGGAGATTCTTGATTTCCTCCCTAGTTTGCGGGTCCTACGGGCTCTGAGCTCAAGAGTCCAAAGCAAGAATGAGGTTACAAAGCATTAGGATGCCTACCTGGTCCCAATCTAACCATCTCTGAACCAGTGTCTCTAGTGGTTCCTGTGCGCCGGTTGGAGTTAGCCCACGCTGTATGCCATTGCTGACGAAAGAGGAGACTTAAAAGGCAGACAAAAATTGGTACTGACCATCGTGTCATCCATATATGAATTACACTAGTTGGTTTAGTTATTAGCTGTGACGGCCGCGCTTTGGTTCCTGGAGGTGAGGGGATGATGCTTTGTCTCAGGCTCTCAGACCGTCTTCTATGCTGTAAGATCGCTCCAGCAAGCTGCGTCATGGTTGCTCTCGCAGCGCCCGCTGGAGAGGCTCGGAATATGGTTTCCCCGAGCCAGCGCGGTCCACCATGACGTCACTCTAGGGTTTTTTTTTTCCTACGGTCGAAAGTTATTCCGTTCCGCAACTGCATGTGCCCAACCTCAAGGGGTCCACTTCCAGGTATTCTGTACTCCGTACGGAGTACTCTGTATGGAGGCAGAGCAAGGAGGAGTTAAATTAAAATTGGAGAGTCGGTGGAAGTTTTAGGATATCTTAAGCTTGGCTCGAGTCTTGCCCAATTTAAAGATTCGCCAAAATTACTGGGTTTGTCATACAATGTGGAATGGCTTGGCGAGATTCCTCTGCGCCAACTTGTCAGGGTGTGCCTTCGGGGGGTGACTTATCTCCAGCAGAGGTTCAAACGGCTGGCCAACTCTATCTTGGGCCTGATGTAGAGAAGTAACTATGGAGTATTTTTCCGCTTTGAGGATGCTTAGCTTCCATTAAATATAAGGTGATATCTCGCGAAGGCGAAACTCGGGCTGGTGATGCTTTGTGGCGTGACCGCAACGGAGCAGGCAACAAGTTGAGAATTTGGATAACCCATTTCCGTAAAAGTTCAAGCACTGAAAGATATTCTTCGGGACGGAGAAGAATGGTCGTGGCTCCGTGCTCCGTAGTGAGTAACGATATCTGTTCGCTGGACGTTGTGAAAGGGGTCACCACTGTAGAACCACAGGTGGTCGCAATCCTTGGGGCTGGTTCCTGTGCCTGCGCTAACAAATTCTCTGCACCACGGTCCACTGTCGGGACTTCAAAATTTCCAGGAGACTTCCCGGGCGGAGCCAGCCATCCAGGAGTGAGGTGATCGCGATTTTAGTGGGGGCGGCCAAGAGAAACGGTCTCAGTGCGTCCATTGCCAGCCGTTCCACCACAACGTCCTCGATGCTGCATGCGCTGATCATCTGATGTTCCGCGTCTCCTCTCGAAGCTGGCAACCCTGATCAACAGCCCATAACAACACCGGAAAAGGAGAAGGAGAGATCACTTGGCCGTCTGAAGAATCCTCATGGAGACCCTCGCTTGAATTACCCCGGATTGCTTGCTTGCTGTTCACACACGGCTGTTCGATCACTACTAATCTCATGACCAATGTTCAGAAGCTGAGAGGGGCCATGGTTCACCCGTCAACTGAGCGCCTGCTACAACCTCGGAAAGATGCTGTACTGTCCCGACGAGAGATAGAAGGCCTGATTGCCAGGGGGAGGCATATCCTTATTTACGAAGGCAAAGTGCTGAAAGTTGATGCGTGGTTGAAATTCCATCCTGGCGGAGAAAAGGCAATCCAACACATGGTTGGTCGAGATGCCACGGACGAAATCAATGCGTGAGATCGACCTTGATGCCCTCCTTTTTTTTCTTTTCCTTTTTTTGCTTGAGCTGACGGTTGGATTATCAGATTACATTCTCTTGAGGCTCGCCAACGGATGAAGTCGTACCAAATCGGTCGAATTGAAGGACAATGGAAGAATTTCCTCCCACCGATTCAAGGAGGTATATTTCGCCTCGAGGCTATAGATGAGATGATCCCCGACGACGTCGACGATTCCCACTCATCGGCTCAAGAAAGCTCGTCGCCTCCATCCCCTTTGTTCGAAGCAGTCGACCGTCAAAAGCTGAGAAGTCGACAATCGAGCGCGACTTCAATCTCATCTGTTGCCTCAACTCCGCCATCACCCGGACCTAAGGCACATTTTGAGCCAAAGCCTTTCTTCCTCGATGCACGAACTCAAGAAGAGATAGTCCTCGATGTCGCAAAATACCCCTCTGTCAACTCCGAAACCCAAAACAACATCGTGGAGAAATATCGGCAGCTGAACCAGCGGATTCAAGACGAGGGATTGTACAATTGTAATTATTTCGCTTATTTCGTGGAATTTTGCCGATACAGCCTTCTGTTCTCTCTATTTGTTTTCTTCCTACGCCGTGGATGGTACGCTATTTCTGCGTTCTTTCTTGGATGCTTGTGGCACCAACTAGTTTTCACTGCCCATGATGCCGGCCACATGGGCATTACCCATAATTTTCATGTCGACACTGTGATAGGGATAATAGTTGCGGATTACATCGGCGGCCTTAGCCTTGGATGGTGGAAACGTAATCATAACGTCCACCATATCGTTACCAACTCCCCGGAACACGATCCTGATATCGAGCACATGCCCTTTTTCGCCATCTCGCATCGATTTTTTAGCAATCTCCGAAGCACGTATTACGAACGTATCATGAAGTATGACTTGTTCGCACAGTTTCTGATCCGCTATCAGCACTACCTTTATTATCCTATTTTGCTATTCGGCCGTTTCAATCTTTATCGTCTCAGCTGGGAATACCTCTTACTTCGCCAAGCTCCCAGACGAGGCCCAGCCTGGTGGCACCTCTGGTTCGAAGTCGTCGGCCAGGTCTTTTTCTGGGCCTGGTATGGGTATGGAGTGGTGTATCTCAACATCCCAGACTGGCGCAACCGCCTCGTGTTCATTTTGGTGAGCCACATGGTGCAAGGGCCGCTACACGTTCAGATTACGCTGTCTCATTTCGCAATGTCCACTGCCGACTTGGGTGTTCACGAGTCGTTCCCTCAAAAGATGCTTCGGACCACCATGGACGTGGACTGCCCTACCTGGCTGGATTTCTTCCACGGGGGCCTCCAATTTCAGGTTATCCACCACCTGTACCCCCGTATCCCGCGTCACAATCTCCGCAGTGCTCAGAACTTGGTGAAAGAGTTTTGCAAGGATGTGGACATCCCGTATGCGATATTCACGTTTTACGATGGGAATAAGGAGGTTATTGGACGGCTGAGCGATATTGCGAAACAGGCGCGGATATTCGCAGAGTGTCAGAAGAGCGTCGCGCAACAGGGTATATTTTCGGACCATCATCATCACCACTAGTGGCACGTGTCACTTTTTGTGGCATGATTCAATGACATGTTATTAGACTCTCGGTGCTTTTTGTTTCGTCCCTCGTTTCCATGCACCTTTTCTCTTACGTCACGGATGGTTATAAATTTTGTAAATTCTCCCTTGACCAAGTTCATGGATATTCTGGACACATGTGGACCCATTCAATCATAGATGTGTGTTGCTTGTCTAGCCTCGACGCACGATAAAGATAGAAAAATGATTTTAGGCTTATGCAGCTGTGGTCTCAGTGGAGCTTTTGCGCAGCTCTCTTATATACTCCCGTACATGCAAGTGGTACTCCGCATAAATATATACGACCTCAAAAATTTTGAACACCATCCCAAACCTATAAACCTCCTCTAGCGACCTTGCGGGCTCGTTGGTCTTTACGACTATGGTTCGCTCGTGATGATTTATTGGCATCTTTCCTTCTTCTCGCCACTGCGGTATCGTGATCTCCAGACGGACCAGCAACACCTGCCCCAGCATCACCTCGACCACCGCGCCCACCACGTCCAGCGCGTCCCCTGCTTCTTCCTTGGGCTCTGCCGTGACCACGCGGCCCGCCAGCGGTGTCACCGGCCTTACTGCCTTCCACTCTCGAATTTTCAGCATCATGATCTTCCCCATCTCCATCTTCCGCACGTGGCTTCCGGTAAGAAGTCGATGGAAGATCGGGCTGATTGTGTCCAGAAAGACCGGCGGAAAGCACGTAATCATGTTCCATTCTCGCCATACGCTTTGGATCACGAGATAGCATGACTGCCCAGCCCTCAATGCTTTCATCTGTCATTCCCGTTTCCTTTCGCAAAGATATCCGCTGCTGCGACCGACGTGTCGCCGCATCACGCTTGAATGCTTCCGGGTTTGATTTGTATAGGCTGAATAAAGTAGACTCGGTGTCTTCTCGAAGCCCGCTACGTAGTCTTTGCGTTGCTTCAACGTCTGGGTCGATTCCAGCGCCTGGGGGCATTGAATCAACGGTTCCACCGACGTCGGCAACATCATAAGTATCATCATGTTCGTCGTCGTCAGAGTCAAACGCAGCAAGAGCTGAGAGAATGGCAGCCTTGTTGACTGAGTGGCCGGATCTATCTGCCAGGATATCATCCGCAGTCAAGTCGGCGTTTGTGCGACCAAAGTGGAGCTTGGATGGAGCTATGGCCAAACGGTCGAATTCATCGTTGTCAAAGACGTTTCTCCTAGTGAACGACGTCGCGGGTGGGGGTGTTGATTGAGGTGCGAGTTCTGTAATAACCTCTGGGATGTGAAGTTGATCCGAATGGTCGAGGATCTTCAGGTTAGCAGGCAGAGAATCTTCCACAAGATGTGAGACGACGGTTTCGACATTGTCGGAGTAGTAATCAAGTAGCTTAACCACGTATCCAGAACCCAAGTCTGGAAAAAGATCTTGGATTTGCGTCACGAGGGACATCTTATGAATGTGGAACTCATTTACGTCGTCAGCTTCAGTTCTGCGCTGCTTTCCTTTGTTTTCTTTGACCGGGCGCCGGCGGATGGGATGCATCCCACGACAAACTTTACGGTATGACAACAAGGAGGATAATAGCTTGTCAGCACGTTTTTGCGGGTTTTCTGAACACAATCGATCCATCCGCTTTAGTAAATTAGTACTGCAGACAAGGTCTGACAACAGATTTGGATCTTTCGGAGATCCTGAACCATCCACCCTAGCGGAGGCCTTCAAATTGAAGAGCTGATCCAAAAGCAGCGATACTGCTGGAGGAGACGTAATCATTAATGATGATAGCGCCACGTATATATTCGCAACTATAGCATCCTGTAAAGATTTGTCTTTCTGGGTTTGGTACGCCTCAAACATCGCGTCAATATAATCGGATCCCGTCATCAGAACATAACCAACTTCTGGAAGAGAAAATGCCAACAACGTCAAAGATCGTAAATCACCAAGTACATTTGAATCTCTCCCAGGAGCACTTTGGGAAAGCTGTTGCATCAAATTTGTCTTGCCCTTCTCAATGCTGAGAGTCAAGTTTTTGGAAGCCTTTTGCCATACATTTCTTAAAACGGTCTTGAGGGCGGAGCTGCAATTGTAGGCACTGCAAAAGGCTCCCAAGAACTGCCAGTCGAGAACATGCTCTGGCACATAGAGTAATAACCGTCGTGCCAGAAGGAAACATAGGCGTCGTAAAGTGCTGGCATTTGGTCCCGGCAATGACGTAGGGGAGTTAAAAAATGAGGATAGAAATGATTTAGCTTGGGTATCTTTGGAAGCAAGCGTTTCGAAATCTCCCTCGGAAACCCTTAGACGAAACTCAACAGAGACAATCCAAGCATCGAGACATGACGCCCAATCCTCGCTTGGAATACATTCTTGTACATTTGGAGGAGGAACGGGTGCAAGTGGAGGTAATTTAGCCTCCGTCATGAGGAAAGCTTGACAATGTTTCAACGGAAAAGAAGGAATCACTTAAAAAGTAATGAACTCGCAATTAGAGCAAATCCGAGAAGACAGGTAAGTCGATCAATCAAGGCTGCCTCTCCGCCTAGTTGATGAGGAGAACTCAGTGTCGATGCCTGTAGGAAGACGAACGAACTTGATAGAGTCGGGATGAGTCAGCAATATGATCTAACTAGTCCGAATACGGCTAGAAAAGTGTAGGCGAATGCCAAGAGTTCACACTCCACAAAGCCATTTCGGCCAAAAACGACGAAGGCGACGGCGAGCGCATCTCGACAACCCTGAATCTGCTATCCAGCCTGTCATCACCTTACCGAACAAACCGTTCAGGTCTTGACCGGCACTGCGTCTTGTGCAATACACCTGTACGGACCCCCTGATACCATCCTCTGAAGCAATACCCCATCGCAATTACTAACGTTCCTCCCTTAGCTCAGCCTCAAACCGCAAAGATGTCTTACCAAAAGCCCGAGAAGGATTTCGGCGAAGGCCCAGTATGTGAAAACATATACCTATATTCTGCTAGCTAGGATTCTGCGACACACAAACCTTTGAGAAACGCATCGGCCCTCTAACATCACGGTCTTGGCAGAAAATCCACAAGATCCGTATTACCTTGACCTCCCGCAAGGTTGCTTCCCTCGAGAAAGTCTGCCAGGAGCTCATTGAGCGTGCCCGCTCCAAGTCGCTCCACGTCAAGGGCCCCGTCAGACTTCCCACCAAGACTCTCACCATCTCCACTCGCAAAACTCCTTGCGGTGAGGGTAGCAAGACCTGGGATCGATTCGAGATGCGGATTCACAAGCGCTTGATTGAGTGAGTTTCCGCCCTGCAGATTTGTTTTCGTCTCTCCCTCTGAATCGGATATTAATGGAGTCTTTCTTTTTTCTAGCTTGAACGCCCCTACCGAGACGGTTAAGCAGATCATCATTAACATCGAGGCTGGTGTTGAGGTCGAAGTCACCATCGCCGCATAAGCGACCTAGCGATGGATAAACCTTGATCGGATGCCCGGAAATCGAGCTCGATCATTATGCCCTGCTTAATGGATGTTATGATACTATGAACTGTATTACAATATCGAAATTAAAACGTTGAGCAGCGTTGAATCGCAGCCTCCTTCAAATCCACTCTGCCCTGTTCTTGGGAAGCAAAAGTAGCTTGAATAAATTGGATGCAGTGTGTATCCAAAAACTAATATACTGTAAACATAACGGTATAAGAATCACATCAGCCCGAAAAAAAATATTGCTCGTCAAAATTTTAGGCCCCTGACCCCCGTATAACTCCTACCTAAAACTCCGTGTCGCTCGAGGACAACTGCGCTGGAAAAAAAAATAAAATAAAAATTACAAGCGATCAATGCCCACTTAAAGTTCAAAGCTACACCACTCTGGCCTCGGCGGAACAGACGGCATAATCCCGTTCTGAAACGAGCCATTTGCTTTCAAGAATTTATACGCCTCTTGGACCTGGGGCGTATATTCCTCGGCCTTTCCCACTGAACTTCTAAATGACTCCGGGGCTGGAGGGCCTTGTGGAAAGTAAATGTGCACGAACGTTGCCGGGTCGTCTGGGTGTTGGAAGCAGGGTTCATTGTCGATGTATTTAGTTTGCTGGCCCTTCCATGAAATAAGCTTATTCGTCACTGGGTCTCGCCGAGTTTCACCAACAAGTTTGGGCAATGGGTTCAATTTTGTAGAATCCTTTTTAGTCCCAAGAGCCGCTGTTGGAACCGCAGCGGGTAATGAGGCTGATTGGGGTGCTGGCTGTGTTGTTGGGGCCGTCGTAGCAAACCCAGGTGGTTGAGCGAAAGGAGATGCTGTCTGCTGTTGGACTCCGAAACCAGAAGGTTGACCAAATGGATTAGCCGTTGACTGGGGTTGCCCAAATGGAGCCGTGGTCTCCGGCTTTGCGAATGGGGATGGACCCTGAGCTTGGCTTTGCGGTTGTCCGAAACCCTGGCCTTGACTAGTGAGCTGAGTAAAGGGGGAAGCCTCGGTGGTCTGGTTTAAATAACTGGGCTGTGTCGGGCCCTGGGGTACAGGCTGGCCGAATGGGGATACCTGACCAAACCCAGACTGCGTAGATGCTTGCCCGAGTGTAGAAGGCTGGCCAAATGCTGGCTTCCCAAACGCAGATTGTTGCTGTTGTCCTAGCGCGGACGGTTGACCGAATGACGATTGGCCAAACGGTGGCTGCGGAGCTGCTTGGCCGAGTGTAGAGGGCTGACCGAATGCTTGCTCTCCGAACGCGGGTTGTTGCTGTTGTCCCAGTCCGGATGGCTGACCGAAAGCCGAAGGAGCACTTGGTGCAGCCTGACCAAATGGCGTCGGCTGACCGAAACCTGATGGCTGACCCGTACCTGCACCGACACCAAACGCAGGTTGTTGCCCAGGGGCCGCCGCTACATTTCCTGCTGTGATATCAATTCGATTTGGGTGTTGGTTTGCGCCATCGATAATATATCTTATGGCTCCCTCGACGTCAGATAAAATGGTCTGAATCTGGGCTTCAGTGGCTGCATAAAGATTGTTTGCATCTTGAATGGCTTTTTGAGGGTTGCCAGCAGCTGTAGCGGCATAGTGTATAACACGCATTTCCTCGAAGCTTTGCTCCCTTTCGGGACCACCAAAGAGTTGAACTGGCGCATATCTGCCCGGTCCATAAGATGAGAAGATCCAGTTGGGCCTGCCCTTTCCAGGAGTGAGGTCATTCTTGATATCGTCGGGAGTCAAGGAATACCTATTGCTATCGTTTAGAGGATAGAAGCAAATAATGAGAACCTAGGAGCACTCACTTCTTTCGGAGATCTTCTTGAGCGGCTTGACGAGAACCTAACCACATGAGAGTCAATGATAAGGCTCAATTTCATATAAGGGAAAATATGAGGCTTAGACACCAATGCAAAACCAAATGCTTCAGAAAGCTCATTGAATTTCAGAATGGAAATACACAACATAAACAGATTAGATAGAGATCATGTAACTAAGAATAGGGACAGATGACAACAACAAAGGCAGCCCGAATTTAGTTCTGGTGAATTCGTCTCTTGGAGCAAAGCTTGGGCACACAGAACAAAGCCAGGGCCTTACCTCCAAAACCACCACCGGCACCCGATTGGAGAGCGCTAAACCGGTTTCCACCAAATGACTTACTTCCAGGGTGCTCATGCTTGCATTGATCTGGCAAAAAGTTAGCAAGTCCTCGGGACGCTGTTTGGCTTTTGATCAAGGGAGCTATTCCATACCTCCAAACCTGCATCTGCCTTCCTGGAAATATTTACAAACAACCATTACTGAATAGAGGATGAAAGTAAAGCACACACAAGGGCTATGAGAAGAGTAGGGGGAATATTTTGATTGTCAGTTTGAACATGATCTCGCTCATTGATACCTCAGAGCTATTTTGTAGTTGATGCCAAGACATGCCCGCGCGATGACGTTTCGGTTTTGAAAGGAGCGCAGTCCTACTTTGTACATTGAATCCGGATCTATCCCTCTTAATATCTTCCGGATAGAGGCTTGTTATGTGGCCTATGAGTGCTCAATTTGCAGGTAGCAAGTTATAGGAGATACGAGTCACTTTCTAAAGCACAATAATGAAGTGAGAATAATGTTACACTAGTGGACGTAGCAGAATGCATCAAATATTCTAGGATGCCGAACTTAAGTGGGCTTATGACAGTCATTCAATTCAAAAGAGTATCATTCGTATATGTCGCGGTGACACCGGCCCCAAACACCAAACTCCATATATGCCAATGCTGTATCAGAACATAGCCACGAGCTGTTGGTGGCAGTTTACCAAGTTTCTCGGGCAATCCGCTTGTCAGGAAACACTAGGTTTCAAATTTTTCCTCAGTATGTCCCAGTTCAACCCTTCGATCTTACGCCCACCTAGAGACTCCAAGGCTCCAAGGTTGTCAAGATGACCAGTCGCGACGCGCCGCATCATAACTGTATCTTTCGCGCCTGGGAGATTTTTAGCCTTACCGTGCAGCAGGCAATCCTCAAACCACTCTATCTCGATATCGCTGAATGGCAAATTGACCAACTCCATAGCCTTTTCTGCCCTTTCCTCGCCCGCTTTTGCGGCTAAGACGAAAACAACCAACTGGCCAAAGAGTTCACGTCGAATATCGAGAGGTTGTTTGCGCGTGAAGCAAAAGGCAGTGGAAACCCCGCTCCGACACAACACCGCAAAATAGGCATTCAACACTTCGCTGGTCGCCAATGGCGGGGAAACGGCTACATAGTACGCAGTGGCAAGGTGATCATCTTGTTCGGAAAGGGTTGAGAGGACATAAAGAATTTCGTCGGGAAAGGTAGGGATCAGCGATGGCTCTGTGAGGTAACCCAGTGCGCTCTGCATCCCAAAGAAGATGAGTAAAGACGAGTATGAAGCTGATGATACCAGAAGACTGACCTGAAATTCTAATCGATCCATATACCAGATACCGTCTACAAGTAACTTGTATTTTTGTGGCAGCAAACATCGACGTGCGAACTCAAGGCGGTTGGTTCCATCATCCAGATTCTCACAATCTCTGAGAAGATAGTAGATCACAGATTGCTTGTGGTGATTTGGCGAGCCCGACGCAAGTATTTCCCTGTGAAGTTTGCGGAGAGTTTCAATGGACTTTGGTGGATAGAGCCTTGGTGCTAGAACAACGGTGAGCGTCAAGCTTCCATTGAAAGAACTAGAGTGTTATTGTCGCACCTGAATCAATTCCTAATGCCCCGAGAAGGCGATCGATGAAGAGGGTGCTGTAGAGAGCTTTCCGATTCGCGATAATCCGGTCAACGACCTTGGGATTGTAAGGATAATCTCCTTTAAAACCGAACGTGACGTTGAAGTCATCCCAACGGGCCATCGCGACGATGCAGAAAGAGGTCTGATGCGCTTATTCCAGGGTCCAGCGCTATCCCAAGAGTCGATGCGAGGCAGCTCCTCAGTCGGCATGCTGCGATCAGCCGCAGTGCAATATTGTCCAAGCGTAATAGATTAGTCAGCATGGCTACCTTCGAACGTACGCTGTCGTTACAGAGCCCCGTATATTCTACCCAATAGAGTAGTGAGGTATAAAATTACACCGTATAGTTCTTACCAAATAAATGCAGCGTGCGCCACAGAAGTGGCTTGCGCTAGCGACCGGCGCTGCTTCGGGTTAAAGATAAACAGCCATCCCAACAACAAACCCTCGCGTCGACATGGAGGGACCATATCCTTCGACATTCCCCGACAATTTAACACAGTAGTCCAGACGCAATAATGTCGTCAATATCGCAGTCGCGCCCTCCACGGCGTGCTTCTACGAGGAAAAGATTAATCGTCCAAGAAAGTTCGGAGGATGAGTTGCAGTCCGGCCGAGCAACCCCGACGTTTTCGGCTGAAGACGACGATGACAACAACGATGAAGAATACACTCCGGTCCCAAATCGGACGGCCGCAAGACGGACGTCTCGACGACAAGCTGCTGAAAGTATTGCTGAATCCTCCCAGTCTACTGTGCAGCCCCCGCGGAAGACCCGACGAACCCAGACCCGAGAGAGCCTAGTAACATCGAATCCGTTTAGCGGAGTGGAAGCGAGTGCTATAATTGGGGATCCAGAGTCTCCGACACGAAGGCAAAGTGTTTCCAGGTCAAGACACAGCACGGCTCATCGAAGTACTCGTATGTCTTCAGTTACTCCCAGAGTGGAGTTCTCCTCTATTCCGACACCAGCACCCTCACAATCTCCAGAGCCTAGTTCGCACAGATCCCGCCGCAGTACTTCTCGGTCGATTGAGCCAACTCCATCCTCAGCAAGACACAGCATTCCTCCTGAGCCCATCCAGCAAGCCGAAACCACTCGACGCTCATCCCGTCGAAGTACTTCTCAACATGTTGAGCCACGCAGATCCTCAACAAGACATAGCCTCACACCAGCGCCCATGCAGCCAGAGCAGACTGATGGGCAATTGTCTCGTCGGAGTTCTTCTCGACAGATTGAATCGACTCCATCATCAGAAAGACATAGTGCCACCCCAACACCCACACAATTCACAGAGACTGGGAGACGACTATCCCGTCGAAGTATTACACGTGAAGCGCCGCAGCAAGAACCCTCTAGCGCTAACCCTGCGGCAGTACCGTCCATAGAACATGATCCTGCTTCATCGGAAAGGGAGGCAACCCCTACAGATTCAGTACAACACCCAACCGATGAAATTCCTCTGCAAAGAGCGCTGCCTGAAGCATCTAACATTGAAGCGATTAATCCAATGTCGACTGCATTGGAGAAGCCAATAGATATCTTGATGAAATCTCGGGCGATGTCGCAACCTCCTACGGAAGAACCCTTGGGGCCGAAACCACGAATGGTCATCACCCATCTAGTTTTGACTAACTTCAAAAGTTATGCAGGTAGACAGGTTGTTGGCCCATTTCATGCCTCCTTTTCTTCGGTGGTTGGACCTAACGGCTCTGGGAAATCAAACGTCATTGATTCACTGCTTTTTGTTTTTGGCTTCCGGGCCAGTAAAATGAGACAAGGCAAGATCTCCGCTCTCATTCATAACTCCGCCAATTTCCCAAACCTCCCATTCTGTGAGGTTGAGGTACATTTTCAGGAAGTTCTCGATCTTCCAGGAGGCGGCCACGAAATTGTGGAAAACTCACAGCTCGTTGTTTCGCGGAGAGCCTTTAAGAACAATACGAGCAAATATTACATGAACCGCAAGGAAACCAACTTCACGACGGTCACCGATTTTCTTCGAGCTCGGGGCATTGATCTGGATCATAAACGCTTCCTCATCTTACAAGGCGAAGTCGAATCGATCGCTCAGATGAAGCCAAAAGCTGCTAATGACCATGATGATGGTCTTCTGGAGTACTTGGAAGACATAATAGGGACGTCGAAATACAAGGTTCCTATCGAGGAGGCTGCGGCAGAGGTTGAAACGCTAAATGAAGTCTGTTCAGAGAAAAGCAGCCGCGTCCAGCACGTTGAGAAAGAGAAATCTTCCCTTGAAGACAAGAAAAACAAGGCTTTGGTGTTCATCAAAGACGAAAATGAGCTTGTAGAAAAGCAGTCTGCTCTGTATCAAATTTACATCGATGAATGCAATGATAACACGAGAGTTACGGAGGAGGCTATTTTGCAGATGCAAGAATTGTTAAACCTCGAGCTCGAAAAGCATCAGGGGAATGAAGAGGGCATTAAGGACCTTCAACGGCAGTTTAAGCGAAGCACAAAGGAACATGAGGCCATGGAGAAGGAAACTCAAGCGATCGCGAAGGAGATGTCCAAATATGATAAAGAATCAGTCAAACTGGAAGAAAAGCGCAAGTTCCTGGCAAACAAGCGGAAGAAACTCGAAAAGGCCATGCAAGCTAGTCGCTTAGCAGCTTCTGAATGTGCGAGCTTAGTCGAAAAGCATGCCGATGACGTTGAGAGAAAAACTGCAGAAATCGCGTCTCTCGAAAAGGAAATGAGACGCGAAGAGGAGGAACTAGCGTCCATCCGTGAGAGCCTAAAAGGAAAAACACAGGGTCTTTCTGATCAGATCGCCGCTATGCAAAAAGGTCTCGAACCGTGGAACGAGAAAATTAACGAGAAGCTGTCCGCGATGGCTGTGGCTCAAAGTGAGCTGGATATTCTTCATGAAAAGAGCAATGCAGGTGCTGTAGCTTTGGAAGAAGCTCAGGCAAAGATTGCTTCCATTCAGGAGGGGGGTGCGGCCAAAACACACGAGCTAGAGCAGCGTCGCTTGGAGCTGACGGAGCTCGAAAATGAAGTTGCAACTCTAACAGCAGAATTACAGAGGTTCTCTGACAAGGAACCAGAATATCGTTCACGTCTGTCTCGTGCTCGACAGAACGCGGAAGAGGCCCGATCGAGCCTCACGAGCACGCAGAACCAGGGCAACGTTCTTGCGGGCCTAATGCGACTGAAAGAGTCAGGTCGTATTCAGGGATTCCACGGGCGTCTCGGAAACCTCGGGACAATCGAAGAGAAATTCGATGTTGCCATCTCGACGGCTTGCCCTGCCCTGGACAACCTTGTAGTGGACTCTGTGGAGGTCGGGCAGCAGTGTATCGAATATCTTCGCAAAAACAATCTCGGCCGAGCGAACTTTATCCTGCTGGACAGGTTACCTCGCAGAGACATGTCTCCCATATTTACTCCGGACAGCGTTCCGCGATTGTTCGATCTAGTCAAGCCTGTTGATCCAAAGTTCAGCCCGGCGTTCTATAGCGTGATGCAGAACACCCTCGTTGCAAAGGATTTAGAACAAGCCAATAAGATTG